TGAAAAAAGTTTTGATAATTGTCGATTTGTCGATACTATAATCTTGCTGTACACGAGGTTTATTTGATGAGTGATGGAAAATGAGAAACTCGTTTAAGTGAGTGGCGATTCTGACAATCTGATTGGTCTAAAATACCCAGGTAAATAATCTAACAAAAAGCTTGGCATAAGCAAACCTTATAATCTCAGACAAATCTAACTTAGAACTTTTTTCAATTCAATTCAATTGAAATCATTCAGCTCAATTCAATTGAAATTAATCAATTCTATTAAAATCATTCAACTCAATCCTTTTCATTCAATTCAATTTATTCAACTCATTATTATTATAATAATACTTATAATAATAATATTTAATTTTCAATTATCAAAAACAAACCAATATTCTATCTACACTCTCATAGATTTTATTTTAATTTGATTAAAAATTATGAAATATTTTATTAATAAATAATAAATTATTTTTATATAGATAATTATAAAATTATATATTAAATATTTTATTCGAAAATTTGAAGGATTTGATTTTCAACAAATTAATATTATAGAGATAAATAATAATAAATAATATTTTTATTTAATAATTTTAATTTGAAATACATTTTATTTCTTTTGTTATAATATATTTTTTTTATATTCTGATCCTTTATTAGATGGATATATATAAAATAAAAATAATTTGAATTTTATTTCCTTTTATTATATTTATTTCTTGAATAAAATAATATTCATAATTCTCATAATTGATATATTGTTATTTTTTTTTGATATTTAAAATTATTAAATTATATTTATAATAAATTTAAGTAATAAAATTTTAAAGAATTATTTAAACTTTTTGAAAGGAATTTAATAAAAAAATAAAGGATTCTTAATCTAAAATTTTCTATTAAAAAAAAAGAAACTTTTTAATTACTTTCTTGAAAATTATTTCAGAAAGAAAAGTAATTAATCAATCAAATTATATTAAAACAAAAAGAACTTTTTTTGATCTTTGAAATATAAATTGAATAAAAAAGATTTCTATAATAAAAAAAGTTTATTGATAATTTCTTTAATATACAAAAACTATTTATTTTATTCAATTAAAAATAATAAAATTTATAAATAGAAATATTTTCGAAATCTGAATCTAAAAAGAAAAAAGATTAATCTTTATTATTCATAAAATCAAATAAAAAGTTTTTTTTCCTTCTTAAATTTTAAGTATTTCAATTTAGAATTCGAAAAATCTTTTCAAAATTGAAATTCAAATATATGAAGATTAATAAAAATATAAATTAAAAAAGATTATATATTTCTTAAAAGAAAAAAATATAAAAAAGTTAAAGTTATAAATGAAATATATAAAAGTTTTTAATTAATCAATTAAATAATTAGATATATTTAGATATAAAAGAAAAGTCTTTATTTTTTCTTTTTGTAATATATTATCAGGATATATATACATCTCGATCTATCATTTTTATCATATATAAATAAAAATCCTTTGTTTTTTATTAAACACAATATTTTATGGAAGATTTTTTTTAAGAAATTTGTTAATAATATCAAATAAGATAATTAATTGATAATTCTTTATTCAAGTTTTATTTTCATTAAATTTAGATAATATATTAATTTTGATTTATTTAAAATACTTCAAATGATAATGAAAAGATATATAAATACTAAAAAAAAATTTATTAAATTTTTAGAATAAACATAAATTTTTTGATAAAATAACTAAAAAATTTACTATTTTATAATTTAATAATCTTTTTGCTATTAATTTTATATTATCTCTATTAAGAAAAAGATTTATATTTATAATATTTGAATATCATTTTCTTTTTTTCGATATATTCTTTTATATTATTTAAATTTATTTAAAATAATAAAGTAAAGAATTAGTTTATAAATATCTTTATTTTTAATTTTTTATAAATAATAATATCTTTTTCTATTTTGAGATTAAAAAATTATAATATAATTTTAGATATATAATTAAAATCTTATATTTGATTAATCAAAAAGACTTATTAATCGATAAATTTTAAATATAAAAAGTTATATAATATAAAAGAGTATTTCAATAAAAATCAATTCTTTTTTGATTATTAAATAATAAAAAACTAAATTATTTTTCTTTTAATATTTTCAGAAAAGTTTTCTTTATTATTTTCTTTCAAAACAATTTTATTAATCTTTAATAAATTTTAAATTTGAGATTTAATTATCAGCTTGCCGATACCAAAACCTTACTGTATATATAGTGTATCGCAATTTATCTAATATAGATTATAGAAAATGAGAAACTCGCTTAAGTGAATCGCGATCCTGATAATCTAATTGGTTTAAAATACCCCAGTAAATACCTCAATAAATAATCTAACAAAAAGCTTAATATAAACCTTATAACCTCAAACAAATCTAACTTAAAGCTTTCTTCAACTCAACTCAATTGAAATCATTCAATTTATTCAATTCAATTTAATTCAAAATAATAATATTGATAATATTAATAATAATACTATAAATAATAATATAAATATTAAAAATTTTTCTTATTTCTTCATAAAAATAATATCAAATAATTTCTTTTATTTATTTTTTATTTATATAAAAAATTTATCTTCTTTTATTATTAAGAAAAAATCCTGAACTAAATATCCTATATTGATAATATTATTTATTTTCAACTTTTCATTTATATATATCGATTTTATAGATTCCGATATATCCAATCAATTTTGAGATTATATTTTTAATTATAATATCTCTAAAATGATTTATTGATTCTTTAATAAAACAATATCGAATTAAATAATCTCTTTATATTAAATTATACTTATCTATATTGAACAAATCTTTTATAAAATCTTATTATTCAATCCTATCAATTGTTTATCAATTAATTATAATTAATATAAAATTTATTTTATTTAGGATTATATTTCTAAATATTTTATAATTTTTGATACAATAAAATTTATAATAATGTAGATTTTTCGTTCATTTATTTTGATATTTTAATAAATCTGTTTTATTTGATTTATAATATTTATTTTGATCTATAATCTTATTTTGATCAATTTGATTGATTTGATCAATTTCATATAATTATATAATAAAATATCTTCTATCTTTTTTCTTTAAAAAAACTATTTTATAATTTCTTTATTTGAAAAATAAATTCTATAAAAATTAGTAATTGAAAAAAGGATAAGATTCGAAGATAATTCAATTTATATCAATTTATAATATTCAATCTTTTCTAATCTTATAATCTTATATTAATTTCTTTTTATTATTTTTTTTGTTTATAATTATCATCTTCGATTAAATTTGAAATATACAATTAAAATATAGAAATGATATTGAATTAATTTTTTCCAAATCTAATCTTTTTGTACTAACATTTTTATTCTTACAATTTCTTGTTTCAACAATTTCTAAATTAATAATCGGATTTACTATATTCAAAACAAAATTTATTTCTTCATTTTTGATTTATTTTCTCTTTAAATAATTTATTTCTAAAAGTTATATTTAATTATATTAGATCCCTATATAATTATTAATAATTTCGAAACTTTCTTTCATTTTTATAATATTTATTATAATCACAATTATTATAAGAATTAGAAAATTAATATTTCTTTTAATATTTATAAAATATCTTACTCGCTTTGATTGATTTCTCAATTAATTCATTCAAATCTTTTTTAAATATAATTATGATTTAATTTTAATCTAATTTTTATTTTAGATCTTTTTTTATAATAATTTATTATAATATTCCCTTCTCATCTAATAATATCTATATATTATCTAAACTTTACAATATACTTAACCATTAACTTTATTTATTTGAAATTATAGATTTTAGATTTAATATTATATAATTCATTAATATTTCTGAATATCTATTATATTTCTTTTTTAAATTTATTTAAATAAATAAACTAATTCTTGAAATAAAATTGAATCTATTTAAAAGTTTTTTCAAAAACAATTCAAACATTTTTATTAATATTATAATTGAATTAATCTTTATTGAATTTAAAATAGATCTTAAATTGAAAATGAAAAAATTTCTAACTTTTATCAATTTCAATAATAATCTTTTTAGAATCCTATATTCCTTTTATAACGATATCTCTATTTTGATTTATACTTTCTAAAATAATTATAATTAGATTACCAGGGGCCTGCGCCCCCCGGACCCCTGGCTTTTCAAGAAAGTCTAGTAAAAATTTAAGTTTTAAAAAGTTTATAATAAATTTAAATATTAAATATATATATTAGGGTGCAGACAGAATATCGGCTTGTTTTTGATAATTAAAAATTTAATATTATTATTATAAATATTATTGTTGTTGTTATTATTATTATTATTATTATTATTATTATTATTATTATTATTATTATTATTATTATTATTTTGAATTGAATAAGATGAATTGAATGAATAGAGTTGAATTGAATAAGTTAAAGCTTTTTTCAATTTAACTCAATTGAAATCATTCAAGTTAGATTTGCTTAAGGTTGTAAAGTTTATACCAAGCTTTTTGTTAGATTATTTATTGGGGTATTTTAGACAGATTGTCAGGATTGCGATTTATTTAAACGAGTTTCTTATTTTCTATTATTTATTAGGTAAATCTCATATACAGCAAGGTTATAGTGTCGGCAAGCCGACAATAAATTTCAAATAAAAATTCTCAAAGTTCAAATATATAATTAATTGATTAAAATATTTCAAAAATTAATTATTATACTTTAAAATATCAATTGATTTAATTTAACATTGAAAAAATTATTCAATATTTAACTTTATAGAATAAGTTATTATTTTCGCAGGGATTCTATAACAAATTCAGATGGTGTGCCGTGAGTAAATTCTAGAATTCTTATAATACTTGATAATGATTTGTGGATCGATTTAATTCTTTGAATTTACAAACTAGACTCGAATCAATAACCCCTCAAGTAGCCAACTTTTTTTATATATTTCTGGTGGATAATTATAAGGTCTCGAATATTAAAAAGTTGTCATTAGTTGTATTTATTCTAATTATAATCTTCTAGTAATCCAAACTCTTAATTCTCACCTAGTAACGGCCCTCTTCTGATTGGTTCCAACATTTGAAATCTCATTCTAGGCGGAAGCTCATCTTGTGTCCAATGTATCATGCCATGTCTCAACCAACCCGCATATGTTCCAGGTATAATGTCCGACCCATCATGCTTCCTCCACAGTGATCCTAACGTCTCTCCAAATACTCGTAAAATGAGACCATGGGCTAATTTGAAGCCGAAACTCCTTTTCAAACATGCTTCCACAATTTCTCTGGCCTCCTTTTGCTCTGGGCTCTCCACTTCACCCTCACGAGGGATAAAGAGTGACATCAGATGAAATGCCTTTCGCCCGTCCCATACCGTAAGTTCATTAATAAGCTGTGAACCTTCCATGTACTCGATGGCATACACACGCTCAGCGGAATACTTTGGCCCGTTCCAGTTGTCATTTTCATCAATTAGTCTCATCACCATCGTCATTGTTTGTCCCTGAATGATATAATCCGTCAATAACTTGCTGCAATCTTCAGCCGAAATGGTGTTCCCGTCTTCCTCAATGGTAAATGAGCCCCCAATTAACTCGACGCCTCTCAACAAAGGACTAGAGTGCATACCCTTGGTGCTTGTCTTGCCACCATCTGCAGCCCACAAGGCTAGCAATAGCTTGTGGCATCTCTCAACCATAGGATTGTTTCGTTTAGAAGCCAAGAAGTAATTTGTGAGACAGCGCTCTTCGACTGTTCCTGCATTGTATGACAGAATCTCGAATGGCGAAGTGTTGTTGTCGATGGTCTCCCGCCACATGCGATCCAAATCACCGATTTGCATCATTCCCACATCGGCATATACGCCGCCGTACTTGAGCAGAAGGGGAAACCGAACAAGGTCGGATGTGTGTTGGAGGCCATAATCGCCGCCAATGGTATCGTCTGCAAAAGCACGGGGGAAAGTACTGAGGCAAGAGATATTCAGAAAGTTTGCCACGTTAAAAGGTGAAGACCGTTGACGATCGAGGACACGGATAGTCCAACCTTGTTTTGAAAACCGTCGGTGCCAGGCGCGGATATTTCGTTGTGCATAATGATGCATGGACAGAAAACCATTGTGCCAGAAAAACCAAATGTTCTTATCACTTGAAACTGACGATGGGTGCAGAAGATCACAATCAATTTCCGAGTCTGGCCGTAAATCGAGGAGTTCGATTGGAACGGCGTGGACCCCTTCAGGGCGAGAATAAAGATTCGAGGTGGAATAAGTCATAGTAAGATTATCTGGCCGCGTAGTATTCAAGGATATTTGACTTATTAGTAGCTTGAAGCAGGTGAGAATGCCGGGAAACTAATATGATGTATATATTAAAAGACCAGATTTCAAAAGCTTACAAGGCGGCTTGCCATGCTGTAGATATAATAATCGATGCTTGACTCTAATATTGAGAAACTACAGATGGGAACTAAGCGTTTAATACCTACTTATAATCGTGTGGTGAATTTCAAATCAGCTTGCGAGTTGAATTGTCCGAATAGAGTAAAGCGTTTTCGACTCATCAAGAGTTCTGCTCGATTGCTAAAAATCAGTCAAAATGAGTCATTTCAGCTTTTGCTAGCTTGTATTATTATACTTAGTGCTTCAAGTATTTAGTATTTATAGCTGTCTAGATAAGATAAGTCTTCGAGAGCTCGCTAGAAATAGATGTGTAATTATTAATTAATTGGCATTGATGCGATGTATAGCTCCCAATTATGGCCATATGTTGAACACTTCTGTGAAAGAAGAGTGATCGCCATCATTGCCTAGGAAACACATCGTTGGGCCTGAGCATGCAATAGTCGACTAAAACAATTTCTTTTGGAGCGCTATGTGATTATCAAATCTATTCAAAAATAAGATTCGTCATTCAAACGTACAAAGACGGCGCGGAAGTCAAATTTGAGGCCATACTCACTTCAACTTGATGATAACACATCGGCTCCTGTTTCAATGTAAAAAATAACAAGTTAATTCTCGCCGACTATCACTAACATGCCAGACACATTCATCATCAACTACTCAAATACACAAAAGAGAGTCGTGTTTATCCCAAAAGAAGCTCAGCTCCTTGCTATACCTGCAATCACTAATACGTCGTGTGTGAATATGCAAGGCTAGATCCGGGAATACATCCAAATGAACTTCTGCGATACTAAGCACAATGAGACAAGTGAATACTCTTGATTGAACACCTCTTTTGACCGTGAAACCCCATGATCCCATGATAACCACCATTAAGCCCCACCTGCAAAGATCTAATATTCCACAGCATGACTGTTAAGTTCTCTTACGTCTTTACGTTCATTCGGCGGGCCTGCTTCTCCTGCTTCTCCTTCTCAACCCTATCTCCAATATCGTTCCCTACCTCCGCTGTTTTTTCATTTGATTCGTTCAGCACGTCACTCCCAATCAGCCCTAAGAATGTTCTTAGGTCTTTCCGTACGGTTGCCAAAACAGCCATGCAATCACCACAGACTCTCAAGCAACACCAGGTGCATTTCCACTGTTGTTCGAAATCTCCCTTCGAGCAAGTTTGGCATTGAAGTGGGCATATATTGTTCCGTGATCGTCGCATAAATCTGTGACTTTGGAAACAATTGATATGTTGCAATGTGATGGGAGGTGCTTCTAGAATTGTTGCAGAAGCTGGAAGTGCGGAAGGGGACAAAGGGAAATAGGAGTAAGACAAAGACGTCGCCCGAGAGGTGGTAGTTCGAGAGGTTTGGCGGGAATGAGGGTTTGTCGTAATGGTAGGAGTTGTTGACGTGATAGATGGCGAGAGGGATGCCGATTCGACCGGGGGTGGGGGTCGAGGTGTAAGGATGGTTTTTGTGGCATGTGGCTTATGAGGTTGCGGGGAGCGGACGGCACCTGGGAGAGAGGTGATAGTCAAAGTCTCAGAGGGATCCCGAGAGTGATTGCGATTAAGAAGGTCGGGTACGATGGAGGACTCTTGTGGTGTTGATGGGTAACCTGCTATTGGCGCGGAAATGCCGTGTGCATGACCATCATCAGACCTGGTGGGTATTTGAGGTGAAGGTAATAAATCATCAGGTACTGTAGTTTGTGACAACAGCTTTCGCGTAGAGGATTGACTCCGGATTTTATCAGGTTCTAAATATTCTGGTGTGGGCAGACCGTCCTGAGGTGGATAAAGCAAGTTCTTGGACTGTTGCGCATTTCCTCCTCTCAGATTTTGGGTCTGATCTGTGTTAAGGTCGCCATGCCTACTAGATTCATCAATCTGATCTGTGGCTTTTCGTTTGCTGATATCTTTCAGCTTCGAAACTTTTGCTCCCATCGGCGGAACTGCTGGTGCTTGCGGTGCTTCACGAGTTGGTATAGGACCTCGTTCTCTATCCGAAAATCCTCTAGATCGAAGAGATTGACCAGGTATTTCGGGTAAGGAACGGTCGGATGCTGCGTTGGTATTTTTGGAAGGAGGACTCGCTGTTGAGCCATTACTCTTTTGGAGTTTCAAATCAGGAAACTCAATTCCCTTTTGAGTCACCAAAGACCTCCTCCTCCAAATTTCTTGCCCTGGAGACGACCTCAAACTTGATGTCGATCTCGGACTTTCCGGATCCTTATTTGGTGTCTCGAGAGATATTTGAGTCTGTTCATCTTTCTCTGGTATTGGGGGAGTTTTGCGAAATTCCGATCCAGCATAACTAAGTGAATCCTTGGTAAAGTTGCTATTTCCAGATAGACTTCGAGAAAGTACCGAGTCAGAATAGCCTGAAGATGATATGCTTGCAATGGAACTTTTTTTAGAGGCACTTGAAGTACTTCCAACCTCTCGACGTGGAATTGACATTGCCTTGGAGTTTTTCCTCTCAGGCAGAGAACTCCTTCTTTCTGGCAAAGATGGTAAGGTTTTCGACATGATCGTCCCTTGTGAGTCTTTCGATTCTGTTGGAGTACTGGGAAGCGCCTTGGTATATTTGGGCTGGGAGTGTAGATATGGTGAATTGATTCCCCTGTCCATCTTGTGCTCAAGAACCTCAGCCCTTCTTTTTAAATTGTTTGATTGAATTTGTTTAACCAAATGAGAATTGGATCACAACTGCAGCAGCCAGCAGTCAAGGAAAAGAAATAAAATCAGAAATCACACTAATTCCAAAATATAACTTACCTTGGTAGTCCGGTACAATATAAAACAAGGTCGTCGGCTAGGATCCCTTGAAAATGTCAAACAACGGGATGATGGAATAATAATAGCTTCGCAAGGGCGTGTATGGACTAGATATCTTGCAAGTTGCAATGCAGTTCATGCATTTGTTTGACCTAAACTTCTTAATGAATTTGTCCAGTAACGCATGGATATGGATATTGATAATGATGAAGATGAAACAGGTGAGAAGTTCCAGAAGGAAGTTTACACAGAAAGGAATGAAAAAACATCGAGACAAATGCCGATTGAATTTTCTAATTCATCTCATTCTGAACAGTGCAATGCATATTTATGCTTGGAAGATAGAGGCTTGAGATGAACCTCTTGCCTTTTAGACGGGCGTGAGAACAAATGATTCGATGATTCCGATGATTCCGTAGACGAGGAACAGATATGTAGAAGACAGACAAAGAGCAAAGAGTGTTGAGGAGATACATAATTACATTGTTTGCGTACGTAGATGATAAAACAGATATTGGTAGATGAATAGATGAATAGATGAGTAAATGGACAGATGGACAAGATGGGTATTCCAAAAGGGGATTCCTATACTCAATACACTCACATGTATAGTATTTTTAGGATAATGTTGTTAGCAAAGCCTTATAATTAGTTATTAGGAGCAATTTGTACTTTTGATATAAGCCCCAGTTGTCTTTCATAGGTACGAATTTAATGAGAAACAGGTTTTATTCCATAGGGCTGGCTATTATCCATTGAGCTGTTATCGACCGTATTGTGTGTTGTCGCCGTTGGGTCAGTTTTATATTTTCTATATCGATTGCGACCGGACCACCCGCCCGTTGATTTGATTTGATTTGATTTGATTTGTGATAACGCACTTGACAGAAACACAACATCTGAAATCTGATGTTATATAATTCCGACACAGCTGTTGAGCATAAACCTTTTATATATATATATATATATATATATATACATTAAGTATTTACAGCTTTGCCAATAGCTGATGTACCCGTAGCTTACCGCAACTTTAAGTGATTCTCCATACTGCAAGTTCACTTCACTGCATTGCACTACACTCACTCCACTGCACTGTTGTTCTCCCTCTCGAGTTGTCAATAAAATATGCTAGTATGTCAACAATGTCACTCATGTCTTGTCAATACATTTACACCTAACCACCTCGCATTGTATCTGTTTTTTTCTCCTTTTCAAAAATCAATTGATGAGTCAACTCAATCCATACATAACTTATAAATCATGTCGACAATACCATCCAGGACGAGGTCAATTCGTAAACCTTCAGAAAGAATTACTAATCTTAGTCGATCCGATAAGTCACCTGTGGCTGCAGCTCCCGAGGGTACAGCTTCACCGAGTCGTTTACCTACTATCAAACCACGAAGAACAACCATATCAACCGCTTCGAGCACCTCAACCTCTACACGACCTTCCGCCACGAGCTCAATTGGTACCGGCAGTGCTTCCATACGAAGCCCATCCACTCGGGCAAACATAAGCAAGCTTCCCACGAATGGACTTGCTCGATCGACCTCAATTCGAAATACATCCGCCGCGACGTCTGAACCCGTGAAGGATCGTTCAAGGCCACCCATAACTTCTTTAAATCGTCACATTTGTACCTCATCGAGCACTTCTACCACTGCAAGACCAGGCCATCTACGTAGAAAATCCTCATCGACCATTCTAAACAACTCCTCCACTGTCCTCCGCCCACCTAGTCAATCGTCACAAAGATCGCGCCCGCCAAGTCAATCATCGCAGAGAGCACAACCACAAGATGCTCCAGTGAGAACTCGTCCACAGTCCCTATATGCAGACACATCAATCCGCAAACCTGCATTCTCTACTCTTCAACAACACTTTTCCCCGGCAAAGAATATTGGTTCTAAACCGCATCCTGCCACATTCCTCGCTGCTCCGACTCCCAGTAAATTACCTTCCAACATCGCAATAACTGCAGAAGCCGCGAAGCTCCAAAATGAACTATTACAACTACACATACTGCATAGAGATGCGGAACTAGTGAACAGACAGTGGAAAGCTAGCGCGAAGAAAAAGCTTGGGGCAAAGTTCCAATCAGTGGTGAAGAGACATGATGAGTTGATCCACCTGGAGGTGGAGGAAGCTGGAAAGGTCAATGCTGCTGCTTTAAAAGAGTGGCAAGGCATAGGAGCTCCGGGATGGGGTCTAGAGGAGAGGATTCAGTTGCTTGACGAAGTACTCAATGAAGCTTGGAATCTAGGGGAACCTGGAGGAAAATATGCCAGGTTAGTTAGAAAATTCGAGAAGTGGGTTGTTAAATGCGAGCAGATATTGAAGGATAGGGAGCATGACCAAATGTTGGACGAGGAAGAGGAGGTTGTGTTTATTGAGGAACTAGACATGGCATGGAAAGATGAATGTTTGGTTCTGAAGAGGAAACTCGAAGCATGGCGAGATGCTCTAGGAGATCTCGGGAGGTTTGAACAAGAGTCCACAATGGCGAATGTGGTGGGTGGGATTAGAGCCTTGGTAAGTGGCATGCTTTTAGAGTTGGAGACCATGGCGCAAATCGAATCAGATGCCCTGGCATTGGAACAGGAATGCATCAAGAGTGTGAATGGTGGTTTAGAACATGATGATGATACCCCTGTTGCAGGCGCTGTATGGAGGTTTATGTGAGCTATCATGTGTCAAGGACCTTGTACTTTCGAGGCTTTATGCGGGCTCATTTATAACTGGGTCAAGGAGGACTAGATCGCTTTCGTGCCATATCCTCTTACTTCACATGTCATCAACGCCAATAGTCTAAATACACAATCAACGGTCGCTGATCCATGAAACCTGATACAAATACTATGAAACACAAGAGATTGCAAGGAGACAATATTGCCAATAGGAAATTTTTTATTCATTCTTATTGTTATTTATGGTATCTCACACAAGCATATTCGGCCATTCTGCAAAACCCCAGCCATTCCTGTCATCGGTATTCAGCCTCCGGTTCAAGCAGCCCAAAGCATCGTATGTCCTTAACCAAAAACTCCGTTGAACTCAAGCTATGCACAAATACTCACTGCAGACCCCCGATAAAAGATCCCTCTATCATAGATTGAAGAAAAGCAATGCTATTAAACCTGTGAAGGCCTTATACAACTGTATTAATCTCGAATAAAAGAACGATCATTGATGATTGCCCCCCCCAAGATATGAACCAAGTCCACTTTATGAACCGACATTTGCCTTGAATTTGCTTGTCACAAGAATGCGAAAAGAATTGTTGAAAAATCGTAACTGATCAAACTCGTTGGCTAGCAAAATCTAGGACCTCGCAATCATCTTCAAAGAAGCCTTCCTCATCTTCGTTGTCTGGATTTATGGCTCCATTAGTGCCGGCACCCTTGCGTCTTCTCGTAGTAACTACAATCTGCTCCATGTCCTCATGACTGCTGTCTGCGATTCTCATCACTCGCTCGATGGCAGAAGAAGGAAGAGCCCTATGGTAAGAGGAAGTTTCGTAATCATCTTCTGTAAGTTGGGGCGGACCGACATCCAGTCTCACACTTCTTATAGGGCCACCAAATGCCCACGCATTCTTTGTCGATTCAGTCACAATAACGTCAGATGAACCACTTCTAGATGTGGAAGATGATGGTGTAGCCATTTCATGAGAATATATATGGAGGTTAACCCGGCGATCTGTATGAAATGGCTGATATGGGGCATTCGACTCAATCTCTGCTTGAGGTATCGAAGTTTCAGCTCCAGAGGGAACTGGTACTCGACTTGATACCTGCCTCGCTTTCCAATTATCCCCTGTATCTCTGGCTAATGTCCCAAGGAAATCGTCGGGTACTGGCCCTGGCGCAATTCTAGTGTCAGGTAGAGATGGTACTTGAAACTCGACGTATTTGGCACCCCTGGATGCCTTTTGCTTGTCGGCTGGACGATCTGCCCTTCTGCTTTTCACTGTGTAGATTCGGACAATCCCTCCACCGACTACGATGATTGAATCACCATGCTTCCCATTGTAGAATCTGACGCAGTTCGGGCTGGGGATATTTCTGCTCTTAGGTAGGTGCAATTTTGTTCCGCCAGACTTTCGCATTTCATTCATCTTACCAGTTGCAGCGCCTACAGACCGGCTAATCCCAGCAGCCAATGCCTGTGTTCCCTGGCCTGCTTGAGACTTCACACTAGCAGCAGTGATACCGGGAAGACCGACACTACTTCGCCGCCTGCGAGAACCGACGAGAGGTCGAGCTACAGTCCATAATGATGACACAGCACTTGAAGCCACTCCGACAGCAGAGAGAGTAGCGTTATTTTTATCGAGGTTTGCCTGATCAGAGCTCCCTGAATGAATCCGCCGTCGTGGTGGAGGCCATGTAAAAGCGCTAGCTGGAAGGTCAAGAATATGAACCGTCCCAGGCTCCGTTACCATTGCAGCACGCTCACCATGTGGTGCCGTCCATACGACGTCCACAATTCTTGCAATGGTCATGCGGGAGAATTGTGCAATCTGTCGAACATGTGATCCATGTACACCTCCACCTTGGGAGCCCGCGCCTTTGAGAAGAGATGACCTTGAATAATGCAACCGCATGAGATCCCAGACAAACTGGACATCGCCTTTACTACTTGCGGTGAACAAAGCTAGACCGCTAGGCGCAAGTGACAGGAAGCTACACCCATGAGGCACGGGAAAAGTAGCTAGAGGGTGAATCGATGACCCCGAGGTCTGTTGTGTAAGCGAGTCTAGATCTAGAATTGATATTAATCCAGGATCTTTGCTTGTCGTATTTGCTTGGCCATTGAGTCCATGCGTAGGAGGAAACTGGGGAGAAATGTTCTGCGGTGCTGAATATGTGCTCCCACCGCTCGCTTGCTGAGGTGCCGCGGACTTGTTCCAATAATTGTTCCAATACTGGGCACCTTGCTTCCCAACATATCCAGATATCTCAACAATTCCCTGTGTTGCAGCTTGAAGAACTTGTTTTAATACCCCTTCACCACCGGGAGTATCCACCAGACAGTTTACCGCCGGGATATGAGGAGGAGCTTGTGAAATCAGGCCAGGTATACGCCCGGTTGCAAGGGTCTCTGGAACAGTAGCACGGAGTGAGATTTGGGAAGATGCTGCCGAGGGACAATAGGCCAGCCAACGTCCATTCAAAGATAATATTGAGGCTTTGTATTGAGATCGTGGGCTGGCTTCCGGCTGACGTCCACCTTCCGCAAAATTGTTGAAAACTGCTGGATCTACAGAAAGACCGTGTTGAACAGTTGTCCATACTTTCCCAATACACTTGAACTCGACTTCTGAAACAGTCTTGTCCTTGTGCCGAAAAATCCATGTTTCACCAGTGATACCCGAGGCTACGACAACATTACCCCTATCCGCTCGTATCGTGAACGACCCAACTGGAGCTGGTGCTGTAAATAATGGGCTTGACGGAGGTATTGGCAAGTGTATTTTTGGAGTATATAGCAGGGTGGCAATATGTTTCCTTGTACTTAATGAATATACTTCAACTGTTGTTTGATAATATTCTATTAAGTCATCATCGTTGTCGCCATCGATGGAGTGAGTAGGCAGCCTTGGAGAACCCACTGTATCGGTCGGCGCAGGAGGGCTTTCCGGAGACGCAATATATTCAGCACTGGATTTCTCACTGATTGTACGAACCGGACCGTGAACAACGACAGCGATCAAAGGATATTGAACGGAATGCTCCGATCCAGCGGTCCACGGAAGGATTTTGGAGTTGTAGACACCACCTCTCAACCCATCTAAATTGAGTATCTTATTCACACCTCTCTTGTTGACATTATGAATACTTAGCCCGCCCTCAAATCCAGTAACGATCACACTATTTGGAGGCTTGCTTGCATCCTGTGCCGGATAACTATCAAATCCACAATAAAAGCCTTTCTCACCAGGGATCAGACCCGAGGTTCTAGGTGACAACATAAGATTAGTATCCGGCGCTCCATGGAAATGAGCTTGAGGTTGATGTGGAAGCGGTGGATAAGGGTTATATCGTATCGCTTGTGATTGCTGTGAATAGGTTGAGGTACGCCGAGCTGCAAACGCCAGTGCGGAGTGATATTCTTCAGGATTGTATGGAAGGTTTCCATCCATTTGATAGCTCAGCGGTCTTCTACGACTTATTGCATTTAATGGAGGAGAAGATGAAGGGATGTGATTATTGGGAGATCCCTTCGGTTCTTTTCCAGGGTAGCCGTAGTTCGTGATCTTGTCTTCATATGAAGAGGGTAGCGTAGGAGGCGATTCACCCAGGCTTATCAAGGTGTTCGGAGAGCTGGAAAACGCCGGAATATTCTTTGCCCATTCATTTGTGTTGTGCGTAACAGAGGAGCCTTGAGAAGTCGATGATAGCGCGTCCAACATAGGAGATGCCACCGGACTTTCACTTTGTGTAGAGACTATCGGCTTCGTCTCTGGAGACGGAGTCTGAGAGGGTACCGCGGAAGGCTTATTCTTACTAGACAAGTCGGCAGGTTAGCAACTGAACATGTCATGGAGGGCCGTCATGAACTGAAAGCGACTCACGATTTCGCTGCGTTACTCCTTGTCACCGCAGCCATAACCCCTCCAGCAGCACCGCCATCCTTCGCCGTCCCATTCTTTTTGGAGTTCTTGGTGGGAATCTGCACTCCAGCTGAAGCGCCTTTTGTTTTGTTGGATTGTGATGTTCCGCTCGAAGTATGGTTGATTTCGTTATCAAATGAGGTGGGCATTCAAATGGTTATAAGATCTTGAAATAGAGACTTATGAATTCTGCCGCTATTGCAGTGTTTATATTTAGGACTCGGGTTCAGTCAAAGGTCGACAAGATAACTAGATTCGCGAGGTGTTTCGGGTTGCCGACAAGTCAATACAACTCCCGGGCTTCCTGAACGTGTCAGAATTCAGGAGAACGCTCGGGAATCTCAGTAAAAAGAATGTGGTTTAGAATACCAAGAAAGGTGTGCGTGTGTGCAAGTATATTTATTTTCAAGGGAAAAACGAATTAATATTGGTAAATGATGTATTTATTGTAGGTTGTTGTCACTCTTGCTTTGTAAAGAGCTCGCTCCTGAGTCCAAGCCGGGCCCGGCTGGTTATCTCTGGGTTGGTATGTATATGTTTGCGGTATGAAGAGGGGCATTGCCAAGAGTGGGTGGGGAGATCATGTACACAGGCACGAGTTGATTGTACCAGGCATTTATTAGATATGCGGATGTAGATGGGTACAATATATTACATGTTTTCGTCAATATATATACATAATTATATATATATTGTGACTGTATTTTACACACTTGATTATTAAGTATTTACCTCATTATATCACTTGATATGATATTGTCATTTCTATTACGTATACTGAAAGCACGTATCTTCGGACTGCTATTCTCATTGTCCTTTGTGCTAATTATACGTCATCAATGAATCAATCAACATCTAATCAAGATCAATATGATATTCTGTATATATATCTACACCGCATGTGTTGTATATGCCATGCCATCTTTGATATGTAGCGGTGCCTGCTAGTAAAGGAGATGCCCCCTTCCATTGAATGGCTTTGAAAGTCGATCCCATGACCTACTTCTACTGAGCTGATGTCAGAAGGCTACTTACGTAGTATACATACCTACCTAGCAAGCCCTCCTGATCTAGCTGCTGGGAAGGGGGCTTTTAGAAAGACATAATTAACCTTGTTTATTTAGGACGGATGCCGATCTGATCAATACCTACATAGACACTATATTGTGATTGAGACATCTCTAAAACTATCGATAAGTTACGCCCTTTTCTCTCTCTGGCTTGAAGCCTCTTAATCTTCTCCATGTCAAGACTGGAAGATATACTAGTAGGTAGTTTCCGACAAGAAATTGACTATTATGAAAGCAAAATCAAATAGCAGATCATCCATAATAAAGAGATCGCTAGCTCGACCATCCAAGTACCGCAATAGAAATACCCAAGAATACCATGCTCATGCAGGTACACCAGACAGGAAACTCATTGTTCCAAAGTTGCTAGTGTGACTGTTCCTAGAATTTTCAGATTATGCTGGAACATAAAGCCAACCGTCCATGATTTCCAAGGATCCGCTCGTGCCAATGTAGAGTTGCAATTTCCAACTAATACCATAACCGTTGCCGCCATGAAACGAAAAGTGATATCAACAGTAATATGGGTATTTTATAACATACACACATTCCTCACAAATGCTGAAGAGATCTTGCCCAGCCCTTCCACAATTTGCGCCGTCCTTGCCAACAGGCTCCCACTGACTTCCGGCCGTGCATAAAATGAGTTCAACATCACTCAAACTACACTTTTTCTGCCGCAACACCAATCCCATTAACCGATTCGCCCCTCCCCAGTATAGACAAGCCATTACGCCTTCTTCTTCAAAGTGGCCTTCGCTTTCGCAGCCTTCTTTCTGTTGCTTCTGATCATTACCACGCTCAAGAATGATCCAACTACAGCCGATGCCATCAGGATAAGTATAACGGGTATTCTAATTGCCCAGACTCGAGGAGGAAACACATTCTGAAGAGGATGATCGGAGTCGACGAATGGCTGATCACAAAAATTAGCTCTCAAGATATTTATTGACGGCGGAGAGAAGGAAAGCAGAGTATCTATACCATAAGAAGGGTCCAGATAGTGTAGTAGAGGAAGACGACCGAAGCAGCGACGAGCATCGCGAGACCAATGAGTTGATCGAGCTGTGAAGGGTAATATTAGCATAGCATTCAACACAACTTGCGCCAAACATCAGCTGCACGCGGTATTGATTGATATCTCTCACCATTGTTGCAATAGACTTTTAAAAGAGTGTGGTATAATCAATCCGGAGTTCGGAAGCTTAAGATTTATGAGGTGAACCTTTTGGCTACTTATAAGGTTGTAAAACGAGATCAATTTTACCAAAAGTTCACGAGAGCTCCTTTCCCCATCAGTCAATCTGGTCTTTCGCAATACAAGGGCCCTAAACTTTTATTTTCGTTTAGCGCTATTTCGGCGTCTAATTTTACTGTACTACCCACCAGTGTACCTTTCGCGCGGACCCTTACAATCAATAACTTTTCAGGTTGTCAACTTCATACAATACAGATTCAAGCATCTGCGCCATCACATTACTATAACATCGCAAACCGAAGCTCCCGTGTTTCTTTTTTTCTTCTTTTCTTTTTTCTTCTTTTCTTTTTTCTTCTTCTAATAATCGGATGCGCTAAAGTGAAGAGGTGTCGGCCCACAGTCTGCGAAAGCTACGAAGCTTTCGACAAGTTTTCAAAGCGTAGCTCCCAGCCACTTGCAACTCGAGTTTCATTATAAGATTTCGACCATATATTCCCGACGTTGCAAAAGCGACACGAATACAATGGCTACTTCAGTTGTCCCAGAAGATAGGGTCAGGGAAGAGAGATCCAATAACCGCGTACCTACTTCTCCACGCCGCCGTTCCTCTAATACTGGAAAACAGCCGGACCGTGAATTTCGAGGCAGAGATATGGCTGTAGTCAAGGAAAGATCCGAGGAAGAAAAACAAGCATCTGCGAAGGCTGAATATGAGAAACTTCTTACGATGCGATCTGGTGGTACCTATATCCCACCTGCACGCTTGCGAGCCCTACAATCTCAGATCACAGACAAAACGAGCAAAGAATATCAACGAATGGCATGGGAAGCACTGAAGAAGTCGATAAATGGCTTAATCAACAAGGTCAATGTATCAAACATCAAGCACATTGTGCCAGAATTATTTGGAGAAAATTTGATCAGAGGTCGAGGGTTATTCTGCAGGAGTATTATGAAGGCTCAGGCTGCCAGTTTACCATTCACACCGATATATGCCGCAATGGTTGCAATTGTCAATACAAAACTTCCGCAAATTGGAGAGCTTCTCTTAAAGCGCCTCATAGTGCAGTTTAAGAAAGGGTTCAAAAGAAACGACAAGGCTGTGTGTCTTTCTGCCACCACATTCATCGCCCATCTTTGTAACCAACAAGTAGCAAATGAGGTAGTTGGAGCCCAAATCTTGTTACTACTTCTCAATAAGCCCACGGATGACAGTGTTGAAATTGCGGTTGGGTTAACGCGGGAGGTTGGCCAACATCTGGAAGAGATGAGTGGACCTATCGCTCTAGCAGTGTTCGATCAGTTCAGGAATATTTTAAATGAGGCAGATATCGATAAACGGGTACAATATATGATTGAAGTTCTCTTTCAAGTTCGAAAAGACAAATACAAAGACAATCCTGCGGTCAAGGAAGAGCTGGATCTTGTGGAGGAGGAAGATCAAATCACACACCGCATAGCCTTGGATGATGATATTGATGTCCAGGATGGACTCAATATTTTTAAATTTGATCCTGAATGGGAACAAAACGAAGAATTATACAAGCAACTCAAAGCGGAAATTCTTGGGGAGGGAAGTGATGACGAGGACGACGAGGATGAGGAAGATGATAGCGAGGAGGACGAAGAAAAGAAGGAAGAAAAGGCTTTAGAGATCAAGGACCAGAGTAATACAGACCTCGTGAATTTACGAAGGACTATATACTTAACCATCATGTCAAGTATCGACCCTGAAGAATGTTGCCACAAGCTGATGAAAGTCACACTACCGCCTGGCCAGGAGACTGAACTTCCTTCCATGGTCATTGAATGTTGCTCCCAAGAGAGAACGTATTCGAAGTTCTATGGCCTTATAGGGGAGCGGTTTGCAAAGATAAATCGTCTCTGGACTGACCTTTTCGAGCAATCATTTGCCAAGTATTATGATACTATCCATCGTTACGAAACAAACAGGCTACGAAATATTGCGAGATTTTTCGGACACCTTCTTAGCTCAGACGCTCTTGGCTGGCATGTCTTGTCCATCGTACATCTCAACGAAGAAGAGACAACATCGAGCAGTCGTATCTTTATTAAGATTCTTTTCCAGGATCTGTCGGAAGCAATGGGAATGGCGAAATTGCAAGCCCGCTTGAAGGATGATATTCTGCGACCTTATTTTGAAGGATTATTTCCCCATGATAACCCTCGCAACACAAGGTTCTCCATCAACTACTTCACAAGTATTGGTATGGGTGCTATCACGGAAGAGATGCGTGAATACCTTCAGAACATGCCAAAACCAACACTACCAACATTACCGGCGGCTCCAGACGATACTGCATCGGACTCGGAAAGCTCTGTTTCGAGCTATTCATCTTATACGGGATCGTCTTATTCGCGATCTCGCTCGCCATCTCAAACTCGTGGTCTAGACAGAAGACATTCAGTATCTAGGACACCACCGCGTACTGCCAAACGGAAGGAAATTAGAAGAGGGCGGAGTTTGACGCGATCTCTTTCTAGGTCAATCACACCACCTCGTCAGCGCGGGAGACCAGCTTCAATATCCATAACAAATCCACGTCGAGGACGCAAAGATTCGAGCCTCTCCAGGTCGAGATCCAGATCCCCTTCACCATATCCTCAACGAACAAGGCGCCGAGATAGCTTCTCGGAAACTCCACCGAGAAGGAACAGATCTTTAAGCGAATCAAGGTCACCTCCGAGAAGAAAAGCTGGGAGGAGAAACACGTCTTCCGTCAGCGCAGGCCCTCGAAAACGCCAAGGTTCAAGCATTTCAAGATCTCCCTCGCCTCGAAGGCGTGCCGGAAGAGACAGATTTTCCAGGTCACCGCCTCCCAAAACATCTCTGCGGAACGATAGCTACTCAAGATCTCCAAGCCCGCAACGAAATACACGTAGAGTCAGCAGATCTATCTCCCCACCACCCAAACGAAGACGCGACTACAGTATTTCTAAATCTCCACCACCAAAGCGAGGCCGGAGATATGATTAGTCGGTAAAGAATGAAAATTAGGATTGTAATTATAGTGTTGGCGATAGTGTCACACAATTTGAGCAAGCGTAACTTGCCATAAGTTTGAGAGGATATCAATTCGCATTTGTTTCATTCAACTATTGTGTCTTCAGACCTTTCTCACGTGAAACCAGCTGCACTCGCGCTCTACTCTTTACCTTGCTTGGCGAGATTTTTCTTTCTTCTCTTTTGTATCAGGAACTCCTCCCGCAGTGATCTTTGATGACTCTACTTTTGTACCAACTTGTGCGATTAACCATTTTGCTATAGATATTCTAGGTTTGCTCAATACGGATGCTTTCGGTTGGCTTGTGGTGTATTGTATGTAGGGAAGCATATCTGAAGCATGAATAGTATCCTATCCCTGGATCCTTTGCTCCAAGTAGTTTAAATGTAGTTGAAACTTTTGAGTTCTATCTCCATACCAACCTAACGATAGACCATAGGATCCTGTTGAAACATGTAAGTGGTCCGGCAACTTCAAATCTGGAGCATGTTAACATTCTATCAAAGCAGTGTCCATGAGCGGGCGGGGTCAACAGTGGGGTGAACAAGTGAACGCCGAAATTGACGGATGTGCTAGACATTGTGTAACGGAAGATGATTTCAACCGAATCGCCGTTCGGTGCTATCAATCTCCGTGTGACAACTTCACCGCTCAAGTCAGCTGTTGGAGTTAATAAGTATAATAGGTACGTATGTATATATACTACTTACGATTCATAGATACGTTGATACTGAATGGCATTGACTATGTGAACATGAAAGATTACCTACTAAGTACCTCCCTACTACGTACTTGTTACCTACCTGTTACTTACCTACTACCTACTGCCTATTGCCCTACGACCTACCTACCCCTTTCTCACTGGCTACAAATCCTTAGGACACGCAGAGAGAATGTCCGAACAAGGATTAATATACAAGGTTTAAAATTAACTCACCGGGTGCTTTTAGTCAAGGGCATAGAAGGGATTACATACCGAGATTTGACTAGACTGGATGGAGATGTTCAGTCTGAGTAAGCAAGGTCTTGCATCTGTAAGCGTCTGTACCACTCAAACTCACTCCAACGCCCAACCACCAAAAAAAGGGATCACCACCACCACCACCACCACCAACCATCGCACCACAACACACCACTACTATACTACCCTATGAAGATGACGATGAAGATGAAGATGAAGGAGAAGGCATGATGGCCAGAACACCCGGCCCATTCAAAATCACCAACTAAACACTTTGTTCTTGTTTTTGGCTGTGGTTGAACCGAACTGATTGACTGTCTAACTTGGCACTGTCTAACTATTTACTGTTTAGCTGTCCAACCAACCCGTCTATCCGCAATTTGCGAGACCAAGTCTTCAGACAGGAGGTTGTTATACCAGATGCTGTGCCACTGCCTATAGGTGAATCAAATTGACCCTGGTCAAATTACGCTCCTCTCTTTCTTTCCCACTCTACTAGTTCGTGGCTGACTGGCCTTTTCCTTACGAGAGTATTAATCTGTTCAACGGATCAACTGATTCCCACCATATCCATTGGTGCGTTAGCAGCTTCGGTGCAGCCCGATTCCCGTCCATTCGGAAAATCGATACAGGGAATCAGGAATCAGCCAAGGCTAGAGCACAGATTCATAATCCAGGATTTATCTTGCCTCTTCGCTTCACATTACCTCACATTATTGACGAATCATTATATCATCTCGACTGGGCGCCTTCCCGAGTGCACTGTAATATTGAGCAAAAGATCCTCAGCGCGTCAGCACAAGTTTGTAAGGCTAATGCTCCCTCGATTACTCCCTGCCCCATCCACTCTCTTATGAATATGACATTACTTCGAGCAATCCTTTCACGTTCGATGGAGAAAGCTATGTAATAGAGCTTAGAATGCATGGTGCACAGTGCACAACGTCCTTCATCCGATTGTCCCAAACCATGGCCGGCGTCGTATCTATCTAAAGAAATTTGTCATTTGACTACTTGCTTTTCTTATTTCTCCATTGTACAGTATATATTTCAGATGGTGTGCAGTCCGTACCTAGATCACAGGGCTATCTGCTGCATACGCCCCAGTCTATCACGTTCCTTACCTTTTATACAGAGAAAATATGTAAGCAGTGATCTCTTATCATCAGGCTTCAAGTTCTCGAAAATTTTCTGGAATGCTGATGATTCCTGCGACATAGACTTCATTGGTAGAACATATCTTTCATGCGCTTTCGCCGGTTTGAATTTGGAATTTACAAGACCACTGTCTGAGGTTAGGAGAACGGATGGACAGGTCATCGTCTGCAGCCCCAGCAAAACAGTGGCATTGGTAGTGCTGTGATGGATGCTCGATCAAGGGAGCCCCCTCAATCGCATCGATCAGGTATTAAACGTCATTGGGGTGACGATACGAAAATACCAGCACAAGGAGATGGGAGTGGTAATGGTTGGCATGGTGGAACATTACCACCAATTGAAGCTGTAGCATTTCCGCGACATCCAGTATCAGACAATCCAGACAACTGGCGGGTAAAGAGCGACCATTATACCCGGAATGGAGGAAATTCAGTAGTGAAAAGGTCGCGCTACGAAGGCAGTGATTACAATGGAGAGCCAAGGGTGGTTCCGGACGCGCTTGGGAAGATGCCCCCGTCACAGGCACATTGTAGGTGTCAAGGACAGTCTAGAAAGAACGCCACGTTTAATCACTAACTCAAGCCTTACTCTTTAGATCCAACTAAATATGATCATGATCGGACGATTCACAATACTTCCACTCTTGGGCAACATCCCCGGTTGACCGTAAATGATCCGGTGAACTCACCCCAAGATATGTCTAATATATGTCGTCAATGCAGGCGGCAGGTTGTGTTTGATCACGAATCTTTACCAGAATGCTGCGAGCATTGCCAGAAGAACCCTGAACTTGCCCTTGTTGCGCAGGCTTGCAGCATTGGGCTTACTCAGCTAGCGGAGACTCTCCGTTCGGGTATAGATTCCGAGAAGCGTGGTATCAATCCAGTAAGTATCAATAAAGCGCTTTGGTTTTGTTACCAATGGAGACTATTTTGTTCATACTTGTATGTGGTCCTTAGAATCGTGCTTACAGAATACTAGGCCCACTCAAAGCTACGCTTTCTTCCTTCTGGTGACCCACCTCCAATTATCGACTTTGGGCTGAAACAGACTCTCCACTGGATAGTCACCAAGATCAATAAGGTTAATGAGCTTGCCGATAAGTTTGTGCAACAGGTTCCTCCTAGTACCTCAAAAGCCTCTTTCAATAAGGATGTTCTCAATACGATCAATGGCGGGACCCAATACGGTTCTTTAGACATCATGAAACGACGTATCGATGATGACCACCAGAGATTTATGTTGAATAACCTGGATGGTTCTGATTCTAGAATGCACCAAAGGCGCAGGTCTGTAGCTAAATCAGTTAGCGAAGAACTTCCTCCTATCAGAACTCAATCTCCATATCACCATATCCCTTTGCCCGTCGACAACACGAGCGACAGGCTTCCAAGTATGAATCATCCACCTGGACCGGCTCGACAATTACCATCTCCACCAGGACGAGCTTTTCCGTCTCCGACGTCAGCCAATTTCTCACCTCCTTCGGAGTCGGCATCACATACGGGTTCGTCTGGGGCCCCGTCTCAGCCATTAAGCCTTCACGCTTCTAGCAACGTCCTACGCCCTATCACAAACGAGCAATTATCGGACAGTGCATTGCGCATGCATACAGCGGCGCTCCAACACGAGGTCTCCATACAAAAAATCGCGTTATCATCGCTGCAGGGCGAGCACGATAAGCTCCTTGCTGCTCTCTCACGCTCGCAAAGCCGAGCGAGCGCTCTTGAGAAAAAGCACCAGGTTTCCGACATCGAGATTTTCAGCCTCACTGAAGAGAAAGCGCGATTAAATGCCCAAGTTCTCGAATTAGAGGGAGATATCGAGGATCTTTCGAAAAGTAGGGATACCTACCGGCAAGCAGCGGTACAAGAAGGGGCACAGTACGTCGAGATTGTGAAGATGGCTAGTCAACTGGAAGAAAAGACTGGGGAAGAGAGAAAGAACTGGAACAAAATGAAACTTGAGATGGAAAGAAGGATTGAAGAATTAAGCACGGAGATCAAGACCCATATGCAAGACTCTAGCACAACCTCGCGCATGCCGGCAGGAATCGGAAGAAACATAACATCATTTAACGAGGACAATAAACATGAAGGATTGACTGGTATTACATCAGTAGAACCGACCAGCAGCAGGCAGCTGGGTGCAAAAGACGACCTGGTAGATGCTCTTAGAGCAGAGATCGAGCGCCTGCGAGAGCGTTGCGAAGAAGTTGAAGCCGTCTTGAGAGCGGTAAGGCAAGAAAGTCGATTAATGGAAAGTATCGTTGAAGCGTTGGGCAGAACTGGAAGAGATATTCTACAAAAGGTTGAAAGTGTGTCTCTAAGTCCTAAAATACATCCCGAATCGCAATCGAGCCTACGACCCGAGCTAGACGAGGAGCGCGTATTACTGGAAGAATAAACCCTTACACGATATACAATATAGGATGTCGTTGTGTATGATGTGTCTGCCTACGCAGGAACGGGGCGGATGATAGCACCTAGTCATTGCAGGAGTAGAGGAGGTTTCGTTCAAAGACATGAGTGTTCGGGTGGTGTTGTGGATTTGTGCATGGAAAGATCTAGGCGATTCACTGTGTCCTTATAGAAGAAACTTTCCCAGGATTATTAGATATATTCGATCTAGATGTTAAATGATGGTTTTGATATTCGGCAATCATCAAGTCGACAAGTAACGTAGCCTACGTGGATATAGAAGATTCGGGAATTACATTGTATCGGATGTATCTGTCGTAGAGAAGTTCTAAAGATTTGTTCGAATATAAATATCTGACTAATAAGACTTTTTCTACTGCTTATTCATTCGATATAGCCACCTACGAGTAATGAAATATAATCAAGTATTATAAGCCTCAACATTATATATAAGTTTCATTATGGAGATACAATCCTTGATATTCTGTTGGTCAATGTTACCTCTGAGCCCCGTTTTTACTGCCACCAGTTAAATCATCAAAGCCCTGGTTTCCGCGACGACTCTCCTACAAATCTGTAACCTCACGACTCCTCATTGTCCCATGTTCCTTAGTTCTCTGCCATTAAACGTTCGTCACTGAGCCTCAAGACATGGATGTATAGTGACTCCATGACAAGGATTCGAAACGCCAGTGAATTACCTCTGTCTCATATATTTTAGGGTTTTAGGGTTTTAGGGAGTGCGTCGCTCGTCGTAAGTTTCGACTTACTTCTCTTCTTTCTTTCTACATTTCATACGTTGTTTTTGTTTTTGCATTTTTCAAGAATTGTGCTACTGCTCGCCGTCTGTTGACCGGATTGAATTCTTCACCCTCGAATTGATTAGCAATCAATCGTTCGCACTTTTGGTAAACGATAGTCCTCAAGTCGAATCCATCATAAAGCGCTTTTCTGAAGCTTGCGTCACTCCAACTTGTCGATTTAAGTCTCGTTCTGATTCCTGAACCTCATCCATACTTCGAAGCTCCTAAATATCCACCAGCAGCACAACAAGCGAAATGGGACAAGCGTTTTCAGGCCCTAACGCCTTCAAGTGGCTGGGATTCACGCCCAAAGCTACGGCTGTTCTACAAGCAGATCCTTTTCTCTTCGTCCAATTGATTCTAGTGCTGGTTGGATTGTCCGTGTTGGTTGGTATTGCTTGGTGGATTCATTACGAAACAAACAAACCGTATGCGAAGCCGAAGGTTAAAAAGGATGCGAAGAAGTAACCTGGGAATGAATGGCCATTAGGTGTGACGAATGATGGACTGAAGAGGCTTTATGTGACCGGAGAGGCCTTATAGGTTTCTGCAAACTTGAAAGTGTGGCGAGGATGTGCCGAATGGAGCGAGGAAATTCGAAGCGATGTGCTGGGCACAGGATGGATATGATATCTGAGTTGGGAATAATGAGTGGTTTGATTCGAATTACAGAAGTTTTGGATGTTGGTGGATGGAGAATAACGCGTGTATGTTTGGGATTGACTGGATGGTGGTAAGAACATAGAGGTTCTATCCTGGCGACATGTGTTTGTTTACAAGATTTGCTTCGGGAGTGTTTGGGATTTGTGTCTTGTTTCTGCTTTTTTCACCTCGCTTCTGACATGTAATTTGAAATAAACAATCACTGCATTTCTAAAATTAATTGACTTTCTATACTTACGCCCTCAGATGGTACGTCCGAGCCCCCAAGATTCAATGATGATGCGACATGTCAGCATCTCATCCACCCGACTAGGATAGAATCATAAGATGTGTTGTAGTATCTCAACATCAAAGTTGAAAAGTGTATATATTACATATCCATTGTCAACTAAACTTACAACCCTCACTTCAATCTTCGCCTGGAATTGATGATGTGGTCGATTCTCATTGTTGTAGAACAAATAAACCATTGTGTTTCCACCTCTGCCCTTCAGCAAAGAGTTGTTTTTTTTCAATGTAAGAAAGTCTCATGTTTACGTGATATCCTCCCAAGAGACATTTTTTGTGCTGTTTAGGGATGTGACAATCATCACCATATCTCGAAAGCATCGTTGAAACTTGGCTAGTCCGTCAAGCATAATACCATGATGGAGACGACAGATCCGTAAAGTGAGGTGTCAAAGCAGATTGGTACATTATTGGTAGGATAACACCTGTAGCCTTTACAGTCACGTTTCGTGAGTTACAACAACGTTTGTGGTTGCAAAAACTATTTACCCTTTTAATGGTCAAAAGTATTTTTTCAACAAAACGCTGGACACAATACATGGTTATCGCTGTTTCAATCTGCCAAGCCAACCTATGGACGTGTCAAATCCTCTGTGTTACGACAGTCTCGGTACTATATCCACAGTATTCCTCACATGCGGCTCTCCCTTCCCATGTTCACACCATCTGCCCACGGTATCTCTCCCCTCAACCATCTTCGCCCTACATTCCTCTCACTAATATCTCTCGCTATAATTCTGAGGGGCATCTCTAAAAGCTCCCTCGTCTCTCGGCGCTTCTCCAATTCTGCATGGATACGCTTTTGCATGCGCTCCATTCTTTCTCCCTCCCATGTCAGATCTTGCAGCCGTTTCTCCAGTAATTGCATTCTTTTGTATGTCAATCGTTCCTTCTTGCCCCAAACCGAAGCCTCGACGGATACATAACTGCCATCGAGTCTTGGTAGAAGTGCGGCCAACATATTGAATTCGTGCAGGCCAGCGGAGTAAGCAGACTGCAAAGAGCGTGATTGCTTCTGAGAATATTCTAATTCCAGGCTCAAACGAGAAGTCGATTTTATAGATTGGTTCTCTTTTGGAGGCAAGGGAACAATGCTTGTATCGTATCCATATGGCCGATCATAACACTCGTCGAGACATGGCTGGGTGAAATAATCAGCGGGGAACGTGCGTGAGATATATCTCCTTTTTCTGGTCGGTTGAGCCGTTGCAAACTGAGGAACATTATCTGGAGTCTCCCATATTTCAGACCTGAAATGACCACGATCTTTGTGTCCCATAATTTTATTGTCGGTGGCTGGCTGTTGGAGTTTGAATATGAGATTGGCGACATTGCAATACTCTTTCTGTCCAAAATTGTGTGAAATTGGCGTGGGATTATAGATGATCGCGGAAGTCGTGGGCAGTGTGTTGGATGGAGGTACATTGCTGAAGGGCTTTTCTGGAAGGGAGCGACTACCAGACTTCACGGTTATGCTCTGAAGTTCGCATGCTGAATTGCCTGTAGCCGAGATGTTTCTTGGAAGGCCGAGCGGATATTCATCCCCTACAGAATATGGTGGCGGAGGCACTGATGGAGGCGGACTATCATCGTTATTTAAAAGTAGTATAGGCATTTTCGGGTCCGGACTTCGTGAACCTCGGATGAGTGTTCTCACATCAAATTCGTGCTTCTCCAACATGATGATATGGTGCCAACAATCTCCCAAACCTTTCTGGGCCTCTGGTACTATCGAGAGAGAAGATTGTACGACCTTTTCGAAGGTGATAGTGATGGTCGATGAACTTATATTAGGCCCAAAGTATTTTGAATGTGTATACTGCTGTCGTTCTATGTAATAAGATAACCAATGATGAGATTAAATGATATAAAAACGCTGATTCTCCGATCAAGTTTGACAGAGATAGATGTGAAAAGGCAGGTATTTGGAGTCAAATGAGAGAAAGCTAAGATGATAGTTGTAAGGATATACATACAATGAGGTTTGCTGGACAATTGGTAACATGCCAAAACCTTCCTGGTAAGAAGAAGGCACTCAGGACAAGAAAATTGTAGAATGCATAGTATTAAGATGCCAGGTCTGCTCTGTGATTTGAGAATTTTTTATTTGAAGCAAGAGCGACTCTGCTTCCTATTATCCCCAGTTGATTATGGAGACATTGATTGCAAGTATTATGTAGGAATAATACCGAGGAATTGAAATCGTAATTCTTTTATACATGGTAAGGGAAAGCTATCTGCCCTCCTCTTGATATTTTCTTATCGTAACCAGTTGTTTGAGGCTATAAATATAAAAAATCATGGCCTCAGTATATATTACTACTTATTCACTTGCTGGCTGAGCCCTTCCTCTTGTCGCCCTTAATAGCAGTGGCTACTTTCTTCTCCGTTTTGACGAAGACCGGCCCAGTAGAGAAGATATTAGGTAAGAACTTGCCAACTCGGGCTTGGTATTGCTGATAATCTGGGTATTTCTTGGTGGTTATGAGCTCAGTGAACCAAGTTGAGCCCTGGAAGAGAACCAAGTACGACATGGCACCGACGAATGTCCAGTTGAACACTACTTCGCTGGTCCAGCAGCCCCACACGTATAGAACAACCCATATAGTTTGTTCGGCGGCGAAGTTTGGATGCCTGCTCAAGGACCAGAGACCAGAGGTAACGAAACCACGGTCGAGTGATTCTTGGTCAAATCCTCCTTGTACTTTAGCGGTCTTCAAATATTGTTGCTTGGCGGTTTGATAGTCTGATTTTGAAATGTATTAGCTATGCGCAGAAAGAGGTAGCTGTAATCACATACTCCATTGTTGCCCATCCGCAAAATACTCAAGCACCACAAGAGTCACAAGACCTCTAGAAAATATCAAATCTGCCGTCGTCCATGGCGCTCCGTGCCGTGCAGCTAAGAGCATAACATATGATGGGGTTGCGACTAAGAAGAGCAGAATGCTTTGCGCAAGTGATATGAAGGTGACATTAAAGACGAAGAAGAGTGGTGGGGGGATGTTATTACGAAGGACCTCCCTTGACAGCAGTGGTTAGCAAGTATATGAGCGAGCCTATGGCCGAGGAAAACTTACCAGCGGTAGTCTTCAGATCCGATGTTATATCCACCTTTCCTCCAATAATTGAAAGTTAAGCGCAACTGCAGTGTGTCAAAACCAAGTGAGTACATCAAGAGGCATACTACATACACTCCATATTGTGCTAAAAGCTAGAACGTTGTCTAGTCGCCCAGTCGATAGACCATATAGATGTGCATAGATGGTAAAATGGGCATTGTATATGGTAGGTAAAATGCTCCAGCATCTGTCGACCTGAGAATAATTTTTGTTGACTTCTGAAACCAACAAGAACACAGGTGCTAAGAATAACGAAAATGCAAAGGCAGATATGAGCGGATTCGTAGCTAGGTAGAGATTTCGAAGCTCGGTAGAATTGGAATATGATTGAAGGATTTGCTGGGGAAGGTCGTACAACTGTGGTAGATATGGCAAGACTGTCTTTGTGATGTTCGAGCAATCCTCGATTGTTTTAATGACTGGCAAAGCCATCCTTGTGGCGAGTTTATCTTCGCTTTGCTCCAAATCGGAGAAGTAGTGATAGTCAAGGGAATTGAGCCAATTTAATATATCTTCAAGAAAGATTGACTTGAGAAGGAAAAGAAGGAACAGAATCAAGAGAATTGAAGAGAGTTAAAAGAGCTGAAAAATGGTTGAAGTAAAGCTTGGTGCTAATAAATAAATCAATGACCATGACACTGACATCGATTTCCATTTAGCGGGGACCTTACCTAATTATCGGCTTGACATAAAAGAAGGTACCGAGCGAGTACATACAAGTACTTTACTTTGTACAACCAACCAATCATTGAGTCTATTCTTGCCGACGAAGTTTCATAAACTGCATAATAAATGTACAAACAACTGCACAAAATTGTTTTCCTACTTATCTTTTTAATTTATCTTCACCGGCAAGTACAAACAAGGCTACGTACGAGGCTATCATATAAAATCTTGTCAACTGAAGGAACAACAAGAATATCATTTCTACATACCTAATCTCTACTTTAGTAATACAATTTTCTTGTAAATACATACTACTACTACGCAGTAATTTATGCTACGCTTTCGAATCTATCTCACAAAAGACATATTCTACAAAGTTGGGTGACAAACTATGTTCCTTGGATCAAGACGTTCATTTGTTTGCACCATAGATGCACCGTAGAAGGACGTATAAGGTTATAGACTTATTGTTTCCCAAGGCGTTCCAGGGTTAGGGAATGGTAATAGAACATACTTGAATCTGTCGTCAAGATGGCTCCGAAGATCCTTTGTGTTGCAGAGAAACCCTCTATTGCAAAAGCTGTAGCTAATCATTTAGCAGGAGGTAATGCTCAAGCTGTAAGTCAGTCACCAGTTCAGATTTACGATATTAGCTAATAATCAAATCAAGTCAAATACTCTCAACAAGTACATCAAGAATTACACATTCACCTTCGATTTTGGTGGACAATGGGGTAATTGTAATGCAGTCATGACCTCTGTATCAGGGCATCTTACCTCTCTTGATGTTGCCCCATCTCACAGGAGTTGGACTGATCCTCCACCTAAATCTCTCTTTTTTGAAGCGCCGGTCATCGAATCTGTTGTTGAAGTATTTTTTTCATTATTTCGTTTGTTCGAGTCTTTTCCACTGATACCTTTGTGTAGGATAAGAAAGTGATTGCACAGAACATTGAGTCTCAAGCAAGAGGTGCCAGGGCTCTTTTCATATGGACTGATTGTGATCGGGAAGGGGAGCATATTGGCGGCGAAGTGCGAGACCAGGCACTAAAAGGTAACCCACGAATTGAGGTTAAGAGAGCAAGGTTCAGTAACATTGAGCGGGCGTACGTACATCCGCGCTTTTCGGATTCGAGTTGCTGCTAACTGCAATAGGCATGTGATCCAGGCAGCTAAGCATCCTGTCGACCTAGATCAACGTCAAGTAGATGCCGTAGCTGCTCGTATAGAACTTGATTTAAGAATTGGCTATGCGTTCACACGCTTTCAGACGACCAATCTTCAAAAGTTAGGAGGACCATTGGCAAACAAAATGCTGAGCTATGGTAATTACTTTCATTCCTGTCGTCACAAGGGACTTATATACTAATGCCGTTTTAGGTTCGTGTCAATTTCCCACACTTGGTTTCGTCGTTGATCGGTATTTCAAGGTGAAGAACTTCGTGCCTGAACCATTCTGGAGCATCAAGGTTACGCACAGCCGGGAAGCTATGAATGTGATCTTCAACTGGAAGCGCAATCGTCTATTTGACCGAGCGGTTGTCATCATACTGTTTGAAAGGTGTCTTGCTGCGAAGATTGCCAAAGTCACCAAGGTACAGGAGAAGCCAACGAAAAAGTGGAAGCCACTTCCTTTAACTACAGTTGAGCTACAGAAAGCGGCTAGTCGCTGGTTGCATATGAACAGTCAGACGGCGATGACTGCAGCTGAGAGCCTCTACAATAAAGGATTCATTAGTTATCCTAGAACTGAGACTGATCGCTTCGATAAAGGGATGAACTTGAGAGCTTTGGTGGAGAAACAAATCCAAGACAACCGTTGGGGTCAGTTTGCTCAAAATCTCATCAATGGAGGCTTTCGCTGGCCTCGGGATGGTCGGAACGATGATAAAGCACATCCGCCTATTCATCCTGTCATATACGTTGCTCCGGCTGCTTTGAAACCGGAAGAGGCAAGAATTTATGAATTTGTCGTCCGAAGATTTCTAGCCTGTTGCTCAGAAGATGCTAAAGGGCAGGCAACCGACGTGGAGCTTGAATATGGAGACGAAATATTTTACACGCACGGATTAGTTGTGTTAGAGAAGAACTATCTAGATGTCTACGTTTACGAGAGATGGAATAGTAGTACGCCATTGCCAAAATTTACTCTTGGGGAGAGTTTTGAACCTGATGAGGCTATGATCACGGATGGGAAGACAACAGCCCCGGGATATCTAACGGAGCCTGATCTCATCGCTCTAATGGACGCAAACGGAATAGGTACCGATGCAACTATGGCTGAGCATATTGCTAAAATCAAAGATCGTGAATATGTATTCACGCGGCCTAAGGCGGGCGGGGCTGTTGCTGGCAGCTGTGACGGCGACACGCCAGCTGCAGGTCGAGGAGGACGTGGCGGGCGTGGTGGAAGAGGGGAGGTGGGAGGGGAGATAGGAGGCGCTGCCGCTGATGTGGGAGGTAGAGGTGGAGTTGAAGAGTTTATTCCGACCACACTGGGGGTTGCCCTGGTGGAAGGCTATGATAACATGGAATTCGAAGTCAGTCTCAGCAAACCATTCCTGCGAAAAGAGATGGAGCTCAAGATGAAGGCTATATGCGAAGGTCAGAAGACACGTCGTGACGTTGTCCGCGAAAGTCTAACACAATACCAACGAGTGTTCCTCGACTCCACAGAGAGGTTAGCTGTCTTGAAAGCAGTAAGTGAAGTCACTGACTTCTTTCACACGTTCCCACGATCATTACGACCTCTAACACACATTGTCGTTAGGCATGCAGAAAATATGTGCTTAACGATGGAGCGGGCCGTTAGCAATACCCACTTGATCTGGCTGGTTGGCTGTTTGCAAATTACTGCATGAATGTTTGGTGTTCTTGCCCCATCAAGGTACCAGGCCGGTCTCCGGTGCTGCCTCGGTTTAACATTAAGGATTGGGCATGAAATATCACGAAGGAAGAAATGTGCAGAGTGCAAGCTCCCGAATTGCCCAAGGATGTTGGACATTTGACCATTCCATGAGGCCCGTATTAATTTTTATTGTTTTTCAATTCCGTCCCCAAAGTCCGATTTTCGGTAAACCAACTTGACAAGATTGTACCAGTTCGTTATCTGCACTTCCCTGGATCATGTGGCTTTCTTGGGGAAGCAGCACGAAGCAGCACGATAGAGATCGAGTGGTTGATGACGGAAGTATGAAACTGGCATTAATGGTCAAGATTTCCGAATCGAAGGAAAGAAGTCAAGGTTTGGCCGGTTTCGCAGTTTTCGTCTGGCTCATCCGGGTAAAGTTCACGGAAGCGTTAAATCGTTATCAAGGCAAGATTGTGGAACGTGGGGGATGGTAGTGGCCCTTACAGCACGAAATAGCGAGCGTTTTTAGTACCGTACAGGAGCGAAGTGGGTCAATCACCAACTCCTATTCTATCACTAGCAAACTCGGTTTACGAGGAAAAGGCTTCGCATTATTACCAATGGTTATAATGTGTCTGCTGATCAGGGACTGGTGTTGGCCAAGAATCCAATGAGGAAGATTTGAAAGCAACGTGAATGTCTTTAGGTTCAATTGTGCTTTTAGAAGGGTACCAAGATTTACATACTAAGGAACGGTCGGATGGTCCCCCAACGTCCTTAGTTGGTGAATATATCCGAGGCAAGCGGAAAGTAGTGGAAGATTATTTATGAATGTATTATTTAGATCTTCTAAAGTTCTAAAGTATGTGTGAAGAGTGCGTAGGACGGACACTTGTGGAAAGTCCGTCGATCACTGAACATATTATATTAGGGCTTTTTAAGGTTCGGATGACAGGCACGATAGGGTTTAGATAGAAAGATAGCCTAGATAACTACCACAAATTGATATGCAAATATGTAAATATTAAACCGATAAATTCCTGTATCCTCTGCAGATAGATAGATATCCTTTGTTATTTACTGTTGCACGACGTTTGATAATGATATGAGTTAAGGCGAATTTCTTTTTCAGAATGTGGCTTGTTGATTTCTAGTTTCTAGTTTCTACAATGATTATGAGAGTAGTCCCTACTTAGGTAGGTTTAAGCCAGTATGACGTTGGAAGAGAAAGCCAGAGAGATATAGATGGATGTGGGAAGACTCTTCCTCGATTCTCGGATTTTCTTGGTTGCTCAAATGAGCAGGCGACATGGCTAAAATAGGTGTGCATGAATAAGATATGATCTTAGCAACTAACTCAGCTCAGCATTACCCGAGCACCTGTGCGAACAAGTCTATCCTTTGAGGGAAAATAATAAATACAAATAAGAAGGCTGAACTCCAAATGATGATGATATCCGGGGTTTTCCATGTTGGTGATCTATATGTGTGGTGGTATGTGTGGTATGTATGTGTGGTATGTATGTGTGGTATGTATGTGTGGTATGTGTGGTATGTGTGGTATGTGTGGTATGTGTTTTGAGTGAAATGTATTCGGTATAAATAATTGTTCATGTTTTTGATTTATTCATTCATCAACGGCTGGATAAATAAATACTATCCAAGTACTATAACTTATAACCAACCTATCTAGGGAGCAGTAGTAGAACAAGTCATTGATAGTGAGTAACTAAGAATACCCATCTAAGAATATCTAGGTAATAAATACTCTGTAGTTACAAATAAGTATGGATGAAACCAAGTAGCCAACCTTATTTTTCAACATTTCAACAGAGTCAGAAGTGAAACTGATTTAACATCTTAACAAAAAGTAATTGCATAACTCTTAGTATCTACCACCGAACCTACCCATCTACCCACCATCTACCTATCTATCCAATACACAACAACACGCACGCACACTCACTGCATCTGCCACGCCTAGATTCCCCAATTTGATGGTTTTACTACAATCACTAACCAGGGTACCATGTAAGACAATCCGGTCTATTCCCTTTCACTGATCCATCCCTTGGATAGGTGAACAGGTGAAAACACCGTAGAAGGTTGCGCACAAACGGCAAAACCAACCCAAGGGATGGACCCAAGGAAGGACCCAAAGAACCCAAAGAACCCCAAGAACCCCAAGGAAGGAGAACAAAAGACTAAAGAGTAGCCCTAAATAGTAACAGCTATCAGAGAGAGAGATATATATTTTTATCTATATTTATATAGTCGATATAATTAATTTCATTATTCCATTATTCCATTATTCCCTTTTTTGTTCCCTTATCAACAAAACTCCTAAACCTTTCATTCGATATATTCCATCTTTCTTTCCTCGAAACAAAGTCGCTACTTTCCTCTCTACTTTATTGCTCAAAACTTACCAAATCATCTTCTCATTCTTTCCAATCGCAGCAGAGCAGTCAGTGTTGGTTTGCTCATCCCTTTTAACTTCTACTTCCACTTACTTCAGCTGCTTCCTTCCTGGACCCGATCGCAACTAGCCCAGTTATCTTGTCTTGACGCCCACCATCACCATCACCATCACCATCACCATCGCTATTACCATTACCATTGCTATTACTTTACATCTTCAACAACACCTTCGTTGGTTTTTTTACGACGAGGTCCTAATTCGCCCAGTTCGCTTTTTTGACACACGATCAAACAGTTGCTTCGTACTACGTTGCCAATTTATTGAACTCGCTCATAACCTCTCTATCGCAATCGAACTGAGTCAGCCCGTCAAGGTGTTGTTGGATTCTTGTGAGTCACTGAATTCAATCCAAACGCAATTTGCTTTTCGTGGAAATTTAAATACTGATTTTTGGCCGCGCATCTATAGAGAAGTAAATCCACTGACCCATTAACCAAAATGGCTTCCGCTGCTCCCTCTGCTCGCAGAATCCCATCGACATTCGGTCGAGACAGCTTGACTGCTGTAGCGGCTCGAAGTGTTCCCGCCACCAATGGTCATACTCTTCCAACTCCTCCGAATTCTATTTCTCCCAATCTGCCTCCGCATGTTATCAAATCGCTGGGTACCCGTTCGCCGCTCCCTCAGCTCAATCTGGAGCATGTTGATTCCGACCTAGATTTACAAGATGGGAGTGGAAATGAAGGAACTTCAGATGTCGGATCGCCGGGGTTGGATACTACCGGTGCTATTACCCCTAGTCTATTGGCTAAGCACCACCTTCCCGAAATTCTATTGGATCATGGCCCACTTGCTATTCGCCACATCATGGGCTACCTCACCACTTCAGTCCCCGGCTTTTCTGGCATTCCTCCCGCGAAGGCTAGAAGACTCGTGGTGGGTGCTCTCGAAGGACGTGGAAATGGCGGTGAGCCCGGCGGTGTAAAGGGAAATGTGTTGTTCGAGAAAGTGGGTTGGGGCCGCTGGGACGCGAGACTGAAGGGACACCCCGCGAGAATGGGTCGAGCCTTTGGAAATTCACCATCGCCGAGTTTACCTGATTCCTATCCCGTGGGGATGCCAATCGCCAACAAGCAAGGATGGTCGTTCACGCGGACACGTCTCAATGAACCGGGCTCAAGTTGGGCCGGTGATTCGGCTTTTTTCTCTCATGGTGACGACGTCTCGATGCCTGATGAGGCTGACAAGATGTCTTTGGACGGTGATGAGTCCGGTTCTTCCCCATCTGAGCAAGGAGAAGACGTAATGATGGAGGATGACGATCCAAATGACGTGACGGATGAGGAGGATTGGGCCGCCGTTGGAGCCGCGGCACTGCGAGCAGCTTCCTATTCAAACTCTGGACCGCTTACATCTGGACCACTTCCACAAATTTTCAATTCTCATGTATATAGGGGAGGTTTCCGCCCAAGTGTTGGTCATTCCGTTCCAGCACCAGCACGAACCCACACGCCCAACGGTTTCACAGCTTTGAATATGGCTTCCGCGGATTCTCAAGAACGGGAGGCCATAGAAGCACTTTTACGACTTGGTTCTGTATAAATTTCAGCATGGAGTTTGGGATGGTTGCATATGGTGGGGATTAGCGTGAACCAATTGCCGGCGAGCATTGATTGAATTGGTTTTATTTTCAGCACGCGAAACGATGATCGGAAGGATGTCGAAATGGGAATTGGGATATGCCCCCTCGCATCAGCGAGTATGGGAGCATGGCGTTTTTGACATTTTCGATGGGATAGTGGACGATGTCCTTGAGCCTGTGCTAATCCTCGTGCGCTCGGTATCTCCACTTCTACACAAGCTTTACTTTTGCACATACGTATTTTTTTATATTCAACAACTGCTCCACTAACTTCACCGGCGCCATTTTAACTACGACGATCACGAAAAATTATTCAACATTCACATCTTCATCGTAACAACATCAACGGATGAGAAAAAAAAACTCTTCACTCAGATCAACATGAATATGGTTTTATTAACTTTATACTTTCGCAACATTATCATCTTTAATATACCCTTGGCGACGCGATTTGAATGGATGCGAGAGATGGCTGGGGTCATCATTTTGGAAGGAGAAACCTACGAGGTGCAGGCTGGAGAGAGAAAGGTTCTTTTAGAGGGCACAGTGGAAATGACGTTCCAGCTTAGGAGTTACTTTTGAGCGCTTAGCTGCAGTCTCGAGATAAGAACTTAATGCATGGAGTTTTTTCGCACTCTAACCGATTGCTTTTTTATTTTTCGTGATCTTATTGATATCGGCTACGTGAAATAGGATAAGATGAGGTATGGATGAGCTACAATGGTGGCTCTGTACGCACCGGTTCACCGGGAAACCAGGGATAAGTCTGAAGTTTCGAAAGCTGGAATGGATAGATGGTGTGTGTAAGTATGAAGAACGGTTGCCAACCGCATTTGGCGTAATCTGATGACACAGTTCTTGTGCCAAAGCACCTGGCCGATATTCTCGATTTATTTTGCAAATCATTGACAATTCCTTTAAAGATGTTTTTATGGTGCATTGCTAGATTTTAATCTCAATCTTCTTGATGCGGAATGGAAGGACTGTAGAGGGATCACACTTCTTCCCATTTCCCCTTTCCACTTACAAACTCCATTACTACGATTACTTTCTTCCGGTGAGGTGAAAGGCAAAATCCAGCCCACCATCATCCACACTTGAAGTATAAATGATAACTCACAGGACAGGCAACGTCCGTCTATCTAGGTAAAATGTCAAACTTCTGACCCACTATCCTCTCAGTGAGTTCTCATAATCTAGTTTGGTTACCTACTCCGAATGCGTAACCCTGAGATACAAGCCCGAGAGCACTTCAAGTGGTCAGTCCCGTGTCGTTGGATGGTGGATGGATCCAAAGCTGCAACTAAGATAGTGTGGGACGTCCTTCTTGGAGAGTTTTCGGTGGTCCAGAAGTAGATGAGTTGGATATGACTGCTGACAAATTGCAATACAAATCCATCCCCAGTTGTCTGACAGGTTAGGATGGTCATCACCGCCGCATTATTGATCATGATATCAATAATTTAGACGAGGCTAATGATTAATGTTCAGCCCCTCTAACTAAATTTTGAGAAGCGAGATTAACACGTATAAAATGTGTCATGATAGATTGATTTAGGGCATGGATTGCTTCGATAAGGGGAAGAATCTTTGACTCTGAACGCCCGGCGAGGGTTATGATAAAAGGTAAAGCATGCGCAAGTGATATTGCTGTCTCTGCGCCGATGCTACTAACCGTGGGACCCGCCATAAGTATTGTTTTCCCGGCCACAGGGGAAGAGAAGTTGTTGAACTTCCGAAATGCCAGTGCTAGATTGGGAAAATATTGACATTTTTGCTCAAGTGTTAGAGAGTGTATAGTAAGTAGGAATAGGACTGATATATGTGTAACTTTACCTGATAAAACACTCCTACTCGTGACAGAGTGCTATACTAATGGTGGTACGAAAGAGAAGCGGTCCTCGTATACTTATCTTGATAACGCGTAATTCTTGGCATCGATATGATTGCAACAGTGAAGTGTGATGATGAATAATCGAATATGGCTTCAACTTTGGTTGCTGACCTACAGAAGAAGAACATGCTGACTATCACTTCCAAATGAAAAGCAGAAGTTCAACAATATCACACCCCGGCTGGCATCAAGCAATTCAAAGAATATATAATCACCGAGGAAGATAAGAGAAGAAGAAAGAGGCTAATGTTGCCTGGCACGTGACAGCTGGCCACGAAGAGGTGGGACAAAGCGCACCGACGCCATATGTGCACACCCCTTCTTCGGAAACTTAGTCTTTCCAAGCAACATCTCTTTTCTTCTCCTTCGCATCTCAAAAATAAGTTCTACGGAACTAGTGTTGAGGTGTATGAATATCATGTTCAATACCCTCAATCGCGAGGAAGATAAATGGAATAGCGAGTTTCAGATGAAGCCATGGAACAAAATCACTCATCTACTCGAGTATGGTATTTAAACTAGTATTCATGGCTTATCTAGTACAATCAATGCTCGTTTCGTTCGTTCGGTTTCAATTGTACAAGTGTACACCTTAGTTTATTATTATACATATTGACCAATTTCTACTGTACAAATGTGCGAAGAGCTTTGGCTGAAATTGTTTTTAAGTTCCATTAGAACTAGTGTTTCAAGATTTTCCATAGATGATAGAGCATGACTCCATGCTGAACACTTTAATACTAACAATCTTTTGGAAAACATTAAGTTCTAGGTTTTCCCCGCTGGCAACTGATAAGTACCGTCATTGTAATTGCCGCTGTCACTGCAGTATGTATTGCACTGGTTAGCAGCGTAGTATTTCCAAATACCCAGGATGAGGCAATATATGACTCGCACACTTCTACCCACATGTTCAGTGACCTCAGACTATGGTATTTTGTTGCATTCTGAGGGTTAAGTTCTTCTGTATGGATGTACACCTTCTGCATTACGATCGTTCATATATATATGTGTGTGTCATAATCGGCACGTGTTGAGTAAGGAGTTGATCATTTGTGTTGGGACGCAATGAGTCCGTTTTAGTAACCAGGCCCGGCACTGACATGTCGTGCATTAGTGGGGGCTGTTAGTTCCAATTTCGCAAGTGCCGGAAGTTACTCACAATGTCCAAGCTCTTGATTCTGCTCATCTCGTCTGCTAAATTATGGGACGTCCGTTGATTTGACACTACGGTGTTCAAAATATAAGTTGAAGAGACTTGGTGCGCCGGTAGGAAATTAGCTTTCGCCTAAGTGGAGACTGGCTCGTCTTTCCTCCGACCTTGTAAGAAGAGTATTCGAGAACTCCTTATATCCTCCTTGGAGCCGAACTCCTCAGCTCAGACGCCAACTTTAGGGGAACGGTGAGTGGCGGTTTTAAATTGGATGATCGACAGCACTAAGGTTCCTCAAGCCTTGATGGATTAGCTAGTTATGACTGACAAGAATTGCTGCAATGGTCCAGTGCTGAAGTTGTCATATCCGTCAAGACTCTTCAGACTTTCACCAGCTACCACAACTATCGCACATTTTTCGAAGACTTCATTTTGAGATTGTATAAACACAAACTTGCATTATGATGGATATCGAAAAGCGAACTGGATCGGTGGCTACATCAAACCTTAGTGAGGCATCATTATCTATAGGAGCGGATTCAATTTCACACATACTTCAAAAACTCGACGACCTAGGCCTTCAATTATCGGATGATAACATTATTAAGTGGCTGCCGGATAATCGAAATCACCCTCGGAATTGGCCTTTGAAACACAAATTGACCAATACTGCTTGCATTTTCTTGCTTGATACAATCAGGTGTGTGATTCCATGCATAGATACTTGGAATGTAAATCAAGTCATAGACCTGCTGGGTATTTACTAAACCCAACGAAGTGCTATTATAGAATCAGGAGGTGTTCGTTCCCCCAATTCTTCTTCACAATAAATACTAAGGTTTTCAACAGTTGATCGCGGCTACACCAGCAGCTACAGAATATGGTATTTCTCAAACGCAGTCACTCGTTGCATTTTCCCTCATGTAAGCATGCACCAGTTGTGTGTAGTCCCAAAGTATCTTCTCATCTGGTTTGTGTAGGTACGGAATAGGTGAAGCCTTGGGGAGCATTGTCTTTCCGCCATATTCAGAAGCTTTCGGAAGAAAACCGGTACTCATATGTGCTGCCCTCTTGTTACCAGTTAGTTGCTTGGTTACTGGACTTGTGCCTTCCATTGCAGGAGCATATATCGGACGATTTATCATGGGTGCGGCCTCATCTGTTCCTGCTACCGTTATTGTGGGCAGTTTGGAGGATATGTGGAAGCCCCCAACCCAAGGCCATGCCATCTACGCGTGGGTCCTGTCAGCGGGGCTGGGGGTCGCTTTAGGGTAAGTGAAATTGGACACCCTCTTGCAGATCTGCAAAGAAGCATTATTGAAGTGCAGAGATACCGGGAACAACAACTAAGTAAACAAACAGGCCAATATATGGAACTTACATCACCAAAGCACTTGATTGGTAAGTTAATCTCCCGTTCATACACCCAAAACTTTCGTGTAGTACACGCTGTAACTAATACAAGCTCCAAATATAGGCGGTGGTTGTATCATATTGGTGCTATCATTTCTTTCTGTGTATTTGTCCTCCTCCTAGGCGGTATCTCCGAAACCCGCCCCAGTAAACTGCTTGGAAACCATGTCATCGCTGTGCAATCATACGCAGGAGTACTCAAACTCGGCACACAAACAGCAGAAGATCATGTTCCTAATTTCCGTACTTTCTGCCAGAGTGCCATTATTCAGCCAGCAAGACTATTCTTTCAGGAACCCATCATCTTTACGATGGCAACCCTAGCGGCCATAGCATTCTCCTTATTATTTCTTTTCACTGAAGCCTTAGATGTTGTATTCAAACCGTATGAATTTACCCAAACTTCATACTCATTAGCATTCACTGCATACGCTATAGGAATGATTTGTGGTATTCCAGTCAGATTGATAGAATTCCGTCATCTTGAGAAGCGTGCCGAAACGGAGCAGCTTGAACCTGAAGACAAAATACTTGGCTTTGCTACCGGAGCGTCTGCTTTGGCGGCCGGCCTTTGGCTCATGGCTTGGACTACTCCACCTTTGGTTCACGGTATTGACTGGGTTGTACCGATGATAGGGTTAGCAGGTGCTGGATTTGCAAATAACGAAATTGAGTACGCGCTTGGGAACTATTTAACGGATGTAAGCCAATGTACTCTTGCCTTTTCCTCTTTACCCAGACTGATAAACACAGACATACACAGTCTACGCATCTTCGGCCTTCGCCGCATATTCGACTCTACGAGCTTTACTTTGTGGCATATTCCCTCTATTCGCAGACCAGATGTACAATGGTTTGGGTTCGAATGTCGCCGGTTCTATACTAGCAGGGATTGCTACTTTGTGGCTTATTAGTCCTTACATCTTCAAAAAGTATGGAAAGAAATTGCGGGCGAAGGGAAGGTTCGCAAAATTTAGTCTTGATGCTGGCCAATGTTCTCGGCAAGCGGAGGTCGACATAGTGGGAAGGTAAATTTGCTGAAACTTTGGACAAAGGAATTTGATATAATTTGCAGCACTCAAATAAACAGGCTCGGCCGATGCTGCTGCAAGTAGAAGCATGATCGATGGTAATTAAAACCGCAGCAGGTCGAACTTAGTATTCTACTAGATATCATTATCGTTCTCGAAGTCGTCCTAAAAGCAGGGAAGCCACTTACGTACTCTCATTCATCTTCGGCTAGGACCTGCTAAATCTTTCAGCCTGTTCAATTTTGTTACCGAAGCTTTTATCTTTTCATTCTTTTAGAGAGAAAACTGAACATTGAAAGAACCAGCCAAAGTCCGCACTACTTTAATCCACTCTACGCAGTTAATCGAACGAAGCCGACTTCTATCGGACGTGTAGTTCCAATCATTTCACAACTCTTTTACTCTTGTCTTTCTTAACACCTTCGCCATCCGTATCGCCCCTTTAAATTGAGTGTCCTGGGACAAGAATGGGTCTTCGCTCTTGGCTTCAAAATCCACCAACTTACAATGAATCACCTGAAGGGAACATTATACCTACTCATCCGCCCATTTTATTGTACTTTCCCAACCTCGATTATCACATACATGGTGGATTTCACTTCTCGCACCATTCCAGATTGTTCCATCCGCAAAAAAAACATGGCCGTCGCAGGATACTGAAGCGCCTCGACCAGCAGCAGTGTGGAGCCATTTAAGTCCTGTGTTGGAGACTCTCACCAAGACAAAGATGAAGAGAGAATAAAATTCGAAGTGCTTCTTACAGCTCAGATGAAATTGGGTCTAGAACTTTCTGATCTCGGTCAAGAAGGGGTCCAAAAGTTAACAAGAGAAAAGCTCGACGCCGCTAAGTAGTCTTTAACTGATCGGTACTTTTTGGTTATTTCTGTAAGTCAAAAATTACTGGATTAATACCTGTAATAAGGTTACATCAACTGGTTATACGCCACAGCGTGTTAATAAGGCAATCGCTCAATATCCCTATGCAGGATTGGAAAGTATCATAGAAGAGCAGTCTGAAATATTTCAACGAAGAAAAGTTCGCCGCCAATGAAGGAGCACGTATTGCTACGAGAAGGCAAGAAGCGAAATCAGAACTTGAGGTAAGATAAACCATCCACTTTGATCCGCTATTCATAAAATGCTAATGGTGTTAAGAGAATTGACAAGATAAGCAAGACTCAAGGTTGCCAATCACTGCTGGCCTCAAAACCAAATATAGGGCTATGGATCTATACAAAATAACTGCATCCAAAAGTTTAGACGTCCGCAAGAAATTTTTCGAACAGGGTAAGGGAATAATGTTGGAGGGGAATGGATTCTTATCGGCGAGACAAAGAGGCCATCCGCTCGCGCAACATTGCCTGTCATGATGTCACATCAACTTAGACTTTGCGCATCACAAACTCCTTGGCTGCGGTAATGGAGATGCTTGCCATACGAATTTCAGAAAAATCTATGGCATCTCGCCCTGGAATCGCGAACCTTTATTCGAAACTTCTCTGAAAGTCTCTCGAATGTACAACATGCGGGCAACGTTGTTCAATTTATTCGATCAAATTGAGCACAAATACAACGAAGAAGCGGATACTTATCTCGAGAGAATTTTAGGGGATTGCGGGAAGATTTTATGCTGGCGTAAACGAAGGCTGGTCTGCTGCGGAGAAAGGTAAATATTTTGATCGTGAGGACACTGATATTGGGAAGGACGTTATGAACAATTTTTAAGTGAAGGAGGGAATTTTCGAGGCAACGAGATGCAAAGATAGGCTGTGGGATAGCGGGATTTTTCTTACTCAGACCGCTGCCGGCCACATAGGGTATTTCAAGATGATCTGGCAGACCGGCACGTAAGACACTTATATGCTCGGACGGCACGTGGAAGAATCATCACGTCAAGTTCTCTAATTCTTTGGAGACATTTTTTTTTTGCGACTATATGGGAGATTATTTGTGTTTTAGAGAGAGGAAATGAGTTACTACTGTCTAGCGGTAACCAACAAAGCTTGAGGATTTGGTCAATAGCGGGAATGACGCTGAAACATGACCAAACGTGACTTTTTAAAGCTCTCATTTTTTGTCTTTTTGAACTTTGTATCTATTTTTAATTAGCTACATCCACTGCTTTAAGTTAGTACAGGACTTGGGCTTAGTTCATTGGATGGCACTGCTTCTACCCATCCCATCGCTACGCTCATATCTTGTTATCTTGCCACAAGCTTTTGTGACCTTCCTCGCAATTGACAGTACGTTACATCCTGCTTATCCTCATAGAGATTCAGTAATGTTTCATTGGATAATGTCCATGCAGCTTGCATTTAACATGCCCCCTTGTTCAACCCCGCACCATCCTCCTTCCCCGCCTTCAAAGTGCCGTTTTTTCACTTCTTTTTTATTCCATCACAAATGCTTTATTTGTATATGGTGTCACCAAATCTAAAAAGTAGGCCGAGAATCTGTAGTATTACAATACACAAAGTGTCTTCAAAATATTCCTCGGACGAAGTTTTTGCATTGAGAACCTTCAATTCTACTTTGACCCGGACAATCATGACAACAGCCACAGAAACCTCAGAACACATCTCAGCTACTCCTGGTTCAGAGATACACGATGAAAAGCCAGTGCAAGCTGAACACGAGACCGTGGACGCCACGCCCCCAGGCGAAGAAATCCAAATTACGAAAGAATTAGATCGGCTCATCACGAAGAAATTCGATAGACATATTGTGCCGTGGTTATTCGGACTATGGCTGCTGGCTTTCATTGACCGCTCTAACATTGGTAATGCTAAGATCGATGGATTGGCTGCGGACTTGAAGATTCTAACAGGAACCAAGTTTAATATTGCCTTGGCTGTTTTTTACGTTCCCTATATTTGTGTTGATAGTATGCATTTCACCCCTCACTCAATCTTTGATGCTAATTCCACAATATAGTCCCATCGAATTGGCTCGTTAAAAGAATAGGCGCTGGATACTACCTCCCGGCCTTAATTATAGGATGGGGTACCATAAGTCTCTGTGTCGGATGGGTAGAAACATGGAAATCGTTACTTGCCGCCCGTTTTTTTCTCGGGCTCATGGAAGGTGGATTGTTAGGAGGCTTGATAATCTACCTTGCCATGTTCTATCGTCGTCACCAACTCATGCGTCGAATCGGCCTCTTTTACTGCGCTGCTCCATTGTCCGGGGCTTTTGGAGGTCTTCTCGCTACTGGGCTTTCAAAAATAAAAACCCCAGGGTATAATGGTTGGCCTTTCATTTTCTTTGTCGAAGGTGCTATTACCGTCATCTTTGGAATCGTAACGTTATTTTTTCTGCCCCATACACCCTCCCACGCCAAGTTTTTAACGGAAGAAGAAAGATACGTCGCTATCCATCGTATGAAACTTGATTATCGTGGAGCTTCTCCAGTCGCCAATATAGATAATGAGAAATTCAATTGGCATTGGGTAAAATTAGCCGTGTTTAATTGGAATACTTGGTTACTTTCACTTAACTTCTTTGCCGTCATTACCCCTATTTATTCCTTTTCCCTTTTCCTACCGACTATTATTACTGCGCTGGGTTATACGCGTCTAAGTGGTAACTCACTCTCTTTCCCCTTTTCCATTCTTCCCTATTTCTTATGATACCCCAACCTAACAAACCATCAGCAAATCTCCTAACCGTCCCTCCAAACATAGTCGCTTTCCTCAGCGTAATCCTCGTCACATCTCTCTCAGACTACTTCAAGCGACGCGGGATCTTCATGCTCATTTGTGCCAGCATCGCCATAATCGGCTATATAATGCTCATCACCACTTCCAAACCCCATGTCCAATATGGCGGTACGTTTCTCGTCGCTGCTGGAAGTTTTGCCTGTCCACCTGTAGTTATGGGTATGTTTTAATTTCATATCCTCAACTTGCAATTCCTCACCTCTTCTCTTTCGTATTCACCATCTCCCCATACTTCGAAATTAATTCCCTCACGCAGGCTGGCTGGCAAATAACACCTCTCCCCACTACGTCCGCGCCTCCGCTTCAGGATTACAAATCGGTCTCGCTAATATCGCCGCCTTCATCGCAACCTTCACATATATAGCTGAAGATGCACCACGCTATATAGCAGGCCATGCGATAAATCTCGGTATGTTAGGTTTGTGTCTCGTAGTTACTAGTATTACGGTGTGGTACTGCAAGTGGGAGAATAGGATGCGGGAGAGAGGGATGAGGGATGTGAGGTTGGTGGAGGGACATACGGAGATGCTGGGTCATAGACATCCGGAGTTTAGGTATACTGTTTGAGGGGACGGTTAATAGGTATTTGTCGTGACCTTGAGGGATGGGGAAGTCTGGGGGTGAGGACTACTTACAAGGAAGCAAGGATGTAATCATATGGTGATAAAGTTTATGCAATAATATTGCAGTGCAATTATCCAGGCGGCGATGTCAATCTAAATCGAGTCAAAAGTTGAAGAAAAATGAAGTAACTTCAATTTATAATATAGCTTGCTAACTAACACCAACTACCGATACAGCGATACAAAATGAAAATTAAAAGTGTTGAAAATGGGCGAGAATGTTGGATTCCCCCTGAAAGAAGTATTTGAAAGTCCTCCTGAAATCATCTCCAAAGAACCGCTTCCATCGCCCTAAAAAAAGAATAGTAAATTACCGTCAATCCACTCGTCCCACCATCTCAAAAAAGAAAAAAGAAAGAAAGCAAAGACCAGAAAAGAGCCCAAAACGAAAAAGAGATCCTCCCATACACCATCTATCTCCAATCATCCCAAAACTTTCGCCGGTGCTCGATCGCTCAAATACCAGTCGATACCTACCCATTTATCAAGCTATAGAAAACTCTATTCTTTTCCGCATCATAATATGTATGTAACCGTGACCGCCGGAAAAACGAAGTAGAGAATCTAAGAAGTTAAAGGATCGCAGATCCAACTTTGGACGCCGTGGTCGTAAATGCCTTCCATTTGTGAGATACCATTCTTGTCGACGACGGCATAGGGTTGATCAGCAGGGCACTATTATTAGCATGATTGTTAGTATTTACTTAAATTCTTGAGGTGTTTAGATAAGGACTTGAATGGAAGGTTCTTACGCCTGGTTGAGTGTAGAGCCAGCAGCCAGGAGTGTTCTCAACATTGATGTTCATTGACTCCGTATTCTTGTTGAAGAGAGCAGGCATTTCATTGCATACACCTGGAGTGGAATAACCATTGTAGACAAGTCCTTGCCAATTCCAGTCAGTGTAGCCTTGGAGGAAAAGCCTGAAGACCCCGTTAGTTTAATGCATGTAAATATTCTGAACCATATATTGGATTGAATTTTGGGCGAAAAAAGAGAATTCAAAGCACATACTTTGATTTTCCATCCGGCGAGGCAAGGTTGCAGCTGCACTGAAGAACACCTGGCCAAGTAGCTGAGCTTTGCCATACGCAGCCTGCAGCGCTGGAGCAGAACGAATCAGCCGTCTTGAGAACACCAGCGAAGACTGTAGAAGAGAAAGCAAGAGTGGCCAAAATGGCAGAAGTAGCTTGAGTGAAGTGCATTGCGATTAATTGGCAGTGGCTATCGAAATTTTGATGACGGAAGTGTTGTTTGGGTTTTTGGTTGTTGGTTGTTGGTTGTTCGTTGATTGAGATTATGTTGATTGAAGACTGGATGTTGTTGTTGGGATGAGGAAAGAGAGGCTGGGCCGCTCCTGCCTCTCTTTATATATTCATTTCCATGGCATAATACCGAAGTCTATCTCACTTGAGCTCTGAAAGAAACACATCTAGCGCTATTGAACTGTATTACTAAATCTGGCCAGAGTTGTTCTTCCCGTTCTTCTTGGCCGGAATTCCCATGTTCCGGCAAATTAAATATCTCATCGACGATGACCTTTCGGATGTTCGATTTGCAAATATCATGGACATGATCGAATCGAGAGAAGAAGGACATCTAAGGCGCAAAACACGAGAAACAACAAGTGATAGTCTACAGAGGTAATAGAATCGCACGAAAAGTTCTCCTTCTTGGTGGATTCTAGGCATACAAATCCACACTGTTTGGGTCAATGAAGTCTAGCTCCAGCCTTGTTTAAATTATCTTCTAGCTTTATTTTCAGCTTGTTCCATAAGGTATGACAGCCATGTAAATAGCGTGAAAGACATATACGAGAATATGATGAGTGATCTGATCGACCGTACATCTGCACTTTTGTGTATTACAAAACCGTCGAAAATTTTGATCATTTTAAATGATAGGCTAGCATGGGTTACCTAAACTGGAGAGATCTTAACGCCCGATACCCCCAGAACCCCAGATACTACAGCAAAATCGCCGAGTATATGGAAAGACACCAGCAACGTGGTAAGTCAAGAGTACTAACTTCACAACTTGATTGTGACCTCGAGGTGTGTATTACGAGTTTTGACAATGGAAACATAACAATGGACAAGTAATCGGTGAAGACCGATGAGTGGAAGAAAATGAGAGATGTGATAGAAATATATCCCGATTTTACCTCACTGGGGAATTTATACGATCGACGTTGCTAGTACGACAAAACAGGAATCAACCGAAAGTACCGAGGGCACATCCGAACATTGTAATCTTGTTTCACTACATTCCCAACGAAAAATTTGGCGGGTGGATGACTTGTCTCCCACAATCCTTCAATAGAGTCTTCTGATGTTCCAAGTCCTTGGTAAGATCGATCGTACCAAGATGAGAACCAGATAGAAAAGCAATGAAATCTATTAAAATTCCGTGGTGGATCATATAACCCTGATCTCATAATGTACAATATTCATATGTGGGTCAGGCAAAATTGAGGAGATGACTCGGAACCTAGCACATACGCTTCGATTTGTGGCAGACTTGACCTCGAGGCTTTTGGCTGGCACAGAACGCTCACTCACAAAAGTGGTAGTTTAGTTGAGACTTCTTGTGATCAAAGACGGCCCAGGAGTTGTTCTTCGGCCTTGCAAAGAATGGCAAGGACCAAGAGATCTACGTAGTATTAGACCTAAAATAACGAAATTATAGACTCCAGAACGTACCTTTAATGATCATGTTACGAATGGGGATAATAAATCCAGCCTCGGTAGCAACATCAAGATCCACTTGTCAGTAGCTACTGGAAATCATTGTTCACCAAAAGGATGGTTAAACTTCAGCAGGCTATTCAGGCCTCCAACCCAGCCGTCGTCATCCTTCATACCACTCTTGGGCCCCCTCATGACACATGGAACCCCTCCACCCCATTCATTGCTACCCTTCATCATTTCCTCGCCCTGAACTCTTATTTCCATGCCGACGCCAACCCCTATGTTTCGTCTTTGCCCGTCGATACTAACCTCCAATTCCCTTCCTCGATTCTTATCACTTAATCGAAGTTTGATCGGCGTGTTCGCAGGTACAACAAGAGGTCTAAATGAAAGACTCCTTGGACAGATCGGAGTTAGAAGAAGGCTGCTCACGAGTGGATGAACTATACTACCACCAGCACTCAAACTATATGCCGTACTGCCCGTTGGTGTAGAAATGATCATACCATCCGCAACAGCCTCGGTCAAAAATTGATTGTTGACAAAAACTTCAATGATAGCCAAATGTGCTTCTTTTCCTCGATGGATGATAACTTCATTCATGGCATGCACATCCCCCTCTGCACACTCTCGCATAATTTTACCATTTGTATCAAAGACCTCGACCTTCAATCTATTCCTGAGAAGTACTTTCGAACTCCTGGTTGACCCCATCGACTTGCCCCTAATACTCGACCATCCAGACGTATCATCAGTCTTGTCTGACGTCGAGGTTTGGATATGAGGATGCATCTCGTCTTGAAAGAGATGAGATCCTGCGGCAGCTCCCGACATATAGACTTCTCGGAAGGCTCGCTTATATTCAGCGAACTTCCATTCTCCCAAGAATCCCAGAGTACCCATGCTAAAGGAAAGAATTGGAGGGACATGACGGGTTGTGCTGAAAAGAGACGACGCATGTAGGATCGTTCCATCTCCACCGAGTGTCGTTACCATATCAACCTTAGATGGGAGGAGGGATGGAAGGTCAGTGGTGTATACTGGAAATGCCAAGGCATTGTGTATGCTCTCTGCTACCTTTTGCTCAAAAATGAGAGCTGCATCTTTGTAGTTTGAGTGTATATGTCTGGTACCTAGTCAGTTGGGAGAAGCTTTTGCAGGTATGAATGCATTGAACGAACTTTGCATATTCAAGTAGGGCCTCCGCAACGGCTGGAGAACGATCCTTCTTGATGATCAAGAGATTGCGAGGAGGTGAAGGCCATTGTAAAGAGAGTAGATCACTCTCTCTGGCTCCTATAAATTTCCACGTGAATATTTGGATTGGGGCAGGTACAAGGAGAGTATATGTGGGCTTACTGTGATATCTAGGAACGATTCTATCCTGTAAACTCTTGATATCTAAGATCTCGGATCTTGGATTGGTAGTGCTAAAAGATCTAACTTGTTTGGAGCAGGTTCTTGACCAAGCCCCCGAGAACATGAACATGGACATGGTGAAATTTCGAAAATCGTATGAGATTCAGATGATCCCGTTGTACACACTAGCCAAAAGTGCCGAGATGATCTTACACCAACCGATCTAGGAAGGTCTGGTCAAGGTGGACACAAGAGGGCGACAGTCGACAGACATTATTGGTGGGGAGTCCGCGCAAGCTTATTAATGATGATAGAACCTTCGAGGTAGATAAGAGTACGGATAAGACATGGCGCGTGCATTGGGATTTTCCGGTTGGTCCCAAAAAAACAAGGCCACCAGGCTCCAGGCTCCAGGCTCAAAGCTCAAAGCTCAAAGCTCAAAGCTCAAGAACATCAAGAACAACATCGATTACCTATACGTCACAACATTACATTTTGAATTTGAACACATAGATAACTATATATATATATATCTATATATATTTACATGTCTATATACCCATATACCCATATACCTATATCTCTATATCTCTACCTCCTAGATTTATTCACAATGAAGAAAGTTTTATGATATACAGATTCTTTATGCTTGACTTACACAAACCTTTCATTCTACGTTTCCTCGTGTAAAGCTTCTATCAAGGTCCTAAATTCACCCCACCAAAGCAACCTGGCACTACCGCACTACCGCATTAGCTAGCTGCCAGTGCTACGACACAGCCTTCTAACCCTCAGCCCTTTAGCTTTCTAGCCTTCCCGCCTTCCCGCCTTCCCGAGCACACGACAAATCTGCCTAGTCTACAATTTATCAAAAAGCCTACTAGGTATACTAGGTAGCTGTGGCTATTTAATCCCAGAGCTTTCCTCTGGAAAACTCTTCTCCAAGAGGAAATCTGATTCACATATTTCAAACAATCACCATGGCCGACCCTAATCTCAAGCAAAGGCATAAGGCTTCAGCTATGCCAGCACCAGTACCAGATTTTGGAGGAGGAACTAAAGAAAAGGCCATTGGAGACCATCCTTCTGGTGAAGTTAGACATGGATTTGTCGCACAAGTTTGCCGGTTGTTAAGCTTCGCGACTTATTTCTGGGCTGCTTGTTCTACGTAAGTTGCCCTGCTTGAGCTCCGAGATTCTTTACTGACCCATACAAGGATCCAAGCTACCCAACTGATCGGCATACCTTTGTACTGGATAAATCGAGATATATACTATTCATGGATGGCACTCACGAAACAATCCTTCGGCCTTGTAATAACGACTATGACACAATGGTGGAGTCCAACAGTGGTCAGAATAAGTGGTGATGCTTCGATAGCGGGGCAATTGCGGAAAACTGCCGATGGGAGAGCAGAATGCCATTTCCCAGAGAGATTGATTTTGATCGCGAATCATCAGGTATGCACAAGTTTGCAGCGAGGAATCTTCATGAGACTGATGTTTTACAGCTTTATACAGATTGGCTCTACCTCTGGTGGGTAGCTTATACTAATCAGCCTCAAACACATGGTTATATTTATATTATTGCAAAAAGCTCTCTCAAATGGGTTCCGATCATTGGTTGGGGAATGCAGTTTTATAATTTTATATTCATGTCGAGAAAAATGGAAAAAGACCGACCAGTAATGGCCCATAGATTCAAGCAACTTCAAGAGAAACGGCCAGGGGCTTTGGAACTCGATCCCATGTGGCTTCTATTGTTCCCCGAGGGTACGAATGCAAGCGACAACAGAAGGGAGGCGAGTGCAAGATGGGCAGAGAAGATAGGTGTTAAGGATATGGAACATGTTCTCCTTCCAAGGAGTACTGGTTTATTTTTTTCTTTGAACGAGTTAAAGAAAACGGTCGACTATGTATACGATTGTACAATGGCTTATGAAGGTGTTCCGTATGTACTACCTACCCCCTCAAAGCAACACAGTTTATTCTAATCATTTCTAGGAGAGGGAAGTTTGGCCAGGATTACTTTACTTTAACCTCATCATACATCGAGGGACGGCCACCAAAATCAGTGAACCTCTATTGGCGTAGATTCAAAATCGCCGATATACCGTTGGATAATGCCGAAAAATTTGAAGTATGGCTGCGAGATAGGTGGTATGAGAAGGATGCTTTGATGGAGCAATACATGGTTACTGGTCGATTTCCACCTAACGTGACTTCAAAAGAGGGGACTGTGGAGGAGTTTATTGAGACCGAGGTTAAACCAAAGCATTGGTGGGAAGTTTTCAATATCTTTATTGTTTTGGCGACTGTGGGGCTAGTTGCGAATCTATTCACCAAGGCTTGGAATTTGGCCTTGTACGGTAGCACTAGGAAGTGAAGTCAAGTGCGTACCAGGTAATTAGGAAGGAAGGGATCTTGGTCTACATAGGAATGAGGGTTATTGCTAGGCATACGAATGTATATGGATGGACAGCACAGTATGGATTATTAATGTCTTATGAGCGAGGGGTGTTATAGGGTAAAGGCGGGCTGGTCGGCATTTTTCATATCAGACATCTCATCTCTCCTTTTATGCGAAATACCCAGATGGATTAGCGGTTAGGTCATAACGCGGGCTTAGGGGAGAAAGAATGGATATTCCTACCTTTAGCGAGAACATTTTTTTTGTGATTCGTATATAGGATACGCATGTGTAGAAGAGTTTTCCTATACTTTATTATACAGTATCATCTCATCGTTCTCCATCATTTACTCGACTCTCTCCCGTTTAACACGCTAATTAGCATGCGATCTATCTATTATCCATCATCTACTTTTCATTTTCTCTTCTCATCTTCTAATCATCACTCTCACCATCAAATCAGCTAATAAATAGTTCGCTCAATAACTTCTTTCTATTTCAATACTGATTATTAGCTCTGATTCTTACTTTTTTTTTACTTTTATCTTTTTAGCCAAGGTACTCTTATTACTCTACTTTTCATTTTGATTTTGATTTTTTAAATAAGAGTAGATGATAAGATACTTTTAATTATATATTGATTTTTATAATCATTAAATAGATAAGATTGCTTGTTATAGTTGTTTCTTTTAAGTTGATACTCTCAGCTTAGCTTGTAATTACTTGGAGCTGGTGGGCTGTTGATATTGCTTATTTTTTTGATTGATAATTCAATAGTTGCTTTGTTTGATGTACATTTACTATTTATTATAGATAGATAGATAGATAGACTGATACTGAGTAGTTCACAATCCACGCAGTTCCATAATGATCAGTCCTTGACTATACATCAGCATTGCAATTATATCAACCTGCTACGCTACCAATCATTCGGATTCATTCATAATCCGATAATCATATACAACGCCTATATCCTACACTCCAGACTTCAAAAGCAACCTCATAAAGAACATAATTACCCTAAACAGGTAACCCCCTCGCTCTTCTCTCATCCTCCACCTTCTTAGCCTCCACCCTCGCTAAGAAAGCCTGTCTCTCTCCGTAAGCACCCTTCTTCTTGCCCGCTGCATCCAATTCATCCTTATAACCCTCTTTATCCACAAACCCAGCCCAATCCATCGCGCTCTTTTCTACTGTATTTAATTTCTTCGCTTCTTTGCCTGCACCCACACCCCCAACCAAATTCCTCGCAGCCGCTGCTGTGCCAAAATACAGATCTGTCCTTTGAGGTGTGAGATTTTCTATAACAGGTTCGAAGATTGAACGACGAGCCTTTTTAAGATTGCGTTTGGGTTTGACGAAAAGTTCTGCTTCTTTCTGCTTATTACCCTCCTTTCCAGCATTAGATTCTTGAGATGCGAGGAAGAGTTTTGCTTCAGCGGAATCTTTCGGTACGAGTTTTTGCTCCGTGATGACTTTCCCAGCGAAATTGTAGGTACGTTTTATCATAACCATGGAATCTGGGCCTTCGTTGAAGCTGCTCCGTTCTCTGGATCCTCTATGTAGTTCCGGCGACTTACTTTCTGTTTTTGGGCTTGTGGATACGTTTAAGGGTTTTGCGGAAGGTTTGGGTTCGGTAATGGTGGACGAGGTGGGTTTGCCAGATATCATGGCTGCCCACAAGGCATCTACGTTGACTGTTGCGGCTTTGGTATCTGCGAGGGGTTTCTTCTCAATCTTTCTAAAAACACTCATCAGCAACCAAGGTCGCAAATATCTGATCGTACACATACTCTTGAGCGCGCATACTCCTAGTCTTAACCAAGCCCCCCTCACCACCCTCATCTTCCTCCCCATCTCTCCCATCCTTCCTGCTCCTCTTCTTCCGCCTTTTCAAGCCCTTTTCAATAATAGCTTCATCGCCCGAGTTCTCGAATCCGGCATCTTCCGCCTCTTCATCATTCCCTCGTTTCCTCTTTGCCGTCTTTTTCTTCGGCTTATCTATTGCTGCAGTAGAATCTTCATCTTCCGCTTCTGACTCTGATGATTCTTCTTGTGCTGGTACTGCATCTGGGGCGAAATCCTCATCTTCCGATGATGCATATTCCTCATCCGATGGTACAAGTTCTGGAGGCATCTTGTATTTGGTTTAATATATTGAATGCCAAAGAAGTTTGATCGAGGTTGACGCGAACAAGGATTCGTAAGGCTGAGATATCACATGTTTATCATAATCTTTTAACCTTCTCAGCGATAATTGAGAGGTGTAAGTTTAGCAATGCTTTATAACCATCACACAAGTGGCTAGCTCCTTCTGGTTTACATTTATTAAATAAATAATGCTACACCAACGACAATCCTGAATTCTACTCCGGTTTAAAAGTCGAATCTGTGCTGTGCCGCCAAGAGACATTCCCTTTTCTTTTTACCAAAATATAATGCTTAATGCAAGTATAATAAATATCTACATCCTTTTGAAGTCTCATATATGCAATGCATGTAAGCGCGAAAGTTTTTGCTAGCGAACTCCTCATTTACCTGCCATGTCCTGCATTCCAAACCCAAAAGAGTTCAGTGCCAACGTTGAACGGACAAAGTTCCTGGGATTTTTCTTTGCCCCTATCATATTCCGTACATACCTCGTACATATATCATATATTTGACTGATGGATCAAGCGGCTCATGTTCATACGATGATTCCTACAGGACAACTTTCGATGCGCTCGAATTACAGATTGACTGAATGGTCCTAGATTGGTACTTTGGTCCACAAATCGAAATCACTTCACTGCGTATGTACTCCGTAAATATCGTCAAAGCGTGCGTATCCACCCAGTATTGATTGACAAGTATAACGGACGGACAGGATGGCAAAGATTATTCCAAGGCCCTTGATTTCTTGAAGGCTTGACCAAGTGATATAAACAAGGGGATGGGTTTGCATCAGATAGATGTGGACAACATCTGGGGTAGAGATTTTCGAGATGCTCGAGATTCTCGAGATTTTAATCTTCGCTCTAGTGTAAGATATCGAATGCTGATCATGATCGAATGTCCATCAGACAGAAGATAAATGATATCTTAGATTTGCTTCCTCCAGAGAGTGATCTTGGTATGGATACTGCGGGCTACACCGACGGCAATTGTTTTTGGTTAATTACTTAGAAAGTACGGAGTAGATCTGAAGACGGGATTATTGTAAGTCTTAATATTGAATACTTGTATGAATTCGGGGTGGTAAAAAGTGGGGTGAAGCCCTTTCTGCGTTGCGGTTGCGGAGGTACATTGTACATTACTCCATACCTACATTATGGAGAATATACATTTGAGATATTGAAAAATAAAATGGCACCAAGCCTCTCTGTCCGATAAGTGTACTATGGCTAGATAAGAAGGTACTAGAGTATCATATAAGTATTCCTACAGGAGACGGGATGAACCTCGACCATTCTGTGTGTGGGGTAAATATTGTATTGAGTACAGGAGATACTCCACCACTACCTCGTTGTCGCCTCGTATCAGGAAGCTGGTGATCGACTTTGACTAGGAACATGAAGATTCAAAAATCTCGAGAAGAGGTCTTTCCGGGTTTGATTGGTCAATTGAAGTAAAAAGGATCGTCTACTATGTGTATGTCCTGCTAGGAAGTAGGTACTTATTCAAGCGTATCTTCGAGTCTTGGTATGTTGGTTGATGCTTGTTCTTTTGATAGTTCAAGCTAATTCCCTCCTCACTCCTAGAGGTCAATTTTCGCGTTTTCAAATTGATTGAGGGCAGCCTGCATAATCTTGGAAATATTTCCCCCCATAGCGAACAAAAACAAAGCGAAGCTTGACCCATTGTACTGGACCGGCCGACCAGCGTTGAACTGATACTACAACACTATAAGAATAATATCCGATTGAAGGGGAAAAAATGCAGGTGGTGGCAGTGTGACATAGTTTAGTTCTTGGAAAGTACGCATTTAAAGTTGCATACCCAAGAAACTTGAGGAGAGAAATCCAATGATATCGATTTGTACCTGTTGCGTATGTTGGGTAACGCCAATAATATCTGGTTATGTTCCTGCAATGATTATCGTGCAGAACATGACGTGTCCTCAGTGTATCTGTTCCTGCGCTGAGCGCTCCTCAAAGCATGGAGGTGAATGGTTTCGTTCGGTCTTTAGCGGGAATATATTTGAGGATATTCATGAGCTTGTAGCAGGTGTAGTGGTGTATTTGATAATGATTGAAAGTAATTCACAGCCACCGAGGTACATCCAAGTACATCCAAGTACTTTGGACATTGCGATTTGCAGGAGCTTGCTGATCATCTGTGCTAGCATTCGATTTGACGGTATCGTCAAATTCAGACATCCAAGTGCGCAGTGAGAATACGGGTTGGGTTGTCCTTGTATATCTTTCTAGAAATTGTGGAAACAAACTAAAAGCTGATAGACAAGGGCCTTATCGTGTGTTTCTTCGACTTCACGGATATACCATGAACTGGACTGGATACTTGAAAAGGTGTAAATGTGAGGAAAGATGGGAGTTTCGATCATAACCATAACCATGTTGTCGGAAGAATTATTGCGACACATGACCTAACCATAACTGCAGGTATTCATATCAATTTCACCATCCAAATTATCCAATTTTATACATCCATATAGAGGAAGTTTCCAGTTCTCAGTTCTCAGTTCTCAGTTCTCAGTTCTCAGTTCTCACTGCTCAGCCCTCTGTCCTCTCGTACTCGCTGAACCCTGAGCTTAATTTCTCGATAAAGAAAATCAAGCATAAGAGAAAATCATCGCAGCATCCTCGCGCATCCTTGTTGATAGGTGCATACACACTGCACAGTGACTAACTGAATAACTATTCAGTGACTAACTCATAATAGACATAAACAATCAACGAGGCTACCAATGGTCATCAAATTACGGTTTTATTTCCGCGTCCAAAGTTGCACTATCGCAGTGATGTAAATGGTTATATGGAAAAGTAAAATCATCAAACAATCTTGTCAAATTTATCACAGTTCAAAATTCATTCTCTCTCGTCTACTATGTATTACAGCTCTAATAACTTTACTTTGATTTAAAGTATCGTCTTTCCACTCGAATCTCGCCATCGCAGAATTGCACCTGGTGATAATGCATCTGTACGAGGAGATCAAGGGTTAATTAGCTGTATCGTGGTCCGTGACAGGCTGGCAGCGTCAAATGCATTAGAGACATTATATGCATCTCAACAAATTCAGTTAAAGCAAACATAAGTGTGATCGGACTGTCGGTGTCGATTGTGAAGGGTGTTCGACAAGGTCGAATATTTGAACAACCGCCATTCGCGGTTTTCTCCATATGTTATATGTTTCAAGACACAAATTGCATGTCGTTGCATATGAAAGAGATTGACACAACAGATGGAAGAAGTATGAATGGACATGTGAAATACATGTGAAGTTCCCATGATACTTGGTTCATCGCAACTCAAAAGCTCCACAACAGCACGCAGGTATGAGAAGGGTTATACTAATACTAGTACGATAGATGCAGGACAAGAGGTTGTCCGTGAACTTAGTTTGCAGCAGTGTAAGCCATGACTGGAAAGTTCAAAAGTTGTGGAACCCACAAGATCTATGGAGGGAGGTGCGAGTTGGATGTTGATTTGATCTTACACGCGTTGAAAAATGTATGGTGTTGAATGTTGCAGCGTTTCAAAGGCAAACGTTCCTTCCAAGCTTTTCTCTATGACACTTCATGTAACCTACTCCAGCATTTAAACAGAAATCTTATGCTTTGTGGATCTGCGACCGTTGACCACTCACTCACAACTCCTTTCTTCTCCATCTCCAGACTTCGGTAAAATCTGGGCGCCACCAGGCTGGCTGAATCTGCACCTCACCTCTTTTGGCTTTGAGGTAGGTATGCATGATAGATACCTTGTACTGACCACGGGCACGAACCCGAGATTTATCACAGGTGGTAATGTTCATTTGAGAGGCGGCAAGTTCATCCGTGTATCTCCTCCACAGCTTGCATTTTGACAACCCACTACAGCAACCATCGAAGTCGGCCTTTTTTGTTGTGAAAACCGATTGGTGTGAAATAGCGAGATGGATGCTCACTTTTCTGATTTGGATGACTGGGGTTATGGACAGGAGGCTCGTGAGGAGATGGAAACGTGGGGTGAGAAGGGTAAAGAAGGAATTAAAGCTCTGGCACCATCAAGATGTCAAAATGTAAACGCTCCAAATGAAACGTCCAACAGAACCGCCGTTTGGAGGGAACACAATCCTTCAAGGCATATCTCTATCGTTAGAGCTTGGCAGAAAAGAAGATCAACGATGGAAGCGTCTACCTCGCACAAAAGAACATATTGGAAGAGGAAGTGTCACCTTACTAATCATTGCCAATATACTGGGTTGGAGAGCAAGAATGGTCTAAAAATAAATGCCTTTGAATCCGTATGTATGAAAGTCCCACTTTCTTGGGCGAAACCGAGACGTCTTGGATGTGAGATCATGTGGAATGATATATAAAGAAAGGGAATTATTAAATGTTAGCTTTGATATGGAGTGTATCGGGGGAAGGCTCATTTGGGTGGTACAAGTACGATTGCTGTGTAAATTGTAGGATGGGTACGGGGCATTTGTAGTAGTGTTTGAATATAATATTGGTGATGGAGATTGTAGTAGTGGATGAAATAAATAATAACTTTGATACTCCTGTGGTGTATGTACCCGAAGAACTTATTCATGGAAAGCGCAGTGCGGCAAGTAATAAAATTTACCTGGGTAATTACTGTATTTCTTCCTTGCCTCCTTGCCTCCTTGCCTTCGCGTGATGACATTGGCAATACTTATAGAGAAGTAATGAATTCCTCTCCTACAGCTAAATTCCTTACAAAACGTTCCGAGCTCTCTGGTGAATACATACGTACCTAGCATGCCAAGGACCAAGGAAACTGACTTCCTAGTTATTGAATCTCAAGGTGTGAGATATGAGGTCTGTTCACTATCAATACCATAGGATTGGAGATTGGAGGCGTTCATTATAATAATTGACAGGTTGATGCGACCTCAGAATTTCCAAATGATGATCCTGCTACTTACTGTACCCGGGTGAGATAGTCGAGGAGAAGAATGCCTCGATCTGAAAGCTTGTTGATCATATCAGAACTTCACAGCACCTTACAGGCTGTATGGCTGTACACTAGGTACGTATCCCGGAGGAGATGAAGGCTTGTATGCCATGACTTTGGAGTCTGTCTGTTTCAACAGGCGGTATGTGTACATGCTGCAGTAATATCGATAAAAGCCTGTGTGTCCTAAGATTAGAGGTAGAGTCTATCTTATAGGCCATGTGTGTGCTGTAGTGATTGAAACCTCATCTCTTTTGCGCCTGAATAAAAGTACTTTTCCTTTGTAATCTTATGTGGTAGGTAGCCAGTAGCAAGTACCCAGTGGCAAGTACCCAGCAAGTACCCAGTAGCAAGTACCCAGTAGCAAGTACCCAGTAGCAAGTACCCAGTAGCAAGTACCCCTAAAGTGAATGTGCCCAAGAAGGAAATAGGGCTATGGATGAAAAACATGGAAATTGGAAAATGGAAATGGAAAAATGGAAAATGAAGATTTTACCCCTGGGCCATGATTAAAATTCGAGTTTAATCTTCTAAAGCTGCGCTAGAATAAAAGAAGCAGTAGGCTCAATTATACAGATGAGATCTAACCAGATAATTGGCTTAGAAAACGACGATAGATTTGCATTAATCTACATAAAAAAGATGATCTAAGCCATCCAGGGTCATATCTGTTGATTTTCCACTCTTTGGCCCAAATTAATCAAAGGGTATATCCTTGCGATCTAACCACAAAAAGATTGATGTCAGTGGGGCCGGGTGAATAGAGTGAAAGTATCCAAAGGACTTGATAGTGTTTATCCCAGGTAGGTATGCTAGGTAGGTATGCTAGGTACCTATGCCAGGTAGTTGGTTGGATTCTAAATCTCTACGTCCAAGTCGAAAGTCTCCGTACCCAAGTCTAATCTACTCTACTCCGGAAGGTACCACCAAAAATATCTCATCAATTCCCCCCATCCCTATCCATCCATCCATCCATCTATCTATCCATCCGACTAAACTCAATCTCTCCATCACTCCATCGCTCCATCGCTCCATCACTCAATCATTCAATCCCTCACTCACTCCCTCCCTCCCTCACTCACTCACTCACTCACTCGCCCCAACCCACTCACCCACTCACCCACTCACCCTCTCACTGTCGCTGTTCTGGGGGTCAACCCTTCACAAATCCATCCCCATTTTCTTCCCATCCCCCTCAAACTTTCCATCATCTTTTCATCCGAACTTGACATTTACAACATTCTCCTTGTTTTTTCTATCTTTTTTCTATTTGTTGTCCTTCTTTTTTACTTCTTTTCATTGAATATCCATTGCATCCCTCTCAATTCGCCCCGTGAAACGAATAGCATTCCTCTCTTCATTCCTCTCGGTGTCTCTCTCCCATACTCTTTAGAATCTTCCCGCAGCCGCAGCAACCGGCCAACCGACGAATTCAACCAAAAAAGAAAAGGTTGTTTCAGTACGCACAATAGGGATATACTCATCGAGGTTGGCAGACGATTCTCTTCTCAATTCATTCATCAATTTATTCACCAGCTTATCATACCATGCTTTAATAGAATTCAGAAAAAAAAGAGAAAGGGCTTCAACAAGAACTCACGGTAACAGTGTGTTTTGCCTGGACGCGAGAGGGAAGATTGATCGACCTCCAACCAAATTTCTGGCCGCGGGCGACCTCCTTCTTCCATTTAGAAACCGAAACCTTTTCACAACCTCACGAAATTTTAAACAAGGTCAACCGTTAACTCGTCTTGACTTTCATCTTTCCAACCAACAACTCTCGTAATAATTGTTCATTTGTCTATCAATTCCATCAAAAACTTCTAGCTTTCCTTGAAGGTCCGTCAACTCCAACATCGCGCTTGTAACCTATCAAGTACAGCAAGCCGTACCTATCCACATTGAAGTGGAAATTATTTCAACTTGCTAACCTTCTATCCATCACAGTCTTTTCCATACTTACTCAATTAGAATCTACATTGAGTTCGAATCTTTTTTTTTATGTAGATGGCAAATTAGCTGTTTGCTTTTCAACAACTCGAAAATAGCAAGTCACAGCATGGCCGCTCTCGTTCAAACACTACCGCAACAGACAACCACGGTCACTATGCTTCAAACTCGACCTTCCTCTGCCTCTGGCACTCTACAACCTTCGCAGAACCAAGCTGCCTACCACCAGTACCCTGCCAACCCACAACAGCGAAATAATTTTCATGGCTTGAACAACAATAATATGGCAGCATCAAATTACCGCAGCCATAGTTCTATGGCCCCAATGGCACCATATGCATTTACCAGCACACCCGGTCTATCCATAGGAGGTCAACAAGCACCAAATGGGTCTCAATCCAGGCCGGAACAACAGAGAACATCATCAGCCCCTATAGTTCCCACATTACACAGCGGCTCAGGGAATCCTTCAAGTCGCTCACGCTACCCTGCTGCCTTGTCTGTGTCAACAACATCTTCGTCGTCATCGTCAGAGCTTTCCCACAGATCAGGAACAAGGGATGATTCCGCCATCACCACAGCTCGAGTTGCCACTCGAGCTCCTCGACCAAATTCCACCATCATCACGTCATACAGTCAAGCTCCTGCTCCTCCTTTGGGTTCACCAGCAAAACCTGCCCCTGACCGCTATCGCCGTCCTGCAGTTCGTCGTGCCGAGTCCTCGAACAGTAGTCAGGCCAGCGGCCCCAACTCTTCCGTCTCATCCATGCCTAATGTCATGCAATTTTATGGCGCTAGTACACAAGCCATCAACACCCAGGCATACAACTTACAGATGCCCCAGTCACCAAATCAACCAAGTGCAACGGCTGATGATATGCAATTGAATCAGCGTACCACGTCGGAACAAGCAAAAAGATATCGACGTCGGAGCATACACACAATCGATGCACACGATAATAGCAATACTAGTCCAAGTCCTGGATTTTTACAGCAGGGATCAAAGCAAGCCGATGGCGCTAGTGGTCGTATTGATCAGCAGCCTGAGCAACACGGGCAACACCCCCTGCGAAGTTCACCAGTCGTAATGGTGCGTCCAGGAGCATCTCACAGCCGTAATGATAGTACCGACAGCTTGAAATCCACTCGCAGCGGTCCTTCGAGCCCAAACTCGGTAAGTCTTCAATTTTTGTACCTAGTCCTTGCTTCCCCCCACTCATGGTTCACGGGACTTTATCGTGCATACGGCGTCACCGCAATTTAACCCTCACCAATCACATTAGTGTAGCACTAAAATTGGGAGCACACTAACCTATTTCAGTCGGACAAGCGAGAAGCAACAAGTGCATCAATGGCATCTACCAGCCCCGCCCAAACTTCGACCTCTACCGTCGCAAACTCAAATACCTCCAATGGTAGAGACCAAGCGATTTCTAAGAATGATCAGCCACGACTTGTGAATATTCCAGTTCGTGCATCCTCAACCGATGCCGCGAAACGACTTTCCAGTCCTTCCCCTTTATCGAAGCCGACCATGGGTACTGAGTCCTCGGCATCTAAGTCCAAGGACTCGTTTGCCTCGGCGGTAAATGCGGCATTACAGCCAACACAATCCAAACCTACGCCTGGACAGGCTGCAACGAGCCCCAAAGCCATCAGCCCTGCTGCACAGCATTTGGCTGCACTGAACGAAAAGGAAGGAAAGAAGAGTAAGACATCGAGATTAAGGAGGGCATTTTCTTTTGGTTCTGCTGCCGAGCTACGAAAGGCATCTGCAGACACCCATGTCAGCAGGAGTGGCAATGATGTTTTGGATCGTTCCAAGTTACGAAGAGAAAAATACCAAAATGAGCAAGAAGCTGAGCAAGACAAGATTGCTCAGCGACAAGAAGCTGCAGGCATCGGATCCAACATCTATTCTGGCCAAGGCAATTTCTTCACTGGTTCGACCGACAATTTGTCTATATCCTCAACAGCCTCATCGGCTTCAGTCATGATTCGAAAGATGGGAAAGGGCATGAAGAAATCAACAAGATCTCTTGTTGGTCTTTTCAGACCAAAATCTGTTATCGGTGTGCCCGCAGCTGATGCGGCTGTGCCTGAAGCCAGCCGAGCTCAGGTCTCGATGGTTAATGTTGAAGCCGAACGGGAGAAGGTCAATGTCAACGCCAATGCTGCTGATGCTGTTTCTGGTGGGACAGGATTCCCTAGATTGGAGAGGAATTCTCTCGACGCTGCAGCTATCAGCTCTGTGGCCACCGATCGTCTGGGAAGTGCTAACACTGAGAGTTCTGGGCATAGAAGAAGTATTGTTGGTGGTGAGAAGGAGCGTGCTGAGGTCTTGGCCGCTGTCAAGAAGGGTATTCTCAAACGTGGGTTGCTCAAAATCGATCTTATTGTATTTTTACTGATTAAGTGATCTCAGGCTCCGGTACAGGCTCTGGGAACTCATCACCAGTTATCCTTCCTGTCGATGGAAAAGCAGCAAACTTTAACTTGCCGCAAATTCCAAATGTTAACAACGACTCACCTAATTCTTCCACCCCTAGTACACCAAACGATGACCAAGTCCATAAGCAAGCGGTCAATTTAGGAGGGGAGGATTACTTCATGTCTGCGCTCAAATTCAAGGGGGATTCAAGGAGTGTTCCTGGAACACCTTCCGGTACTACCAAAAGGAACGCTACATTTAGTCCACGGATCCAATTCCACGACACTTGGCCAAGCCAAGAATACGACCGTAGAGGCGAAATTGCAACCTGCAATCGACTCACCCCGATGCTCGCTCAACAAATTAAGGAGGAGCTTAATACTTTCAAAATGGTATGTCATTCTTTCAAAAATCCTTGATTACATACTCACCAGAATTAGGAAATGGAGGTTCATGAGAATTCTAAGATCTACACACACTTCTTCTAATGAAACCACGATTATTCTATTTGTTTAAAACAAGTTACGACTTACAAAGCTCCTCTGCTATTGCAAGCAACTGTGTAGTCACAAACACACTCAAGACTATCAAGGCGTTTAGCGGTCTTTCGCATTATTGGTGTACAGGAGTTCATTCACATCTGAGCGATTTGGTCGAAAACAATATTATTTCATAGACTGGCGTCGGCCATCTTTTTTCGAGCATAAATGTTGAAGAAGATGAGGGAGGATATATTAGGAGGGTATTTTAGGGGCGACGGTAGAGATTTGGGAATTGAGAGATGTTGTGTGTGAAGCTTTCCGAGGTTGTGAAGGAAAGAGGAGAGTTTCAATTGTCTGATACGCTGGTAATTTGTTTCTCCTAGCTACCAAGGACGGTGGTACAAACTCGTACTCAAAAAGTTTCGATCTCGGTTGGTTTCTACGGGTTTGTTTGATCTCTAGGGTTTTTGAGATCTGCACTTCGGTCAATGTCATGGTCTAATTTTCGTTTTCTTCATTTGGTCGGTCCGGTCTACTTTATATTCGTCGTCACCTCATCGTCGTACTTCAGCGCCTGTTATTATGTTTGAGAAAGGAGGGAAAGATGGGAGAGAAATAGGGACGGCATATTCTACGTAATCAAATGATACAATACAAGCAATGGTTGCCAATTCATACAAGTCTAGAGTGTATTTGCAAGTGACTATCTTGTATGGACTCTAGACCCTGGGATCCGGAGTGTAGGAGTGTAGAGTACTCATGAAATGCGAGAAACTTTCGGAACAAATTTGTCTCCTTTTATTGTCTTAGTAGAGGTTCTAGATTTTCCAACGAGTCGGGAATGGAATTCTAGATCTTGAGTGCACAAGTCAACAAACATAAAAGCTTGGATACAATCCTGACCATAGAAGAATCTGGATCGAGTTGATTGATCTATTTGACACTTGGCCTGTCCGGAGTCAGACTTTCCGCATGAAATATCGAGCTTGGATGTGGGCTTCATCCCACACTGTCTAGATGATAGCTTCAGGAGGTAAATATCAATAAAGAAGATAATAATAGTAATAATAATAATAGAAATAATAATAACAAATAGAGCGTAGCCTTGTCCAAACAGCCTCGTCTACTCCTTCTACACCCCGCTAAAACTTTTTGATAAAATTATTGAAATAAAAACAACCTCTCTTTTATACAATATCTGCGCTTTGATCACCGTATCTTTCTTTGGCCGATACAATCTAAATAGTGGCTACTATCATAAATCGCATTCATTCAGGGCTGAGGGCTGGCACCCGCCAGTTTCTACCACTTCAAATTCGAGGAATCATGGCAGTCTCAAATGATTTGCCACCTGTTGAAGCAGTAAACTCAGAATCTATTGTGCATGAAAAGAGTGCAAATGGCTCTAGCAATCCACCCAGGAAACTGCATGGCCGCGCCTTTTATGAAAGTATCGGTAGTCCCAAATTCATTCTCGCGCCCATGGTTGATCAGTCCGAATTCGTAAGTTGGCGAAGCATCCGTGATGATGCTTCTGTTCTCCTCTAGCATTCCATCCATACTAATTCGAATTGGCACAGGCCTGGCGCATGCTTTCTCGCTCCTTCATGTCCCCAGAATCAAACAAATCTCTCCTGGCATACACACCCATGCTTCACGCGCGCATGTTCTCTGAAACTCCCAAGTTCCGCGATGCACATTTCCAGCCGATGAAAAGCTCGCTTGTTTCTCAGCTGGATTCGTTTTGTCCTATTCTAAAGGAGGATATCTTTCTCGATGGAAATCCAGCTTTCGATCGACCTCTTTTCGTACAATTTTGCGCAAATGATGAGAAGGAATTACTCGACGGAGCGAAATATGTAGCGCCTTTTTGCGATGCTGTAGATTTGAATTTGGGATGTCCTCAGGGTATCGCGAGGAGAGGAAAGTATGGGGCGTTCTTGCAGGAGGATCAGGGCCTCATTTACAAGTTGATTAATACGCTACATGAAGAATTGGATATACCTGTTACGGCGAAGATTAGGATATTGGAAACGAGGGAGAAGACGTTGGAATATGCAAAGATAGTGGTGAGTGCTGGAGCGAGCATTTTGACGGTGCATGGAAGGACGAGGGAGATGAAGGGTCATAAAACGGGGTTGGCGGATTGGGCGGTTTTGAGATTTTTGAGGGAGAGTTTACCCAAAGAAGCGGTTCTTTTTGCGAATGGAAATATTTTGTCAAGGGAGGATATTGATGAGTGTCTGAAAGTGACAGGTGCGGATGGGGTAATGAGTGCAGAAGGAAATTTGTATGATCCGACAATCTTTTCGGATGCACCGGCCATAGGGGAGGAAGGGAGAGAGTATTGGAGGAGTTTAGATGGGAAGATGGGAGGTTGGAGAATGGATGCTGTGTTGAGGAGATATATGGATATCATTTATAAATACGTTTTGCAGGTATCGCCGCCTGAGAGGAAACCTCTTTTCATATCCTCGGATCCGGAAGAAAAGTTTGGAGAAGAGGTAGAAGAGGAAGTGGAAGAGGGACCACCAAAAAAGAAACAGAAGGGGAAACCACGAGTCAAGCCTGGTCGCTATGCAACCGCATTGTTTCAAACTTCTAGACCGCTGGTTTCAAAACATCATGATATGAGATGCGTTAGCAAAGTGCAGAGCAGGGATGTAAGCTTTGAAAACGTCTAAATGACAGAAAAGGTTGTTAAAGAATAATAGAATATGAGAACAAATGAAAGTTATAGAGAAAGTTGGCGGAAAGAAAGAGAGGAGGAAAGCTTAAGAACTAGAGACCTAAAGGAAGAGTGAGGAAAGTAGGAAAGATGGATGGGAAGAGGAAAAGGAAGGGATTCTGAAGAAGATCGAGGCATAGATTTTGGGTGTGGAAGAGGGGTATGAAAGGAAAAACAGTGGAGGTTCCTAAAGATGGATTGGTTTGTGGATGATTTTCTCTTGTTAGTTTCTTTACGTTGAGTTGAATCAACTACACTTTATCAGACTGGCGCGATATGGTATGGTATGGCTTAGTGTGTGGCGTGGAATTGCGCTCGAATATTAAATTTGGTAAATATATATATACACATAGATATAGATATAGATCATAGAAGAATAGTATATTTATAGAAGAGACGAAGATAAATAGATAGTAGATCAGTAGAATGGAATAGATAGAAAGATAAAAGTATAGTTGATCAAGTAGAATGGTATGTATAAGAAAATAAAGGAGAAAGAAGTTGATGTATCGATATGATGGGTGGGTGGGTTGTGTGAGTGAGTGAGTGAGTGAGTGAATGGATAGATGGTGCGGAGTGAGATTATATGAAAGATGAAATTGGAGGATTGGGGAAGAGTAGAACTGGAGGGAGTTAGAATTGGAAGATTACATAATTAGAGGGAGGAAAGTATCGTTTTGGGAAGGGAAGGGAAGGGAATGGTATGGTTACTAGTCTAGAACAAAGTTAAGCTGTGGGAACTAGTGTTAGGATAGTGCTGTGAAATACTAGGGACAAAGGATGATGATGTGACGTCACGCGGCGGGCGGCGGGACGAATGCTTGACTACTCGGAAGGAGAGAAGGCTAAGGTAGTTTGGGGCGTTTCATTTAGTTAGGATTAGCTAACACTAGAAAGAATCTAAATTCATGACATTCATTGATTTGATACTGTATATTGCATAAAAAATATGTAAGTGAAGGGTTAACCTGCTTAAATCTGTCTTCAAATTCCACATCCATAATCTTCTCAAAGTTTACTCAACTTCCCATCCTTCTCCTTCTTCGCACTATCTAATCTCGTCCCCTCATCATCCTGCTCCTCAACCCTCAGATCTGGAAACTTGGCCGGCATGATCCTCCTCGGTGTAGTCCCAGGCACTAAAGCATATTTACTGAAATCTGTCACTCCATCATGATCCCTCAAATAGTCCTCATCCAACGTCAAAAGACCATTTACATCCTCAGCCGGTGCTTTCAAAATCGACAAAATAGCATCAGAAAAAATGCTCGGATGTCTCAAATCCTCATCGGGCGAGGAAAAATGAGCTGTCGCTGCAGACTCAATCGCACTCGCGGGCCATAATCCCGTAACCGCCATTTCCTTGGCTTCTTCTCTTATTCTCGCAATATCCATCCCGAGTCCCTGCACTAAAACACTCATTCCTACTTTCCCCATCGCATATGCGGTTTTGCCCCGGAAAAATCGGGAGTAGATTGGGGGACATATTACTATAATCCTCGCTTTCCAATTTTGGGTTTTCCAGTGGGGAATGCAAGATTGGATGGATGCGTAGAGACCATTGGGATTGACGGACTCCATTAACATGTAACGGGATAAGGGGGTGGTGAGTACAGAGGAATGGTAGATGGCGCCGGAATTGTAGACCAGTACGTCGATGCGTCCATAGGTTGACATGGCTTGGGAAACGAGAGAGGAGATATCGGCATGGTTGCGAACATCACATGGTATGGCCGTGGCTGTTCCCCCCGATTCAACGATTTCCCGACAGACGGTGGAGATGGTTGAGGCAGATGAATTTGGGTCAGGGGGGAAAGGATGAGTTGCGGAGGCATCGCTGGTGGATTTGGCGGATACAATTACTTGGTGTTTTGTTAGTAAACGGTATAAACGGATGAGATATGTGTATGTACCTGCATATCCATTCTTGGCGAGATCAATTGCAATTTGCCGTCCAATTCCTCGAGATGCGCCGATCACAAGTGCTACCTCTTTAAATGTCATGATGAATTGAGAATTTATATGAAATGGGGATTAAGGTATCCGATCATTTAGATCAATATATATTGGAAAATACATATCTCGGACCTCGTGAAAGGGGAAGTTTAGTGATCAAATGTTTGTAAGGACAGGAGGGGAGAGGAGAGGAGAGACATGCGCAATGATGCATGCATGGTGTGTTTAGTGATCAGGATTTCCGGGATCGAGCTTCCTGAGCCGAGGTACACGGACACTGGTATCCAACCTCCATCCATGCCATTGTGTTTTGATATCTAGAAAAGCACGCCATTCTTTCAATTGGTGTTATAATTTTCACCAAGTAAACTCATCATGCCGGGCCATATAGATTGTTATCTTGATTGCTGTAAGTGCATCAAATCATTTATCTCCAGAAACTTTCCCCACGTCCCCCGCATTCTGCCACCCGGCTAACCCCTATCGATACCAAAGCTTCATTCTACAGCTACGCCGCTCTAGTACACCTCCGAAAGAATCGAGAAGTTCTTCTTACTCATGATGTTACCGTCGAGTGAGTTTTTTAATCTCTCTACTCTTTCAGATCCTATCTAAATCCAGTCTCAAGTCTCATTCCGGTCTTCCTCGGCGGCATAAACCACGGCTCGGGAAACAAACCACCATGGACTCTTCCTGCCAAGGCAAAGTACAGCAAATTCGACACTGCTCGCACGATTTTATATCATGGGCTTCCGGAACTTCAACCTCCTGATTTCTTCCCACCTGTGACACTTCTTGTATGTAATCAATCATCTCTCGCCAGACACTGATTTGTAGCTAACACATGATGTGAACACAAAGCCTCAAAGAGCACTCTGCTTCATCAAATCCCGCTATCCCGTCGAAACATTCGAGAAAACATTCTTAAGCATGTTCGATGCCCTTTGGGTTGCTCCTCACAGAAACATCACGATTCCTGAAGAACTTCGGGATTTCCTAAGTAAGCTAGGATCGTTTGATGAGAAGCAGGTGGGGGAGATTATGGCAATGGCGGCGGAGAAAGAGTGGAAGGATAAATTACTGGCGAATACAAAAGATGCGCTTGAGAAGGGTGCATTTGGGGCACCGTGGCTGTGGGTTAGGAATGGGGAGGGGTTGGAGGAACCGTTTTTTGGGAGTGATAGGTTTCATTTTATTTGGAGGTTTTTAGGGGTTGGATTTAGGGATGTGGAGATTGTGGAAGGTGATAAAGGGGAAGAGAGGAAGAAGGCCAAGTTGTGAGAATGTGTCTGTGTAGATCGCGTTGGTGATAGTTGGGCATAACTGCTGTACATTGACGAACAGTGAACTGTACATGTGCTACTATTTAGAAGGATAGCGTAAGGATATTGTTGTGTTGAGAAACTGGAGTTTAAAAACTGTACGGAGCACACTATCAATGAAATATGTTGAAGACTGCTTCATGCTTTGCGAATCATTGAAAAGATCAGACAGTGATAATGCTTGTAATGCTTGTAGAACTTTATGTTTGTTGATGCTTCTAGATGAACTACCGCAATAACATAGACACGTCCATGAATGTATAACTACAAATTCATATCGTTGTTCCAAAGAAATACGATCTATCATCACGTGATATCAAGCGACAATGCGCACGTGTCTCCCCATACTTTCCCAAAATAAGGGGTCCAAAAGGTACCAGATTTTAATCGAGATAAGCTTTCGAGCCGCATGAGAGCTATATAAAGGTTGACAGTGAGTATCAAATTCTCTTTCCTTGCAAAAGTTCTTTCTTTTTCTTGTATCAATCATAGATTTTTTTCGATTTGATTTCGTCTTTCTCCGAAGATGTATACAAAACCTCACACAATACCATTTTGAGACAATGGAGAAAAGTTTTCGATTCCATCCCTCTATCAATTTGATGTTGTTGACATATTCGAATTGAAAAGTTCCAATGCATTTCAAAGGGTTGGTCAAAAAATGGATCAAAAGATGGACTTTCTGATTTAAATGGTTATCGCCTAATCATTTAATTATGGGGTGGCGCTCTGTTAGCTAAGCGATCACCGGCAAATCCCAGGCAGAATCAAAAACGCGCCTGGTGAGAAATCAATCAGCTTCCCATCCATATCAACATTTGAATAGGTAAACACAGATAGATACCAATTCATTCATCATAATTTCATGCGAATAACTTCTTCGCGGAAAGGAAAAGGAAAAGGAAAAGAAGAGAAAAGGATTTTTATCATTCGCTAATCTTATTACATTTACATTCCACTTCCAACAGAAAAGAGTATCATCCTTGTTGTTCAACATTAACTGAACATCGATCGCTTTCCATTTACAGCAGCGCGCGAAACTTATCAATGTTTTAACAAACAGGTGAATTTCGACGAATCACCATCGCTTTTTAAACATCTTCCTTTACGGTCTTTGAAATTCGAAGCTACATATAATCCCCACTCCCCGCTATGCCAGCGAAGAACCGCAAATTGGAATTCTTCGACCCTAATAAATCCGACTCCAACGACGACGATTTCTCCCCTTCCGAAGTCGCTCCACGAAAGGCTGCAAGAAAGTCAAAGTCTCAACCGCAAAAGAAAGCAGGTTCGCGAAAAAAGAATAAATACAAGGATTCAGATATTGATGAGGATGATGAAAGTGTGTCGGAAGAATCATTCATAGAAGAAGAATCCGAGGAAGAAGATTTCGAAATGAACGAGAAGACTGGAAGAGCTGTGCGGAAAGCCGCGAAGAAAGCTGTCACTTATGAGGAGGATAGTAATAGTGATGTTGATTTGCTTCAGGAATCCGAGGAAGAGGTCCGTCCGAAGAAGTCCAATAAGCGAACGCGCGTGGTAGACGACGGCGAGGACGAGGACGAAGATGAAGTCGAGGAACCCATTTCGAAGCGCAACAAGACAGCGCAGAAACCAGTGGAGAAACCAACGGAAAAGAAAAAATTCATGGTAACACTTAAGATGCCAACCGGAAGTACACCCGCTCGAAGAACAAGAGCTGGTAGCGCCGCAAAAGCTCGAGCAAGCGCTGAACCTACATCTGCTGGACTTAGAAGGAGCACTCGCGCGCGTACCGAGGAAGGTGAAGATTTTCCTTCTTTATCAAACTCCGGCAGGCATGTCATTCGGGCTTCGAGATCACCAGAGCCGATTGGTCGCGTGAGAGCCACTAGAGGAGCGAAGGGCCTCAAAAAACCTGCTGCTTCTACTATCAAAGAAGAGGCGCACGAGACGAGCTCATACGAAGACCCGCAACAGGATGCCGAAGGCGAAGACGATATTGTAATGCAACCTGAGATAGTCGGAACAGATGATGGAGAAGAAGATAATACCGAGCCACTTGCACCTATCCCTCCTGCTGATGCGCCAGCCGATGAAGATATGGTGGACGAACTCGCCGTTAATGAAACGCCGACAGAAAAACCAGCCGGCCATGATGAGGATGACGACGATGAACCAGTCACAAGGACTCGCACAAGAGCCTCTAGATCAAGTAACGCGGGCCAAATCACAGAAGAAACAGTAGAGACAACCGAAACTTCAGCTACTGCTTCTCGACGCCTCAGAACTCGAGGTTCGAAGAGAAATAAAGATGATGGGAGTGATTTTACACCTGAAGGCGAGGGCTCCGAGGAAGAGATGACTGCATCTGAAGCTTCGCCAAAGAAAGGCGGGGATGATGATGGCGATTATTCTAGCTCTTCTAGGCCTGGAAGGAATACAAGGCGAGCGAAGTCCAAGAGCACTTCTCGAAGACGTGGTAATGTATCCGACGACGAAGATGAGTTAGACGCAGAAGAATTGGCAGATGAGCTTCAAGAACTTAGGCCATCTCGACGACGCAATCGCGAACCGGAAATCGCGTACGAGCCAAAAGGTCGTCGTGAACGGAAGCAAGTCGACTACAAAATCATGCCAATGGACCAAATATACGCTCAAGATGACGACGTAGAAGACCCAGCACCAAGTCCATCCCGTAGAGGTCGCGGCGGTCGTGGACCGGCAAGCAAACCATGGGAACACAATCTACATGCCACATATGGTCCGTTTGGAGGTGGACTTGGACCACCTCCGCTTATTAGTGGTCCCTGGGGTAATGGTGCTACTGGTGGTGTTGATTCGGACGATAGCGACGACGAGAACATGCAACGTCCAGCTGCTCCCGGTGTTGGTATGACACCTACCTCTGCCACTATGGGGAGGCCCGGTTTGCTTCCCCCAATGCCACAGGCAAATCAACTTGATCAAACGCCAATTGGAATCGGTGCACAGGTAGGAAAAGTCAAGAGTCAGAAAGCCCTCGCAGATGCAGACCCTCTCGGCGTCGACAAAAATGTTGATTTTACCAAAGTCGGTGGACTTGATGGTCACATTGAACAGCTCAAAGAGATGGTACAAATGCCTCTATTGTACCCCGAACTTTTTCAAAAGTTTAACGTGACGCCCCCACGTGGTGTGTTGTTCCATGGTCCACCAGGTACTGGTAAAACCCTTTTAGCCAGGGCTCTGGCGGCCACTGTTGGTACAGGTGGTCGCAAAGTCACGTTCTATATGCGAAAAGGTGCTGATGCTCTTAGCAAATGGGTTGGTGAGGCCGAGAGACAGCTTAGATTGTTGTTTGAAGAGGCGAGGAACACCCAGCCAAGTATCATCTTCTTCGATGAAATCGATGGTCTTGCTCCTGTTCGATCAAGCAAGCAAGAGCAAATTCATGCTTCTATTGTTTCCACGCTCTTGGCACTCATGGATGGCATGGATGGTCGAGGGCAAGTCATTGTCATTGGAGCAACGAATAGACCCGACAACATTGATCCAGCCTTGAGAAGACCCGGTCGATTTGATCGAGAATTTTATTTTCCATTGCCTGATATTGAAGGTCGAAAATCAATCATCAACATTCATACTAAGGATTGGGGTATTGATGATTCGTTCAAGACTTCTCTGGCTCAAGTTACCAAGGGATATGGTGGTGCTGATCTTCGTGCTCTTTGTACACAAGCTGCCCTCAATTCTATTCAGCGTTCGTATCCCCAAATATATTCCTCCAATGACAAGCTTCTTGTGGATTCTTCGAAAATTAAGGTTACGGCCAAGGATTTCATGATATCGGTCAAGAAGATTGTACCATCATCTGAACGTTCAACTTCTTCCGGAGCCAAGCCATTACCAAAGAGTGTCGAACCTCTACTTCGAGAACAACTCAGCGCAATCGAAGAGATTGTTGATAATCTAATTCCCATTAAGAAGAAGACAACGGCGTTGGAAGAAGCAATGTATGAACAGTATGACGATGATGATCAAGGATTTGCTCGAGAAGAAATGCAACAAGAGTTTGAAAAGTCACGAGTGTTCCGTCCAAGATTACTCATTGATGGTGAGCCTGGCATGGGTCAAGGATATCTTGGCGGTGCCTTGTTGAATCATTTCGAGGGATTACATGTCCAGAGTTTCGATCTTCCGACTATATATTTAGACTCTACTAGGGTTTGTTTTCCCTCCTAACAGTCTTTTTCTTGGATCATATACTGACGTTAAATTAGTCGCCGGAGACAGCTATCGTTCAACTGTTTGCTGAAGTCAAACGTCATAAGCCAAGCGTTATTTACCTTCCAGAAATTGACACTTGGTATCGTACACTTCCAGAAAATGTGATAACCACGTTCCTTGGACTTCTCAATGCTATTCCCCCTACAGACCCTGTTTTAGTGCTCGGCATAACAAACGTCGGCCCGGATAAGGTGAATCCGAAAATGTTGCGCAATATATTTGGTTTTTCAAAACACAACCAGTTCACCATCAATCGGCCGTCAAGGGTAAGCATCATTCCAGTTTTTGTATGGTTTAAAATTATTAACGAATCTTAGAAATCGCGAGAGGAATTCTTCCAGAGCATTATTTCGTATTGCCGAAAAGCGCCAAACGAGTTTCCTGACCCAGCTAATCGTAAGAAGCGTAAGCTAGAACCGCTTGCACTGGCTCCACCACCGCCGCCGCCAAAAGGTCCTTCCAAGGAGGAAATTAAAGCAAGATTATTGGCTGATCGCCACATATTGAATCTTTTGAAAGTGCAGATTCAGCCCATCATGGATCAGATCCATAGAAGGTATAGAAAGTTTCGGCAACCTATTCTTCCACAAAATCAGATCCAATATCTCTTGGACGAAAAAGATCCAAATTTTGTCCGTCCAGATGTACCTCAATTCCGACCATTTGAATTGGCTGTTGACAAAAAAGGGGTGCAATGTCTACGTGAAACTGCGACCGGAAAGATTTGTTACAATCTAGATACCACAATAATCGAGGAACGGCTAGTCAATGGTTTCTACGCTCGACCAAAAGACTTTGTATTCGATATCAAAACTCTTGTTAGAGATGCCAAAGCTTTTGGTGATAAAGATCGACAGCTCAGGGCCAAGGAAATTCTTGCTAATGTTGAAGTTGATCTTTACGCGATGGAATTTGATCCTAAGTTTGCTGATTGCGAGAATTTATATCAACGACAATTACAACGAGCTAAGGAAGCGGAGGAGGCAAGTAGGAAGAAGGGTCAAGAGGTAGAACTTGGGATAGATTTAGTGCGGTCGGATATCCTCTCTGAAGAAGCGAGCTCGAGAGCAATAAACTTAAGCCAAACTATTCGTGGTCGACGCCCGGTCTCTGATGCTCCACCTTTCCAAACGCCCAGCGCTCCTCTCTCCAACGGTCATTCAATAGCTTCAAGCTCTCAGCAGCCTACAGTCAATGGATCTTCTGTACCGTCCAGAGCGAGCGGTGAAGATATTATGATAAGCGGGACAAACGACAATGCCTCGGATTATTCACAGGGTTCTCCTGCTCTTCCTCGTCAGCAGTGGCCACCCAAGGTATCAATGGCTCCTTCGAGCATCTCAAACCGTGCCACTGGGTACAATTCTCAGCGATCTGCTTTCCAGGAGATTTCGCATGACGCGTCTCTAAATTCGTTGATCAACAACGCTTCCCCAACAACTTCCGGAAAGAAAACATCAGACACGACGACCTCCAAGAGGGCCTCGAATAATTGGAGTACACAAGCTACAAACGGTACTCGTCTGGGTGCTTCAAGTCCGATAGACGGGCAAAGACCAGATGCTGACCTTCCGGAAACGCAGCGGCTGTCACAGAGTTTAAGCACGCAAACCACAAATGTGGCCGAGGGAGATAAAAGCAGTGGCGAGGAGTGGCTTCATTCACAAGCACATGCTCTCGCGCGCGGTGATCTTGGATTCCCATCTCAGACACCAAGCACACACAATTCACAAGAAAGGCCCCCTGTACCACACTTTGATGCCCCCTCACGACCATCTGCATCCAAGCCTTCTCAGAATAGCGGCGCGGCTGACGACTCGCTAATTGAAGCCAACTATACGCAGTCATCTTCGCCCAAGGAATACATCATGACAGAATACTATGCAACTGAACTATTAGAAAAATTCACAAATGGATCAAGCGGTTGTTCGATTGAACAATTGGAACAAATTTACCGCGAATTAATGGACTATATATGGAAGATGAGAGGGGAGTGGAACAGGAATCAGATTTGCGTCAGATTGACTGGTATTTTCAATGAAACCATATTGGATATCGAGGCAATGCAAAAGGTTTTAAAACCGAGTCAGGAAGACCACCCGGAATCACTTCGCTCGACTCAGGAGTCGTCGTAATCGCATTGTCTTGAGGTATTGGAAATAATGGAGGCTGAATCAGGAATTGAGCATGGCGCTAGACAGGGTTTTCTTCATTACAAATTGGCTTGATAACTGATATCGTGTGGAAATGTATTTTATCGTATAGCCTAAAGAAAGCATAGGCTCAAGCATATGTGTCTATTAATTTGGTATGATTTGATGATGCTTATGTTTAAGAGTTCTTGATCTTAATATTTCCTCATAATCAGTTGTGAATTTATGAGTATAAGATTATGGGGTTTGGTGAAACAAATTAAGAAGCAGAAATAAAGTATATCGCCGGGTTCCCAATTGTTTGCTGTGAAATGAACCACCGACCACAAGAAGTGCTAAGCGGACGGACGATGTAAAATCTTAAGTATGAGTTTGTCTATGGAAATTGTTTTTTCGTTATTACTTCATTTAATAATTATGATTTGAGCCCGTTTGTTTTGTGATTGCAATGGTGTTGCGATAGGTTTTGCACGCTGTTGGTTATATTATTTTCATTATTAAATGATGTTCATTAAGTTAAAAGGAAGAGGTATATAATAGGGTTTTTTTTATATAGCTGATTCTTTTCTTTTCATAGTTCACAATCATAGAACTATTTCATCTCTAGAGTTTTACAATATTCCCCTGAATTACGTGACAGTTTATTTTCGATGGGTTTATTATGATCTTATTAAAAATAAATCATCTATAAATCTTTGTTATATATTCATTTATGTATCTTGAAATGTCGATTGGATATCCAAACTCTATACAAAAAGGTATGATTTCAAATCCGAATCATCTAGGATGTTTATACCGGACCCAAGCTGACGGGTCAGTCAAGTGCGCCGGGAAATTTTCCCCAGGAAATTTTTTCCCGGCTTACTATCGAAAGGCTGTATGAACTGAGAAGAATAACTGATAGTTTTACTGGTTTTTGAATGCTGGAAAAGGAGACCGCTTTAGTTGTAGAGGCTTTTAGGGGTTAGCCAAAGGGGAGAAAAAACAAGGCGAGTGATATTCTGAATGGTGTTTGAGGCATCGCGGAAAATGGAGCTAGGGAAGCTAATCCATCATAGCCATCATCGAATGGCAAACTAAGAAGCTCTTCTGGGTCCCATCGATCTTATCTAAATCCAGCAATGCCATTTAGGCTCGAACAAGTTGAGCTTTCTGATGAGCAATAGTTTCTCGAACAATCTCCTCCATCGCTTTTTGATCGGCCTTAGCTTGTTTGTCGGAAGTGAGATGGTTTACCAGAGACCTGTGTCGATCAGTCCATAGAGATACGCCGTTAGTTGACAATAAACGCCTGTAATGCAACAAAATTCTTTCAAAAGAAGCCTCAAAGTCTTTATCATTTTTGCTATTACTGTTGTAAATTGTCTTGAAGTAGCACCTATACATAGTGGCATGCATGTTAAGGGGTTCCAGAAGAATGGATGGTGGATAGCCTTTCGAGAAGAGAAATATTGTTTTACATTCTTCCGGCGTGATGCGATATGATTTCAAAAAGTCGTTGTAGCGTTCACCTCCAACGTTCCAGCCAGCACGATTAGGATCGATCATAAAAAGTGCAAAGTCGGCGGCGATATCTCCTCTATGACATGTTTCGTTACGAAGATCTATCACTTCCTTACTTGCTGGACCCCGGCCTTCAATCTCACGGATCGCACCACCGTGGTGAATGCGACGTCCCGAGTGATGAAATCCGTGCCGAACACGAGAGCAGAATTGCGCCGTCACCCTATAATATGGAAGATAGGCTTCAATTATTTCTGATTCTTGCTTGAGTGCGGTGGTGGTGCTACTTGGTTGAGCGGGACAGGCTTTGTATTGCTCTAGGGCTGCCTCAGCTCGGGCTTGAGCTTTTTGTGCAGCATCAAGTTTGATTTGCAGGGAAGCATTATCCTCGAGGATCCGTGCAATGTTGTTAGCGTCATTATTGTTTTGAGCTGGCTTGGTGTTGCTTGGGGGAGACGTATTCATGGTCGGGATGTCAAGGACCATGGAAATTTCGAGCTTGATGGCCTAATCAAAGTTAAGTTTGGGTCTCTTGTAAAAATGGTGCTGTACCGGGACGGACCTCAAACTCCTTTCTCAGCTGTTCTTTCTTAGCAGCAGCATGTTTTCTTAGAGAAGCGGTGAATTTTACGATGTGCTCATCTGTATCAGACATAGAGAACACTCTCAATTCCTGGAGAGGATAATTGACACCCACTTCGTCATTGATCTTTTGAATCAAGTCATTATTCTTCTTGGTGTTCTCATTGATTTCCTGCCGAGGGTTGTTAGCAATGGGCCTAGGCTGTCGACTGTAGAGGAAGAAATCTGTTACTTACACGAAATACCTCGGAAAGGTTATTAAACTTGTCAATGAGAAATTTCTTCTCTTCGAAGACGCGAGTCTCAATACTACGCTCGACTCGTTCTTCAGAAAGTCCGATGAGTTCAAGTCTCAGCTTTTCGAAGCTCTCGAAAAGATCTTTGAGAGATTTGGGATTTTTATCATCAGAACTGTTGGCTGTAAGCGTCTCAGTAGTTGTGGAATTACGGTGCTTCGTGACATGCCTCAACTCTTCAGAAGATATAGATTCCTCCGCGTTTAATGAAAGTTCATTGTCGCTGAGATGCGGTTGACGACTGGGAGAAAGTAGTGGAAGGGAATTTGATTGGATATCCGGGACTTGTGATAATGCTGATGATTGTTCGTCAACTTTTCTAGATGAAGCTTTCTCGACTTGATCTGCAAGCTGATTTTGGGAGAGGCTGGACATGGCTTGAAGTGTGAGCGGGGCAGGGTAGGTATCGAATATGATGGTACTGTCCCCCATATTGAGATCGTTTGAATGAATAATAAAATTCCAGGCAATGTTAATGTTTGATGTCGTGAGCTGGCGGACCTTACCTGGAATATTAAGTCTTACAATCAGCTGCCCCACTTTTGGCTTACCCGTCCCTGTTTTTGGACCGCCTCAAAAAATCATACCGTTTTAAACAATCAACTCTTTTAATGAATAATAGAAATATCACTAGATAGCATATTTGTTGAGATATTGATCACATGAATCACTAGCGTTGACGCTAGTGCCTCGGCAAGAGGGATCACATATTCATATAGTTCCCCATTCCCGTAGTTCTAGTCTTTAAGCAAATCAATACGAATACTACAGAGTACATATTGAAGCTTCACTTCCCCATACCCCGCCACAACCGACAATATTAAAGAAGCATTTTTAAAAGTTAGAAATAAATAATAAAACAATCTGTTTTTTATTATAATAAATTATATATAAAATAATTTATTTAATAAATATTCTTATTAGATTAGATTTTGAAAAATACTATATTGAAATTATTTAATTAATTAATTATACAAATCAACAAAATTTAATTAAATCTTTGAATTAAAGAGAAAATTCTATAATTAAATAATATATTAATTATTAATAATTATAATAAAAAACCTTATTTAAGTTTAAAGATTTTAAGGATTTAAATTATTAAACATCTTTAAATCAAAGTTGTTGATTTTAAAATAAGATCCTTTTGAGAATTTTTTATAGGTCATTTATTAAAGTCAGCAATTATCAATTATTAAAAATTAAAAGATTGAATAATAATAATATTAATAGAGGTGGCTGAAAAGTGGAGTACCTGACTCAGATCATTAGATTGATGGAGGGATACTAACGCTGTAAAGTTTTGTGTCTCATATTTAGATTTGAATTATGATAAGATAAATTGCTTTATTCTTCAGAAGTAGCATTCATTCTACTAGTACTTAATCTCTGCTCCCTTTCATTGCTTTGATGAAACTAGAAACGACAAAAACTAATTAAACCCAGACACAAAATGAATACCAGACAAAAAAGCCATTTGCTCTTAAAACAAGCGCATTAAGAGTTCTTAGATATAACTCCATAGATCCTATAATCATGCAGACTGTTTCGGTCAGGATCCGATTCGCCTATGGACATATTAGTGCATGACGTCCCTTTGCAGATTTTTCATCTCCTGTACAATCCTGATCATTTCATTGAACATTTCGAATTGGTTTGACCTAACCTCAGCGTCGAAAATTTTACCTTTGTCCACGGTGGTAGGTGCATCGATTGCTTCGAATTCAATCAAGCATTGAGAAAATTGATTACGAAATAGTGCGTCGCGAGCCTTGGAAAGTGTCTTTTCAGTAAAGGAACCACATTCCACGAGAATCGCATGCATGTCAAAAATCTCATCGAGTCTTTCCGATACCTTGTAAAAGTGACGGTATTCACCAACAGAGACTCCATACATGTTGCGAAACATTTCGTGACTGATGACTGGGCTACTCACAACCCCTTTCGCAGATAGGGCGATTGAGGCAAAGTGTGCATTGATATGACCTCCAGTTGTGGCGAGATTCCCAGCACGAACAATGTCCTCGTTGAATCGAAGGTGGCTGTTGTCCAGCGATGTGTAAATACCATCACGCTTGACTCTTTTCATGTTTTCGGCGCTTCTTGCTAAAATCGGAAGTCCTATCTCTTCGGCCACAACAAAAAGATGAGCTCTATCTTTCTCTGCCTTAGCCAAACTGTGTACTAGTTGTCCGCGCGTGTCATAAGATTCATTCAAAGCGGCCTTATACTCTCTGAGTGTTTCTTGACCAGTAGATACTTCAGAAGCAAGCCTTTCAATGGTTGCTTTTGTGCCAAACCGGAAGCGATCAAATTTGCCTTCCCATTTTCGAATTTTTTCCTCTGTGGTCTGGAGTTCTAGTTTGAGGCGTCTATTCTCTTCGATTGGTGAGAAGTCATTATATTCCTCTGTCTGGTTTCCTTCTTCAATTGCTGCGAAGTCATTGTCTTCCTCTGTTTGGTTTTGTTGTCCAAACGGATGGTCTAGTACATTGGAGGATTCCTCTCCATTTTCCATAACCCAGGAGGTATCCTGATGCTGTATGCTATTTTCGACAGGATACTCTTCCAGATGACTATCTGGTACAATCGAACCTTCATCACTATCCTGTGAGATTGAAGAGGCGGGTCGAAGTGGAGCATAGCCTTCAACGTGATCATCCTTCGAGATCTCGAGTTTCTGCTTTTGTATATCCTACAGCACGGTGCATGTGATTAGTATATTTTACAAAATATGAAGACCTCATGCTTACTTCTTTGGCTAGTAGAAGCTGAGCTTTTGTATCCTGCGCAATGGAGCGTTTAGTCCTAATATACATTTCCTTGCGCATCAATAGGTTTCTGTCTCGACTAGCTTGATCAGGATGCTCCATTGACTCGTCCACTTTCCCCATCATGGCAAACCATAGCTCAGCTCTCGTTTGGACTTTATCATCTCGAAGATTGAATAATTCCCGATCAATCACGCCTTCCTTCGCAATGAGATTCTCGAGAAGAGCTTCCTGTGTATCGGGCAAAGTAGAGGATTCTTGAATACCCAATTCTACTCTGGAATTTAGTTCTTCCAATTTTTTTAGGTCGTCTTTGATTGTACAGTGGAGATCTTGTACTTGAGCCCGCAGTTCCTCTACCTCTGTTTTCATTTTCTTTTCGGAGGTTATCTTGCTCTCTAGTTCCGACTTGGTTTGTTCATGTTTATTGATTAGGACAGAGATGGCTTTTTTGGATTCATCGCTGATATGTGATAGTATTTTCTCGGTACCGGAATTGTTGCGATTTATGTTATGGCTGAAGATGGCGAGTGGCTTCTGTGGTAAAAAAAAAGGGGGGTTAGCATTGATATGCCGCGGCTTCATAATATATCTTGTCTCTGTTAGGCTTAATACTACTTACCCTAATGTCTTCATGAATTGAAAATTTCCTGCCCCTTCCTTTCTTATTGGTAGAAGTTCGGAGTGAGGCCATAATATCGAAGTGTGTCGTGATGGTTGCTGTTTGAAATCCTGATGTGGATATGCCGATTTTGAAAGTGTGGTACGAAGACTCTGATGTCGAAGATTTTGTGACGAAGGAAAATTAATTTTACATTTTGAATGACTCGATGTTTAAATACCCAGGCAATAGATATTATATTACTGCATGATGCTTAATGGTTATCAAGTACGGCGGTAACATGGCTGTATTTTGTCCGTACCTGATAAAATCTTCATTGTGACAGCGATGTTATAGGTCGTTTATTGAGGTGAAATGAGAGTCAAGAGAAGTAGACTAGATCTTCAAATGGAGGGAAGAATAGTTATATACGAGCACATTGGGATGATGTTTATTTTCAATAATGTATGTATGTCATGGGAATATATTAACGATTATTCTTGGTTGCATATTTATGTTATTCGTGTTGTATTTTGCTAGGCGCTGCGACGGAGAACTAAAACTTATGATGTCCCTAAGCAGCTGCCACGAGATCTTTTGCTCCTGTTTTGCACCTACAAGATTGGCTGTATGTGATCTGGATTTGACCCATGCGTCTCGAAATACTGAACAGAACTATCTCATTGTTTAAGAGGTGGTGCTAGATTTGCTGTCGTTTCCGAACAAGTGAGCTTGCCTTCGTTGCCTTTCCAACCACCCAATATGTTTGGAAATTATTCTCAACTGAATGAGCATCTTTGCAACCGTTTAATCATTGTCGAATTCCATTTGTGCCTTGGCTGCGGATCCTAGCTCTTTGAGATATCTTTGGTACACGGTTTCGCAGCGCTCTCGAAGAACTTCGAACCCCAAATCCTTAATTCGATCATGTGTAAGTTTACTGAACGACAAGCAGTGTGCCATTGAGCCCCTAAAGTTCGCGATCTCGGTGTTCTTTGAATCGAAGCTGTACTTGTCGCCAGCCCCCTGTGCTACCTCCAAAGCTGTGACTCCATAAATAATCTTGAAAAGTCCGCTATACTTCTGGAACTGATCGCTGGAGTCCGTCTGTATCAAAAAGGCATGGATTCGAACATTGCCACTATGTAAAGCAGCAGATCCTCCATCAATTGCGTCAACATTTGTAGGTCCACGGTCTGGGATGGTAGTAAAACTCCCAAAGTCATTGCGGCGCGTGGACAAGTTTAAGAAACGTAGACTGGTGGCCATGACGAGAGCACTAAAGTCACGGGTACAGCTTAGGTACTTCAATTTAGACTCAAGACTTTGGGTATACCCAATGATATTTGACCGAAAATATAATAGCGCATCTCTTTCCTTTTCAACGTTGTTTAGCTGATTTCTGATGCTACGATTTTCAAGACTCAGAGAATCGTTCTCGTTCTGAAGTCGTTGCAACTCCTCTTTGATCTCAACGAGTTCGAAAGAGGAAATCTTATCAGAGGTAAGACTTGCTGATTCGGTATCGCAGGTAGAAGTTACATCATGGTTAGCCTTAGCATGGCCTTCAGTATCCCAGTCGAAGCGGCGGATGGTTTCGATGCTCTTCAAAATTTTCTGTGTGGTTATCCATCAACTCAGCAGCCATTCATACCCAGCATATCGTGATTGGAAATGATACTTGCTTACCTTTCTCTGCTCTACGCTCGTGTCAGTATCTTGGATTATGGAGCCATTGATTTGCGTCTTCATGTATTCCTCCCATGCACTGTCAATATTGTGCTGATCAGCTTCAGTGCCCAGGATCACCTCAATGTTACCTCGAGACACTTTGACTTGGCTCAAGAGCTTGTTCCCAGCGCTGAGGATGCCGTTAAGGCTCTTTGCAATAATTAGTATTCTGTTCAAGTAAAGCAAACGTAGCAGATCTTACCTCTCGGAATTGATTGATGCCTTTGTAGTAGTCTTCCTGGCGGCGACAGCATCAGGCTTTTTCTTGTGATTGTAGAAGGCTCGAAGATGATTGATATCGAGATTCGCAAGCTTGCTGTACAAATTCAGAGAGTTGTCTAATTTCATCCTCCACAGGCGGTGAAGCCTCTGCCGCTGGGTCGAGGACCGGCATTGCGATTGTGTATTGGAGGAAGATTGGTGAGGGCAATTGTAATTGTTTTTCTCAAGATTATCGAGGGTGATAGTTGATAAGTACTCCCACCTTTAAGCTAAGTAACTCAATTCGATAGATCTACCTAGTTAGGTATTCACTTGATGTTTCAGCTTGTGTTGAAGGGTGAACGTACAACGCGCTTGACGGCTGTGAGAAAACTGTCGTCCTATCTTCCAAGTTCACTCGTCAGTTTCCCCTACACATGCTATACCAATCGCATCTTTGGGTCGGGGTGTATGAAGATGTGAGATGAAATGAGAATACGATGCTACCCAAAAGCCATGTCTGATATTTGATCAATTGTTTATCCACATTCTCTCCATTTTGCTCATTTCATCTACGATCTTGGCCATTGATACCAATTTCCTTCTCACCTCAGAGTCTGCATTGATATATTTGGTGCTCCTGTCCCTCTAAATCGTATCTATCACCATCTTCAGGATCTCTAAGAATTTAGAACTAAATGGAGCATCCTGCCTGAGAAATCAAGTTGACTTTCTAAACGAAGAAGAGAATACCATCGTTACCTGCACATCTAAAGTCTCTCTCACTTTGATAGATCCCCAAAAAGCTGGATGCGTGGAACCGAGTATGAAAGCATAAACGCTTCGAAGGAATCGCTCTTGCGTTCCTGGAAATTCAAATCCAGATCAGTAAAGGGCCGTCCCATTGTGTATTTCCACAATGATAAGTAAAGTCACCCTTTTCAACGAATTTGATATCAATCTTTCCACGAATATTCGAGAATTCATCCTCCACTTCCCAAAGACTCTGCAGACTTTGAAATACTCCAGAGCACAGCAAGAATAACAGTGTCTTCTTTCCTCAAATTAAAGATATTCGGATTTACACTCCTAGTTTTTGTTTCAGCTTCACCTCCCTATTTCGTGACTCTTACGTTTCCATTTCTAATCTAGTGTATTAGACGACTAATCGTGCCCCGAGGACATTGATTGCAGCCTGGTAGTGCCGCTGACTTTATGATCATGAGAAAAGGTTCGGTTCCATTGGTAGAAATATGTTGACAAGTGCAATAATAATCGATAGGTCCGCAAACATGACGTGCAAATCAAATTCCTATCAAAACTTTGCAAAAAATGATCTTTAGTGCTCTTCAATGCAAATAATGACTATACCAAGTTATTTCTTTAGCGTTCAGCTATAACTGGTAAGTAGTATTGTGTGGAACAGAGAATGACCGGAGTATAGGATCGGAGAGCTGGCAGGAACATAGCGGCGGCAGATTTGGAGCTGGGAAGCAATTATAGACGGAAAAGGTATAGAGCGGGTATATTTCTCCCGCAGATAAATAAAAATTGTATACAACTATTTATCTGGATTTTTCACAATTCCGACCGTCCCACACCTTGCGTCTTTCTATCATTGAATGGCACTTAGCCGCAGTTTATTCTCGATAGAATTAGACGAAATTATGTGGATTAGCACTAATTCTGTAGAAGAAACCTGCCATCCATGTGAAACTCTAGCTGGTACAGTGTACGTACCCGAACCACATTATTCTAAACTCTAACCTCGTAAAGTTACTGCCAATCACCCTTTCCATACGAATGTACATGCACCTAACATCATTTCTAGTACCAAATAAACTCTCCACTCTACCATAAATAACTACCATCAACCTTGCTTCTTTCCACAACCGCGTCACAAATCTCACGCAGAGTGTTAGGCTTCAATAATTTACGAATCATTGCTGAATGCTTTCGCAGCCTGGAGAGCTGTAGACGATCTTTGAATTGCACACTCAAACTCTGATTCACAATACTCCGCAAGAGTCAAGAATCTGTCATCTGCGTCCTTATCTGGAGTATGTTGTGTGAAGCATCCTAGATGTGCCATCGTTCCTCTCAAGTTCGCTATCTCTGTTACCTTAGATTGCGGTGCAAACTTGTCATTACAGCCTAGCTTTAAGTCGTCCAGGGCAACGCTATAGATTGTTTGGAATGTTTTTTCGAACTTTGCACGGTGGCTGGAGTTGATAATAAGTAATGCCGCATCAGCTCGGACATTTCCTCCATATGAATTACTTGCCGAAGTACCTATTCCCGGAGCGTGGAAGTCGATATCGAGTCCTGGGCAACTGGGAGAAATGATGTTGTGATGCGAGCGGTGTTGAATGACGGGATATTCGTGCGCCTTGGAGGTGCGGAGGAATTCAAGACGAGACCGAATACCGATATCTCTAAGAATGTCGTGTGGCTCCCTGTTACACTTCATCTTCACCAAAGAATTGGATAAATTTTGACCTCCTCTCTCAAGTCGCCATTGGTATCATCGAAAGTGACTTTGCATACCGGGTTCCACCATGGCTGCGTTTTCGTCTGCGCCTGTGCAGACTCCAGCGCAGCTTCGAGCCTTTGTTTCCCCGGCATATCTTCTGTTGGTTAGAACATGCTCGTCTCTATTCTCAGCAATCTGTTTTATCAGGTACTGTGTTGACTTCAAAGAATCAGAAATCTCTGAATTATCCTGAACAAGTTTGAACTTTTCATACTCAAGGCTTCTGTAGTCCTCCGTGAGATCTTCAAGCTGTCTCTTTACTGTACTAAGTTGTTCTAAAAGCTGAGAGTTCTCGTTCTCAAGTCTCTTGTCCGATGATGGCCTGCGAGAGGATGTATGGTAGAAGACGTGCTCGAGAGCTGCACGAGGGTGGCAGGCTGATTCATCGAAGCAGGAGTCAAATTGTTTTTCACTTGAACTAAAACCAAGGATGCGATTCTCTTTTCTCAAGATATCCTGTACGCACTATCAGTAGGGAATAACTAGCAAAAAGTGTCTATGAAACTGACAACCATACACGCACCAAATTCTTCTTGATTCCGTTTCCACTCAGCAATCTCTCTCTTCTTAATTTCGTTATGCCTAGATCCACCGTGCATAGCAAGAGCCTTCTTCACTTCCTGTGCACTTGTTTTGGGACCAATCTTAATTGACCGTCTTTTGCCGTGCTCAAGTGCCTTAAACTCAGCGGGCTCTAGCAGAGTGCTATTTTTTGCGGCACTCTACACTAACTATCAGCCATGAATTTCTGAATTGAGAAAAAATAATTGAATAACTTACATTGATAAGAGTTTTCCATCTCCCAAGGCTTGCATGTTTCTCATTGGAGATATTCTCGAACTCTTCTTCGAACGATAACGATTTCCGAGCAAAAGCGTCTCGTTCTTTTCATATTGTTCGTTCAGTTCGGCAAGCTTAGCTTTATCTTTCTCCAAGTCTCTTTTCCACTGCCTTTCGGATGTCATCATCTGGAAAATGGCTAAGTCAAATGTGAGATTCTCATAACGACTCAAGTATGTGTAATTTGGGAATGGCAGGAATAGATCAAAGAAAACGATAGAATTTGATAGATTGAGGTCTTGGTCTTGGGGAGCTGCAATTGTTTGTCAGAGGATTTCCAGGAAGAGTACTGGGCAAATTAGGTCCGAGCTCCAGGCTTGTTGAGCAAAAGGGTTGTTCAAGCCTCCAACACGATACAAATATCTGAAAGCGTCTTGAATTATTATAATCCAAAGTCTAGGAGGTGTATACTCTACTCAGTCCATCAGATATATAAGAATCATATACACCTTAGTTATATATTTTACCATAGCGTCATTTGGGCTTATAGTTTATTAGGTAAGTAAAAGGGTTATTTCAATAAGGCTGCATCCACTACTCTAGTCCAACCCCAAATTCATCCACATCATTACTCCTAGCCTGTCTAATCCATTGACTCGATCCAATTATTAATATCCTCTGAAATAAAATTTTACCTTCGGAGGATGACTTTTGACCAGCTTTCTCTCCAACCGAATTTAATTTTAAGAGTGTACTTTACTAAATTGTGAATCTTTGAAGTTTTATTTAGAGATAAAAATCATAGAAAAAGAAGGTTTCGTGTGATGAATAAAACAATTCACAATCGACAATCCCATCTAACTATCATTACACTAATCTGCGATGCGGTCACTGGCCTTTTGCTTAAACCAGAGAAGAGCCAATTCAATTGAATGAGCCAAAATATATGAAGTCTATTACACAATAAGTACCTAATTGTGAATTCAGTCCGCGCCAGTGATTAGCGAGTCCCCTTTCTTTCCTCACTCCCCACCTCGGATGACAATAATTTGAGATGCTGGAACAATTACATACAATGAACAGTCATTCAATTTTCCATCTACAAATATAAGAAAAGAGCCCTATCTTCGAAATGGTGTCATTCCTCCCACTTATATTCGTATCGAAATGGAGCCACAGATGTTCATGGTAAATGCTTGGCAAACTCTAGGTTCCCATTAACATTGGGTATAATCGCAATTTGATAAATAAAGGCTAAGTTTAAGGACTCTGGGTGGTGGCGAGAGCAATCAATGATTGAGGGAGTGGTGGGATAGATAAATTGGCCCTTTAAAGCTCTCTGGAATCAACTCGTCAGTAAACCTAGTAAACATGTTGAGCTGGAAAGATGCGACACTTACATCACTTATTTCCTCTTGGAGGCCGTCTACCATGATAAAATTTGGGAGCAATTACGGGCTTGTCAAGGGGTGTCAATGTCTGAGGAGGTCCATAAGTTGTGGAAGGTGTCGCAGAACTGGCATCATATCGCCGAGCTTTGGTGATAATTAGATCTGCGAACTCTCTAAGCCTCTTTAAATGGTGTGCGACACCCTCATCTTCTTCGAATACATCATCTTCCAGCTCCAAGTACTTGTCTTTAATGAAGTTCATACTGTCGGCGGCAGCTTGTTTGTCCTTGATCATTGAGCCATTATTTTGAGCATAAAGTGAAACGACACTACCCTGGTAATCAATAGCCTGAAGCATTCTTGCGGGCATTTTGCTATAGTTCTGAGGAGCTAAACCATCGTAAATGAGAGGAAAAACGGCTTTGAGGCGCGCCTTTTCCTCGTCTTCGAGAAAGTTTCCTGTGAGGAGAGCAGCATCTACAGCACCGTATGCCCGATGTGCCGCATCATTTCCTCTCTGTATGAATTTTGCGTCTAAGTTTGCTGGATTGAGACCCACAACCTTGGTTTTAGCTTTCTCAAGAAATCGAATGCGTATATCAGCACCAATACGAGCCAATGCGCTCGTCTTGTTCTGTTCTGTTTCCATCTCCAACTTTATATCCTTCAATTCCTGCTTCAGAGCCTTTCGTTCTCTTTCGATAAATCTGGCATGATTATCTGCATCCTCCAGTTGTTGAGTCTTCTCCTTGATTTCTTGGACTTGTTCAGCTATACGTGCCTGCAGTTGCTGGCATCTCTCTCTCCAAAAATATACTGTATTTATTTTGCTTTGTGCCATCGAACGATCTGATGCTTATCTGGTGAAATTTTTCAATTGTAAATTTTGGCCGCGTAAATAAATATATGAGCTTCTAGATGGAGCCAAAAAAAACATGCACGAGAAGCGTGACGCGATCCTGCGTTCAAGAAAGTCTTACATGCTCATAATATCAATATCAGCCCCACATGGCCGTAGGATATTAAATCATCGAAAGTGGCCATAGAATTATAAGCACGCGGCTGAAGCCTTCTGTATTTCAATTATGTTGCAATAATTCACATTCATGGCCGATATTTGCAGGAATTTGATGGGATGATCTTATTTCGGCTAACCTTATTATCTTTAAACATAAAATTTTCCTCCATCTTTCATAACTTATAACTCTATAAAATTCCTCCTTTCTTTGTCAGTTGGAAAAGAGAGGGCTTTAATCATCAATATTCTTCTTGTTTTCTCCCGTTCAAGGCCCGCTTATTACTCACTCAAACAATGAGAGTATCTCAGAAAACCACCAAATATCATTTTTTGTTGCTTCCGTGTTCTATTTCCCGCCAGAAATTGCCCATTCCTTGCTACTCTGGTTGAATATGTTGGTGATTCCGTTGGATGGATTTGCCTGGTCCGCTTGAGGCTCTCCACACCTCCACAGCTCCATGGAGAAGATTGAAGGATTCGATTCATTGTGTACATGTGAGTAAAATCATGGATCATTCAGATATATTTGTATATATTGACAGACGATAAATACGGTACTACGCGGTGACATTAGAGAAGACAATGAATCGAACAGAATACATGCGGGCTCATAGATAGGATGATCTAAGTTGTTCGTGTATATCTGATGATGTGTTCCAATGTTGATGATATAAGTTCCTTGGTATATATGGGTAGCAGGATAGGTTTTATACGCCCATGAAATTATTTGTAGAGTTAATTCTTAATAAACTACATCAGCTCTTCAAAAGTTACCATCAGGATTTTGCAATCACTGAAAGCACAATTCGGAATATCATTTATCCTGCTCAATTGAACAAAACTTTAAAGGATTTACCAGAATCAAACTATTTCAATTGAATAGAATATCAATGAAATTTCTTTCAAAGGAAGTTGACGCGATGCTTAAATAAAGAAATGAAGCGAAATAGAAAGAGATTTTGATGTGGGAATTTCTAAAGTACCGGAAGCAATGTCATTTTCAACCCACTAGCTAGCAACCGGTAATGATAAAACGAAGAAATTGGAGTATTATATTTACTATTTGCAAGGGAATCAACAACTTATACTAGGAAGGTGTTTCATGGCAGTTGTGATGGTGCAGATGAGGAAACTGAGGAGGGGAACAAAAACCACAAACTCAGAATAGTCGAAATTTATGATATCTTGCCAGAACACTGCTTAAAGCTTATTGTACTTCAATGGATCCAGTCATAATAAGAAGGAATGATGTTGAGAAAGTTGTGAGTAGAGAAGTTTCCTTTATTGAGTTTTTCGCGAAGGGTGGAAGGTAAAAAGAACAAAAGGAAATAAATGATTGAGTAAGGTATGAATTCAATTAGTCACTTTTCAAGGCAGAGGAAGGAATATTATCACATGATATTAAGTTGGAAAACAGTTGCAGATATTTATAAAAATGGCGTCTAGTCGTTTGATTTTGAAATGAAATGAAACTCACTCACCTTGGGGCTCAAATTGCCAACAGATGACTTAGCGCCTACGGCTGCTTGTTGTTGGATGAGTTCTTTCCATGTTGAGATTAAGAAGTCGGTGGTGGTGGATTTGGTGGGAAAGAGTAGTTTGGAGTGATAGCGTACTCACCAGGGCGGACCTCGAAAATTGTGAGTTCTACTTCTGAGTTGCTGGAAGACATGATGTAGAAAACTTGAACTTCGAGACTTGAGTGTTTCGAAATGTGCTTCAAATGTTTGCTAGGTGCCGAAAAATGGAGGTAGTACTGATGTTGGTGAAGTTGTTACTGAGTAGTAGTGATGATGTGAGATGATGGAGAATTTATTGACTGGTATATTCGACAAGTTATATACTAAATTTCAAAGAATTGTTTCACTATAATTCCTGATATTGGAACAACGCTATTATACATCAACATTGTTGTACACCATAAATTCTAACTTCTAGCTTTGATAACAATCGCATTGTTCCTTTGTCTCTGTTGGTACTTCACAACTGTAAAAAAGAGAGTCTTGAGGAAGTAGCAATGTTATTTATTACCCGGAATGAAAAAATTACTAGTGTGATTATAGTAAAACTGGAGAACGATTCGATCCTGATAGAAAGCTTTTATTTTGCGTCTACTCTGATTATCTTCTCTAATGACCCTCGCTGTTTTATTCTATTAGAGCTGTATAATAATAAGCATGAATGGCTTCGAATTAGCGAGCATTATGAATGAGGAGACCGAAGGGCTAGCTACATGAATAATTTGAGGGTTACTAGTCTTAGAATGGATATCAAGGTAGAAAATAATGTGCTGCTGGCAGCAAGTGAATAGACTCTGTCGTTACTATAAACAGATCAAATTCGAAAATAGTCAAGATCAGAAAGCTGTTTTGAAAATTTTCTCATTTGGCTACACGTTTTACTCTACACTTTAAGTCTAGTACCCTACTTTCCGGCCACCCCTCTTTCCGGACACCTTTTCACACCAAAAATCATCATTTTCACCTATTAATATTTCAACAACCAATGAATACAATCGATTGAAATTTGAATCGTAAATTTATTATATAGTTATTAATCGATCTTGAAAATTTTAGATTTTTTGGAATTTACTTCATTGAGATCTATAATCTTAAATTTTGTGATTTTTGATTTGTATGAGATTTACATATAAATTTACAAAATCTTTAAAATCTTGGATAACTTTTCAACAAAAATAATTAAAAATAAATGATAAATTTTTTTCGAATATTTATATCACAAATAATTAAATAAATCAATTTATTCTTAAAAAATATTTTACCAAAATCCTTTTAATCAAAATGTTATGATTTTTAATCCTTGTAAAATCCAAAAATATCAATAAAGATTCATTTATGTTATTTAAAATTCAAAATATTGATTCGTTATATAAAATTTAATCTAAAAATCCCAAAAAAATTTATAATTTATTTTTAGTAATTTTTGTTGAAAATTTATTCAGGGTTTTCAATATTTTCAAATTTATATGTAAATCCAATACAAATTGAAAATCGTAATTTAAACTTTCAATTTCTCAATCAATAAAATTATGAAAAATCTGAAAATTTCAGAATCCATCAATAATTATATAGTAAATATATAATCAAAATTTCAATTGATTTTATTGATTCGTTGTTGAGTTATTAATAGTTGAAAATGACGATTTTGGTGTAAAAAGGTAGTTCATATTAGGGGTGGTCCAAAAGTAGGGTACTAGACTTAATAGTAGAAAGAAATAATATTTTTAATGTATTTTTGATCTTCCTCTGTGAAAGAAAAAAAGAAAGAAGGAAAAACTCAAGTAGAAAACAGTAATAGAGCTAGATTAACTCTAAATGTATCTATTTGAATAAATTCGTGTAGGCCATCCTGTAGCGTCACAGCGAAGAGAGGTTGTCGAAAACACTTGCGTCCCGGTGGCATATCGAGTAAGCCCTCACTACCATATTGGCCTTCTAAGCACACTAATGCCATCGTTATAAGCTTTGATGCAGTCTAAATCCTTGACGTATTCATTCATTGTGACAGATGGACAAAAACCTTCGGGCATCCTGAACTCGAGAGTGGAGAAACCAGCGGAGACCATGTCTTGGACATCGGAGAAAAGCGGGAAAAAAAGGATTTCTGGTATTTTGGTAATGAATCCCGCGTTGATCCTCGTTTGAAAAAGCCCATAAATAATCTTTGCATGATTGATCAAACTATTTTCTATCATGCGGGCACGCTGGTTAAGGGTTTGGTGGCCCCTTGGCGTCCACAGACCAAGCCATATAACAGACCTATCATAGTCTATAGTAAGCTTTTCAAGCTTCCGGAAGAAGAATAACTGATCTATTTTGTCAAGATCCTGGCAAATTGTAAGTGAAGTGACTATGTCACATTCTTTAATGGGTTCGGGATATTCAATAGCTACACGACGGGGTGCTCCACGAACTCGAAATCGAAGTCTAACCAAGGAATCAATCCATCTCTGGTTCCAGCATGGCCCAATGAGAAACTGGAACATGCCAAAATCCGAGCTATCACTAAGGAAAAGTGTATCGACCCCTGGGTTGAAATACAAGAAGTGGCAATTTTCAGAACCAACAAGGTTGGTACCATCGAAAAGAAGTGGCAATTTCCTTTTGACGTGGCATCTGGACTCATAGTTAACTTGTAATGCAACTGGGAGCTTGTAATTGGGATCCTTCATCTCGTTTGTCGCAATGCTGAAAGTGCGAGGTTCTGAAAATGTGTATTCCCAGATCATGCACCGAATCTCGCTGGGGAGTGCGGACCAAGGCATGATGTCTAATTTTGGATAAATTTCTTAATGTCGAACTGTAAGAATTTAGTTCATGGTATTGAAATGGTTGTAAGATAGAGTCTATCGAGAATTTTGTTGAAGCTCATGTTGAATCATTATATCTATTGAGTCACAATGTGTTGTTTCAATTTTGTTTTTTAACACAAGAATACCAAAGAGAAAGACTCGCTTCTGCAGATCAAAGAAAAGTGGAACACAATGAGAACCAGCTTAATTAGACCTTTGTTCAACTACTGTAACAATAAAAATAGTATGAATTAGTACTACAGTGGCTGATACTGAAGTACAATTTCCGGAATCTAAAACCTACTCATCGGCATATTAAGCGAAACCATGTCAAAATTGATGATCCTTTTCAACTTTTTAGATCTTTATTATTTATTTTAAAGAATATAATAAATTATTAAAGTTTATACTTACAAAAAAGTAATTAATTAGAATTCAAAGAAATTTAAATAAATTCTAGAATTTATTATTTTTAAGATTAACTTATTTTGAAATAAAACTATTAGAAATAAAATATCTTTAAAATCAATTATTGTATATCAAAATCTCGAGGAATTCAATTAAATTTTTAAAAATCATTCAATATTTAATTTTATAAAAAAAAAAATTAATTTTTTAAAGAGATTTCAATAAATAATTAAATAATATAATTTTGAAAATTTTGAAACTCTTATAATATATTGAAATTGTTTTATATTTTTCAATAATATTTTTAAGAATTAAAAATTAATATCACAGGTTAGTGTTACGACGGTGTAACATAGCCCGCATCAGGTGACCAATTAGTTAAATAAGATCATGTGACAAACGTCACCTGATCCGAAAGCCGATCGACTTTGTAGGAATCGATCGGCCTTGAGAATCGATCGGCTCTTCAAGAGTCGACCGATTTTCAGAATATGAAGGTCTATATAATCAAGATGGATTTCCTTTGTATAAAGCTTCGTGCTTAAGATCAATCATTTAATATATTTTACTATTAGTTATAAATAGTATATCATTATTATCATTACTTAAATCCCTATTTGATATCTAGTTATAAACCTACTTCGAAAGCCTAGAGCACTTCCACGTGATCTAGACGGCTACCCTCGTAACAGTTAGACAGACAGGATAACAGGTTAGGATTTTATTAATAAGATGTCACAGAAATCACATGCTCTCATGTAATCTCACGTGATCTCTAACATTCTAATACTCACTCGCTCACGTTTTTCCTTATATCTGATCGATATCATGTGATCATATTGATCTTACCGCTCTTTACAAAACTCTATCTATCTAGCCTATTTGCTTATTAGGATGATCGTCGGCTAGATAGTCGATTAGATCTTATATATATATGAAGCCCTTGATCAATAGAATCAAGGGCAAATCTATTCACTTCAATATAACTCTATATACTCTTATATATCATTCACTTCAAGATTGTTTATATACTTTGTGATCATACTATCCGTGATATAAGACGTAGCTCAAAGAGCTACAATTTCTACAAAACAAAGTTCTTTTAAATATACAATACGCGCTAGGGTTCCAAACCCTAGTGCTCGCACAGGAATGACCACCGAGCGCTCATCGCTCCGGGCCCGATCGGCGGTTGTGGGTCTATTAGAGGGGCGATCCTCGTGATCGGCCCTCATCCTATGACAATTAACAAAAATAAAAAGATTTAAATTAATAAAAATAAATATATATTATTAAAGTATTGATTATATAAATCACTAGCGTTTATACTAGTGCCTTAGTAAAAAGATTATATATTTATATAATTCTTCATTATTATAATTTTAATTCTTCAAATAAATTAATATAAAATATTATTAAATATATATTAAAACTTTACTTTCTTATACTTTATGTCACGGACGCTACTAGGTTGCCGCCTGAAAGCCTAATACATCTTATAGGCCACAATTGAGTTTATGTAATCTCGGCGCCTTGCTGGCGAAACGCCGAGCCACCTCTTATTGACGTTTATGTGTCGGATTGTATTCGATTCGAAATTACCTTTGTTTTTACCTATAAAAATAATGATTTATCTAGTTTAGAAAGGACAATGAAAAGCTTTGGAGCTGTTTTAAGACTAGTTAATTCTTTGCTATGTATGACTCTAACACTTTATTATAATTAATATATATATATATAATAAGATTTTTAATCTCAAATCTTGATATAATTGATTAAAAGTTTATATTATTATAAATATTAAAATTTTATTAAAATAAATGAAATATAAAATATTATAACTATTATATTTAATAAAAATATTACTAGAAATAAAAATATATATATATTTAAAAAGAATTTTTTTGGAAAATTACTAAATTATTGTATTAAGATTAAAATAACTGTTGGATGGAGGCGTATTATAAATTTTTAACTATATTAAATAAAATATTTACTCTTTCATTTCCAATAAGCATAGTCAGATTCACAAGCTCCAATAGCACGGGGCGCATCAAGTGGTTTGAATAATGTAATAGTAAATTTTTGCCAGAAGTTATTGCTGACTTGCGCCGAGAATCATCCTACCGTAATCAACAGTCGACTCAATTAAGCGAGTGTCCTTCGCCGTAGGCACAATAGAAACCCTAGGAATCCTAGTAACCAAACCTTTCTCAAGTCGAGTTCTAAACCATCGAAGCACTCTTCTTATATCCCTCACAAATCTCCGATGCATATTCCGTACAAAGAACCTAGCACCTCTAGGACCAGTTGCTATGAAAGGCGTAGAGTGGCTTCGAGTATATCGAATCACTAACGACTTGAGGTTTCGGAAGTTGGGACTCGGTCCTCTTTCGCGTAATGCGTCTTCGCGAAGCTCGATATCATATATATCGTCGCATTCACTCATCGGTTCTTGATCGCTGAGATCTGCAGTCGCGGGATAGGGACCCAGGGAAAATTTGAAGTTCCGTGTGTGGCCGTCGAAGCGGATGATGTCGAGCTTCGGGTTGAAATATTTGAACTGTTCGGAGCCGATCATGTTGACACCGTAGTTATATTCCCCAGGGGCAATCGTGTTGGCACTACCAAATAGAAGTTTCAGATGTTTGAGAGCCACACTCCTGGATTCAGAATTCACATACAGTATAGCGGGGTTCTTCCGAGAGTGCGTCTTGTTATGTTTCATTGCATTATCAGTAATGCTATGATACCTCGTTTTTGGAATTAACAACTCCCAAATCATGAGCCGAATCTCTGCAGGTAAAAGAGGGAACAGGGTGAAACTACTTAAGTTTGAGTTTGTCCGATCTTGGACAATATTTGGGTTGATTCTTTGAGGGAAAAGAGCACGTCCCCAATCGGGAAGAATGCTAAATACCATGAGAGTAATGATTGTGGTGGGCGAGGCGCCCGGTAAAGGTCTTAGCTCACATCTACCTTCCCACTTTTTTATTTCCGCTGCAAGAGCTGCCTCTGGTAACAACTGAGGAAACAGCCTGCAATTCCTATCTGGAAGGACATCTAGCATCAAAAGAGTGGTCTGTAATGGACTGAGATTGCTGCCCTGCCATCTGTTGGTCAGGGTTCGTACACGCCCTGCGCTTACTGGATATTGATCCTTTGAAGGCATGTTGTTGAAAATCTTGTGAATCAGATCGTTTCTTGCTGTCAATGATGTTGGGTAGATGTTAACGGTAAGTACAGTAGAGTGATGGGAAAGATCTAGCAAGTATTTTTTCTAGGTATATATATGAGTTCCAAAGGATTATTCAGAAACAATTCTCATATAGTTCACGCAGTGTTTTCCGAGTTCTAGAGTTAGGGAATAATCTACTATTTTGTCAGAGGTTTACACCATAGTTGGAATCTACTCTTGCACACATGCGGGGGTCTATAGTGATTAGCAAAGGAGAATGGCACTTAATTTTGGTCATTATTGTATTATTGATTGCATCACTGGAAGATTTTTTATTTTAAAAGGAAAAAGAATGTTTATTGTGTAAATGAGAGCAATGAGAGCAATGAGAGCAATGAGAGCAATGAGAGCAATGAGAGCAATGAGAGCAATGGGAGCAATGGGAGCAAATGAAATATTAAAAAAACAAAATCGGCTCAATCTATATGTCTTGCATTATGACTGAACTATGTTTTCTGATTTCCAAGCCCTGTTCAAGACGAATCGTGATTTTAGGGACTTTGGTGCAATTTCCGTGCGCCAGCTTGTCTTGATAGTATTGCGTAGCTTCAAGAAAAACGCGATCACGACGATCGTCAGGACAATTAACGGTACGGAGGATTAACTCATCCAAGGATCCAAAATGAACGGCATTGTACATCCACATCCCAAGGTCTTCTTCCAGCTCAAGAATTCTGACCGAGTCGCACTCTGGCTGTGAAGGAAACTTATAGGCCTTGTTTGGTGGCCCATGGATAAGTCTATCTTGTGGAAAACTGAAATCTCGGATATCTTTGAAAGCAATTGTATCTTTTTCTGGACAGAAATATATTTCATGCGTCTTGCCTGTAAATGTTTGGCCATCAAAAATCTTGCTGAGAACCTCCTTGGATATAAATTCACTTTCGAAGTCAGCAAACAGAGTGGGAGGTGATGAGATCTCCATATGGAACTCATTGTCAGTAATTTCCACTCGACGTGCTTGATTGGTAGCTGCCAATTTCCATATCATGAATCTGATTTCTTTCGGGAGTTGCCTAAACAATGGGAAATCTGGTTCAGTAGTACCATCCTGCACAGAATTTGTTGGGTTCGAAGACATAGCTTCTGAGCTCAAGTTTTGAAGGGAATCGGACATGATTAACAGGTGATGTATATCTGGTGTCTTGGTTATGATTCTGTTTGTGGAAGGTTCTGCTTTGAAAAATTATAGATGGTGAAGCCATAGAATTAAATAGATGAGTCCGAGGCATTGTACATGATCTATACTTGATGTGTTCCAACCTCCTTTGAAAGAGCTTCAGAGACCGAGAATGAGTGGAAAACATAGACAAAGAATTCTGTTGTACGTATAAAATATATGATGGGAAAATGATCTGGCCTGCAACAATGGGCACAAAAGAGACCAAGCAAAGAGAACGAAGTAAGTAAAGGAAATGCAATCTATACTATCAAGCTTTGGAGGAGATCCAGTCTCAGTCAGTTGAATGTTGTTGTTCAAGATCAGCTCCATTGACCATGCCATCATACACTGCAATCTTAGGTAACTCGACCAAGGCCAGATGTTGTACGCTAGGCCACATATACACAACCAGCCAATCATCAAGCACTTAAAAGCAATCATCTCAACCTCCTATTGTGACTCCTGTAATAAAGTATGCTTCTTTTTTGATAAGACTGCATAAATATTCAATTGTTTACATCCATATCGTTGAGTTCCATCACCAATGTTCTGTTCATCTTCGTTGTATTGTGCATGGCACATGGTCAAACACCTCGTTAGATTGGTTTATTCAAGTCACATCTGTAAAGGAGACATCAATATGCTAAATACAAATCTTGACGTTCACAATGGACTGATGAGGTATTTCTTCTAAGCAAAAAATGACAATATCATTACTGATTAGGTATCGCCCATCCATCGTTAAAGACACACCTCGTTCCCAACCATCGAAATATTACAAAAAATCAATTATTCATCACGTTCGTTCAGGAATTAAATCCTCCAACACAAAAGAAATCCTGTGGTCAAGGTCCATCTCATCTCATGTCCCTCCTTCTTCCACTAAGTAAGCTTGACCCACCCCAAGGCATTACTGGAATCCCACATAGGCGTTTCCATTCTCAAGACGCATTCCTTGCGCAATCCATTCGTGGATCTTTCATAGGAGCACAATATCGTGCGTAACATACCTCCCTCTTTACCCGCGAGTAATGCTACAGACGGTGGCCGTTCGGCGGAGAAAACAGTTACAGTCATTGTGCCCTAAGGTGTATGTGGTTAGTTTTGTTATCCTCCCAACCGTAAAACTATGGCGAAACTTACGGTATCGATCAATGTAAACAATCTGTGCCCTTGAGGAAGATCGGAAACATTGAAGAGAGGTTCGGCACCAATTCTCTCGTCTGGTTTACCAGTGCAATACGGACCACTGGAAGGTGAGTATTGAAGACGGCCTATTGCATTACCGAAAGTGAGATGCTCGATCTGTTCAAGCGGGAGTGTTCCTTCGAAGCCAATGAGCCAAGGGCAAGCTCCCCCTGGTTATGTTGTTAATATTGTAGACTTAGCGCGGTAGGACTTCACTTACAAACTTTTCCACCATAGAGAATATGCACAGAGAGTGGTGATGTGAGCAACAAAATAAGCCCCAAAACTAGGAAGAAGGCTCCCAGTCCCACAGATGACTTAGCAGACACAAGACTAATGCCAACAACGAACCAAATTGTCCCGGATCTCAAAGCAATGTCAGCACCCAGCTTTTTCCAGGTCACTCTTCTGAGAGAATGAATTCTCGGAATGTCCTTCCAACGGATGGAGATTGCATGGGTACCATCCAGAATCAAGGACCCATCATGACAAACGCCTGCTACTTGACAAAGTGGCTGGATATCCCACAAATTGGCGCCAAGATCATCTTCAAGATTGAACCACGCAGGTTTACCTTTAATGCGAATACCGTCCATGCAAGCCATACGTTCGACGATTTGGTCACTATCGTTAGATAGTGATAGTCGTGCAAGGGCTTGCTCTTCTGTGTCAGAAGGATCCATCCGAGGGCGCTTCGTGAGCAGTGTCATGAGAGCGTAAGCAATGTCACCACGTTGAAACTCCGTGTATTGCCTAGATTTCAAAGCTTGAAGTGCGACCTGAATCAGCTCAAGCCGACTAAGAGTCAATGAGCCAGTATAATGCTCTGCCAACAACCGGAAAATCTCGTCATTGCCATCGCGGATGATCTCATTACTAGGTGTAAGCGTCCTTGCCCACGATCGATGCGTGAACTCCATGATATCAACAACTTCTATCTTATCCACACCATCTTTGTTTTGGGAGTCGGGCGTGCAAATACTGACTTTATGATCTCGGGCAAGCAGTATCTCAGGTAAACACCAGAGGCGCTGGCCAAAGAATACTAGGAATTCAGGGGAATCGCCTGGCAATACAACACAAACTTTCTCAGCCCCACGTGTGACATCACAAAATCGATGGACGTCATCAGTAGCCTCGGGCTGTAATTTTGCTCTACACTGAAGTATGTGTCAGTAACTTTCCATAATTGTGGTGTGCAGAAGCAGTAATAATCACATGAAAGTCTGCCCAATAAGCTTCCATCCCATGATGTAGCGTAAGCTTTATCGCCCTTCGATCAATGGCATCCACATCTAGCTCGGTCTTTTGAGGATTTTGATCTGTTGGGGCGGGCTTCTGGTACTGAGCCGCTGCAAAACTAATGAAGATATAGGGCCCAGTAAAACTTCCGTCCTCGACAACATCCCAACTATTGTTACGAAGGACAACCAAGGCACGAGGTCGAAGAAGACGATTTTGTTCGCCCTTAATTATATAGGTCTTGTCTCCGTCATCTTTGCGCTGTCCCTTGACCCATTCCAATGCCTTTGGCGAAGCATCTAGCTGATTTAGTGCATGCTTTGGATACTCATAGCATCTGTGTGGGAAACTGGTATATTTGTCACCCTCCTTTCCAGTGCCATTAGTAAACATCGGATATAGGACAATAAACATTACGATAGGAAGAACAAGAATGGATCTTCCAATAGCCAAGGCATAGTCTTCGGGAGTTTCGAGCCTATTTCCGATGGCCCATGTGGATACCCGCATAAGTGTAGGTGCGTTTCCTCCAACAGGTCGTCGCCTCCATTCTCCCTGGGGTTGGGTGTTGGGGCCGGGAGCGGCTTGCACGATCATATGATATGGCTTTCCATAGAAAGGAGATATATATCTGAGAAGATCTCGAGGTCGCCATGTCTCCCGGTTCAAGATATCTCTGTGGAAATGTGTAGGTACTGGTCCGAGGGGGCCCGCCTTTTCTGCATCCCTCAACGTAGGGTTCGTATACCAAAACTGTTTGAACCAATGTCTTTCTCCATCGAAATGGTGGTTTATATCAACGGATGTTGACATGAAGGGCAACTATATAGGAGCGGCCGGCCTGGAGAGGGTGGTCTTCGTGATAATATGTTGATAATATGTTGATGGTCGTCAGTAAGCCTTTCCAATCTTTGAGGCCGTGCAGACAGAAACCAGCACCCTTCTTGGAAGGGGAGATTTCTGTGTTATTAAGAAACGCAGATAGGCATACAAGCAAGCCCTTCCACCGGCGTTTTCCACCAGCCCATATCAAACATTGCGAGCGAAATACGGACGGATGCCGAGACTCTTTGAGCAAGGGTTAAACGGATCAAGATTGAGCTTTTTATATGGCTGAAGGCTGAGTTGTCCTTCGCACAGCATCCCTGTATTAGAGGTAGCCCGTTCCTATAAGCAAGAAACCAGAACACATTCCAGACGACAGCCTCGCCAAGAAGTGTGTGAACAAATACATTTGAATGAAAGTTTTTCAATATTATAAAAAGCCCTTATTGCTTATACTATTTTGATAAATTTTGTCAAAAAGGAGATGTTCTTTCCGTTCGAACAATAATATCAAAACGTTGCTGCCTAAATAATGTCAATTTGATCAGAAAGCCAAGATATGGAAAAGCAATAATTCGACGCCTATTTTTGTCAGACGAAGGGATGCGCAGAAAGCCACGATGGACCATAGCACTATCGAAGCCTAATATGCATGCATTCAAACCTACCACGTGGGACGTGGGAGGAATACTGCCCATGTTTTTGCCGCGGTTCGCAGACTTCTTTTCATTAATGGGGAAGATTGATGTCGAGTTTTAGTTCTCACGCTGACGGATGAAGGAGTGGATATATCACAGCCAGCACTAGCGAACCAATCAAATCATGTCTCCGGGATAATTCACGTGACACTCATGTATTTGATTGGATTCTATTTCAAGACCTCCATTTCGCCAACCTCAGCTCATGCAGCCATCTAAAGTTTATATAAGACAACGTGCAACTTGAGATTTTTGAGGCTCTTCGAAGAATGTGGAATGCGCGAGAGGCGGCGGAATCTCCCTCGTGTTTTGACCAATCATTTTAGGATAAGAGTAGCCATCCCGAACCTAATTTCCAACGAGCCTTGGCGGTGCTAATATCGTACGAAGTCTTTGTTCTGTAATCAATCAAATCATTCTGCCCAGTGATCACAAGGGCGATGAAGCGAGAACTTTGGTGTTTTAACATCTGAGCTGCGGTGTAAAATGGATGAAAGAGACTGTTCAAGACTGATCCCTGACATTTTCATCCTCCTTCACCTATTGTTGAATTATTGCAGGGAATTTTGTTGCTCCTAAATATTCTCATATGGCGCGATAAGGGAGACAATTAAACTATCAATGTTGTACGCAAAATGAACAGTTTCATGCTCTTGGCGGAATACATTTTGTGACTATCCTCTCCTTTTGCTTCTTATAAACACTCGTTCAGATTTTGCTGACCAAATGGTAAGGACGAAGATATACCATTACCCACATATTTTTTATGTGTATGTATTTTGATAATATTTCCCAGGTATCGGAATCATCACAAAGTCATGCTTAGTATAAATGATTTATCGTTTATGTTTGGGAAGAGTAGTTCTTGTACGTACTACTTCTTGAAGTTGATCATCTGACTTTCCCTACAAGCGATTCAATTCATCTATTTTTATCAATTTTATGCATGTTCTTGACTAGGGCTGATCATATGATGTTCTGGGTCATCTGGTAAATCCCCGTTGTAAGTTTTTGTATTTTGGTTTTCTCCTACCTATCTCTGGTCTAAACATCCATATGGTATGGTATTGCCCTTTTAGATTCCCAAAACTCAGCAGGATAAAGGTTCTCAATTCTCAAAGAGGAAAGCTAAGACTTTGCGTGTTCTTCCCTCATACGCTGTCCACTGTTCTGTTGTCCTTTCGTTTCTAGCGTCTCATCTTCCCCGCTCCTCCTTTCACTTCTGCCCCATTTCCTCCCCCATTGCTCTTCTATTTTCCTATTTTCGGTAGTCTTAGTATTACCCTAGTCATTTTTACAACAAACAATTTACCACTTGAATGAAAGAGTGTCAAACTGAACAGCATGTGAGCTACTTCCTAATTAGAGCAACTCCTGGGTTCATAGTGACTGTCGAGTCCATTGGAGCAGGCTGTGACTATATCATTGCAATGAGAAGCGAGTGTACTTATCACTCCGCACGACCATCTTCATGCTGCTCCTTACAAAAACATCATAGCTTGATTCGGTGAAGAAGCAAGAACTACACTTAATGTTATGGCTTGCTTGCAGAAGAAGCTTTTGCAGCGTTTTAAGGAGAATAAACCAAATCCTCCATAAGATGCGGCTTATAGACATAACAATTGACAATCTCAACTCGGACTTGCAAATCCTCAAATGCATCTGAATGGCTTAGGGTGGTTTCGGCCACTGATAGATCAGCGGAAATAGAGTGTAAGGCCTCCGAGAATTTCATCGGAGAAATTGTCTCCATGCTCATAGCGCTAGAATCTGTTCCGCTACAACCGCTGCCACTGGCAAGAGGTTATGCTCCACCCGTTATATCCATGCCAATAGTAGTTCCATCTCCATTCAAGGCTGAAGTTTGTACCTCGCTGGTATCAATACCATGAGTCTATATGATAAGCCAAGTCAAGTCATTCGGTCATAATTGAGCAGAAAGCCGTCAGAGAGGATGGACTTCAGATATTGATGGACAAAACAAAAAAAGTCGAAGAAGAGAACATCGAGTATCAAAAAGCTCTAGTAGAAATACTGAGGAAATACAAGGCAATCAAATCTGAAACATAATTATAAAAAACCGGATCAGAATAAGGAGCTTGAGAGACTTCGTAAAGAGCATTGAAATGAAACATCTCAGGCAATTGTAACCAAACTTCGTTGCTCATATTTGTATTTTTGAGAAAAAGAAGATTTTTATGAGCATCGAGGATAATCACGCGGTGTCCCTTTCCTCGACGGTACATGACACGAACACAATATCGAGGATTCGCCATATACATCAGTTGTCTAGGAATATTATATGTATGGATAGGGATAGGGATAAGGGGTATAGTTATTCTATCGAAACCCCAACAGTATAAATATACATCTCTTCTAAAATTGAAATTTGAGAACTAATCATGCAGAACAGGATACTGAGCAAGGTGAGTGGACAATCCCGGTTAATAGTGAGCGGGATGATTAGGTAAGGTTAGCTGCTGAGGCGCAATTTTGAGATTTTGGTGCTATTATGAGGGGTCCGATGGTTTGATGTAGTCTACACCTTCTTTCCCGATGGGCGGTTGCAAGTCTTATGTTTTGTAGTGGTGTCCCTTGATGGGATTCAAGCAAGTTTTGCGAACTTGAGTTGCTTTACCCACGCTTGAGTTACGTCTGGGGCATTATATAAAACTGCAGGAAAAAAAGCATTGCTCGCGAACTAGTTTGCCGGGGGTTTGAGTTAAACCGCGAAGCAAATGGATCAGAATATAAGATACATATGATAGGATATATAGAATATAAAGGTATACCTAGTAAGTTGAACACGTTCTAATAGATTTACCGATTTTTCAATTACCTTTTAGCAAAGAACTTTCCCGCCAAAGTAGATTCCCTGAGCAGAGTCATAGACTCTAAAGCCGTCGCTTTGCGTCTAAGTCATCTATACTAGTGGCGAAATAGGAGAAAGATAAAGTTAAATCGAGGAAAATATTACCTTTAGTATATCATTTGCAATACTTCATAACAACCGCGAGGCCATAACTCAATTACGAAGAACGTCATATTTCTATGTAGATTCACCATATAATTTCCGCAATGAATGCTCATTTCACATATTGATCATGGCAGAGTAGGTAGTAGTGCGTGAATATCCTGTGATTAATTAGACGAATTATTTACACACGCCCCTGTTTTCTATCGTGTATGGGTTGTCGAAACAAAGTTATTCATTTTCAAAAATCTTTCGGACGCAATTCCTTCTCAAATTTGGACGAGATATCTTCTTGAAAGAAAATCCAACTCTCTCAGTCTTTTATCTACTTTTGAATTGTCAAACAAGTTCTGCTACAAATAATGAGTTGATTGCTATTGTTTAGTGCTATCCAACAACAACAAAAACAACGCGATCTAAAACATTTTGCCAGTTCTAAAAACTGCACTATTCCTCGAAAGATCTCAATATTACACTCAAGTTTGTCTACGCCAGAATTCACAACCAGTCTCAACACAATGGCAGCCAAAAAGAAGAAATTAACTGATGCTTCCACATCCTCTCGACTTTCCACAGGAACCATCCCACTATATGCATTGAAGGCAAAACACCAATCATCACTTGGAAAGAAAGGTACGGAAGACTCTCTACTAAATAGATGGAAACACTGATACTAAAACGCAGTCGCAGACCAGATTGTCAAGCGCCAAGAAGATGAAGAAATTCCACGTACTTGGCCCCTCCAACCACCTATGATCGGAGATTGTAGTGGAGAGAAATGCTCTGGATGGGATTCGAATGATAATAAGTCGAATGAAGACGAGAAGCGAGCGGAAATCTCAAGGAAAGCAAAGTTGAAGAAAGAGAATTCTCAAGCGTCGGCGGTCATGATATCAGCGCGTGAAAAGGAAATAGCCACAGTTCACAATCGACAGTTAGATTTTCCTCTAGCAATTGTTAGGTTAGTTACCGAAGTCTGGCGTCAATTCGGAAACTGCAAAGTCTGTCACAATGGTTTCTAGTAATTCAACAGAGCAAGATGTCGATGAAGGCATCAAGGTAATTGATTCGATGATCATCGAAGATTCGTGCGTCGCATCCACCTCTCAACCATTAGGTGTCGTCAGCGAAATTTTCGTCAGCAAGCCAACGGTACTAGAAACAGAATCAAGTATTAAATTGGTCGAAAAAATCGCTCGACAAGAACGTGATCTGAAGTCCGCGGAGACGCAAGACGGTTCTCTGCGTGCCGTGATCGAAACTTTGGATCATAAACATAGGTTGGAGATGCAAAAGCAAATGAACCAGCTCAGTGAAAACTATCAAAAAGAAATGGATGCCATGAAATTGGATCTCAAGGAGGCAGAAGCGGCACGCCAAAAAGCTTCAACAGATTTGCGCAAGGCGAAGGAGAAGAATTCTGCGGTTCGAACGGAGAGGAGAGAGCTTGGTTTAAAGTTGGCGGCAGTGAGCGAAGAAGTCGCGGCGGGGCTTACGGTAAACATCTCGACGTTGGAGTTCGAAGAGAGTGTTGCATTTACAGTGGGAATGCGTTTCTCCGATAAAATAAACAAATCAAGACAAGTGACTAAAGCCACTGAACTCAGCCTGCAGGCGGAAAGAATGCATAATGCAACGTTACAACACTAAGTTACGAACTTGAGAAGTGAGAATAGCGGTATTAGACAGCAGCAATCTCAGTCAGCCTCAACTTCTCGACCCCTACAAGACCTCGAGCAAAAGTACGATAGTCTCAAGGATAATTATTACACTCTTGAGGACAAGTATAATGAGCTCGACGATGATGCTGCTGGATACTGCAGTGAGCTTCAAAAGTACAAACGATATGCGGAAAGCTGCAGGAGGAAGCGGGAGACCATTAAGATCGAATTGGAGCGTGTTGAGAAAAGACTCAACGACATGACCACAAAAAATATGAATGAGCTTCACAGCCGAGAATCCATAAGCCAAATTTACCAGAAATTGAGAAATGCCTATGATCTTAGGGAGCCATTGGTCAAGATAGGAGTAGACATACGCTGGCGTTTTCTAGACCAAGCTCGAGAGATAGCCCTCAATATTCCCCGAGACGAGGCAGATATGGCGCTGAGAACTAATGGCAACATTGCTGCGCATAGGGATAATGCCGCTGACGAAGGTGCACCTTTCAAATGCAATCTAGTTCCGAAGGAGTACGAGGACAAGGCCGAGAAGACATCCAGAAGCTATACAAACAGAAGTCAAGAGAGCACCCCGTCTGGACTGGAATTGTGGAAAGTCAGATGGACTGTGGAGCAACAATAACAGCAACGAAGTGGTCTGTCATTTCAGAGACTTTGCATGAAGATTGGCGCAAGGTGTGGCATGAACTCTGTAGCCCTACAACTATATCTGATGGAGTAGATGCCACAAGGATTGCGGAATTGATTACAAGGTTGGAAGATTTGACTGATGAAATTGTGGATATAGAACGTTCTCGAGGTCGTCGCAGATGATGCAATCGCTCGGATGTGCCTAGCACACGTTTTAAGTGTTCAGGTATTCAGTCATACTGTATGGATAATATGGGCCCCAGGAGTAGGGAAGGGACATGTAGATTCAAAAGCACGCGAGCCAGTTTATCAACGACCTGGTAGTAGAAAGTATGATGCAGATGTATAAATTAAGCGGTGGTAAATGCGGATTGTCTGTTTGGAGTATGACCTGAACAATTATGGATATTTAGTTTTACATTCTGGATGGCAAATGAGTTTTGTGTTTGGACGTGGGAGCACAAACAAATTTATATACATATGTATGAATAAATGTGATGACATATTTTTCTCTGAAGATGTGAAAAGATTCTTCCACTGCATCTCTGTGTTTGACTACAGATATATTAGCCCTATCTACTTTGTTGGCTAATCAGATTAACGACTACTTTAGGATATCTTAACTTAATACTATCTAATTGCTATTCAGAAAGATTGTATGTTGTCTAATGATTGTTCAGAACAATAACTCTACCATTTAAATAAAAGAGTTGAACTTCGAACTAACTATATCTTGAAAGCAGAAGTGCTATTAACGATATGGCGGACTGAGGTACTCGGATCTTGGTTGTCTGCTCGCCGACGAGTGCGGCAATTGAAGGGCATGGTACTTGCCGACGACTATTTCCAGATGAGGAAAAACAACATAAACTTTCAAGTGATCTTTAATCAACTACAAACGGTAGTTTGGTTTGCGGGCTCGAATTAATATATTTGTTGGAGGCAATGCCATGAGAGAACCCCTTGCAAAGGTTGGAGCATATATCTGCCTCGGATTTTCGGAGCAAGCAGGAGGAGAGGGCAATGGAAGGGACCGTCATTCAGGCTGAACTAAGAGCTGTTAGATAGTGAGAAGCTGGTAACGCACAATGGCATTCTGAAGACAGATGTATCCTTATTCCAAAGAAGCCCCATACCAGTAAACTACGTGATGAAAACACCAGCAGTCTTCTACACGTTGTATCAAGCCCAGCCAAACAACTTTGATCACTCGGATCCCCTTAAGGAGAGATATTTGAACTGCTTCGCAACAAGCCCAGCCCACAGGAAGACCAACAGTTCGCTAACTCAGCCCGCAGAATTTCCCGGCCCAATGAGCGAGCTGACGAAATGGCAAAACACTGATGAAACCTCTGTCGCTAGGCATTAAAATCTTGAAGACTAACGAGATCCGAGGACTGGATGCAAATCATATTGGACATGAGAGCCTGCCGAGCAGACTTAATTCTGGATGGACCTTCCATGAGACAATAAATACTAGGAAACACTTCGCTGCAAAATTTCGGATAGGCAAGTATGATACATGGGTGGATAGGTTAGGAAGTTTAATGCTTTGATAGAGGTAAGATTACAATCATAACGAATGAAGGGGTAACAAGAACTAATCGTGGCACTTGGGGGTGGAGTATGGTCTGTCGAAGCCGACTGGTTTACCACTCAAATGATACCGGTGCTAGAAAATGTACTTGGCAGTTACATCCACTAGGATACAAAGCGATCTGAACATATATATATATGTATATATATCAAATGGAACCAAATGCCAGAGCAAAACTGCATTGTAAATGGTGTGATTGTTATAAGTCTTATGTGGTAATGTGGTATGCGTGTGGAGAGTGAAACATGCATAGTGGCATCGTCATAGGTATGGACGGTAGTGAAGGAAAGAAGCATTGCGAATAATCTAGATGTTTCCTCCTCAATAACCCAACAAACCAATTACATTTGATAGTTTTAATACTCGAGTACACCACCAAACAAACAGCGACAACATCAATAAGTGTTCCTGATTCTCGATTCATTAAAAGGCGGAACATCATCTTTCAAACGATCAAGATTCTAAAGCCTTCAATTAATTAAGACTTGGACAGCTAAGGCTGATTTGGATTTCTACTAAACCTCTACTAAAATCCTTAGCTTCGGGTTCGGCAGCATGGGTGAGCTTCGAGGCCGCTGTTCCTGCGGTCGCAACAAATATACAATTCAAATCCCACAAAATGCAGGTGATGGCGCACAAGTCTTTTTCGATAGTAGTAATGTACATCGTATGTCAATTGAGAAATATTCTGAATATCCTCATTTTTACATGTTCGCAAAAGGCATCGCTAATAACATACATAAACAGGAAGATCACAAGCAGCCCCTCTCTCCGCATGGATCCGCGTACCCTTAGCATGGTACCACTCGACGACGTACGCTTTTTTCGACGATGAATCGCACAACATAATTCGACGTTCCTATACATCTCCTTCCGAACAGCATGCAAAGCGTCAGTTCTGTGGTTTTTGCGGCACTCCTCTATCATATTGGACGGAAGAACCGCCCGCTCACGCAGATTATATTTCATTGACCTTGGGTTCATTGGCCTCATCAGATCTGCGAGACCTCGAAGAATTAGGCTTGCTTCCCAAAGAAGCTTTCGAAGATGCACAGAATGATAAACAAATTATCGAATCAGTTATACCACATGCCGAGAACAATAATGGAGGAGAAGAAGGTATACCATGGTTTGAGACAATGGTTGAGGGGAGTCGATTGGGCAAAATGAGAACTAGAAGAGGTAGAAGAACTGCCAGTGATGGTCGAATCAAAGTGGAATGGGAGATTGTAGAGTGGACTGGCGAAGATGATGATGGGCAGATACTAGCTAACCCTACCACCGGGAAGAGAAAGTTAGATTCTGCGGATACAGGCGAAGATACAAGCATGGAAGGGCTACAATAAATAGGATGCAATAACCTGCGAGGTCGAAACCTTGGGAGGTAGAGTGATGCATCATGATAGCATGGTTGTGGGTTTTATAGTTGACTTCCGTCAAGAACGCTGCTTATGGACATATGAATTCGGGATCGTCACACAATACGAGAGCTTTGCAAGAGTACAACAAGGTCGTCAAATTTCACAATCGTTTTGCAAAATTCATCTTATCAACATCAAATACTCATGTTTTACGGATCAGGGACTTCGGAGCTAGGTTAACTAATCAGGGAGTGGGGTTTGCTAACATCCATCCATCTATTGAACACTCGTATGTAAGACTACAATATGTACCAAGCAATGCAAATAGGTTTTCACATTCAATAAACCGCTATCCACTTAGGACCCAAAGTAATCATTTAGATCTATGTACAAGCCAAACACAACACGAAGAAAACACCAAAGAGCTCGATCAATGCGGAACCTCGTCCCGTTTAACCGCCTCATAATATTCTGCTACCCCGCCATCTTGGGTTCATGTTGGATGGTGGGGCTAAGTAGGTAGCTTCGGAAGATGTAAAAGTCGCTCAATGAGGAAATGTTTCTATCACGGTTAGAACGCTCCGAGGGGTGGGATATGACATTATTTCGGTTGGCTTGTCATTACATGATACTCACAACAACAATTAGCCGCTTTATTTGTACTTATATGCCAGCAAATCCCAATCTTAAAACAATCAAATCTGTGTCCTGAATACCTAGTTCTAGGACTTTTTGCATTTATCCGGAATCCTCCTGAATTCTGATCGTACAAAGACAACATGAGCAAAGCAGTCCTGCCCAAAGATTTCACATGGGGTTTCGCAACCGCGAGGTACGTCCTCTTCAAGTAGAGCCCCAAATCCCACACTAACCACCTATAAGCTACCAAATTGAAGGAGCTCCAGAAGAAGATGGCCGTGGTCCCTCCATCTGGGACACATTTTGCAAAATCCCGGGTAAAATCGCAGACGGGAGTTCAGGAGACGTAGCCTGTGACTCCTACCATCGAGTTCCGGAGGACATTACACTTCTCAAACTTACGGGGGCAAAAGCCTATCGATTTTCCATCTCCTGGTCTCGTATCATTCCGCTAGGAGGTCGTAATGATCCGGTTAATGAGAAGGGCATTGCTTATTATGCTAATTTGGTGGACGGATTGCTAGATGAGGGAATTACTCCGTTTGTTACTTTGTTTCATTGGGATTTACCTGATGCGTTGGATAAACGTTATGGGGGGTTGTTGAATAAGGAGGAGTTTGTTAAGGATTTTGCGCGCTATGCTCGGGTGCTTTTTGAGGCGTTGCCGAAGGTTAAGAATTGGATCACGTTTAATGAACCTTGGTGTTCGTCAATCTTGGGCTATAGTACTGGATTGTTTGCGCCGGGTCATACGAGTAATAAGTTGAGAAGTCAGGTTGGAGATAGTAGCACGGAACCTTGGACTGTGGGACATAATATTCTGGTGGCTCATGGCGCGGCTGTCAAGATCTATCGGGAGGAATTCAAAGCAAAGGACGGTGGTCAAATCGGAATTACTCTCAATGGTAATATATCTTGCATACCCTCAGACGAGAAGCATCTTAACCCATACTAACACCACATCAGGTGATGCCGTATACCCCTGGGACCCCGAAGACCCAAAGGACGTTGAAGCCGCCGAACGCAAACTCGAATTCAGCATAGCCTGGTTCGCGGACCCAGTCTACCACGGCAAATACCCCGATTCCATGAGAAAGCAACTAGGCGATCGACTACCCAGTTTCACCGACGAAGAAGTAGCGCTCGTAAAGGGATCCAATGATTTCTACGGTATGAATCACTATACGGCTAATTATATCAGACATAAAACTACGGCTCCTGAATTAAATGATTATATTGGAAATCTCGATACGTATTTTGAGAATAAGAAGGGAGAGAATATTGGTCCGGTGACGCAGAGTGTTTGGCTACGTCCTAATCCGCAGGGATTCCATGATTTAATTTTGTGGATTTCAAAACGTTATGGTTTTCCACCTAGTATGTGTCTTTCCCATCCATCCATCCCCTCCCTACCCTCCCCTTCCCCAACCACCAAACTAACCCCTCCTCCCCTCCCCCATAGTCTACATAACCGAAAACGGCACCTCGATCCTCGGAGAAAACGACATTTCCTACCCCGAAATCCTGAAAGACACATTCCGCGCCGAATATTTCCAGAACTATATTCGAGCGATGGCTTTAGCAGTCGAAGAAGGGGCGAATGTGAGAGGGTACTTGGGATGGAGTTTGATGGATAATTTTGAGTGGGCTGAGGGATACGAGACTAGGTTTGGGGTTACGTATGTGGATTATGAGGGGGGACAGAGGAGGGAAGCGAAGGAGAGTGCGTTGGTTTTGAAGCCGCTTTTTGATGAGTTAATTAAGAAGGAGTGAGAGGGGGTAGGAAGGGCTGGGACTGGGCGGTCGGTGGTATTGGTCATTTGAAGGCTTTAGGTGGTATTTTAAGCTCATTGGAAGTCATGAAAAATTTGATTATTTTTAAGTTAATTGTAAATTGTGATATTATAGTGAGCTAGATTTCATTGCATGAATCCTAGATTTTCAAGCGATCACTTCTATGTATTCCATAGATCCATAACCGAAGAATTTATCCTTCTTAATTTTGCATGATATTGCATAATTGGGTATAACAACCAGCCAAACTCCCCAAGTTCATTTATCATGATTATAATAAGCAGACCAACATCTAATCCTCGATGTACTCTCCATAACGCCCATTTCTCCCAGCCAAACCAATTACACCGTACCAAGAATTTCTATTTCCTCCCCACCACCTTGCATGGAAGCCTTGTTGGACTTCTTAGATTTGGAGGGTTTCCTCTTCCCATTCCCGGTCAAAGCAGCACCCGCGTTTTCTTTTTGAGATTCCGGTCCGTCTTCACCATCGCTAGCACCACCGGCATCACTCTTTCCTCTTCTGACAGCATTGGAAATAGCTTCTTTCTTTTTCCTGTCAGCAGCCGCTTTGGCAGCTTCAGCTTTCTCCTCCTCCGCGTTATGCTCATCTTCGAGTCGTTGATGTTCTGCTTGAATGTCTGCGGAGTCTTCAAACTTTTGACCCGTAAGCTGAGTATACTCTTCAAAATCAATCTCATCTGTCTTGCCCTTGAGAGCCCGGTCTACTTTAGCTGGATTTTGGCGTTCTTCCCGTACAAATTTCAATTTGATCTGTCTTCTATTGCGGTCCGGAAACATCGCAGCAATCATCTCAAATGCTGTACCGAACTGTCGTAGGCCCTGGTAGAATAATTCGTTCGAATTAGAATCCCATCTTACAGCTGGAGCACGCTTCATATATTGCCCAGAGTTCACTGCCCTTGTAAATTCGTTCTCTTCGATTTCTTCCAGCACTTGACCTTGATTTCGTGCTTGCCTGTGTCGATCCACTTGTAAAGATTGGTCATCCAATACAATTTGTCCATCTATGACTCGCATTTGTAATCCGTTATTGTTGACGATAGCAGCTGGCGCTTCAGCAGATTCCACGCGAGATTCGGCGTTGATCTCAGCTGGCGCAATGTTCACCAAACCTGCAAGTTCAGGACGTTCGGCCAATTGCGCATCGATCTTCTTTCGGACATGCCTCAGTTTGAGTTCATCATGTTTACTAAACTTCTTGCCAATGCGGATATCTTTGCAAAGATCTGCCATCTTCATAACTGTTGGTTCAATGACTTCATTTTCCGCATCTTCTGGCGTGGCTTCCCGATCCTTTCTTTTTCTCGCTGCCTCACTGTCCTTCTTTCTGCGTTCTCGAGCTTGTCCTCCAGTATCGCGTGGTCTATTGAGCTGAATCTCACCATCAGTTCTAAGTTCTCCACCATCCTCAACCTGAGCCTTCTTCTTCCTTGGTGCTGCTTTTTTCCTCGGCTTTTTGGTGGTTGGCGTCACTTCTCCGTCGACGGGAGTAGATATTTCATCGGAAGTTGGTATAGCCGTAGAAACTAGATGAGATGCCTGACTAGCCTCATCCGCTCCCATGCCGGATAAATCGAAATCCACAGAAGACTCGGGTGGTGTTTGTATAGCCCTGTTAAATACTTGTCCAGGTCCTCGTCCTTGGTCGATTGTGGTATTGATTCGAGATATTTCTGCACGGATGGTAGAGCTAGGATCGCTTGAAGATTGTATTGATTTCGCTGGGACAGATTCTTCATTCGTAGCATTATCTGTAATTGAATGGCCAATTGACAGCAATTCTATGCCACTTGTATGATCCTCCTCAATGCGACTAGGTTGGATTGGCCCTTGCGTATTCGAAGAAGCTGGCACTGATTCGTGTGTGCCTGTAGATACGACTGGAACGGTTTGAGAGGGTGCGTTTATTTCGGAAGGCTGCACCTCATCCGGAGGAGGTGTCAACTTGCGGGCCTTTGTAGGTGGTTGCTCAAGTTCGGCGTCGGTGCCAACTTCATCTTCCCTGACCTTTCTTTTGGCCGTACTATCAATTATCGCAGTATCATCATTATTCGAAGTAGTAGATGATGGTTGAGGTTGAGCTTGCGGGGTCGGATGTGATTGAGGGGTTAATTGAGCCGAAGTCGAAATGGTAGTTTCTGACGGTTCCTTTTCAGTAACATTTCTGACTAATGCAGGTATAGGATTGGATGGTTGTGACGCAGATACTGGTGTTTGTGATTGGATCTCGGAACTTGGACGTGTAGCAGGTTGTGATGAAGAAGGCCTGGGGGCATTTGGACGAGGACGAGCACTTGGTTTAAATGACTTTCCACCTTTTCTAAGCATAGAAGACATTTTGACGAAACTTATTGCGCCCGATGGGCGAAATCCAAAGGATGTTGTCTTGTTGTAGGTATTTCTATGTGCATAGATTGAAAATAAATCCTAGGCATTGGGGTAAATAGTACTTATTACTCCCTTTGATTGTACAATAGAATCTTTGAAGTTGGGTGGTGGTTGAAATAATTAATTTCCATTGATCTGGAGCCGCTACCCGCTATGACTAAATTAGTACGCTAGTCCAATTTCGAAATGGCGGCTTGCAACTTCTCACTTCTTTCGCCTTTACCTCTATTTACCTTCTCAACCTTACAAAGCTATAACAACGACACAAGGTCAACCAGATAACCCTTCAAGAAGCTCGGATTCCTACTATTGCGCTTCATTCCTTGCCGGTCAAATTAGCTGTTGTATTTGATCTTATGAACTGTTCACCTCCTTCAATCTGATGACGCCTGTCGCCGCCTCAGCTCCATCTCTCCCTTCCTTCATCAAGATGGAGGATAGGAAGAGGGCAGCTGGCCAGAGCAATGATGACCTCGCACCACCTACCAAAAGGCAAGCCGTTAATGGTTCTGGTAAAGCATCTTCCGATTCCGATAATACTGCGCCATGGTCTGAAGACATCGAGGTATGTAGTCTGTCTCATGACTTATCTCCTTTCGCATGAGTGTTTTTCATCAATATTCTTTCGAATTCTCTCATCTATCAACGTCATATGAAGAGCCCAGGAATTGCTCTTGAAATCTATGTGGCTGTTGCTAATGCGCAGCTTGCTGTGAACAGCATGGATAGCCTGCAAACCTTCACGCCCCTACTCGTACTCCCACAACATATCGCATCAATGTAGTCAATACACCTTCCCTTTCTCGAACAAATAATAAACTGGTTGGAATGGCAGGCTGATATGTCACGTTATAGAAATACCAAAAAGACGCGATCTATAGACAAATGCTCGAGTACAAACGAGAAAAGGCAACTTTGGAGTCCCAATTGAAAAATATACAAAAGAAATCCACAGATCATGATGATCATTTGAGAATTATCGATGCTTGGTGGACACAGGTATGATAGGACCCTTATCAGTCAGCAAGAGCACGAGATTGATAATGGGTAACAGTTATTAGAAGAAGTCACTCTCCTCGCGGAAAATGATATTCCAAACACAGAAAAGAGTGAACGTAGGTTTTTCACACGCGGGAGTATGGATTTAAGGCTGACGTATTACAGCACCATTCCCAACTTCCTTACAATTTCATGGTATCAAAGGCTTCTCAGATCACTTAGCGTCTAAAGGAAGAGAAATAAAGTCGAAATTACATACAATATTTACCAATGTTGCTGCTGCTCGTGGCAAACCCTCCTCGGACTTACAAGACCTCCAATCAAAGGTTACTAAAATGTTGGCTTCCCAAAAAGAATACCTCGTCACAGTAGACAGGCTAAGAAACGAAAAAGAAGAATTAAATGAGCGTCTCGAATCGGCCTCACTACGTTACATTAAAGCCGAAAAACGTTTAGATAGGTTGAGGAGTGATACAGTGCGAAAGGAAGAGGCGAAAGCATTATTCCATAGTACAGCTAATAGCGTCAAAGCCGAAAATGGCATGGACACCGAAATGACAAATGGCATAGCGGAAGATAAGGAAGCTAATCAAACAGCATACAAAGAGGCACAAGCAGTTGTTGAGAAGCAAAAAGAACAACTTGAAGCAATGGCTGCTGAAAACAAATCACTCACAGAGCAAATCACTTCAGCCAGTATTAAACAGGTTCCTTCAGACGACGACTATGCTCGAACTGAGCTATTCAAACAATTTCGTATTCAACACGAAGACGTCATCAAACGTATCAATCACCTTGAAGCTACTAACATACAGTTGCGAGAGGAGGCAGAAAAACTGCAAGCGGAACGGACTGCATACCGGATTCAAATAGAGAACGAAGCGGAAGCGACTACCGGCGAGTTGGAAAGTCAACTTCAGCGTCTTGATGCTGATTTGACAAGGATTCGCTCTGCCCGAGACGAATTGCTCGCTGATCTCAGCGTGCGAAAAGCTACACAGGATCAGGATCATGCAGGTATCGAGCATTTGAAAGAATTGGTTGGAGCCAAGGATGATCGAATCATTTCACTTGAACTTGAAGTCGAACGCTTGAGACAGATCGCCGAGCAATCGTGCCAACCAACACCAGGACCGGAAATAGATTCCTTGAGTTTAGAAGAATTGCGAGTCAAGTACGATCTTCTCCAACAGGGCTATGACTCGATCAACAAAGAACTGCCTGCTCTCCAAAGTGCTTACAAGCGGGTTCAGGCCCTGACAAGCAAGAAAGTAATGGACTTCACGGCTCTAGAAGAAAAGGTTTCGGTTCTAGCGGCTGAAAAGAGCAAGGCCGATCAAAAATATTTCGCGGCTCGAAAGGATATGGATATTCGTCTCGCGGAAGTCCGGTCCTTAAAAAACCAAAACGCGAAAAGTTCCGAGATAATTTCCCAACTCAAGGATGTGGAGACATCAGACCGAACGCTCTTAAGCAACATGGAGAAGCAATTGAGCGATATGAGGCAGTCAAATACATCTATCATGGCGGAAAACAAGAAGCTGGAGGCATCAAGTAGAGAGGCTACAAGCAAATGTGAAATCCTGAAAAATCAAGCAGCAGAATTGACAAACCTTTTGAAATCCAAGGATTCCACGAACTCAGGCACCAAGCAGAAGATTCACGCCGTGGAGCTGGAAAATGAGCAACTTCGAGTTCGGTGTGAGCAAGCCCAAAAGGACAGAGATACGTGGAAGCAAAAGAGCTTAAGCAATCAATCGGGCGAGGAGGAAATGCTTAGAGTGAGTTTTATTATCATTGTCTATTCTGAATTGTTACTGACACAAATTAGACTCTTGCACTGTGTACCGTCTGCCGCGCAAACTTCAAGAACACCGTTTTAAAAACATGTGGGCACCTCTTCTGCAATCAATGCGTGGATGATCGAATTGCCAACCGTATGAGAAAGTGTCCCAATTGCGCCAAACCTTTCGACAAATTTGATGTCATGACCGCACATATGTAATATGGAGGTTTTGATGTCAAACTGAGGACATTTATGCCATTGGGAAGTTGTATGATTTTGAATTCAGGAAGTGCAGCGGAGCGCCGCACTGTGTATGACTGCACATTTGAGCGTGGACTTGCTTTTGCTTAAGTGAAAGGGAATTGGTCCCATGTATACCATGTTTTGTTCATAATTCACATTTTATTGTGATGAGATCTATCATTGTTTCTGTCGGGGATTCCTGAATGAGAAGCAAATAGGTGGACTTTGTATTTTAAAATAACGAACCCACTGGCCAGGGCAAAGAGTATGCTCCTTACCCTTGGTTATTGATGTGGTCGAGAAGCTGCAGAGCTGGCAGATCAGATAGCTTTAATAGAGATAAATACGATGTTTTAATGGATGCTTACCATCCAAGTCATATCGTATTGTAATGATGTGGGCACAACCATAATGACAAAACTGAACAGATGATGGGGAAGCGTTGGTAGTAAAATGAACTATGAAAGTTTACATAACACCAAATAAGTCACCCAAGAAAGACCCTTGGACCCGTTTTTCCTTTAGTCGCCCCTCCATTATCAAGGAGAATAATTATTCTAAGTGCCTTATCTGGACTACCGGGCTACTGAGCAACTGGTGCATTTATCTTCTGGACGTGGACCCGAATCCTGTGTTTGAGCGAGTATTGGTAGAGGGAGAGCTTGAGCTTCCAGACCGCGAGCCTGTACCCCATCCACTTCCACTTCCACCACCCCAGCCACCAAGGCCTTGATTCTGTTGTCTATTCGCTCTGTTTCCTGCAAAATAACCCCCAGCAGCACCTGCCGCTGCACCAGTCCAGAATCCAGGTCTCCATGCTTGTTCAGCTGCGCCATAATTTCTTGTAGATCTTTTTCCAGTTCCCGGGTATGGTGGTGGGGGTTCATCATCGCCTGGTCCTCCTCCACCCTCCACCCCTCCACCCTCCCCATCCTCCAAAACCACCTCCTCCACCTCCTCTCCTAGCTTGATGATTAGCCGGTCCGTCTCTCCAGTTCTGCAACATCGAGTACAGAATCCACCCCAAAACTCCCATAAATATCAACCAGAACAATAGACTCATTCCCTTCTCAACAGAACTATCCCCACTTCCATCATCCCAAAAGCTCTTCCCATACTTTGCTTCGCCCTCTTCCGTCAATAGTAACCTGTATTCTACGGCACAACTACCCTTCAACACGTATTCATCATCCTTACTATCATACCCTTCACAAATAACATCCGTGCTTCCTAATTTGAACTCCTCGGGGAGATTTGCAGTGCAGGACCATTGTATATCTTCCGAGGAATAGTCGGAACCTTGATTGGTGCAGCGCATTACATCGACTTTGTAATATCGACATCCAGGACCATTACATGTGAGCTGTGGTACGGCAGGGACTCGACGATGAGAGGTTTTTGCATTGTCGCGGAGAGTGAGGGTCTTGACTTTCGATAGAAGAATGGCATTTTTGGGTTTGACAGCTGTGGTTAGAGGGGTAAATGCGAAGAGGGTGAGTAAGGCTGGATAGAGGAATGGAAGGAGGAGCATTTTGATTGTAGTTATTTTGGATGTTCTTGAGGAAAGTTTCTCATGATAATTAGAGATATAAATACGCACACACAGTACGGTATCAAAAAATAAAGATTAAGTGAATATTCGTAAGAAAGGACAGATCATCAACATATTCATACAAGGGAAATATTGAAGCAAACAAGTTATTCGTTATTCTTTGGTGGCGGAAACTTCTTTACTGTACTTATCAATCAGATCAATCAGATCAATCAGATCAATCAGCCTTGCGAGGCTTAGTTGAAATATCTCACCGCCTAACAGGGGCTGGAAGATACTGCCAACCCACATGAACCACATAAACCAGCTGAGCCAACTCAACATCCAGACCTCACTTCAACCATTTGAACTTTATACGTAAATTCCAGCAACCATGCGGCAACGAATTACTTTTCTTCAGCAGCCCCAGGATGCAGTTGATCCTCAGAATATCCAAGTTTCCACAGATTCTATAACAGCAAAACGGATGAAAGCTGCTAGAGAGGATCGAGCAACCTTTAGTTTTAGTGAACTTCCTCAAGAAATATATCGAGTCTTGAAAGCATCTCATGAGCTTCATATTCGATGGACTAGTCCAAATCAATATGACACAGCTTCGCCTCTGTTTTCAAGGCTTTCTCCAGGTCTTCACGTGTTCTATAGTCCACAGAGAAATAGCAAAAGCCCGTATGTTTTTACATTGTTCAGCCCTCGCACATGCTAAAAGTGTATAGAGATCTTTTATGCCCTGCTTTGAAAAAAGTATTTGGAAATCTTGATTGCATATCTCCAGAGGTAAGATGTACTCGGTCGAGACCATGGAAAAATATCTAAATAAATATAGGAGTCTTTTACTAAGTTGTCTGTGGAACGATTTGCTTCAAATGCGGCAACACAATATTATCAACCTCTTGAGGACCTCACCAATCTTGTTGAGTATATACAACAAAAGATATGCAAGGCGTCAGATAAAGAATGTCTTCGTAGGGCCAATTCCCTCAGCTATGCATCTTCCGTTGATATAGACTTTGACACAATATCTCATGCCTTGAACATAGTTGCATATTGGGAACCTCAATCATGGGACCCAGAAATCACGAATGCAGCATCAAAAGACCGTGTAGAAGTTGGCATACTTTCTGTTGAAACACCTTTGCAACCCGAAGAGCTTTCGTTAGCTGGATTTTTGACTGTAGTTGGTGAAGACTCTAAACCGTCACCTACACTATTTTCCTTCCCGGCTAGACATCATTCCACAGACACATTTTTTACCTCATCTTTCATGACGCCTTCTGGTCTTCATCCTACATTACAACTCTTGCTTAGTTCCAGCCAACCTCCGGTATCAGACAGAGAATGTTCATTACATACTCATCTTACACTACCTCGTACCATCTTCCCCGATAAATACCAACTATCCGATCCTTTATTTCTCGCTTCAAAGAATTTAAAAGCGCTCCGACAAATTTCCTCGCCAATCGACCTCGAAGCCCCAAACTACACAATGAACATCTGGGGTTCATCTCTTCTACTTGAACTCGCACCACCTGAACCTGAGTCAACCCAATCTTTCACAGCGGAAATTCCCCTTCACCTACGATATCTCTCTCCAACCAACACCACAGACATTTACAAATCTATAGAAATCCCCCACCCAGTAATATTCTGGGCATGCACCGCAGACAAAGGTAGCAAATTCTCAATCAATCCATTTGATCGAATAAATCTAGGTTACGATAGCCTATTCGGATCCCAAACCATGTTCTATCACGTATCACCCGTAGCAGTACCAGATGGTAGATTAATGAATGCAGTTGCAGTTCCAGTATTAGATTTAAATAAGAGTACTTGGGTAGAGCTAGGAACTGCCTGTGTGGTTTTTTTGGGTTTCTGGTGGATTGTTTGGTGTTTGGTTGGCGTTTGGCGGAAGGTGGGGGTGTATGGTAAAGAATCTAAAGGTGAGAGGGCAGATATGAAGAAGAAGAAGAAGGAACTATAAGTTAGGGTGGTTATTAGGTGAATACATATATATGTAATGATACAATCCAAGTTATTGTATTTCCTCCCCTCGCCCCGCCCCTACCAAAAGTTCTTTCTTTGATTATATAACTCGAATTAAAATCTTGTTCTTTTTTTAATAAAGAGAAATAATAATTATACAAAAACTGTTTATTTTCTTCAAAGTTTATAATTTATAAAAAATATTTATTTATTTTCGTGAAACTTGATAATTAAATAAATATTCATACATACATCCGTGCAAACAAACAAATCAACAAATAACAAGGAATTCGCATTCACAAACATTAATTTCTCTAACCTTTAACCTCTATTCATTCACTCTTCCTGTCAGCCCATCATTTCTCCCCTCGCCTCCCCTTACCCTCACCCTACCACACGCCCTACCCACCCCAAATCCCATCATCTTCTCCCTCAACCTCGCAAAACCCCATCATCTTCTCCGCCGCGCCTACCCCCAACTTCCAAACTCCCTCACTTCTTCTGCCTCGTAATCTCAAAAACCTTCGTCAAACCCTCCACCACCGTCTCCACATTCATAGTAACCAAAGGCATTTTCTCATAACTACCCTCCTTCATAATCGCCACGAGGGCCAAATACTTATTAACCTCCCTCAACATGATAGGTCTCTTATCAGCCGTGAGAACAATAACACTCTCCGCATCCTTACAGGCGATTTGATCCTCAAGTTTCTTATTCCAGGGCGCTCCTTCAAGTCTCTCAATGTATTCTTGAGAACGGGGGTATCCATAGATTTCGGATACGTCGACGATAACATCGATGTAATCGCTGCAGATTTCATAACAGGGCATATCGACTGGGGATGAATCGGTGGCGATGTATATTTTAGAGAGGACGTCGAAGAGGTATGCTTTTTCGAAACGACAATTGCGACAGAGATCATTGAGGAGAGCTTCGAGGGTAGCGAGATGAGGAATTAATTTTTGTATGACTTTGCTGAAAGCTTCGAAGATGGAATGATTATAGATGGATGTGAGATGAAAATTGACGGGTGCATTTTCCATCCCTTGATCCGATAGTTCGTCTTGAATTCGTTGCATGATGTCACGTTGAATATCGAGCATATAATCATCGGATAAACCATCAACCTTATGGATGAAAACTTCTATGTTGATATTTGGAAAGGATTGATGAAGGTTGAAGATTGTGCTGTTGAGACGAGAAATGGCTTCAAGATAATCATCTTGAGCATCGATAACCCAAATCAAAGCACCAATTTCACCAAATATAGCTTCAATATCGAATTGAGCATCTTGGAAATCGATTTGACCAGGAAAATCCCAAACCTGGAAATCCATAAAGGAGCTAGAACATACATTAGTGGCTAAGTAATAAATTAGAAGGGGTAATAACTCACTGCATAGAATCCTTTTGAATTCTTGCGGTAGATTCAAGGAATAGAGTTTCATTTGGAGGCATCTTATGAAATACAACGCTTGATATTGAAGATTTTCCAGATCTAAAGATGATTAATACAATCGAACTGAAGTTCATGCGTGTAACATTGAAACTCACCTTCTTTGACCCATCAATAATAATCTAGGCTTGCCCTTAGCAGCAACACCAGGAGCTGCATCAACTACCTTGGTAGCATCCTTCTTTTGAAGAGCGGCACGATTCTGTTCATGAAGAGATTCAAGATTTAGTGATGCTGGACTAATATGACGAACAGGACCCATCCTAGGAGGACCATTATAGGCTTGATCCTCCTTGGTGCGTCTACGCCCTGTTTGCAGAATGGAGGTAGGAGAATTAGACATTTAAACTAATACTTAAAGTAAAACAAATCGAATATCGTACAAGTAATAAGTGCAACTTTGCGATGATTAATACGGAAAAGACAAATGATAGGGTGACAAAACGGTGTGATGGATCGAAGTTATGATAGAGAATGTGATATCAGCTGGCCAATTTCCAATATTTGCCGTTGGGATGCGATGAAGTATTGTTTGCCGAAAAAAGATCAATCTTCCAGGTAAATCACATCACAACCACCCTTCAAAAGCCAACTTCTAAAAAGATTTCCCAGCTTTGCCAAAACACGGAAAAGGAAAAGGCTATAATCTAACTTCCACTGTTTGTTTGTACAACATCAAATCCGGCACTCATACAAAAGTCTCGGATAAATACCGAGCTGTACTCGGTCTCCCAATTTGATCTTTATATGGAGGAACCCTAGAAACGGGTATGCACAGGATCCTAACACCAGATGACTCCTTCAGATGCTTTGAGTGACACTAGTCAAAGAAATCTGAATCGTAAACTATGTATCCTTCATCGTGATGCATGTGGGAAAAAAACGATATAAAAGAATGAAGTAAAACAACCCGCAATAATGAACATCGGCAGCCCCGATATCATTATATATGAATTGGTCAAAATCAGACCATAACAAAGAAGAAAACAATGCACATGCAGAATAGGACGGTAAAGATATGCGTAGTGGAGCCATTTAACCATGGTCACATTTCCTATACTGGTAGAGAGAGAGACATGGTCGTGGCCTGAATGGAGTAATTTGTGCCACACATGATAAGAACCAAGTAATCGGAAATGCAAGAATGCCCGCGCTGTAGCTGTAATCTTCAAGCAGGAAATGGAAAAAAGAAATGAAGAATTGCAGAAGAAGAAGGAGGTGAAGAAGAAGAAGAATGCATATATAAAAACAAGCGTAGTAGAGAGAAAGGAAAGAAATCTTCATACCTCCATGATAGAAGGATACAGCGGAATCTCCGAAGACTTCGTGCTCTGTTTAGTTTGGTTTGGTGGTGAAAAAGCGAGGGATGGTGGGGAGGGAAGCAAAAAGGTAAGCACAGTACAGTCCAGTACAGTAAAACCCTTGCTGGATCGATCTCGACCCTTTTCGATGCTAATGGCGAATGGGTAATGTTGTAATTGAAACTAGGAGAAGATCCAATCAGCAGGAGATCAGCGGCAGATCAGCAGGAGAAAAAAATCTTCTAGATCTCCAGCTTCTATTAATTGCATCATCTGAATGAATGGAAGAAGATGTGCTGTCAATAATTCCAGAAGCATGTCATGCCAGGTAGGTAGGTAGGTAGGTAGGTAGGTAGGTGGTGGCTGGTGTTGGTCCGGGGCTGAACAGTTCATAGTTCACAAGTCAGTTCACAGTTTACTCACATATAATAAATGTTTTCTTTTGTTTCAGAATCTTCTTCTTTTTCTCTTGGATAAACAAGGATTATTGTTATCAATCAATCAATCAATCAATCAATCAATCAATCAATCCATACAATGAATTGAAAGAGTCTAGATCCTTTGTATCTGAATTGACGTCTGAAGTCTGAATCTGCAGTCTGCAATCTGCAATCTGCAATCTGCAATCTGAAATCTGAAGTCCGAAATCCAAAGTGGTGGGTAGAAGAAGAAGTTATCGAGTATTTTTCAATGGTGACGGTGATGGTGAATTGAAAATAGAAATTGAGGTTAGAAATCGAGAATAGAAAAATAATCAGGTGTTCTTTCTTTCTTTCCGTTCTGTTGTTCTGTCGGTTTCTTTGCTTGGTCTATGCATCCATCCATCAATCAAGTTCAAGGCAAAGAAGAAGAGGAAGAAGACGAAGTGAAGATCTTATCATTAACTCGAAGATAATCAACCGAGAAATGAAAGAAATATGAATTGAATGTTCAAAGTACAGGTATGTATGTAAAGGTTCTTTCTTCTTCTATTAATTCTTAAAATACATCTACATATTATACGTATAGATGATACAGATATTCAACTCAATCCATTTAAATACCCTTTAAATCATCCATCCATTCATCCTCCTATTCCAATCTTTCAATATCTCTACACCGGCACTATAGTTATATTCTCCGAAATGCCTACCTAGTTAGTACCTACGACATAAACAAAAGAAATCTCCTAATCGTAATCGCAGAAACTTTACTATCGGATATCAATATCAAATATCGAATACCGAATACTCATTCATCCATCCCATCATCTCAATCCATCACTCACCCACCATGCACGACAAGATTTCACAACGATCAAGGTGATACTTTCAGCATTTAGTATTAATGCTATGAATATCCTGCCCGCCCATCAAACCTATGGTACAAACAAGCAGGTGCTCCAGTTCTATATCCTAATATTAACATTAATCATTTCATCTCATCTCATCCCACGAGATGCCTTCCTGTACTTTTATTGCTAGCCAGCGAAAAAGCGAGAAAGCAATATATCCATAATACCCTGACCCCATATCCAACCAACCGGTAAAGTATCGCATCATTCACCCAGCCCTATCCATCCATCGTACCGATCATTCCCATCCATCCATGTACTCCGGGTATCCCATGTCCCGATAAACTCCGTCGCTATATAAATAGCGAAAATGCCAAGCGCTTTTGTGCTTTTGCAACTTTGCTATAACCACTCATTAATATCCTCAAGATGTTCCAGTCGATCATCTTTCTCCTGTGTGCCACTTCAACATCTTCAAGACTTTGACTTATTTCCAAAAACTGCTGCCATAAAACTCTTTCTTCTCCCTAATTTCTGCACATTCATCGCCTTTTTATCCAACGCATTCACTTCAACTGGCATAGGTGGTAATGGCGGACTTTCCCTTGAACTGACCGAAGGCGTGTATTCTTCATGCGTTTGCAAATTCTTGGATTTGAGGCTTTTCGTGGACTTGGTGCTCATTCTTTTCTTACTCTTTACCGTCCCTGGAGTATGCAAGCTGCGGTGCCCTGAGCCATCATTCGCGGTCTCCCGTTCTAGTTCTTCTATTTCACCAGCGACAGTCTTTCCGTTGGTCGCAAAATTCTCCTCTGCCAATGGGACAAATTTAATAATACCGCGCTCTGGTTCGACATATAATTCAGTGGTGGCCATATAATTCTGCAACAGCGATGCATTTCGCTTGTTCGTAACAGGTTGCATTTGTGACGGAAGTGCAGTTATAGTCATAATATAAGCAGGCTCGAAAGTACCAGCTACGATGAAGCATGCGGAATGTTTGAGGGTAACAAAAATGGACGATTCAGGACGTTGATAGCGTGTTGAGAGAATATTAGAGAGACTTGTGAGGAGAGTGTGTTCTTCACGCATCTATTGCACATGATCTTAGTAACTGACTTTTAGGAGAGAAGTAGGCGAAATGAGACAAGAAGAGGGAAACCAACAATGACATTTGTCACTAGTTCACAAAGAACCATACTGTCCCTGCTCACTCTATCTCTAGCACTGCCCGTGGGTTCTCGGTATGCAAATGCATCACCGTAATACTGACTTCTCTTCTTCGCTAACTGTTTTTGCTCGGGTGACTTTGACATGCTCGATTTAGTGATATCACCGGGAGTGCCGCGTGAAATATCTCTAGTAATTCGTTGACCTTCAATAATGATCGGAGAGGGAGATGTGGATGGCCGACTAGTATCCATCTTGTCACTATCGGCAGGTGAAGGTGGTAAATGAACGGGTAACTCAACGGTCGACTTTACACACCGCGGATCACCGTTATTTTCCGATGCAAAGCTCTTTTGGGAATAGACGTCGACTATCCCTTTCGCAGATGGTTCGTATTGGGTTGATATCCGCTCGTAACTTGTTGTTGTTGTTGACATTGCAATGGAAAGCAGAATTGTGTATTTTGAGGTTAAAAAGATATCGAACTTGCGAGGCAAAGCAAGAGGAAGCAGTACAGACTTTTGGGACCAAAATATCTGATTCGAATATTGGGAATGTACGGTATGCGCAGTTCTAAGACATACACAAGAACCCGGAGACTGGAAACTGAATCAAAAGATGATGGATCTAGAATAACTCCTCGGCTTTTCCCCGATAGCAAAGATGTTTTTGAATAGGTACGATAAGAGGCGGTAAGGCTGAATAAGTCGTACTTGGGATGAATGAATGATTCAAAAATGCTATGTGTGTTTGTGTGTATTATGGTATGAGTATTTCCGATGAATGTTTATTAGAAAAAAGTAGGAAGATCAACAAATGCGTTTTCAGGACTACAGGACTACAGGACGGTGGGGCAGTGGCAGTCTAAAGTAGTAAAATAGATTTTGGCAGGTGCAGCGGCAATGAGCGAGGCAAGGACGATCCAGACTACTCTTTATGGAATATCAGACAATTTTTGATGGTACAAGATCTACAATCCCGGTCGTGTCAAAAGTATAGCTCTATCGAGAACCATGTCAATTGGTCCATCTAATTTCTTCACATTAGGAATTGAATCACCTTGTGGGAAATGATTGGTCAAGTCAAAAGTTAAAAAGGGAATAAGAGCTTTAGCCTTAATTGGTTCTTAACAGGTAATGAATTGTTCACAGATCAGAGCAAGGTTCGAGCTTCACTGGAGAACAGACTTCTTACATGCATTTCTCCTCTCTACTGTGAAGATAATCTTGCATACACGGACAAAAGCATTCCACAATTGACGAAGGTTGGTTCGACGAACTAACTGTACGTGTTTTAAAAGCCCCGGATTCTATTACGAGGAGCTTCAACAGTTGTGCTCGCATATTCAAAGAACCCGGTAGTTATTGGTCAATCATATTCGGTGTGTGGTTCCGTTTGTAGATCTATCTATCCATCCAAGGATCAAAGCAAACAAACAAAATATACATACATATACATACATACATACATACATACATACATCCCAATGCGGGCACCCATCCAACAACCAACCCATTACCATAGAAGTAAAATCTTCACTCCCCAACCTATTACATCCATCCATTCATCAATCCATCAAAACTCCAATCCTTTTTCCATCCCGTCCTGCCGTGCCAACATACATGTCCCTTCCCGTGAAACGTCTTCATCTCTACAATGCCACCTACTATACTCAACCACTATATCTAGTACTCCTTATATTATCGGTCCCTTACAGCATCGAATACAAAATATATGAATACCCAGGTAGGTCCCTATATAAAAATGCAAATTACTCCGCCTACCCGCGATTACTCGTCGCCAAGTCAAGATTAGATGACAGAAAACCAGAATCAGGATTTCCTATCCACATACAGATCTGGTGTCACGAGATATGGTAAGGTAGTTAATCAGATCAATGATTGAAAGCTGGGCATTCATGCGATTGCACCCAAATCGCGAAATGCGTCTGCTTTCAGGGCCTCACTTGCAGGTACTTGTAGATGTGGTGAAATGTTACGTGCAGCCATGATGTGTATTGGATTTCGGGGCGGTGGCAGTGAGGAGGTACCAGTGGCACCAGGTTTAAGTGATTTTTTGGGTTAGGTGCGACACGGACATTTTTTTATCCCTGGAGCTGTGCTATGGTTGTGCGTGGGGGATTTGCGCCCTGTGTTGTGTTGTCAATTGTTACCCGGTCGATGCTGTGAATTGATGTATCTGAGTGCTCGAAATATTTTGAGAGTTGAAACAAGGAAGAAAGTCAAAAATATGAGTGAAGCAGAGAGTAATATATTTTATATATTGCATAATAGAACATTTTACCCAACTCCACTACCAAAACTTGCATTTTGTGTCATACACGTCGTATTTGGCTTTACCTCGAGACATCCCACCATATAGCCAAGACCTCAACACTATCAACCTCAAATCAAATACCCTGCTTAATCTTCTGTCGTACGATTTCATCTCTCTCCCATAACAGGACAGTGACCGCCCCAATTGGACCAGCTACCAACATCCACATGCCGATCTTGACCAACAGTTTTCTCTTTGACGCTCCTACTCTATTCCCCTTCCCGGCGAGCATCTCCCGGATCTGATAAGATGGGAGACTAGTGTTAGGATCTACTATTGATTTTTCTGCAGTAGCATTTCTATGTAGCAATATAGCCCACAACAGGAGTGCTGTTGACCCGGTCGCCAAATCCCATTGAAGAAACGTGTGTGCGCCGCTTGCAAGATTGGAGACGCGCTGTGAGAGTGGAAAAGGAAAGTAGGGAACGTAAATGTCGAAGAAATTGAGACTAGCATAAGGAGCAAGTTTGGGCAGAGTATCTGAGATGACTGAGGCGGGGATGAGAGCTACGAGAAGAACAGGAAGGTGTGTCAATACGCAGAACGTAAGTACGAATCGGTAGACATGTTTGGCGTTGCTGAGATAGGAAGTCCCTAGAGGTGTGAGCGGCTGTTTTGGATCTTTCGAGAAGACTTTCGATCCAATGAATTGGAAAGTTGAACGGAGAGTCCATTGAATGATGACTGTCCAGATTGGAAACGGTTGCCAAAAAGCAATCAGCTGCTGATGCGCAGGTCCTGATACTTTGGAGGGAGCGTCAAGGCCCATGAGAAAGGTAGGGACAATATAGGTTAAGGTGATTGAGAGTGGTAGAATCTTTAGATCCAGGGGCGAAATGAGAAGAACACTATTCGCATAGGTTCCTGGAAATGGCTTTGCGACAGGTGACGTTAAGAGGTGGATAAATAGATAGATTGGTACTGTGATTGCATAGGTGATGTTTTGAAAAATAAATCCAACCGTCCCGATACTATTTATGTCTGGTCAGCAATTTCCTCGTAATCTGATTGTACGATTTCATCCGACACGATTGGAGTATTCTTCGCCATTCTTCGCGATTATAAGAGGTTGGGATGGATAGCTTAAAACGAAACTTTAGGACTGCATACAAACTAACAGCTCTCCCTTTATTCCCACTTCGTAAACTCTCCATTACCAGTAGAGTCCATGCTGCACCAAGCTGTCCCAATCCGTAGATTGAATGTAGCCATACCACAACATTTCTTCTATCGACAACAGTCGCAAAGAAAGTCACCAGAACAGTCAGCTGTTTATCAAGACCCTTAATACCCGTATAATCTTTCAGTAACAAGTATTTAGCATCTGGAAAAACAGCGGGCGGGTTTTCTTGTCTAACGAGATTGGTGATGTGTTCAAATGTTCCGTTAAGGCCTCCAATGATGTAGGCTCCAAATACACCGATGAGGGAAAGAACGGGAAGAGCGAGAAGAGTGATTGTACGCAGTTGGATGTGGTACCACTTGGTGGGTATGTGGCCGGTTAGGTAGGTGGGTGAGTGAGGGGAAGAGACTGATGCGAATGATGATACGACGGACTATAATCTTGTAAGCTAAACTTGTCTCTCTATAAAGCGAATGCATACCATTATGCCCGATTCAATTCATCAAAAATGATCGAACGAACAATCAATCAATCAATCAGGAAAAATTACATAGATATCGTGATAGAAATGGGATATTGAAGCCAGATTGATGAAGCTCAAAAGAATTACATAAAAAGAACAGATGGCCAAACACAAAACATGCAAAAGACAAGAAACCTCCTTACCTTCTCATCATTATCATTTTCCTTTTTCGACTCAGATGAATCCATATTTACATATTTTATGAGTTTGAGGCACTCGGTAGATGGGATGATTTGTGATGTCTATATGGTGAATTGATGTGGGGCCGAGGTAAGGTTATCTTTATGCAGGGATATAAGAAATGTGATCTCGATGTTAACGACATCAAAATCTCTCGCGGTCTCTTGTCTTTCAAATTCTCGCCCCACGTGTTTGGATTAGGACTGACATTTTGATTTTGGTCGCCGGTAGTTGGCCTGCTCCATGATTGTAGGTAGACGCAGACTAATATGCACTAGAAGCCCAGGAATGGACAAAAGTTGGAGCGACATGTATGACAGCAAGTCGTAAATCCATAAGGATCTCTCACATACACTACCTCTTTCCTTCATTTAAACACCGACCATTGCTTCTCGTCCGCCTTGGACTTAAGAACCTTTTGTGACAATACGTGCTTCGATCACATGACTGGGCGAAAATCGATGATCGATGATTGATGATGGCTAGTGCCCAAGTACTCATCAAACCTGGACTTTATCGTCCATCGGATTGTGCTTGTCTGTCTTCTTCGAGTTAAGGCTTGCTCATCCTTAAGTTAATTTCTCAATCGCGCTTAAAAGTCTCAACCCGTGGGCAATCCCATCCCCTACTCAAAGTACCGGCTTTTGTACTTGAGAATCCTGGGCTCACTCTAAGAATCTGCAGAAGAGCTGTTTGTGACCGGCCATAGGCATGCTATTAATGATTTTAGAAGAAAATTTCGTGGTGAGCATAGCACTGGTAATAACTTATGGTACATGTGTAAGTTTGTACATTGAGCACCATAGTCCCGTCAACCTGCATCACAGGTATTTTGGCATTATTGATAGAGACTCCACAGAAGTTTACATACTCAAACCACGGCAAGATCTGGGAAATGTATTCTCTAGAGTAAGTTTCAAGAATCACGAAAGGCTTAGGGAAAAGGAGGCACGATGTTCAGTGAATCATTCTACTTCGGTCACTTCACTTTTATATTCACCACCTCCCCAAAGCCCAGGTTCTGAATTACAAAAGCTACCTTAAATAGGTAATTGAATTTCAGAGAGGTGGGATTACTCGAATGATGCATTTGTGTTCCTGCTGTCGAGCACGCTTGGGCAGCCAGGCAAAATTATGAGATTGGAATCGCCAACATCATGGGACATTTGGCTCCCCTGGTAGCATGGCTTGTATCATCAAGATGATGCCAACTCCAAGAAGATATATGTTTAGTTTCGATTAAAATGGTAATGGGGAAGAGGGTGGAATCTCACAAGACCCGCAATCTGCGGCTTCCCCTTCGCTTTCGCCTCATGTTCTAATCCTTCACACGCGAACCACCGCTGTCAAAAAATTCTTCACTGCACATTTGCACCAATGCCTACCTCCCTGACGGAAAAAGATATTTAAAAAAGAAACTTGGTGTGAGGACCCCAGCTACGATGAACTGAGTATTTACAGCCATATAAACCCTGCTCATGTTGCAAGCAACTAAGTTGCAGCCCAACCACCTAACGTTGTTTGTTTCTTGTACAATTCTGCACGACGAGGATATATATAGGCAAGTGGTTGAAGTGTATATTGGTGGTGAAATATTCAAATCACATATAGGGAATTGTGAGAGTATGAAAAATTGCATCATCTGGTCCAGGGTAGAGCCCCTTTCTCACCATCATTTGTTTTAATTTTCTACGCGTATTAAGCTCCAAGGATTTATTTGCGTATTATGCTTGGGTGTTCTGGAGCATATCTGCTGCCTATTTCACACGGCCCACATCGTTGGCTACTCTCGCGAGGAAAATCCTCTCAAATCCACTTTCCCATTCTATCAACAACTTCAATTTTTCACACGATCCTTTTTAACAGACACATTTGAAGGTGTTTGCAACAGCATCAATTGCGTTGGCTTCCCGTCCATGTGTACTTTCACACGTCTTCTTCTTGGTGAAAAGTTCAAAGCCGCGCCTCTTGATTATCTTTTTTCAGCCCCAAAACCCCAAAAAACAAGAAATCGACAAACCCTCCAACGTCAAACAGAGCGGCTATGATAACAGAGAATTCAGCAATAGGAAGTTATTAGTCTACGATTTTAGAAGTTATGCTCCATTAGGTAATGGCAGGCCATATGGTTCCAGGTCTTCCGATTCGAGAAAACATCACCTAAAAACGCAACCAAAATTCACTTCGCGTGCGGGGGAATTGCAATCTGCTGCTTCATATTTCAATACCCTCAGCTTCCAATCTCTTTTTACCTTTCTGTTCTTGATGCAAGACATCAAAATGGAAGTCATTCTCTATCAATATTTGCGTTGTAATGGCAACGATGGAATTCCTCTGTAGTATTCACGAGACATAACACGATACGCAGTATGTACGCTTCTATTCAATTTCTTCCGATATTTCATTAAGTTCGATCCCATCCTCTCTTTCAATTATCAATCTTACTTTCGATATCATAAATTTTGAAGCTGACTTGGCGGTAGTTCTGTGGCCTTCCCGCTTGTAACTATGACTTTGCACGAGAAACTTAATCATGTCTCCTTTCAACAGCGATGTTGTGACTACGAGGTCAATAGTCGTCAGCAGATGCGTCTTCTATCGCAGCACGGTGCCTCCACCTACGACTTTTAAACCCATCTTATTCTTTCAGTCGCGAATAAAGCCTTACACAATGAACTCGACTCCAAGAACCCTCTTTCCTGCATCTTGAACTGCCAGTCACGACTTTCCTTACATCCTCCGTCTTTCAATCCTAATTTCGGTCTAATTCGCCTTCAGTACACGTCACCATCAAGTATTACCGTGAGAGAGTTGTCTGTATCAGTGTAAGTGCTTGCTACCCCTTTGTCCCATCTATTACTGACCAAATATCAGATCAGTTCACCAAGCTACATCAGTTCGAATCAATCATGCTTATCTATGCGGTTCCGTGCCATTCCGTGCCCGGGCAGATGCTACACTTGATCAGCTTCTTGCAGATCTTTGCATCAGCTTCGGGCCCAATTCTTGTGTGGTATCGGACACCAGCTGGAATATAACACACTAGCTAAAGGTCAACAACTAGCCTCGTAATTTCCCCATGAGATATTTTCTCCATGCTTAGGCATGCAATCGTTCTTTCTTACCATGGGAGAAACTTTAAAGCGGACTGCTGAATCTCGCCACTGCTTCCTCACGTCGTTATCCTAACCCGCTCGGCGTGAGCTGTTTCAAAATATCCTCTAGTCATGAGCAGGTTATGGGTCTTCGTCCGGAATGACATAAAACTACCACCGACAAGGCTCAGTGCTGAGTAGGTTTGACAGACTCGAGCATCCTTGATTGTGCTGCTGCCTTCACGAACCCACCCCAGGCTACGATCCAGCGCATTAACAAACAAGCCTTTTTCTTCGAAAATCCAAAGAGACCATGTTCAGTCCGTGGTCATCGACAGCAAACCTCGATCAGCCGCTTCCTGCGTCATTCAAACGTGAACTTTCACAACCCACAGGTTCTTCTGACTCATATATTCGATGCTATAAACTTTTTAAAGTCAAAGAAATTTCTTTCTGAGAAGGCAAATTCGGCGAATTGTCAAGATTTCTGCTACGATAGTTACCCATCTTTGTATACCCCCGTCTGGTAGGATGTTAAACTCCAACGACAAGTTTGGCATGCTATGATCACGCAACACGGTACCCGCAGGACATATTTCGACAAGCTTCATTGGCAACCAATTTGCTGCTGGTATTGTACTCAACATTACCTGATAAAAACCTTCGCGAGTAGAGTCGCTTGATTTTCATTTTTAAACCCGACGCCTAGGGCAATTTAATTGTCTACGAGGCTGTGGGGTTAAACTCGGCCATTAAGGCAATCCTCGTGCCAAGGACTTCATATTCTTGCTGAAACCTTGGCATATCGATTGCACCTTAACAAAAAATTCCGTAAATTATTAATAGGGAGCTCGACCTAGCTGTAGTTCATCACTTCTTTCCAGCTCATGGTCTTTCGGATGCAACATCAGAACCTCCACGTCGAATCTCGAAGATCGACCGTTGTACACTCCAAAACATCATTGAAGGAACTTTAACTGAAGCACATTAGTCTTCCTAAGATTAATGCCAGCTTCTTTCTTATCAGATTTTATTAGTTCTAAGCACATGGTATGAGCGGATTGACAAATGAAAGCATCTTAAGTCTTCTAGCCGCCAGTTTCTTTTTAAAGGCAACCTAAGCACGATGATCCAAAAGGCTTGATTTCTGGATTTTGATCTACTGGCTGCTCACGGTTGCTTCGGAGTCATAGCAAGTGTGAGTACATCTATTTAGTTGAATTCAAGCGGGACCTTAACACTAACGGTTTATAGGAACGAGGTGCACTGCTTCGGATAATGCAGGAGAACACATCCGCACTACTATTTTGGCAGCTTTCTCCGTCAGAGTCTCGGTATGACTTGAACTACCACCAGGATTTGAGGGAGAGGCCGGGCTTCTTCCATTACTTTTGAAACGGTCCTGAGCATGACCATATAAAAGGTTTATTTCCTCACCTGTACGTAGAGGGTGAGACGCATTGACGCAGATATTCTCTCAACACTTCATATCTATGCCACTACTCTGGTAGCTTTAAAATCAGCACTATATCTATATGATACAGTATTTTCCCCTTGACGTCTGGGTATGACTCGAACTACCAAAATTATACCACTCGACCTTCCATCGTTTAGGCACGACGTTAAACTAACACTCTATGTCGACCAGAATATTTTTCAACTCCCCATATCCAAGCCCTTACTTCTTTGGCGCCCTAAATATTCCAAATTCTGGTTGGTGTCAGTATCAGTCTCACAACAAATTTTATCCTGATATCTGGGTATAACACAACCTGCCAAAATGAGTGTTTAGAACGGATAAGACATGGATCTGCCACTGATATCAACGGCGTTGTTCTCATTCTTCGAGTAGGACAGAAAAATCCGCTTCAGCCTTTTACGGTGCCAATCGCAGTTCATACCCGAACTTTCATCCTCTCTCTCGACGAAGCTCCGGCTTTTCCCAGTCTTCTCAATGACTATCACAAAAGTTCTCTACAAGCATAGATTGTCCCGGGAATGATGAAGTTAAAAGGCTTATTCCCCGCATGAACAGCAGGGAGACGAATTGATCTAAGTTTCTCTTCAGGTCTAGACCACTACTTTTGTAGCTTTCTCCGACTTCTTGGTCTGGGTATGACCTAAACTACCACAGGCTTCCGGTTTCCTTGGTGTGGCAACAGTCAACATCACCTTTCCAATTTTTCAAAAAGAAGCACATTATCACCTCTCGCGACATAATGCCAGCTTCCTGGTATAATCAATCGGTTGTCTCATATTTCTTTGTTCCTTCACCAGCAACTGTTTACGAGAGTATATCTGAAAAGATAAAAACACTCTTACTTCCTCGCGTATCTCACCATGTCTTCAACATAGTCGAGATCTCTAACAGGTGTCTTTATTAGCGCACCAGCGATTATCCTCCAGGTTTGATAATCGTCAGGTGGTAGAATGGAGTTCTTCCCTGCAAGACACGAGACGAATTGGCTTGGAGAATTTCGAGTCACTATCTACTTCGATAGCTTCTGATAGTGTGATTTTGGCGACGCGTTTGTTGTCGTTTGCTTCAAACTTCAATATGTGGATGGGTCCGGGTATATATGGCTTGACTGTACCTTTGGGTCTAATGGGTACCACGATGATAGGATGTGGGAATCTTTCCAGCACAATGGGCCAAAAGGTAGCGGTTCAGTGGTTCAGCATGGACAAACTTTGTGGAGGGTCTCTTTCCGGTAGATGGGCCATTAGATACAAACCCAATAGTCAAATATGGAAAATTGACCCAAGATTTTCTTCCACATATATGATCGTATATGCAATTCTCTTTTCTCCTTTCATGTTTGTCACTTTAGACGTTTCTCTGGTCAATGTTGTATCGATATATCACTTCTCATCAATCCAATATTGATTAGAAGTAACGTTGATTTACTACGGCTCGAAAGTTCGAACCACAAGAATACCGAATTTCAAAAAGCTAAGACATATACATAAACATGAGAAACCAGAAACCATTTCGCCCGCGCCCTTCCGTTAATTTAGTAAAATCTTTATCCCAAGATGACATCATCCATATCCGTATTAGTACCCAGTGGTAGTTCATTTACATTGATACACCCCAATGTCCCATACGCTTAGCATGGGTGCCTGTGTTTCCATCTCTCGGCGTAATAACCGCATCACTCAAGAGTGAAGTAAGATTGGCCATAACCCCGGTCACATACAAGATATCACTCAGAGTAACCTCCTCCTTTGGTTTACTCCACCCGAGCTCCGTTGGCAATCGTTCACTTTCTGCAAAATCACATTAGCTATAGCTCACATTATGAAAACTGTGCATCCGGAATAGACATACCTATCCAATTCTCAACTAATGTCCTATTGGCAGTTAAAGCATTTTTGTCACCAAAAGCTATGATAGGCGCAGCTATTTCTCCAATACTAAATGATTGAGTCTTTGATGTGAAAGTATAGTTTGGGTTTGTGGTGCGGGAGACAACTTGGCGGAAAATTTTACCGTTGACGAGATGTTGTGCTGTGAGTGTCTCTGAGGGCCAGTACTTTTTAGTTGTGTCGAAGATAGTTTGGTTGAAGACGTGATTGTTGCCGAAGTAGGCGTCTGAGCGGCTTATGCTTGCATCATGCTCTAAAATGTTGTGTCGGTTGAGATCATCGCTGAAGTGGGGATTAGTAATTGGTGCAAATGATGTGGTGAGCCAACAAGCATATCAGGAAGTTCTTACAGGGTGAAGAAAGTAGTATTGGGGTAGGCGGGACTAGAGAATACACCTTGCTGAAACATGATGGATGAAAGGGATTTGTTGAAGTTGAGTCCATGCTTCAAACCCTTGACCAGATTGTATTCTGTGAGATTCCTACCATCGCGAGGAAGAAATCCATGGTTTGCTAAGGTGTTCAGCATAGGACATGGGCCGCGGTCTGTCATCCGTTAGTATTTTGCTGAAAATGTAAAGTGGTGAAGCTCCTCAAACATACAGTCAGTTGCTGTAGGTGCTATCCATTGGCCTTCTGTGTCGTTGACGATGATTTCTTGTTGATAGTGAGCTCTAGCAGAGACCAAGCCAACGGCCAGAGCGGTGGAAAGGAAGTTAAGCTTCATGTTGACTTATTATAGTGATTGTGATGTAGAATATATGGAATTAAAATAGGGAAAAGAGAATGAGCTTTTGATGTTTTCATTTCTAGCAGCAAGTCCGGGTATTTATGATTGAACTTCTAGTATTACTTTGTAAGCATTCAAAGTTTCCTACTTCTCCTCTACTCGTCATATTGGAGGAAACACACACATCATAGCACCATTCAAAGGGGCAGACAGAACAATTCTTCTTTGCACTGCCTGTGGTTATTACCGCATTACTGTGGGACAGAAATCCCTGGATACCAAGTGCCTACCACGTCAACCGTGAAGTAGAGTCCGTTTAAAGGGTCTTTCGGGTCTCGGATTCGGATCTCGCATTCGGATTGACCCTGTTACTTCGTACAACTTCGTTTAAGGCTCGTACTCGCACCGATACAGCCAATGGCGGACAAGGTATTGGCATGATAATTTGAAGGCACCAAGCGAAGCTTAGATGCCGAATTTTGTCTTCGTACTCGGATCCCCGGCTCGTATCGAGCATAAATATAAGGTTATGATGTGTAATTTTCATGAATGCAAAAATAGATAATTATGATCTTCCGTCAAGTCTTGAAAAGTCACACCTTTCGTCATTTTCCCCTTCAAGAATTTTTTTGATATCAGCGATAAGACCTTCCTCCATTGCATCCCTCAAAGAACACTTTTCTTGCTACCCGGAACGAAGAGGGTTGTCGACCGAGAGCAAGGCAACATCTAAAGCACTGAAACTCCAGGACACTATTGTTACTATTAAGCATGTTAGCTACAGAAATCAGACTTCGATATGTTAATCTTCATAGGAGCTCATCCATGAAGGCCAATATCTTCGACTTGAGTAAGTCATGTCAGTGATCTGATCACGTGATCCTGATATTAGTCCCAGGCGGTTGTCGACGTCTACTGCGTGAAAATTTCACATGCGGCCAGTTTGGAAACGTTTTTTTAAGAGTATTGATGGTATATGAACCAAGAGTGAGGTCAGTACAGTACTTGCTACAAAAAATATGGAGAAAATCGCCATGGTTGGTTGAGTATGGCTCTTTATTTCCCTTATCGCGACAGCCGATACTCTTTTGCGCATCTACTCATAAAACATCCGGACAACAGCGGCTTTTCCACTGGGGCTCCCTGCCATGTCACCATTTCCGTTCCAAGAAGCCCTACAGAGTACAGAATACGATTTCAAAAACGATCCATATAGCAAAACTCGTCCTTGACTGATCTTCCACAACATCAACAACCGTTGAACCGAAACCGCCGCTCACCCACACAAAACAAGAAGTAATAGATGCTTACACTCAACTTTCCCAATTCATCACCCATTAATCCCCAAATACTTACCTCCAACTCTCACATTGGTCTATTCTGAGTTCCACAGCCGCCCACCCCTGCATGCAAGCGCCCGTGCCTGTGCGCAGCCCAAAATAACCTTGAAGATCATGTACCGAGAAGTATTCTGTACCAATCATTCACAAATCTCACAGGAAGTCTAGATTTTGATATATGATTGGGAAATGGATCCGGGGATCTTCCCGTTTGATTGGAAGATGTGTACACAGGAGATGTACAAGCGGCACGCCCTATCTTATCTGAATTACTGCGTTTGTTTCTCGAGCGTCTTCCTCATCGTTTCTGTTGGTTGGAGATATATTCAACTATTGAATGGTAGGTGATATCAATATTTGATAGAAAAGATTGGTAAGTATATGTACTTGTCGGAGTCCCCAATTCTTTTATTTTGTAGGATCGTCATTTTTGAGCTTGTTCTTGTTTTCGTTGTTCAGCTTTCTGTGCTTATCGTGGGGTATTCCTACCTTGTATTTCTCATCTCATCTTATATTCACTTCTTGTCTCTATCTCACATTAACGCATTCCTTTCTCTCCACTCTACAATCCTTTACAACCGCAAAAATGGCAGGCCCATCCCCATCCCCAGAACCAAAACAACCGCTCACTGTCATCACCTCCTCCTTTCAAGAATTCACACCGGAATCCTCCCGCTCGCCCCCTCGTCCAACTATTGCTCAGCATGCCAACACAGCCTTGGTAGCCATCAGCGCAGTTCTCGGTCTCGCTATCATGGCTACTTCAGCGGATGTACTCCATGTCTTCCATTCCACTCATCTAGGGGCCGACTTCCAGCTGCCGGTCTGGCCTAGGATGCTTGATATAAAATCTACGATTACCGGGGTTGTTTGTGGAGTTATCGTCTTCGTCATGAATTGTGTGGCACTTGTGGGCCAATTTGTTCCTGCTGTATGTTCCTACCGAAGTGTTCCGGCTTCTGGTTCAAAAGCTAATCGTACATTTAACAGTTGAAGCGAAACCCTCTATCTCTCCCCACTCTCATTCCACTAGCCATCGCCCTCACCGCTGCAGCTGTCGGTGCAGCAATACCTTTTAATGCGCTGACTTCCTCAACGAGCTGGTCTGTTCAATCGTGGAGTTGTCAATGGTCAAACATTAGTACATCAACAGCTCCACACTGGGGGACATTATGTTCAGAAAGTAGAGCTGCGGGAATTATGAGTGTGTGCGTGATTCCATTTGATGCGTTGGTAATAGCTTCGATACTAGTTTCGATGATGAAAGGGAAGAGCAATGCAGCTCAGCCTGATGGACAGTGGGAAAGAAAAGGTAGTGCGGGAGACATGTCGTAAGGGGAGTGGAACGAGGGAGAGGTGGATGGATGATGCGGAAGGCTGGTTGGAAATTTGAGCGAGGACATAGGCGTATTGTTAGTGTTGAATGAATGATGGAACGGATCTTTTTTTCCGGGCACGGCTTTATGGATGGCTTTATTGGAATGACTTAATTTATTGAAATGGCATCAATACACTATCTCTGGATAGAAATATAGGATTACGAGTCAGCTTGCAGGTAAAAATGGGCTTGGTAATGATATATTGGGTTTGATTTTGTTTAATCATTTCTACCTTGATGGAGTTTTGGTGATCATTAAAGCTTGTTAGGTAGGTGCGAGTGAGTGATGGAAAGTTTGAGCTCAATTGGATAAGGCTCCTCTAGTTTAGTACTCTATGAGTATACGTACTATTACAATCTCATCATCAATTTTTTCATACACTCTAAGTAGAGTGAAGATTTTGTGTTCTTTGTTTGCCAAATTGGATTCACAGATCGATGTTAGGTGATATTCACTTACAGTACATTGGAATGCAGCGAATGTATGAAAGGTATCCGGGTAGCTGATATAAATCCTTCTCGTTTCTTGGGGACTGTACTCAATTTCTTGTCTATTCTGACAGTGGTAGCTATTTTAGTCTACGTATTCTTTCAATATCTGGATCTGTAGGCTAACGAAATCAAATATATGAGAATGCGACCACTTCTGATCGTCCATCGCAATCTATTGTGCCCTCGCTTTCATATTGCTCTTCTTCTTCTTCTTCTTCTTCTTCCGCCCTCTGCAGTAACGCCTCCTCACTCATCGTCGCTACCCCGCCTTTCCTCCATTGATAAATTTTCACCGTGCCATAAAACTCCACTCTCGTGAATTTACCCACTTTATTATCAATCCAAGCATCCTCCCAGTCCCTGAAATCTCTATATTTCTTCAAATATCCTTCAGACTTGTCAATTACACGTTTGAAAGCACCTTTCTTTGTTTCCTTGGATTTAGCAAGTTGCTCGTCTTCCCATGCCCTATAATCCTCATGTTTCTCGAAACCTTTCATGAACATCCGGTGCAGGGAATTGGCTTTGACTACTCGACGGAGTTTTTTGGTTTCAGCTGACGTGGAGGTCTCAGAGCTGGCATGTTCTTGGAGAATAAGCTCGCTTTGTGAGTCGGTTCCTTTTCCGGTGGAGGAAACTGGCGTGTCAAAACGTTTTACCTGACGACGTATTGGAAGGGTTTCTTTGGTGGTATGGTCTAGCACTGAAAGACCACGTTCTTCAGAGTGGATGATTTCATAAATAGATTTGCCTCTAGGATGGGAGGGCCTCCCGTTGGAATAGGGCCCTGGAACTTCAAAAGGAGAAGAGTCTTCGAGTGCCGATTCTGACATTGGACGAATGTGCTTGTATGAGTGGCTGGCTTGGTCAGTGGGGTCATTGGAGGAACTAGGTTCGTAAAACTGCTCCTGAGGGTGACGAGGCGGAGAAGAGTCTTGTTCGTCCTCCTCTGGGATAGGAGAAGGCCAATCCCCCATTCTTTGAAGCTCGGTTACCATTTTGTGGGCCATCTTCACACTTCTTGCTTTTTCCGAGCCATTTTCTATGATTGGTCTAACAGATCTGATAGAGTTCGATTTAGTAATAGAGCAAGTGCGCAGATGGGGAACATCTCTTGTCAATCGGTAGACTTGGTTCTCGAGGTCTTTCGTCCCTTTTTGGTTACTGTTTTGCAAAATCGCCTCAACCTCCTCTCCCGGGCTATCTCCGACCAATTCTTTCCACGCTTTCTGTCTGTGCCAAAAAATCAACTCATCGCCAGTCAATTCCATTAGCGGTTTCTTGACGCTCTCGACTTCTTTGGCTTTTTCGAGGCTCTTGGCTTTGTCGAATCTCATGGCTTTTGCGAGTCCCATTTTGCCAGTTCGGTGTTTGGGAACAAGTAAAAATCTGAATATGTGTACTATTCTAGTTTGATACACTGAGCTAGTAGATGCGATATGACATTCCAATATAATAATTACGTAAAACGTCAAGTTCAGTTATTGTATCGCGCCGATTGGATGTTTGAAAACACCTCAAACTTCGAGTAAGTGCAACATTCGAGTCGATTCGATATTCCCAGCTAGATGGGATGGGATAGAAAACAGCAAGTAATAGTTCGAAAAGGACCAATGTTCCACCTCGATTAGATTTCCAGACAGATAAGATCGAATATCCAAAAAGACCTCGATATATCTCAAAAATTTACAGCTCGGCTTGTAGTCCTTACAAGCAGAGCTCAGACGACGGGAAAACGAGCAAATCTGATATTCTGAGTTGGATTAAGATATGTGTATACATGGCGGAGATTTTTCAGACGTTGTTTTCGTTTATGGCGTATTACATGCAGTTTTAAAAATGACAAGCAAAGATGCACTGTATATTGAAAAGGAAGAAAAGTTGTATGTTGAAGAGGAAGAAAAAAAAAATTCAAGAAACAGCGGGAAACTGGGAAGTAATAGACTTCATTACTTCGTCATGTATTCAACCGTACTGATCGACCATACTATAAATGTGCAGTACCGTAGTTCGGTACTGGTAGCTCACAGATTTTCCTCTGTCAGAAGTTTCAAGTTCTCGTTGATGATGTTGATCAAGCATTTTGTTTCGTACATGAGTCGTCTTTATTGGTTGCTTTGATCGTCTTTCCTCCACAATGGGGTAAGCTCCCCCCTAAAATTAACGGTCGCTAAACTAGCTAGTAGAACCCTTGGCAACTCTTGACAGCAATCAGGATATGTTACAATGGTAAAAGAGAAAAATCCATTGTGGTGTTTGCTTGAAGTAAAAGTTACGCAGAACTTGGGTTTTGCAATTAAAGCTCTATTGATCAATTTGAATTTGAATCCGGAGCACTGAATTTTCCTTTTTACAACTCTGCTTCATTTTCTACCCTTCTGATATCCATCGCTGGTCTGTTTTCTAAACAGCGCCATGTTTACCTCACTAACCTACATATATTTTCCTCGCCCTTCACAGCACTACAATAAAGAGTCCCGTGCAATTCAACCTCGACAATCCAAGTACCAAACAGCATGGTAGGTCCATTAGTCCAAATGTCTTCAGTTAATCACCAATCAACCACCTCCCAGTACAAGAAATGGTTATATAGTCTTATTATTGGGGCTACTATTCCTGATAGACAAACAATCTTACTTGCCATATTGAGCCTAACAACGAACAAGACCATCAATACGGCGTACCATTACTCCAAACCAGACATCAATATCCTCTTAGCACGAGTCAGTTTTTCTATGATTGCCAAGCTTTTTTTGTTATATGATAGATGGAAGTGATATCTCTTGGTGGACTATTTGGGGCTACATATACTATGATCTACGATCGGAATCGATTTTTGGCGCTATTCAGGAAATCTCCCGAGGGGTGTATCTGATATCTTGTTTTGAGATATTTTACCATTTCTGAAATTGCACAAGTACCAAGTGCAATTGGTTGCTTATTTATATTATTTCTTCAAATCGTTGAAGAACGCTTTCTCTGGGAGTTTCCGATGATGATCGGGGTGTAAATTCCCGCGCTTCCTATTCCCTTCTCATTACCATCAAACCCCCAAAAGTCCCCATTCGAATCTTACAACTCCAACAAAATAACTCCAACTCAAACTATCTACTCCCCTGTGAAATACCCTATAATACACCTAACCCATAACCCACAATCCAAATCCACAGCTACAACCCCAAGAAAAACACTATTCCGAAACCCGGCTTCAATCCACACTCCCTAAAATAATCCCCCACTATCCTAGTCTAGACTCCCTAATGCAGATCACCCCCGTCACGTACGACCCATTATTGAAAATTTCTTGGCTAGACATCACCTTCAAAAACAACCACTATATTCCCTGAATCAAAGAGTTTCCTCTGGCGCTTTTAGACTCCATATGACAAGTGAGAAGTAAGACTAAGATTGTGGGTCTACGTAGCCAGGTCAACAATTGTGGCTTCGGTAACAAGATAAACAAACACTCTTTATATCTACGAGTACAATAATAATACTTTCAGCGCTGGATCATTTCTAGAACGAGATGTGTATTTTCAAGTAATTATACAGAGCTTTATATGATATGATATGATATGGATATGATAAGATTATGATTTCAACAAATATGGGAGATATATTTATCGGTTTGTAAGATATTATCATTATCCACGGAATTATTAATAAGTTGAGGATTCGGATTTGAGGTACTTATAAAGGAGTAATCTAATTCAATCCTATGTAGTTAATTATCATTTCACGTGTTTAGTTCACACATGAATGAATACTTGTAGTTTTATTGTTTCTTAAGTCAACTTGGTTGTGGATTTAGCGATCTTGGGATTTTTGTGCTTAGGGAAAGTTATATGTAAACTTATGTTGAATATGAATCTTTGTGCGTTTGATAAGATTAGATTCCTCAAATTTGTTCATTCTCTTTTCAGTATGAGTTAGAGCTGGAAAGAGAAGGTCTAGATGATATCACATGAAATTCGAAAGATAAAGATAATACCATACATAAAGTTTTGATTGAGTCAACTTTCTAACTGGCATACATATCCTCACTAGCTATGCCTCACCTAAATAAAAGTCTGTATGCATTCTACAAAGAATTTCTGTTGGTCCAAAGAGAAAGAGACAAAATTTCCAAGTCAATGTTACCCGGAGCCATAACATCCACCCCTGATACCCCCTTTCCCTCCCACCTCTGAATATATGCATTTATGCACCATCACCATTATAGGCGATGAGGTTTGGGCTTCCACTTCCTGCATTAGTGATGGAACCACTAGTTGCTAAAGTCTTAATTCTAGCGGCCACAGCAGCAGGTGTGCTCAAACCCTCAAGGGCAATCAAGTAAGCAGCGAGACCAGCAACGTGGGGTGTAGCCATGGAAGTTCCGCTGATGGTGTTGGTAGCACTGGTAGAGCCGATCCATGAGCTGAGGACGTTGACACCTGGAGCAAAGACATCGAGGACGGAACCATAGTTTGAGAAGGAGGCACGGGCATCAGTTGTGTCGATGGCACCGACCGTGATGGCATCGGGAGTAGAAGCAGGTGAAGTGTTAGCGGCGTTTGCCTGGATGGGGTGTCAGTATACTTTTTATTTATTTGTGGAAAGTAAAAATGTATGAAGAGGTGGCCTTACGTTATCGTTTCCAGCAGCTACAACTACGGTTACACCGGATGCAATTGTGCTTGCAACTGCACTGTTCAAGCTGGATGAAAAACCACCACCAAGAGACATGCTAAGGACAGATTTAGAAACGTGGTTAGTAGCAACCCATTGAATACCAGAGATAACACCAGCGGTTGTTCCAGATCCGGAGGCATCTAGAACCTTGACACCAACAATCTTTGCTGCCTTGGCAACACCGTAGGTACTACCACCAATAGTACCAGAACAATGAGTTCCGTGACCGTTCTCATCAGTGTTCTGTGCTTTTGTTAGCATGTTCAGCTCTAGATTTGGGTTGGTATGTACATACAGCAGACCCAGAAACGAAGTTAGCTCCCATACTGGCACGACCACCAAATTGAGAGTGTGCAGCATAGACACCAGTATCAACAACGTAGACAGTTGTACCACTTCCAGCTGTACTGTCATAGATATAGCTGGTGGTGGATTTTGCATGGTGAGAAATGCGACCAAGACCCCAAGTAGCTCCGGACTGGGTTGTTAATGTTGAGGCGTAGACCTTTTGGTCTTTCTCAACGTACGCGACCTAGATCAGTTGTCAGATATGGTCACGTAGTGCTGATCGGGTACACATACCTCTGGCTTGTTGGCAATCTCAACAATGGTGGCCTCATCCGCTGAAATGTGGTATCCAGCGAAGTCTTTGATTTTGTAAGTTGCGCCAACTGATACAGCGTTGTCACGTTTTGCGACAATGGAGTTTACAAAGTCAACATGGCTAGCGGTTACCTCTGCCGTGATATCAGTGTTGTAAACAACGATATAGCTATCAGCGACAATTTCTTTGGCAGCGGTTGGAGTCTTGATCTTCGGATGAGGTATTGCTGCTGGTGCGGCAAAGACAGGAGCAAAGACAGCCGCCAAAGCGGTAAGAATTGTGAGATAAGAGGCCATGGTGAATTTGTGGTCAAACAGTTTCTTGAAGCGAAGTTAATGAAGAAGATGTTTCCCTGGAGAGAGACTGTTTGAGGGATACAAAGGCAGTATTTAAATAAGAAATGTTGAGGCTCTTCTACATGTGAAATATAATGGTTATCATCGGCGACTTTCCGAGCTCAGGGGGAGGTAAGATTACAGCAAACTAGAGGCCAAGACATAATCGCCGGTCAACATCATCAACATAAACTCCATAGTTCGTGGTCACCTTCTACAAATGAGTTTTATCCTCAATATCAGGCATTGGTCTATCACATTTGTGGAAGCTGTCAAGCATTTGACAATAAGTAACTCCCTGAGGCCCGACTTAGCCACCCGCACTTGTCAGGGGATGTAGGGTTTGTCGAGATGCTATTCGGCAACCCATATATGTATGGGGTGCTTGAAGAATGAAGCAAGCGGGCACTAGTATAACACCATCGAGAATTCCATCAACTATAACCTACCACGAGCCGACACAAACGACATAAAATCGATATGAATCTCAGGCTAAACGCGTATCATAGTTGTGTATGTCATGCCCTCCGCGGATTTATATATCGAATTGGGAAGTTGTGAGGTTTCCTTATCGATATTTATATATGCGAGTTGCGATTGGCACAGAGCTTGTGCTTTATGTAGGATTGCCAAGCGTGTAGCCAAGCGCTCGTAGCAACAATCAGAAGCTTGATGACACTTGCAGATATCAAGAGACGCACAAGTGCCAATTGAAATGAGCATATGATTGTACAATAAATTTAGAGATGGCTTCATCTCACTACAATCATAACAACCTCCCTTTTTGAGAAAAATCAACTATTGAAGCTTGCCGGATTTCAATTCTCGAAAGAATCCCGTGATGATGAAATCATCTTGGCGATGACTTTGAATTATTGTGGGTGAAGTCTTTAATGCCGATATATTCGACAGCATGGTTGAAAAGGCTTATCTCCTGCCACAAAAAGATCACCTATACCAACCCCTTGCTATGGTTCTACAATACTTTTTCCCGCACACCATCTTTTTCCAATCATCTTGGCGAAATCTAGCTTGGCAGAAAACATATCGAGATAAGCATAGCAGAGGCAAGATACAGACCCCAGAATTGGGGTCCGGAGTATGGCAGTTGGACACAACCTGACAGAAGAGATGAGTTTAATGTCGTGTCACCGGTGATTGATCGTGGAGACAATGTTATTCGTCTTGGAAAGCTTCAACTAGGAGAAACGACACTAAGCGACATTACTTGGCGCGCCGAGAGGAAAAATGAGAGTGGTACGAAAGAAGTAAGAGGAGAGGTCTTTTTCAACTCTGATTTTGTCATAATACCGAACTATCATCTGGACATTAGCCGGAATCCAAAATAGGAAGGTATGAACCTCACCCCGGAAGTGAGGCCTTTCACATGAACGATCACGTGGTATTACCACACTTAAATCATATAACAGAAGTTGAGTGTATATTTCACATGTTGTTCATTTACCGATGACAGGAAAGGAGTCATTTCATATCAATATTTGATGCCTGTCTTTCCATGATTGAAGCGTTGTGATAGATGCCCAATGAAAGCCTAGTAGCGATTTGAGCTGTCAGATTACTGCAGAAGTGAGATTATTTTGATGGGTAGCCGAAAAGATATACTTTTCCGGCACACTATCACCGGAAACAAACCAAACCAAACCAAACAATTGGTTATCCTGCATAGGATAACATGTTTTCTCTGAACCATTTCATCCTTCAGGTACCAAGAAAGATGATACATCGACAGCAACTGTCCCTCATCTTAGCCACACCCGGAGCTGGACCAATGATACCGAGGAATCCAGTCCCATGTATATCGGGAGAAAGAAGAATTTTCACATGCGTGGCTCTCCAATCAATTGGGATGGTGGTGTGCAGTTTTCCGGTCAAAGCATCCATGTCCTGAGTTCCATTGCAGATATGTGAATGCCTCAAATCTTCTGAGGTGATGGACATTTACAACATTGCTGATATGACTGTAGCCGGATTCTAGAGCTAGGTATATAATCCATGTAGCTACACCCTTTACATACTCTGATTTCTTCAAGAAAGTGATGAAGTAGCACTTTCCGATTGACACTAATGCCTCCGCGATAGTCAAAGTCCAGCACAGTGAAAGTTGATTATCGGAAGTTCATTTTCGCTCTTGTGTGTCACAGGGTGGGAGGCAGTAGCCCAGGAGATGGATAGACTGGCCGTTAAAGAAGACGTTTGCTATGAAACCAGTACCGGAATTTCATTTCACATAAGGAAGCCGCACAGTCCGTCAATGTTGCATACTCTTGTTTAGAAAATGAAATGTGGAAAGGTGGTATGAAAGTTTTTGAACACAAAAAAGCCAAATATGACCTGGTGCACTATTTCCACACCTCAGCATGAAAATGATTGGTAGCCCATCAAGCCGTATTTGCATCCTCCTTTGATAGCGACGACTCTAGTAAAGATTCTGCCTTCGGTGAACGAGATTTGAATCCGCAATCAAAGTGAAGAGGGTGACTATAACAATCCATGATCAGCCTCTAAAGTACACAGGCCATTTAAGATGTCATTCAAACCTTGAAAGACCCGTTGTAAATCCAACAACTGGTTCAATTTCTTTTCCATCTGAGTCAGTAGCCTTTGAGACATTGACTGTAGAGATCAAAGTAGCCAAAACAATCCAGACACTTGCCAATGCTAAATGACGACCGACACATATTCGACGACCAAAACCGAAAGGTCCTTTGAGATATGGCTCTCCAGCGCCACCTTCTTCGACCGGAATGTATCGATCCGGATTAAATAGATCAGGATCTTTGTAAATCGCTTCATCGCGGCTCATCGCCCATGTGTTGAAATAGACACTTGTACCTCGAGGAATAAACATCTGGTTGTAGACATCGTCGTTAAGTGATTTGTGGGGAACTCCAAGAGGAGATAGAGGCCTCCATCTAATTATTTCTTGAATGATATACTCTAGATACAAGAGTTTTGGGTTGTCTCTATCTTTTAATGTAGGAAGTTGATCTGTCCCAATACTCTCATCAAGCAAATTTCGTGCTTTGTGAAATATGATAGGGTGGAGTAATAAATTCAGTATACCCACCAACGTTGTTGCGAAGGTAGTGTCTGATCCTGCAATGAATATTGCGGCGGCCGAGCCATTGATATCTCTCAAGGTGAAATCGTTTGGTAGACCCTGAGAATCATTTTCTAAATTTTTTTCAAGCAGAGGATATACGTATGAAGACTTTTGAGCTACACCGTCATTCTGTGATAGGTCAGGACTAAACGATGATGTGAGGGGGCGCATAATGACGTACGAAATCCTTCAGTGCGGCAGAAAATGGCGCGTCGTGAAGACGTTGGATCGCGGGACCCCATCTGTTCGCATGTTTTATGGCTTGTGAGGGAACAAGCCAGTAAGGAACATTGCTTAGAAAGGGAAAATAATCGACAACAGTTGCTCCTGGAGACCCACCATTTCCTGTGGCATTGATTGCATCCGCAGCAATCTTGATGTATTCATCGTCATCGTTTTCTAAAGTAATACCAAATGCTACTCTCAACACAATAGCAGTGGCAAACCTACACCAAGGTAAGCATGGTTGTCTAAGGGGGTAAGAAGAGTCTCATTGAGGTACCTACCTGCTCAAGGCAACTTCCCAGTCTTTAGGTCGTTGAGTAATTGTGTGAAGAGCCTGGCGTGCTTCTTGCTCTTGTATACCACGGTATTGAACCACACTAATCTTCGTAAACGCTGTCTGTAAGTGAGTTCTATGTGCTTTGAAACGTGGTCCCCACGGAAGAAATGTCAATGTCCGACCCCATCCCATACTGTTTACATCAGCTATGCAAGGCCAGGACGCTGCATCTAACTTACGCCTCAAATAAAACAAACCGAGGTCGATCGCAGTAATTAGCTCCATTCCTGGATAGAAGCTCCTCTGCAGCTTTAACAGTATTCAAAACCAAAACCGGAGTAAGGAACTGTTTGAAAAACAATATATCTGAATCTAAGGGCGCATCTAAGCATACCGAGGGGGTTTTTGAAGGTCCATTTGTACATACTGTATTCTTGTGACAATTTTTGATAATAAAGATGAGGATCGTCCGTGGGCACTAATCGTATGTGTCCCAGAATTGGTTCTCCTGGAGGACTTGGTGGGAATGGGGGTCGTGATGACTTGGAGAAAACCTGCCAAGTCATGAAGGTGACACATGCTATGAGAACAAGACACAGCAAGGAGGATACTCCATAGCTAAATTCCATGTTGAGTATCTTGTAAGTCTTACCTTTTTGACTAAGGATGTAGTATTACACATTCAGTACTTATGATCGATATCCAGGATCGTTCGAATTCATCTTGTTACAGTTGCTTACAGCAGCAACAAGTCTTATCTGACCTATTTCCTTTGATAGCTGATTCGCACGCAATTCAAGATCCGTATCAGGAAAAGGACTCCTCAAAAAGTGGAATTGTTAAATGGAAATGAATTCTTTTTGGTAGTAAGCCAGCTCCACAGAGAGAGAGAGTGTTATGGATGCATTACACGAATCGACTTTCTGGAGGTGTGTTTGTCAGTGGGACTACGGTAAGCGAAAGACGCTCTAAGCGCAAACCCACCCGTGCTCAACCTCACTCCCAACAAACATCAGAAATTCCATGTGACTTTTACGACATAGGATGTTACAACAACCACATCATGCGCTTTTGATCTCAAGCGTTCAGAAGTTGGCATATGCACACGTTATAAGATGCAATTGAAATTCAGCTCAATACTATCTGCTTGTGGGCGGACTATCAAGTGAAAATCTCGATAATGGATGGAATTGGAAGTCAGGGTGGAAGAATACTTCAAATGCTAGAAAGCGACTTTTAGGTCCAGATACACTTTTGAAGTGTAAGGGATTGTAGATGTGCTTCACTGTCTACACAACCTACATAAGTGCCATAACAAAATCCGCATGAAAATGACTCGAGAATGGGAAAGATCTGGGGACTGCTCAATTCTCGATTTCCTACTCATGACAGGTCTGCCATAGCATTCCATAGACTCTAAATCTTATAGAATCAGACAAGCGTCGAAATTTATGACTTGGAAACCATGTACCGCAATCATACTGGCGCAACTGGCACAACTGGAGCGTATATGCATTGCTCACGCTCCGACACAAGCAGGTGGAAGCTCAAAACAGCACATGATAACCATCTACAGAAAGTGCTCTTGATCGAAGATTTCATTTAGACTCCCAGTTTGGGTACCTTATACTATCATTGGAATAGTCGTTAATCATGGCATTCATGCTAGATATCCCGCTCCATGCAAATGGTAAGGAAATGTTATTTTGGCTGTTGTTGAATAGATATAGTCGTGAAATCATTAATTATTAAACGGAAATAGCTCCTAGAAGGATGGGCAGGCCACTACTGCACAAGACTAGTAGTAAAAAGGGTATCAAGAGCAAATTCGCTTCATGCCAATTCACTTTCCCTTAACCTCACCTCATCTAAATTGATCCCCCATCAGACGACAACCTCCATCTCTCTGCATCTCAAGTACCTACCTATCAAGAAGAATGATGTCCAAAAGCGGGCCAAAATCATCCCTCTCTCGAATAGAATTCGCAACGAATCACAGACTACGAAAAAAATCTGTGACGCCTAAAACCATAATCACACATCTCGCATCTCACATCTCACATCTTACATCTCACACTCACTATAAATCCAAACAAAATCACATTCAAAAAACAAGAATCATCAAAATAGCAAAAATCAAGCATAACTGGCTGGAAACCCCTCTCTGACATGAGATTTCATTGCAGGTGTACTCTTCGATACAGTGACAACACAGTCGCTGGTCACTGATCAAACATCCCACCTCCTTTCGAGTATTTACAGCACAGCGGATGACCCACTGCAGCAAGTCGACGCAGATAGGATATTTGACGATGAGGATGATATCGATGCTGGATATTGACTGTAAAATGTCTTGATCATGACTAACACTTACTTACTGGGAAAGATAAAGAAATCTTCCAGGTTACAACCGCAAATTAATCTTACATGATTCTTTCTTATATATCAGAAGATCATAAGATACATGGTTCTTTTCTTGTAAACATATATATATACATATAGCTGATTTCTTATAGCAGATCTTGAGTCTTGACAGATTCATTATTGTTTCATCAAGTACCTATTCAATATATTATCCATAACCTTACTGAGATTACAAATTGATAATACTCTATGAAGTCTCATGCTTTTATTCATTCATCTATCTCTATCTTGTAAAAAAAAAACATTGTATAAATAGATATTCATACAACATCAAGCGATCCCAAAAGATAAAAACTTAATACAATACTCGCTAGAGTTATACATCTCACTATAATCATCATCTATTCTCATACCTATAACCTGCTAACCTACTAACCTACTAACCCATAACCCTTAATTCTTAACCCTTACACCTATTTATCTACCTACCTACCAATATTTCTAAAACATCACATCATATTACATGTATATAAATCCTAAGTCTTAAATCTTAGATATAACAACAACAACAACAACAACAACAACAACAAGAAAAAGTAATCATTAAAATCTATAAATAAATCTAGATCTGAAGATCTAATTAGTCTAGTAATGAATAGAGGATTGATAAGATCTTACTTGACATCGAGTAATAAATATTTTAGTAACTAATTACCTAGGTATTGCCGGGCAGGTATATGAAGGAAGTTGGGGGGACGGGAGGAAAAGAGTTTGTTTTTGATTTTGATGATTTATTTGTGAGGAAGTAGAAAGATATTGGTGGTTTATCGATGATATTCCTCACACATCCCATCCTCCGCAAAAATACATTGACTTCTTGAATGATCCTGCTTCAGTCATCTAGAAGTGTTTCTCATCCGCTGATGTTCATCCATTTCCAGCAGCTGATGTCTACAATGAAACTGATCTCCACTACATACAACAAGACCATTCTACACCATATCAGTCCCAACAACCTCTCCTCCATCAACCATTTTAATCAAGCCATTTTCCCACAAAGCAGGTATAGCCATCCCATTCGTCCACTCAGTACATTTCCAAAACGGGGGTACATCATCTCCTACAACATACGGCGATCCATCCACCTTACAAGCTTCCACCTTCATACTCCTGGGGTTAAACCATCTCTGTCTTTGAGGCGCGGGAATACCTTTCAGGAGTTCTGTCACGCGATGCAAATCCGATGTATTGACTTCACCTAGAAGAGTACTTCGATAAAATGACTCGACGGATTTAGGTGGTGGTGAAGGGAATTGGAAATAGGACATTCCGTTAACCGAGACGATATCCCCATTGACTTCGTAGATTGTACCGGAGCCATTTGGAAAGGTTCCAATGAAGAGGTTGGTGTGGTAGCGTGTAGTCTGAGGCATGAGAGGATCTTGGAATGCAAGATACCATTGGATTTTATAGATTTTGTGGGGTAGGGAAGTCATGATGTGGTGCTGATGGATGTTTATTATTGGAGTTGTTGTCAAGATTGGTGGAAGTGGTACATGCAGGAAGAATTGGGGAGATCTGAGGATGAATTTATTGGCTAATTTTGATTTTTCCATAATGGGACTGAATACCTCGATGAACCGCTCGAATTTCAAAGAACCAGCGTATTGGTATGAGAAAGAGCACCATTCTCTCAAGGAGTTTAAATATTAGTATTTTCAAATGATATAGAAGACTCAAGCCCTCCAAAACTATTCAAGTAGAGGAAGAACAAAAACAAAAATGAATGCTGCGATAATCAAGCAACAAATTGCAGCTATAGTGAAGAAACGACGAATTGTATCATGCTCATATCTCTGGCGCGGTTGGCCAACAGGAACCGTCGCAATCAATGGAGTACGCTCGCCGGCCTCCATCTTCCTATTGAGAGGTTATTCAAGGTCTATAAGGACAAAGACTTTTGGACGCTGGTTCTAACGGTTGATGCTAAACTTCATCTGAAAGATTTGAACTGATAAATCAAAGTCGATTTCTTGCATGTGCGATAGTTGTCTTTGAAGTTTTTGATGTTCCCACACTTGTTATTCGAAGTGAGGTGTCCGTAACACGCTAAATCCACTCCCGCGCGGCCGCAATTCCGAAAATGCGGGGAGCTGTGACAGCTTGACAATAAATTACTTGATCAGCGTAAGACCTCGAATCTCTGGCACTTTTCCAACAATTGTTCCTTTCTTTTGATGCAATATGCCACCTAGAATATACCATCTACCTCGGCGGCCATTCATAAGTGTGCACAGCCCTGTACTAAGACGTTTCGAAAGCACAGTAGAACGTCAACCAGATAGCAACTCGAATTCGCGATGGCTGAGCACGATTAAAGCTAGGATTGGGAAATGTATTATGTTTGGGATGAGTCGAGAACAAGCACGAGATGCGGGAAAGATACTAGAGATTTTGGGGCGAGATTGGAGGGAATTGGTAGCTGGGAGACTTGGATACTTGGTGGATAAAAACAGAGCGGGTTTGACTAGACATAAGGTTGTTTGGGGGGAAATGGATTGTATGGTATTTTCCCCTTTTATGGAGAAGGATTGACTAACTATGTGTTCCTGAAATATGCTGAAGTAAATTGTAAAGCTAATCTTTGAGTTTACTACAGAAACACGTTAATAATGTCATGTACATACGATATGCCGAGAGTGCAAGAGTAAATTGGACTCAAAACTATGCCATTCATATCGATCCCCAAAATAAAGAGAAATGGAAACAATTGTGTACTCCAGATGGTTATGGCATGATACTACGAAGCATAAAGACGACGTACCTTTTTGTGAGTTCCTCAAAGTCTATCTTCTCATAGGCTCACATGTATTTCGTTGCACAATACTGACGAGCACCAGCCTATGACATGGCCGGATCACATTTCCGTATATCATAAACTTAGCCATCAACCCAAAAGTGAAGACGAGTTTTCTTTTAAATTAGATGTACTAATCATGTCGGAATTGCATCAAAGGCCAGCTGCTAGATGTGTGGAAGATATTGTGACATATGATTATAAAAATGGAAAGAAGGAGGGGTTGCAACCTTGGCTTTTGGATGCTTTTGCGAAGACTTGGGAAGAGCAAAATATATCAATGGCAAATGCACGAAAGAAAATTGAGAATATAGAAGAGAAAGTCAAAAGACTGGAGATTGGGACCTGGGATAGGGCGGATGCGGTAGAAGATATGGGTACTGCTAACAAGACTTGAGAAGATGAAGCGAATAAATACCAGGAAGATGTTGATGCATTCTTTGGCACGATTAGTCACGAAGCCGAGGATCAACTCTAGCCACGACAAATATCGAGGGCTAGCATAGCTAGTTTGTGGCGTGACAAACGATAACTAGAAGTTATGCGAGCGTAGATTTGAATAGACATGCAGAGCTTGATAGAATTCCCCAATGCTGTACTTTCAAGCTAACAAAAAACATGTGCTGCCCCTTGTGCAAAGGCGAATCACAACTCATCTCCCAAACAAGCAAAATCTTTTTCAAACAAACCAGCACAGAATCCATACCATTCCCATGCCATCAACAATTAATTACTATTTACCTAGCTACTTATAGTCTCTCTATTCTTGCTTCAATATTCATTTGTCTCTTCATAACAAATAAGGATCAAGATTCATGAATTAACAAATAAAACTAAGCATCAACCCCCCCAAACCACAACCACAATGCCCACCCCAGCTCCAATCTACATATTCCCAGATCTCCCTCCGCTTTCTCTCTCTCCCATCTTCTCCCATCAAGCATCCCATCTTCCCCCACCTCCTCTCCTCTAACTTCCTCCACCACCCCAACTCCTCAATCTAGGACGCATATCCACTCGGATATTATTTTCGCACACGCTTACACAAGGCATTTATGGCGAATGCTCTTATGGAAAATGAGACGGAGATACGGAAAGGGATTGAACGGGCGGAGTTTGTTAGGAAGGGTATGTTGTTGTGCTGTGCTATACCATTACTTTTGTTGCATTTATAAAGAGAAGAAGAGGGGGAGGAGGGGGATGTATTGGGTGTGGTTGGTTGAAATTGTGCTAATTATTGTATTGGGGAGTAGAGATTGAAGCATTGTAAGTTTTATGTCATTTTCATATATTCTAAAATCTGCGAGGTGTATTAGGGAGTGGATGGTTCACGGAATTCGCGTATAAGTATCACATAGAAATAGAGATATGGGCTGATTAAATATGTATTGGGTATATCCAGGTACTATCTTAAAAGGTATCGAGCGCTGCGACAAAGATACAAAGAAGGATGAAGAATGAAGAATGATGATGATGATGAAGCCTCCTGGCATCTATATCCAAACGATGAATACTATATGCCAATTAAAAGGCAGATAGATAGATAAAGTCCTTTATGGACGGGATATTATACGGATGGTGAATCCAGAAAGAAGACTTGGATCCTGGCCTCGAGGTGTTGTAGGATGAGAGAACTATTTTCGAGCGCGCGGTGTATATGAGAGGCGGTGAATATGTACGGGACGTGGTGAATGTGATATTGGTAGAGGCGATTCCAGAAAAGAACAATTAAGGTGGTAATATAAACATGAGGAAGGAGGAAAATCGATGGAGAATTAGGTAAACTCGGGAACATTTGAATGACCTCTTCAATTACTCGAATCAGACTTCGGATCTTTTTTCTTCGCCCACCAAGCACCGACTTCTAGACATTCTCCCCAGGATGTACCATTATTCTTCAACAAATCCGTCATTAAGTTTCCGTGCCAACGATCCCATTCGTCCATATTTTTCCCACTCGCTTCCTTCAATAATGGTTCCAGACTCTGGACCAGTTGTATAATGCTCATCAATGCGGTCCTGCGAAGAGCAGCTTGTCCTGGTGTAAGATGCTTTCGATCAGCTTCCTTGGCTTTGCCTCTCGATCCGTCAACTCCATTAGTGGAGGTGGCGGATCCGCCGACTCCTTCACGCTCCCAACGTACTTCACCAAGCGGGATTGCTAGTCTTCGACTTTGGATTTGTTCGAGGACTTCGGCTTCTTGGAGCAGCATAGCTCGGATACTTGTACAAGGCATAGGGGGTAAACCTCGAGCTTCGAGGGCCTTGGATATCCATGTATTGTAATCTATGAGATATTGATTTTGTGGCGTTGCTAAAGGTGTTTGTGGTGTGATAGTATATGCGCCCATGGCATTGGTGTATATTTGTTTGTGAGCTTGATTAGAATTGTCTTGGTCTTTCGTGGCAGGTGGTGCATGTGATAAAAGCATTCGAATAGTATGATCGCCGTCCCAAACCTCCAGGACTCCTCCAGGTTTTAATATCCGTAAATATTCGTCCATCAAAGCCTGTGAGCGTTCGTTGTCTTTTGTAGATAATATCATGCTCATGTCCTTGACCATGATAAGTGAGAATTCTTCGTCGCGAAAGGGGAGGGGCGTCTTTCGCAAATCGTGCTGCACGAAACGCCAATTCATATCATCATCGACATCCATGCGAGGAGCCAGCGGTGCGATATCTATACCCGTAAATTGTATCGAAGAGTGACCTTTATGCGCAAAGTGTTTGTGGCACATCACACTCCAAAAGCCTGTGCCGCAAGCAACCTCGAGTACTCGTTTCGGGGGTCTGCTGTTGAAAGCTGATGAACATGTCGGTCCATTGAAGACTTGACATAATAACATCGTTCGTAAAGTCTGGCGATGGATTTCGGGAAGATCGCATGGTAGGGGATATGCCAACGAGGGATCTCGTAGATATCGACGACCATGTCGTTTGGTGAATGGTTGCGCCATGGAAGCTTCTGTTGATGACCCTGACGGGTCACGATCGCAATCACGATGTTGATCTCGATCTCGCGAATTTATCTTCGAGATTTGACTCGAACCTGTTGCGCTAGAAATACTAGCTGCTCTGTCTGCGGAATCTGAATCTCCTCTCTGCTGCTGGTGGGCGGCGGAATTGGTGGAGGCATACCGTTCCACTCCGCTTGCATTTTTGAAGTAGTGAGTTGAATGGCCCGAAGTCGATGATGATTTGCGCTTCGCTTTCGCTTTCGCTTCTGCTTCTGCTGCGGTCCGGGCTTTATTGCTTTGATTTGCGGAGTGTTTGTAATTGACTAAAGGGGTTGAAAGCATACCCACACCCGGAGTCGAGCTAGTGGTGTTTATCAATACCTCGGAAAAGGAAAAAGAATCGTTAGCGGTACTCTTATCGCTTTTGAAAATCGGACTTCCCACAAGACCGCTTGGGAATGAGAGGATTTGTTGGAGATTATGTGGTGCAACTGGAGGGTCGGGTTCTATCTGTTGTAATTCGTTTCCTTCTGAGCTGGACTTTGATGGGGCTCTTGATCGAGGGGCTTTGTTCTTGCAAAATGGTCTGATGGGTAGGGCTTGCGAGAGTATGGATAAGTTTGTATGTGCGGATGGTGCTTTTGAACGATTCGGTTTCTGGAGCGTTGTGCTGTAGAAAAAAGCCGCTTCAGCCATGATAATATGATGATGGTTCTTCTTATGGTTATATATAACTAGTAAATCATGGTTATGGGTGCTTAGTCTCTCGAGTATAGCGTCTGGAGATTTCCCGTAGGGTGGGTGTTTTGCCTAATTGAACGCCACTGATCTTTTTTGTATTCGTGAGTAGGTATTGGGACAATTCGTCGCCTTTGGCAGTGAATAGAACTCTAAGTTAAAGTTGGGAAAGTAGTGATTATGTACCGTTATGTGGCGCTATAAGACATTCGCGATTCGTGAATGCTGTGCTGGGCGAAGTATAAGCAGATAAGGTAAGAGTTATAATCCTCCGCATTGCAGGCGATCCTTTGACCAAGCACAGCACAGCAGTGAGGTTAATTCTTTAGCTGGAAACTCAAAAGGTTCGTATTTCGCATATTAGATGATAAGTCTATAGCACATGTAATTATAGATAAGCCCTTCCTCCGCATTGATCCAAAGACAAGCAGACCCAAGAAATGTGTCGGGGTGAGCGAAGAGATGGTGGCATTAGGCATCAGGGTTGTCGATCACTGTCTTCCCGCATCGTATACTGCAGATAGGGGACGACCTCGATGATCTAATTGGTATTTCGTAATATTGCGATAATGATAATGATAATGATAATGATAATGATATATTAATACAAACGGTTGTGAGTACTGGCAAGATGACAATTCCCTACTTTGAAAATCTGGGGAAAGGATGGGGAACTCTAGCTTTATAATATATATAGAAGAAGCTGGGTCTAGACAATCATGCATTCATCAGGTCACTTTAAAAACCGAATGGTATACGGGAGTTAACTCGTTGGGAATGATCTTACAGATCTAGGGTTCTATTCCGTGCCATGAATATGTTTCAAAATGCTTGGATTTCCAAAAAGATCATTTCATTCAGACAATTGAAAGATTGAGCATGCATAGGGCTATGTGAGGTCCGCATCTCCAACTTCAGCGCTGCTAAGTAATGCTTTCCCCGCCTTCACTTGCAGATGTCCCCTGCTTATGGGAAACTATAATAAACACCGAAAAGCGTTAATGTGATCCGATTGGTGATACAAACCCGCACTTTGGGGAGTCTCGCGGCCTTTCGCCGAGATACAGTCGGTTTGGGAACTTTGGTTAGCTTTCAATCAGTTATGTTCCCGCGTCGTCGTACCCTAGGTTTCACCCAAAGAATAATAGTAAATTAATAACTGACATTTTCCTTCCGGATTCGTCGGAACTCCTCTAGATAGACATAGGAATCTTCCCCAAACCGTCCGAAAACAACTGTTTGATCCGGCGGTGCGTAAATTATATGGACTTTGCCATCCGCCACTTATTGGGAGATAATGCTGAAACGGTGCATCTAATTGCGCCAATCGAAACTCGATATTGAACGAGTCCAAATCGAAGCCCTACAGATGTTGGGACTCGAGCAGCAAGCACAGGACAAAAGGCTTCTTGCATATGTTGTTGCACAAGATGGATGTACTTCACATTGCACCAACTTGGATGAGGCCGGATGTTACCTCATCAGAATCCAGTCGGACGGACCATGCAAACTTTGATTATTTACCTGTTTCAAGTACCTTCTAAGCAAAACCACTGTGTGGGTTAATGGATGATGGAAACATGAAACAGAGAAGACGGCGAATAACCCGAGAGCAAACTTGTATTCATGCAGCTGATAATGCGTAGAAGTACTTGTCTTGTCATACTTAGTGCTCATTGTTGATACCCGGAACAACACCTCGACGTCTCAAAGAAATGGCAGAGTCATTGTAATGTATTTCGAGGAATCCAGAACGCCGTATTGCCATATGATTCCATGGATTGAAGTCCTAATCAATTGATGTGGAAGTTTTAATGAGTCCAAATTAAATTATCTTCTTGAACGGTGACTCGCTTATGTCTCACGTGACTTCAATTTTTTGACGCTAAGCTCTCATCCATGTTGATGTTCCGCTGAGTTCTAGTTGGAGCTTGGTGGGTGAACCACATCTGAACAGGAAGTTGACGATAACATCAATACAACAAATTCGATCTACGAGATTCTTTTATCGACAGCGTCATAACACATGAGAAGCTTTTCTCTCCTGTTTACAAGGTAGTACTTTCTTTTTCTTCCCAAGAGGAACGACGAATTCTTTTTCTTTCAACAGTGTTCACTTCTTGCTACAACCACTTACCAGTTACAAGATAATAGGCCCAACACTTAAAACTCGAACGAATTACTCTTAACATCTGCGAGATCTTTCACGAAGGCCAGAAGGTCGAGTAGATATTCCAATTACGCGCCTTCCAGAATCCACTGTGTCGAAACCTTTTGAAAACCACTGTATCTACTTGAATTCTACATCGATTGCTTCGCGCACAGTAGCGCACCACACCACAGGTGACTTGCGATCGTGGTTTATGCTAGAAAGTATTTCTAAGAGACCTATGTGCCAACGAAGAAGAAACCGATCCCCAGCTTCGAAACCACCAGTTCAACCGATCCTCGGTTTATTCCGTCTCCCTACACGGCCTGCGCTCACAAAGCTGAGTCGACGCCTCCGCTAGATTTATATCTGCGGTGGTTTTAATGGCAGATGGTTACAGATTTACACAGCAGAGCGCTGGGAACTATTATTACCCTCAAAATACACACCATCCGAGACATTTGATCCGTACTGGGACACCTCCAAATAACATTCGATCTGCCTTTAACACCAATACCCCGTCCCCCACTCGAACCCCTGATCCTCAATCTCCAGCTCACGGTCTTTACAATATGTTCAACCATCAGCAAGGGCAACATGGCCGCGTCAATGGCGCAGGACGGGGTGCCATAGCAAGCATGCTGCAATATCCTCACTTTCCCTCGCATCAGTCTCAGCATACTCAACACCACGCCAATATCCAACAAGACCACAATGCACACAATTCTAACGGGGTCAACCACCATGCGAATTTTCCCACCCTTGGTATGCAAAATTCGACGTCCACTTTCACTTCAAACCTACAAAATGGGCATACGCCAGGTACACATGGTGGTCAGGCGACGCCAATCAATGAGCATTGGCAGAAGCAAATGGAATTGTACACAGAAGTAAAGAAAGCAAAGCAACATGGGCCGCATTACTTTGCTAGAACCAAAGCCACTCAGAATACTGTTGATAAGCCAACAACGACATCAGCTGAGGAAGAGTCAGAGAATGCCAGTCGAAACAGACCTTCGAATACGGACAGTTCTATTAAACGACAAGATTGGCATAATTTGGACATGAGTGGGCTTGGGCTTCGAGCATTATCGGTCGAGGTATTCCAGTATACTTTTCTCCAAGAGTTATACGTAGCATCCAACGCCCTCACCTCTTTGCCCGCAGCTATCGGTCAATTGCGACACTTGCGCCATTTAGATGCATCGAGCAATGCCTTGCAGACTCTACCACCTGAGCTAGGCATGTGTGTTTATTTGAAGAATTTACTCCTGTTCGATAACCAACTCACTACGCTGCCTTGTTCATTTGGTTCACTCTACCAATTGGAGATGTTAGGCATTGAGGGCAATAAACAAATGGACCCCGCTATCAAGAGTGAGATCATGGAGAAGGGAACTAAGGCTCTCATCCATACACTCAAAGAAGAAGCACCAAGTAAGTTTATAAATCTACACTCTGTATCTCGTGACTAACCCATCCAAGTACCCCCTCCTCCTGCTCCTAGAGAAATGATTGATCTACTCAATGGTACAACTGTTGCCCCAGATGTCGAAAGGTTCACCGTGTTCTCTTATAACATCTTGTGTGATAACTACGTGGGTCCCAGCCAATACGGTTATGTCCCGTCCAAAGCATTGGACTGGGAGCATCGGCGTCATGAGATTCTACGCGAAATCGAAGAACGGGATTCTGATTTTGTGTGCCTTCAGGAGGTGGATGCTGAAAATTTCCGAGAATTTTTCAGTGTGAAACTTGCATACAAGGACTACAAAGGTGTATGGTGGCCGAAGTCAAGAGCCAAGACTATGTCCGAGTCGGCTGCAAAGGCTGTCGATGGCTGCGCTACATTTTATAAGAACAACAAATACATTCTCCTTGACAAGCAACTTATCGATTTTGCCAATATCGCAATCAATAGACCGGATATGAAAAACCAACATGACATTTTCAATCGTGTCATGCCTAGGGATCATATTGCTGTGCTGGGTTTCTTCGAGAACCGCCTAACTGGATCCCGCGTTATTGTTGCCAATGCACACATATTCTGGGATCCAGCATATGCTGATGTTAAATTAATTCAAATCGCAATATTGATGGAAAGCATAAGCAAATTCGCCGAGAAATATCAACGGTTCCCGCCATGTAAAGACAAAAAAGCATATACCATTACGGACGATTCAAATTCGGATGCCCCTGTGGAAATTGCCCCGGAGCCCGCACCATCCATGGAATACACAAACAAGACCCAAATACCACTAATAGTTTGTGGTGATTTGAATTCTACGGTAGACTCCAGTGTATACGAGTTATTGGCCACGGGTCGAGTTGCCCCTGATCATCCAGATCTCGGTAATTATCAATATGGAAATTTCACGAGAGATGGAATTGAGCATCCTTTCTCTCTTCGGTCCGCCTATACAAACCTCGCCGATGGTCCACAAGAATTAACATGGACCAATTACACACCCGGCTTTACCGACCACATTGATCACATCTGGTACTCCACCAATGCTCTCGAGAACACGGATTTGTTAGGTCCTGTAGACGAAGAGTACATGAGAACAGTGCCCGGTTTACCACACTACCATTTCCCCAGTGATCACTTAGCACTTCTAGCCCGCTTTAATGTCAAGACTCCAAAAGCCAAGAAACCTCACCAAGATCCACCAGATTTCGGTTCGTCGAGCCACCATGATCGACGAAGAGATTAGAAATATACATGGAGCAAAAGCAAAGGCTTCAACTTCTTAACCTCGGGGATTGGATGGATGGATTTCAATGAACGGAAAGGGGAGGAGTTTATTTTTCTTTCTTGTGTTTATTCCATGGGCTTGGAAATTGGTGGTTTGGCAGGCTACTGGCGGGCGTGGAGCGTTGTATGCATTTTCGAACCGTCTTTTTTCACTCTCCTTTGCGGTCGTATTTTCGGGTTTTGTTTTCGTGTAATGATTAGGTTTCAAAGTGGTGTGGGGTGAATGAAGTGAATAGGTATGGGATGGGATGTGAGCGAGCTGCGTGGATAGGGGGGTGAATAGCGTTAGTCGGAGGTGAATAGAGGTGAGATGGGATATATGCACACAAAACAAGATATATGTTAGTGTATAGAACAACATGATAAAACTGTTTTGTGCCTTTTTCAAATTCTTCCTACACCTTGACTGTGAATATTTACATGACACATGGTGACATTCATGGTTGATTGGTTATTTATTTGGTTACACATGATTCTTGATCCTACTAATAAGATCTTGCAATAACATCTCTAAAAACAAATCAAAGCAATTTTTCATTCTAGCTAGGGTAGGTAACGAGAGGAACTGTTGTATGGATTGTTTATAAATACCTGTTTTCATATTTTCGTTTAATTCTAGTTATTCTATTCTATTCTATTCTATTCTATTCTATTCTATTCTATTAATGAAAGATTAGAATGTATCTGTAGATATAGATAAAGATGGATGGTATCTTTGTTATAATGAGCCGCATTGGGTTAACTATTCTTCTTGTGTTTATCAACTTTCTTTGTTTTTGGGGAGTTCTTGGTTCTTGAGTTTTTTGGGGAAGTTTGAAATGGGTTGCGAATGAGATTTTGGGGTTTTGAGGTTTTGTGTTGATTTGAGTTTATTATCTTGCTGGGTTGGTAATTTATATTTTTATTCAAGCAAATTATCAGTTTATCAGTTTCGATTCGTTGTAATTTCATTTTCAATTTCACATACAAGTATCTAAATCCAAATCACCCATCCATTCATACAACCATGCAACAACAACAACAACAACACCAACAACCCCCCTCTCTCCTCCTCCAACCTCCCAGCCGCTCAGACATGCAACGCGTACGGCAAATGCTACGAATATGGGAGCAACTAAGCAGACATTGGAAAACATCCTTGTCATATTATCGACAAGTAGGGTGTCAGGGGTGGAATATTGATCGGGCGATTTGTATTGGGATTGGGGCGTTGGGGAATAGGAATTTTAAGGGTGGGAAGAGGAGGAGGTGGTGTTTGGATGGAACGTATGACGGGAAGGGGTTGAAGGGATTGTGTCAGCTGGTTTTGTTTCAGTGTTGGGTGGAGATTTTGAGTTGGTTGCCCTTTTTCTTGTTCTTTCTTTTTTGAAAGGGCGGGGGTTTGATTTGATTTGATTCTGGGGGGTTTTCTTTGGGGATGGAGAGTTTGGTTTTGTTTGTTTGTTTTGATGGATTTGAGTTTGAGTGGTTCGTTATGGATATCGGTAGTGTTGTTGGATGGAAAAGTACTAAACTAATATCCTTTCCAGAAGAAAAGTGCGAAATCAATGATAACGCTATATACTTTTATTTCCCCGACGGCCTAAACACAATCGAAGAACTCTTCATGCAAGGTCTTGGATATGGAGATAATATCGTTGGACACTACAAAGAGCTGCCGTCAGATCTGATCACACCCGAAACATTTCTATTTGGAATGAGTAAACATGTTAAATATTGGCATAAAAACTTGCTGACTTTGGCGATTCCTTCTATGTCTATTTTGGCGCCATTGGAGGTAAATGGGTATTGGGAGAATTATTCTCGTCAGTAAGTTATCTCCTGAAGATTTAAGAGTATGATGGGAGGGAGGTTGATGATGTATTTGTAATGCACGGATATACTTATATACTGACTCCAAATAGGACTCAACTGATATTCCGGACTTACTTAAGTGAAGTAGAAAGTAGAAAACTCGGTCCTCTTGTAAATATAACCTCGCTCCCTCCTGACGAACAAAAACGACTTAGGAGAGACCTCGACACGAAGGAAAGTATCGAATTGCTTATGAGTGAAATATTAATGCATTATAAGCTTTACTATCGAAGTGAGTCGGATTCGACAAAAGAGAGAGTGAGACCTATGCAAGGATGGTATAGACCAATGACATGGCACAAGCTTCCTGGACCTGCCAGTATATCGGGGGATATATATAACTTGGATAAAATGCAGAGGAAATGGAAAGCGAAGAATGTGTCGTGGTGGCGGTGGCTTGTTAAAAATTTACCGTTGTTGATTTATTTTGATATGTTATTGCGTTGGATCGGGAGGACTTTTGTTCATTCTTTTTGGAAGGATGAAAAACCGCTAAATGAGGAACATAAATGGCCGGTGGAAGGAGTGTGGGATTCGTGGGAGGAGGGTGGGAAAGTGTGGTATTTGGTTGAGAAGAAGAGGAACGGGAAAACGCATTGGGGACATTGGCCGAGTGAAGATTTGGGGCCCGGGGTGTATGAAAAGGTTCAAGATTTTCATTTTGTGAATTCAGGGAGGAGGATAGGGAATGTGAAGATGGATTGGCGGGATTATGGAAAGCGGTGGTTTGGGAGGTATGTTTGGAGTCTGTACGAAGAAGTCGAGTAAAGTTCTCATGGGGTTTCATATGAAAATGTGGGATCTCCATTGGAATAAGGTCCTTCTGAAGATAAGGTAGGAAGACTGGGACTAAATCGGAATTCGGAAAAGTTTCTCGCTCATGCATGAAGAATGACTTATAGCTTCTTGACCAGATGAAAATAAAAGCACGTGGATAACTGTACCACATCACGTGAAGAGCATTCCAAACGATAAATATATTGCCTGCTATAGATGAAGGAACGAACAGGTTGGCAACGCAGGTAGACAGCAGGAAAGAGGCAAGGGAAAGGCAGACCAGAGTTCAGCAGCAATGCAATACACAAGCGGCATGCATACCATGATTCATCTTCGTAAATACCTTACTTGAGGCATAGAAGAGGATTAGATGTAGAGGACTAGAATACAGATTGGTTCTAAAATGAACGCTTTTCATGCTCCTCGAAATCATGGTGTGGTCAACGATAGTCGCAAATGAACCACATAGATCCATTTCTTCTTGTTGTGGCAAGTACGTATAGTAGAGCATAGTAATAGAAAGATTACACAGAAATAGCTCTATTCTATGTGTACAACTAACCCTATTGAAGCTATGCGGTGTATTATGATGTCTAGATCTGGAAGTAGACGGTGTACATTTATGTACTCAGGCATTTACGGGCTATAAAAATGATGAAATGCCGGTAAATCTCTGGTCCGTTCCGCCCCGCACCTACCCACAGGCTGCTGGGTAGCTACCTAGGTTCCTACCTCAGGTACTCAGGTACTCCGTAAGCTTGGAACGAATCAATTCAATCATTCACATCATCGCACATTGGCAGTCTTCACTCTTTCTCCTTCTCTCCTCTTTCCTTTTCTCTACACGAGCGTCAAGTCCAAAACATTTGTACATACCTACCTCCATCTCAACTCCTCAATTGCGATACCCTAACATGGCTGTTTAAATGGTTCTGTTTAATTCTTAATATAAAACGTTCCTAAAACCTATCTTTCTTCTCCATACCACTCACCATGAAATGCTACAATCCATCGGCGTTTGTTCCCATGGCGGTTACATTGGTAACCGTCGTAATTTACTTGGGCGTTTTCATACCCCTACTCATAATTCACGAGACTGTCCCTTCTGCTCCTGATGATCCTACTCTCTACAATGGCCTCAATCTTACGGAAGCATGGCTTGACCTCCAAAGCTTGAGCGATGGGTACCACCCTTTCAATAGTCGCAAGAATGACGATGTGCGAAATTGGCTATTGAGAAGAATCGACGAGATACTCGATCATAATCAGATTGAGTATACCACAGAGAATGAGACTGCTGATACCTCCGATGTTCAGCTCGAGTCCGATTTCGACGAGGACGTTCCAGAGTCGATGTCCAGCCCTAACAACTTTAATGATGATTCTGTAGAAGACCATGAGGATCTGCGAACACGTAAAGTATCGCCTGCTGTTACAGTGTTCAACGATTTACGTTCAAATTTTTCCAGCAATGCCCTCACCAGCATTGGTGTCAAAGGTCGAAGGCTTGGAATAAGCACATACTTTGAAGGAAATAATATCATATGTTATGTCCGAGGACACGACGACGAAGAAGGCGAATGGTGGAAAACTGGTTCAGTTAATTCAAAAGGGAAAATGCATGGCAGAGGCGGTGTAATGGTCAATGCCCATTTCGATAGTGTATCGACGGGTTTTGGAGCTACAGACGATGGAGTAGGAGTTGTTACCGCTCTTCAATTGATCCGTTATTTCACAACACCAGAGAACCGGCCGCAAAAGGGCTTTGTCGCGCTATTCAATAATGGTGAAGAGGATGGTTTATACGGTGCGAAGGCATTTTTGTCTCATCCAATGGCGAAATTTGTTCACACTTTCCTTAATTTGGAAGGCGCCGGAGCTGGTGGTAGAGCTACTCTGTTCCGAAGTACGGATACTGAGGTCACCCGAGCTTATGCTCATGCCAAACATCCTTTTGGAACCGTTGTCAGTTCGGACGGTTTCTCATCAGGATTTGTTAGAAGTGAGACCGATTATGTCGTATTTCGAGCAGAGGGCTATCGTGGACTAGACGTTGCTTTTTGGCATCCTAGATCTCAATATCATACCGAACAAGATGATGCTAAACATACCTCGATAGACTCACTGTGGCACATGTTATCTGCTTCTGTAGCCACTACTCGATCGCTCACTCGGGATACTAGCAATACATTTGTGGGACCACGTAGTGACGATAAAATTGGAAAGGTTAGCAACGGAAAAGGTTCAGATGGTGTTTGGTTTGATATATTTGGCACCGTTTTTGCAGTGTTCAGATTGAGAACTCTCTTCGCTTGGTCACTAACTCTACTCATTGCCTCCCCGTTGATTCTCTTTGCCGTCTCATATCTTCTTAATCGACAAGAAAAGTTTTACTTCTTCGCTGGATCTATCAAGTCCAAAAATCCTGAAGACGAGCCCATTTCTCTTGGCGGATGGCGTGGAGCTTTTCGCTTTCCTATCACTCTTATCATCACTAGTGCCATCACCTTTGCTTGCGCATCGCTAATTAATAAGATCAATCCTATGATTATCTACTCTTCTCCATACGCAGTATGGAGTATGTCGGCAACTCTATTCTTTTCCGTATTTTGGTTCATCATGGCTGGTTGCAATTTCGTCAGGCCTTCCGCACTCCAAAGGGGATATGCATTTATGTGGATGTTCGTATTTGGTTGGATTCTTCTTGTCGTTGCTACAGTATACGAGGATCGTTTCAAGATAAGCGGCGGTTACTTGTTTGTGTTTTACGAAGCTGCAATCTTCCTTGCTACCTTGATCGCTATCTGTGAACAATTTGCTTTACCTCGGAAATCCGCCTATATCGAGAATTCTCAAAATGACCATAGTGATGATCAGGACCATCATCATCAAGCCGTGATGGGTACAGATGGAGCCAATGGGGCCGATGAACCTAATGCCGATGATGAAGCAGCAGAAGAAGATGGGGAAGAAACCGCGAACGCAACAGCATTTCCTCACGAGACAACTCCACTAATTGGAGGTGGACAGCCAAGTCATCGCCCTTCGGTCAGCACCAGTTTCGCTAATCGATATCGTCAAGTTGTCCCCGAATCGTACGATGGACCAGCTGATCATGATGATAAAAAGGGTCACAAGAAGCATCCATACGGAGGTGAACAGGAGTGGTCCGCCAAATTACCTATTTGGACTTGGCTAGTTCAGTACCTCCTTGTTGGTCCATTCATACTAGTTGTTGTTGGGCAGGTTGGTCTATTCCTCGTAGCTGCTTTGCATCAAACTGGAACGGATGGTAGTCCACTTTTTCTACCGTATCTTATTGTCGCTATATTCTCCATCCTACTCCTTCTACCAGTGACACCATTCATACACCGGTTAACGCATCATATGCCAACTTTCTTCTTCTTGGTCTTCATTGGAACTCTAATCTACAATCTTGTTGCTTTCCCATTTTCGCCTAATAATCGATACAAAGCATATTTCCAACAAACTGTCGATCTCGACACTGGCGTCAATAGAGTTACACTCGTAGGAATCGAACAATATATCCGCGATATTATTACAAATATCCCAAGTGCGGCAGGACAAACTATAAATTGCGAGGCAAATCCACGAATTCGCTCCGGTCTCTCTTTCTGCTCTTATGAAGGCATACCTCCTCAAGTTGTAGATAATGTAGTTGAAGGTGTTCCACCTGAGAAAGGTTATAGTGACTGGCTCGGCTTTAACGTCTCACGCGTCCCCAACGAAAATAAGGCCACATTCCATATTTCAGGTGTCGAAACCCGTGCCTGTATCCTTCGATTCGATGACCCCTTTTCAGAATTTAAAGTCCACGGTGGAGCCAAAACCGAAGAAAGATGGGATGATGTACCTGATAGTGGAAGTGATCAAATTAAACTATGGCATCGGGATTGGAATAAAGAATGGGTAGTTGATGTTGAGTGGGCGGTAGGAGAAGATATGAAACCGGGAGATGAAGGTAGAAGTGGGAGAGTAGTTTGTTTATGGAGCGATGCTAATAAGAGGGGTGTTATTCCGGCGTTGGATGAAGCGAAGAGATTTAGTCCTCAGTGGACTAGTGTGGTTAAGTTGATGGATGGATTGGTGGAGGGAAGTAAAAGGTTTGTTGTTTAGTTTTTTGTGGGAAGGATGGGGGGATTGCGTTTATACGTTTTTTTTTGTCTCTCTCTTGATCTGTAATTTGATTCAGGAGAGATGATTTCTCGTTGGCGTTGGGTTTGGCTTGTTTGCTTGCTTGCTTATGTATGATTGATTGATGGATTGATTGAGAGATGGAATGAATTGGGATGAAATAAGATGAAACGAGATGAGCCGAAATTAAATACATTGGTATTATTATTATTACTATTATTATCATTAATGAATAAAAATGAATGAATGAGTGTAATAAAAACAAAAAAGTAATAAGTGTATAATAAAAATAAATAATTAAATAATTTTATATTATTATTATTATTATTATTATTATTATTATTATTATTATTATTATTATTATTATTATTATTATTATTATTATTATTATTATTATTATTATTATTATTATTATTATTATTATTATTATTATTATATTTAATATTTAAAATAAAAATAATTTTAATAATTATAGATATTTAAATTTGTATTTGATTTTTTTAATTAATTAATTATTTACTTAATTTTATTTTTTATTTAGAATCTCAACTCACTCGCTCATCCTCTTTTAATCAAAAGTCAAGTCAAGTACCTAGATATTAAAAGATGAGTAGATGAGTTTTTGATTTTAAAATTAATCAATTGTTACTCCTTTCTTCTTTCTCTTCTTTCTTCTTGTTCTCCCCTTCCTTCTTTCTCTCCCTTCTTCCTCTCATCTTCCATCTTTCCTCTCTCTTCCTTACCCCTCCAGTCCATCTTTCCTATAAATGATATACTCGCTATGACAGCACATGCAATCGCGTATACAACCCCCAATTTTCGCTATAGATAGATTCCTATTGAATCGATCCATCAATGCCCTCCCTATCCATGAGCTAGCTGCACTCCAGACCAAAAAGAAAAGTATACCAAGCCAAATCGAGCCAAGCAAGCACCGAACCATACAGACTTCAGCTGCAAGCACACATTCCCATCCCTACCTTCCCTTTCCCTTTCCATTGAAATTCTTCTCCCGCTTCAAAGCTCTAAACTTCTGCCTTGACCTGCCAACTTGGATATAAAACGTTCCCCATCATCCCCTCTCCCCACACTTCCGATTTCCCCAATAGCACCCATGCTTACATGCATCCAGCACCAATCCATCCATAAAATAAAAACGCCATCCACACCGTTAGATCTAAAGCAATCGATCCATCCATCTTCCATCCCCATGCCAGAAAGAAGAAGAATAATAACGCCAATTCCGTCTTTGTTTTGAATATCCCATAAACACAGAGGTATTGTTTCTCGTTTTACCTCTTCAGGTATAACAAATGAAATACCTCAAAAACAAATGGCCACATCGTGTACAATGTACAAAAAAAATAATAATCATACAAACAAGAACCTGAGCAAAACATCCCCGATTGCCGTACCGAAATCTTAATTTCATCTCAAAACATTATCGTCAGTGAATTCGTCGAGTTGTGTGTTTCATTCTCGTATTACCTCTCCTCTATTCTTTCGAATCACCCTTCGGTGCCGTCAGAATCACGCTTGTCAGGTGTCCCAGCTGGCATTGGTGGATTGCCATTTTTCCTTTTCCAGAAATGCAATCCATTCATCCTGAACCGGCTGGGCTTCTTTTTCAAATTTCTCCCCGTCTCCGCCAACACTTTAAGATCCGATCCCGCTTCCGGCGCAGTCGACCCATCATTTGTAGAATGACTTGATCTATCATAATTCATCGAAGAATGACTCGTACTATTGACTAGCGGAGATGCGTAAGTGGGAGTGACAGCTCTATCATTGTTCGAATCTTCGCTTGCAAAGCTGGTCGCCTGCGTACTAGGTGCAAAGGGGCTTTTGTTATTTGTCGTTGCGCCTGCGGACCATTCTCCAGCAGAACCAGAATTACTACCTTCAGTTGTAGTTTCGCTACTTCTCTGATGGTGTGGTAGTGAGAGTTCTTTGGGTGTTGGCGGGCCTACCACTACAACATCTGTGGAGAGAGACGGTTGAACATGTACTCCATTAACTCGTCGATCGCCATTTGCCAGAATTTCTACGTCCTGGTTCGAATGATCGAGAAGTCCCGGTGCACTTGAAGTTGCATAACTCAGTTGAAGTTGACTAGGCTTTGATGGTCTCCGATCATACGAGGCTGCCGACAGAGGAAAATCAATGCCTTGTTTTGTACCTTTGGGTGATTCATCGTTGGAACCTTGTCTCGTCATGAACGGATTTCTGTTAAGCCTTGGTTGGACACGGTTGTTCGAAGCTTCACCGTGCCTAAAAGTAACATCCTGGCTAGGAGATCCGTCCTGGGCAGGATGTGCAATACTCATTGTGCGGGGAGAGCGCATGCCTGACTGCACGCCATCAGAGGGCCCCAAGAAGCCTTCTTGCCTCATTTTCTCCTGCTCTAAAGCTATCCTGTTTTCCCAAGCAGCTTTATTTCTTTCCAGTTCTTCGACACAAAATCCCATACTAGGCATGACATCGGTTACGCCACCAAACAATGGTATGGCAAACATATTCATGAAACCTATTTGAGATTTGCCAAGTTCGATGATTTCTCGAACAGGAGGCGCATATAAAGCTGTTGGTATACCCAAATCTTGTTCCATGGAAGCTTGACGAGAGAATTCATCGGTCAATATTTCGGTCCACCTAGTCGCGGTATCAAATCTTCGTGCCTGTATCGGAGTCAGCATCTGATTCCCCTTGAAAAATTCATCTAACATACCACGTTGCTTATGTCTGCACATTTAATAAGTAAAGAGCAAGCAAGTGTTCGTTGATCCTCAATCGTTCTACCGTTCCAACCATCAGTGACACCACCATTCTCATGTAGCTTCTCTTGCAGATAGCCAAGCTTCTTCATGTAATCGAAATGTAAACCCATATCTGTTGCCAAGATTGTGCTTATCATTAATTGTCGCATGCCACGCTCCTCGAAAGCGGCTAGCCAATGACGACGTAATATTTGAGAGTAAGCAGCGCAATGGAATGATTCGAGAACAGATCGATCGTTATAAAGTTGAGCTAGTGGTGCATTTAGATGGACAAGAAATGCATTGTTGACGCCAGGATGGCCGACATCATGACCGATCGCGGTAATCATCAATGTAAGAGCATCAAAGGGTCTGATAAGCTCGGCGATTGGTGATGATCTTTGGCTTGTTGTCCCATCTGGCCTCGGAGGGTATTCGGGGAGATTTCCCAATCGTACGAGAAAGTGAAATATAGCTTGAAGAACGTCGACGACGTGACGAAAATTATGATATGGTACAAAACTATTGTATGCTTCTCGACTTGTGATGAGAAAAGCTGTAAGGTTTTCTGCAACGGATGTCAGCATGGCCGGGGGGCCGTTTATTACCCGAACCATTGGTTTTAACACTTACCTGTGGATATCCGCCACTTCTCCAATTCCGGTAAAGAGAGTGCATGTTGAAACATTAATGATGATGCATACAGAAGTTCATCATCCTCGAAATCATGCGCCGAGAATTGCCACGAGCTAATGGCATGAACTATCGTTTCCCTTCGATCTAATGAAACAGACACTCTCCATTGGCCATACTCTTCTACTTCTTCACTGTTTAGCGTGCAGATTCCTTCCATCAATCTAGATACCATTGCTTCTCTCAAATATGCATAAGGTTTTTGATCCTCGACACCAACCCACGATCGCTTTCTTCCCCTCTTCAACTCCATAAATGCCCTGTGATCCTTAGACGCATCTTTATGCGCTCGATACGCATGTACTGCCAAACTAGGTAATCGTTCAAGGAGGAGCGGATTCGTTATGACATCCACTGCCCCGATGTCTAAAAACCTCATTGTCCTTCTCTGATCCAGTGGTATGTAGATGCCGCTCGATTTCCGATTTTGCCTGCCAATTTCATATCCAGCAGGAGCGGGTTCCGATCTCGAACTCATTCGATTTTTTGATGATGAATTCACCGAAAGACCCGGCTCCGAGGCCGAGGCAACCATGGCCACTGGAACTATGAGTTTCGATAGGCGGTGCTGTTGAAGTTCGGATGCAATCCATTGTAATAATTTTATCCCGTATGCCTCCACAATATCTTCATCGAGGATACCATCAATCTGTGGTTTGGAACTGGGTGAAGGCGTCCGGACTTCCCTCGTAGGTCGCTCAATTACTTGATCATCATACGGGATATCTATTAAAACGAGGGTAGGTATTAAATCTGCGGTCGATGCGCGATTGAGTTCAGAGATTTTCGATATGCATGACTTGCCCGAGGTACAAACGTGAACTAATTCCATGTCAATTTCATCATCAAAGCAAGCCCCATTCAGGAATAAATCGAGCCACTTAATTCAATTGAACCTACCTTCAGTGAAAGACCCCAATAAAATATTCACATTATTGTCGACGGCACTGATGGCTCGTGGTGTTATCGCGCCATCGGTGGCAGTCGCTGAATTCTCCAAGGTCGAAACATTTGTGACCACATCTTCTCTCCGCACCAATTTGTCCTCGAGAGCTGTGCGATCCACGTAGACAATATTGCATGCGGCGTAGTCCATTACTGCCACTATCTTTCGCACACCACAACACCAAATCTATATACCCGCTCACCACCAATATCCGCGGGCCTTGACCAAGATTAAACGGTAGTATAGTATAGGAGTAAAAAGAAAAAAAAAATAATTGAGAAGCCAATTGATTGAGCTCTCGACACTCAAGTCAAATTACCGCGTCGCACGGGGGCAAACTGGCTCGAGCGCTGGGCCTTTTTTTCGATCGACCGAGTCCGTTCTTTTAAATCAAGCCCTTTTCCGTTTTTGCTTCAATGTCTTTGTTTTCGGGGATTCGGTTTTCCGTTGCAAAAAGACGATGACGATATTGTTCACGACGTCTTAATCGAAAGGTGCCGAGGGAAAAATGGAAATTGATATGAAAGAAAATGCAACCGAGTCTCGTAAAAAGAATACAGTAGATTGGAAGTGTTTCGCAATGACAGGGAAGCCCTGTACCCGTAATAGAAATTCGAGGTAGTTCTGGACTTTGTGGTGTAACGGAAGTGGAAATTCGACTAATTGGAGTTCAGATGGTGATGAATGTGGAATATCTGTCGAAGAGTGGAGAGGATTTGAAAAGAGGGGCTTTTGTTGAAATTGATCTTGATCTTGATCTTGCTCTTTGGTCTTGGTCTTGGTCTTGGTCTTGATCTTGCTTGGGCTTGGGCTTTGGGCTTTGGGCTTGGTCTTGGTCTTGATCTTGATCTTGATCTCTCAAAGACAGAAGCAGCACATATATTTTGCGGTTATTGGTATTGTGGGTAGTAGTATTGTATTGTACAGATTGGGTTATTGGTCGAGAACCATGGAGTTCTCATCCCTCCTTCTCACGAGATTCCTCTTGAAAAATCAAAGTCGCCAGTTGGTGCTGGTGCGAGTACGTCCGAGTACTTCGTTTACTGTGATTCTGTGTGGAAGAACAAGGTCGCCAAGGGAAAGAGGGAAAATCCAAAAAATCAAAAGAAGGTCATTATTTTGATAGGTCTGTCGTTGTCGCGATGAAGATATAGGATATAGGATATAGAATGTAGAATGTAGAATGTAGAATGGGATATACGCTATAAGATACTAGAAGGGAAAGTGCCCAAGTGATATGGGCAAGTTTTAAAGAGGTGAATTTGTTGTGGCTTTGGGTCCCAGGGAAAATCCCTGAATTGTTTTCGAGTCGAGTATGTACCGATGGTGTGGTTGGTGGTGGTGGTGGTTGTTGATGTTGTCGCTGGCTGTAGTTTTTGATCTTGTTCGTTCGTCTATGATATAGAAAAGACTGGTTGAACTTATTGTGTAGTGAAGTGTGGAGTGAAGTGTGGAGTGAAGTGTGTAGTGAAGTGTGCAGTGTAGTGTAGTGAAGTGTGTGTAGTGAAAAGTGTGTGCGTGTGTGTGTGTATAAGTAAGTGTCTTTAGTTTGATGAACCCTTTTTCAGCTGTGTTACCTATAGCTGGTAGATATATAATACTTTAATCGAATTGGAAATTGGAAATGGGCTAAGTGAGGGCAGAAAGCAGAAAAGTGTACCCTTTTTGGAAGAAAAAGAAATTGAGATGGAGAAAGAGGGAAGGGGGAATGAGAGATTTAGATGTGGAATTGGAGAAGTTGAAAGAGAAGTTGACATGGGCTACTAAATTACCTATCTCTTTCAATATTTCATTGTCATTGGTCAGATTTTACATTTTGACAAATACGGCTAACATCTAGAAAAGTCATGGAAGGAATGGAGGAATGAAAAGAGATGATTTAAGGACAAAAGAGGATTAAGCTATAAAGAGTGGATCAATTGATTGTTTTACATGGATTGATTGGATGAGACCAATGAATTAATTATATACCTTGAGGACTCACCAGTCGGATCGATCATTTCATTCGTTGAAGTCTTGAAGACCTCTTGGGGGCTAAGGGAATGCAGAAATGCTAGAAATGCACCAAATGGATTTAAACTTTTAAGATGCCGTAAAAGGTGTGAGTGAGTGTACGGAAGTGTGGCATGGCATGGCATGGCATGGCATGGCGTGGCGTGGCGTGGCGTGGCATGGAAGCAGCGAAGAAACGATACGACGGGGTTTAAAAAGCTTCGATGCAGAGAACAAGCAGAGAATAAATTTGGAACCAAAATATCTTCTCCACAAACAAGTCTCAAAATAAGCCATCATGAGGCCAAGGTCAGAATGGGAATATGCCACCTTAAGTCAGCAAAGAACCAGCTGATGAACGAAACGAAACGAATCATGAAAAAGAGGACAAATGGAACCACAAGTCATTCACTTCCCTCACTTCATTGACTTCACTCACATGGAGAGAAGCATTTTCGAAATGTTCTAGAAGATCACCTTGTACAAAATCAAATCCGAATATGAAGAAATAGAGAGGATATACACAATCTTCGTCATCCTTTTAATTATCATTGGTTACTTCCATGTTCAAGATCTACATCAGCATTGATGATTGATTGATCGACTTTTTTATTATAGGATTTTTAATGAAAGGAGGAAGCCCTTGAAGATGGATATTTGATATTTGAGTTACGGAAAGCAGTCTCTCTCTCTCTCGAATGATTCTGCAGCCAATAAGAACCTCCAGCTATTTGATATACGTCAAGTCACAGGGACCCTTTGATGCCCGCCACACTTGAGACATTCATTCTCTGATATAGATAAAGTGTTTCGGGCAGCCAAGCATGGTCAGAGGAACGTGAGAGCTGGAGAATTGCAAATGCCGAGGGGCATCAGAGGGATAATCCATACCTATACCTATACCTATATTGGGATAGCTATATCGCTTTCAATATTTTGATCGAAGACTGACTCTGACAATATTAATATCTCGTACATCTATCGCATCGGTTATCGTTTCTCAAATTCCAACTGCCCACGCAAGGGACATGTGATTGATATCTAGGTACGATTCCCCGGGAAAGGGGATCGATCTTTACTGAGATAGATTTACGTCTTGAACTCTGGGTAAGGTTAAGTCTTCGTCCCTTGATAAATAAATAATGGATAAAATATCCGAAGACCTTGTACGTTGTAAGGATGCGTTTATCACCTGTTCTTTTCCTTATCATGATCATCATCCTCTAGGGCTGGCTGGACCTTTTCTCCATCGGTTGCCCTTTCCACAAACGGAGCTCAAGCCCAAGGTTTAGCTTTAGCTCCACATCTGTGCGTGCACCTGCCGAGTTACAGGACCTACAAACCCAACAAAAAGGTGTCGAGCAGATCTTACCACCACCAACCCTCCTCCCACTCTACAGCCGGAGTCGGAGTATACAACAAAGAAAGTTCTCTACATACCTACCTCTCCTCAGTCGTACACCAGTAGCCACAAGGAGCTTATTCATATAGGCAACTGTTTCAGCTATTCACCTCCCCCTCGACTTCCTATTGGTCACGAACACAAAACCCATCCATCCAAAATCAAAATCAAAATCAAATCATCCGGTATTACCTTCCGCAAACGCAAATCTTATCCCTCAACAAATGGGACCTGCCAATGTCGGGAATCTTTGAGGGCGGGGGAGAAGATGCATTGCATATTCATTATTCTAGGGACCTAGGTAGATATGCATTGCTCCATCAAGGGTTGCACTCGCTTTCCTTCCGTGATGGAAGGATGGAGCTTTAATTATCTGCCCTTGGTATTTTGGTACTTTCTCTTATACACTTCTGTTTCTTCTTTATTGATTGTATACCTTTTTCATACCTACTTGATACTTTTACTTTGTTACCTATTATCCTACCTGTAATAATTCGAATCACTGTAAACATACATAACATATCACCCAATTATCCATCCTAATCATTCATTCCTTTCCCCTTTCTCCTACAGTCTACTAGCTTTAGCTCTACCTCTACCTCCAACTCTAATTCTACTACAAACCACCACCCTAACTCCATAACCACAAAATCCCAATCCCATCATCCCCAAAACGGCAAAATACCCGAACACTAGCATACCATATCACCTACAAGCTTTTCCTTTCTCACCGGGTGATCCGGGTGTTCCGGGTGATCCGATATGCGTTTCCGAGTACATATATACATAAGACTTACAAAGATCTGATCCGAGATTCGGGTATACTTTCCTCTTCACCATCACTTCTGATATCTTCTATCGGTATTTATATTCTTAATATCTAGAGACTCGAGTATTAGATTGATTGATACAGAAGAGATAGTCATATAGGAGCAATATTCCGGTATGTAAGATCTGTATTTTATATACAAGATGAAAGAACAGAAGTATATATTAAAGAATAAAAGAGAGTTTCTGTAGTATTAACTGAATTTGGTTTATTGTGTGTCTGTCTGTTTAATGCTTGCTTTATGATATCTTATACTGCAATGTATTAAATTATACTGCACTTCGAACAAGTAATTCCTCATGTACAACGTGCAAGCGCACTCTCTTTTCTAATCTAGATCATCCATCTAGTGATCCTATTATCAATCTATTTGGAAGCATACTAATGATAATAAATAATTATAATATAATTAAACATTTATTTAAATATAATAATACTTTTTTTCTTCTAATTTATTTAATAAATCTTTAAAGATATTTTTTAAAATGTTTAATATTTTTAATTTTTTTTTTTTTCATGATTTTATTTATAATAATAAAATAATAATATTTATATATTTATACAAGTTTAATTTGTTAATTTAAAACCTTTTAAATAATAATTCATTTTTTATTTAATATATTGTCACGGATCTCGTATAAGGTCGATCACGTGATTCCAATTGATCGACAATTCCTATCGGTGAGCTGGTAGGCTGTGCACTTGCGTTTCGATTTACCCTTTTTAGTATGGGATTATGGCCACCTTAATAACCGATGTGCACAACCGTGCAGCTACCGTATAGGTATTTTGTATATATATATGGATGCACCCTACGAGCCGTAGCTTTTCAGTTGTAGATTCTAAGGAATATAATTGACCCTGTTTATTCAGCTCTTATAAGACTCTTGTATGTCACATATATATATTTAATAATTCTATAATCAATATTAATATAAATCATCTCAGCTCTTATTTATTTTTTATAATTTATATAATAATAATATCAATTATAATCTTTTTATTCTTTCTTATTATCTTAAACATTTTTTATATTCTTATAATATTATCTTTTATTTAATTCTTTATATAAGTCTCATCAGTAATCTTTTTTTTTTATCTTTTTTTTTTATATATTAATTCTTATAAAATCATAACATTTTTATAATACTCTTAAATCTTAAGAATTTTAATATACAATCTTAATTTATAATATATTTTTAATAATTTAATCCATTAACATCTATAAATATTATATATCAAAATATTAATAATTTTCTCTTTTTCGAGCTTCTAGCCTTTTAAAACTAAATCTATTTTCTTCAAAATATCCATTTGCAAAGTAAGACTAAACTCCTACTTGGATTTTCCTTTATTCTACATTTTCGATATTCGATAGCCCGATTCAGCAATGTTAACTTGTGCATCTTTTACCTTGATCTCCAAATTAAAATAATCACTTCTCTAATATCGTCTGCAATCGCTTTAGCGAACTATATCAATGTCGTAGAATAGCGCTAGCCACCCAAGATCCCATCCTTTATGATTTCCTTGTCTGATACGAACTTGGCAGGTAAATACTAAACTTTTCTTTATAGCTGGATCAATGTATTATCAATGTTATCGAATCTAATAGTTGCATTGGCTTTGCGTACCGAGTCGAGAATTCGATTATGGGGAAGGGGGAAGTACATTCTATGGAACACCGCTGCTGCATTTTCATATACTAACGACTAGCTGACTGTTGGCGACCCGGAGAGCGTGGACTTTCATTCGCTATCGCTATCTTTCTTCCTCTTTTCGGGCCTGCAATTGGTCCAATACTGAGTGCTGTACTGACTGGTTCTGTTGGATGGCGTTGGATCTTCTGGGTTCTGTCTGTCTTGGACGCAATATTGATGTTATGTGCACTGTTTTTCTTCCTAGAAATATATGCTGGGTCTATCCTTAGTCACAAAGCTAGAAATTTGCGCAGGCAGACTACTGTAGTTAGCACTATTACTCAGATGATGAACGCGAAAATCCTTCTCTTTAACATGCTCTTCTGTTTCAACTGGAGCGCTCGTGTCGTATGCTACTTAGATAACCTCACTTCCGACTCATGTCGTTCTAGCTCGCCTACAATTATGATATTCTCTACATTGTCCAGACAACATTGGCCGCGGCGTGGATTGACTGTTACGACCAATCTGTGTCTGTTTCCGGGCTTCACTACATTGCCATCGCAACTGCTTGCATTGTTGCTTCTCAAGGGGATCCCTAGTCATGGACCGCATTTGTAACATCTAGAGGCTCGAGCGAAAGGCGTGACTCAGCCAGAATACCGTCTCCCCTTGATGAATTCCGGGGGCAATCTTGATAAGATTCCAGTAGGGCTTTTCTGGTACAGCTAGACTGTACAGTCGCATGCCTTCTGGACCCTTCCAGAAACTGGCATTGGGATATTTAGCCGTGGTATCATTTTAGGAACTCAGGCAATACAAGCATATTTATGGAATCTTTTCCAAAGCATGTTGCCAGTGCTAGCGCGTCCAATCAATTTCCCAGACATATTGCACGGTTTCCCCTTCCCCTTGTTTGCTAATAGATCTCCTGCGTCTAATGGTAATACCGCATGTAAAAACCCTTGTAGACAAATAGTCTAGGTCGATAACTCCTACTCGGCGACCCCAGTTACTACTGTAGACCTCAAATTTCGTCTAGAGCCATCTTCTGCTCATTAGGCTCGCTTGACGACTTATGCTGTTGCTAGGGGAAATCGAAAGTACATATCCAATACTTTTGGTATCTATTAGGTAGTTCGCTCTTGGTATATATTCATATAAATCATTGATTGATTAGCGCATCGAACCTTCTTTCGTCAAAAGCATAATTTATCAATAAATAAAGGAGAGCTAGATCACACCATTGCTGCTTCGATATATTCTATAAAACGAGCGCCGCAATGCTACTGTTCGAGAATCAACTGCAGAGGCAGCTTTATATCATCAATTGTAAGATCAGCCCACGTACCAACACGCAGAGCCCGAGTCCCTTTTCCACATCGCATATGGGCAAGTGCGTCGATATGTTCTAATTTCCAAGCACTAAATCCTATCCAGTTACTGCTGTAATTGATTAGTCAATGAAAAGTTTACTAAGTAATAACTTAACCTCAAAGTCTTATTCGCCGAATGTTCGATTGGTGCCTTTTTCAAATCGACAGTACTTACGCGTTGTGTAGCGCGCCTTGGACTGTTTTTGTCTCATTGGGAGCTAATCTTCTAGTATTTCGTGATTAGGATTGATCCTGAAGATGTAGAAATTTGTGTATTAGGTGTTTGTGTTTCCTGCGTGCTGTTATGGTTAACTAATAATAGGAGATGTATTTTGTCGAAATCAGAAGACAGTTGTAAAAGAACCCTTATATTTATTTGGGAATTATGTTTTCACAATTCTTTATATCATCCCCGAGTCATGCATAAAGAAGTGAATAGAGAGGTAAGACTTACAAGTGAAGTTCAAATGGTTGATAAGTGCATACAAACACAATGTAGGTCAGGTATATGACTCGGGAGTAAAAGCTGAAGATCTTCATTTCCTATCACTTAAATTCGCATCCCAACAGTTCTCAACGAGTATATAAATGACCGCCAAAGGAGCTCGATGTCCGAGAATTTGGACCCACTAAAACCACGATTTCCGACCAGCAGACAATATCCTCCTAGTAACCATTTCAAAACCCTCGCTCCCAAAGAAGATCCCCCTATATATCCATATCTCCCTCTCCTTCTCCTTCTCCCTCTCCCTCTCCCCTCCCTCTCCCCTCCCCCTCCCTCCACCCACTAATCAAACCACCCCTCTAAACCCATCCACCGGCATCACAACGTCACCCCCTCCGCACCCGCAAATCTCCTCCCCTCATATCCAAATCCGAACTCAAATTCCTACTCCGGATACTAGGCAAAGCAGGAAAATACAGTGGCCGAATAAACTCATCGAAAAGCCGAAAAGTGAAAATGAAGAAAAAAAGTCCGAGGAATATTCCTACGATAAACATGAAGATTGCTTCGCTTCGCAGCACAGTCCATTCGCCGATGTGGATGGTTTCTGAATGTGCGCTTGTGGTGTATGATGCCATTTTTTTGGGGTTTTTTTTGGAGGGGTTTTGGATATTGGATGAATGGGCTGTCTCGCTGGTAGATTCAGGACTGTTGGACCTGTCTGCGGAATACCTGTCGCTCGAGATCGAGGTGATATGGAGAGATGGGGCCGCGAGAGTGAAAATTTGTAAAGAGCGTGTATGTTTGTAAACAGCAGATCTTCTATCCATCAAAAAATTCCAACGTTGATTATGCACTCTCTTTCTGCGAGACCGTGACGCGAGATATAAAGGCCTAGCCGGCGACAGTCAGCTAATGCAAGAACAGGGAAGAGATACAGGTAAATACATACTCTACTGATTGTATAGGTATAGAAAGAAAATATTGCGTCTCGGGGTTGTATAACTAGAAAACATGGATCAGGCGGAATATAATGACGAGGAAATTTGTGGATAGATTCACTGTGGCTAGATTTAACCCTTGTAACCTGTCATCCGTACTAATTTGCTGCTGGCGGTGAATATTATTTATAAATAAGAAGATAGTATGGAGAAGATGGGAATGTTGAGGATATATTGGTGTGTTGCTCCTTGAAAGTGTGAGGATACTTTAGATTGTACAGCCTCGTAATCTGCCATCCGTACAAAATTCTTGTCGAAAGTGAATAGGATGAATATCATGCAAAGTGAAATGGAAATCTCTGCATGTGTGTAAATACGCAATTTCAGTATATTGAATATTGCCATGGCAATTGTTGATTCTGTATCTCATGGTTGTCATCAGTAACAACACTCTCTGCGTATTGACAAAATTGATACTTACATCCCTAGAATTATATTCATCCTTATTTGCCCCTACACCTTCTATACATCTCCATCCTCTCTCTCAACCTAGACATCGTAGTTTCCCGCATCCCTCTACGAGAATTGCTCATCATCTTAAACATCCAGACCTAAAAGTAATCCCCCCATCCCTCACACCAAACCCCCTAAACAATCCCAGGTCCCTCCAATTCCCTCACCCGATCCACCGCCATCCGAAACGTAACAATAAACGCAATAAAAGCCAACATAACCCCAAGGAATAATCCGCACACAACCGTCGCTGCGCCTACATGATGAAGACTCAACATATTCTTATTTCTTGACCCACGTAAATCATGTATTCCCCATCATCCAAAAGTAAAAAAGAAATGAGCAAAGAAAACAGCCATCATAGAATCATAGAGTATTTATTGGAAGTGTGCGTGGTGAATAAAGAAGAAATTTAGGAGATGTGTAGCAAAATGACCTAATTGGGAATTAAGGTGGAATTTGCCGCTTTCGGTTATTTCGGGGGGTGGAATGGTGGAATGTGCACGAGATTATTTGAATGTGGAAGATAATTTTGGAATTTTGTATGCTTTTGGTTTTTTGAAAATTAGTTATTAACGAAAACATATTTCTTTTGGCAAATAGAAACGAAATGTTCAATTGATGGTTGCGAAATTAGTTGTTTCGACCTACTTCATTCACTGGGTGGTATGGATACCAACCATCAGAATTCATATATTCGATTCCGCATTAGTTGCGCGCAGTGTGTATTAATTGAGTTCTATAGTCTAATAGATGAAGATTAGCTAATGGGTGATAGAATAGAGTTCTGAGGATGCCTCGTGCTTATTGAGGGAAAATTCGTTTTGTATAGCCACTGACTCAAAACTCCATCTTTCTCCCCCCAGCATCTATGGCAGTACGTCCATGCAGTGCAAAATATTGTTCCGCCATGGCAATATCTGTTGAATTGATAAATCTCTTGTCATTGTGCTCCGGCGTGAAATTCAAAGTCGTTGAAGTCTGAGCATGTGCAACCCCCATGGTATATAATGGTCCTTCACAACCAGCCCATCCTAACCTTCAGCCTCCCTCAAGTCCTAAACACCAATATTGCTCCAGTCAATTCAACAGCTGTCACCCAATACATCCTTGTATCCCAACGCACTCCCAAACCATACCATCCACGCCAAGAAAATTCCCGCTATCCATTTACTCTAAAATTCCTGCGATCTCTCTCGACGAATCTATTACCCTGCGCTCCGTCAATCCGCCTGAATACCAAATCAACCATGTAGAAATACGTGAAGAACCAAACGATTAATCCCAATATTCCACCTAAGCAGAAGGCAAACAGTTCCCTTACGACATCAGAGTTGATAAAACCGGTAAGGCCGACAGACTCATTTCTGTTCAAGTTGGCGGCCATTTCCTCCTAATCCTTTGGGTGCGAGGAAAGTTTAAGAGTTTGGGCTATCGATGTTAGATTGAGGTATCGTGTTTCGAAGTTTGATAGGTAGGCTCTGTGTGGATCGCAAACTATTGATGGTGTGGAGAGTTGGTGGGTATCCAGATCGAAGTACGTAGATGGATAGTGGATATTGTGAGTGACGAGCAACGGAGTTGGCGTAAATCCTTTTATTGCTAGATTGATCTGGGATTCATGCGAAATGCCGAGAAACAACAAGGAAGAGCTCTTGTTGTTCCTGGGGGTCTTTGAGGGAAGACCAGTATATAATTAATTGGGAAAGTTGGAAAAGACTCACCAAACTGCGAAAAGATAAACAATTGTTTGGAAAGTCTGATTGCCATTGTATACTCAAAAGAAACGGACGGAAGTCAGACGAATGAGAGATCTCGGAAGCAATAATAGTGAATAGAATGAAGGTGCAAGCTTAATATATTCAATTACCTTCCTCACTCATAAAGATACATCAAATAGTCTATAATAACAAACCCATAGAACTTCCGTCATTCCCACCCCAACGCCACTAACCCATGTCGTATAATTCATACATTATTTAACCGTCCATCCTAACATCCTCTTCTACTACCGGGTTTTTGTTCATATTTTTGAGTAGGTAACTTCGTTTGAAGTACTCGTTGGGATGGACAATTGTTTCTAATTGTGCCGCCCCCCATGTACCATCGTCTTTGACTTTCTTGATCTCCTGTTTATGTGCATATTCAAAGACCCTAAATAGATTAGCATTTGTCGAGGGGTACATTCTGAGCTACATACCGATTACAAGCAAGATGAAATTTCTGCTTCTCTTTATCCTCTTTTACCCCTCGCAAGACCTCCTGATCATTAACACCCACTGCACGCAATAATGATGTCAAGTTATCCACACTAAAATGTCTGTAAGGACAACCATGTGATTCTCCTGGACCTGGAGGATGTTCTGTTAAAATCTTCTGACAACTAAACGGAGAGTATCCGTTTCCTCTACGATTAGAATCTCCTCCTACATCACCATATGCGTGACGAACATTATATCTGTATTCTTTATTGAAGACGTCGTCGGTAATTTTGCTGAAAGAGGATCGCCAGAATACTAGACATTCTTCTAGGTTCAGCCCAATACCCTTGAGGAAAAGAGTGTATTGTAGACGACCGTAATGTTTGAGATGGGCATCGCGGCGAAGAGATCTGTGGAGGTTTTGCATGCAAAGAGGGAATGAAGATGACAGTGCATCAATATTGCGGGCGGATATGTCAGCTCCATCCACCGCAGTAGCTGAGCCGGAATAATTTGCATCTGGTGTGGTAAAGTTTTGGGAGAGATGTGTAAGTATTGGCGTTAATCGATCGTCTTCGTCAAGCCGAGGAAGTGCGCGAGATGTAATCTGAGCCCGGTTAGGACGAATCACAATGAGGGGTCACAAATGAACAAACAAACCTCTAAAGCTTTGTCTAGCCTATTGGTAAACTCTGCCACAACCATGGATAGTTGTTCCCTGGAATGTACGTATGCCTTTCCACCTCTCAAGAATACTCTCCGACTCTCTACTAATTCAGGTACTCTCTCCCAGTCTACCTTGAACCAACTCTCTTCTTCTATTCGCATTTTATCCCAGCCAGCCGCACCTTTCAATTGTTCCCAATTCTCCCTTTTTTCTTCCTCACTCACTGTTTCCCAATCTAGATTCAGCCCTTCCACAAATGCTTGTCGCTCTCTCAAATCATCTACCTGAAACCGCAAGCGGAATAACATCGACTCGACCCGAGAAAACCGTCTTCGCAAGTCTTCTGTGGAAGCAAATGCAAGCCGCAGTATAAAATGGCTATAATGATCCTTCTGCCTTTCAACCTGCAGTACACTGGAGCCGGAGGAAGAGGCAGAAAGTGGTAGGTATTTATCTAGGAGAGGTTTCATATGGGCTGCTGTTTCGGCGGGTGATCTGTTTCTGAACGAACATGCTTCGAGCTCTGCGAGAACTATTTCTCATGTTATTTTATATTCACAAGATTTGCAAAGTTTCGTATATACCTCGCAGCCGATCAATAGCCCATTGCTCAAATTGTTCGAGAGTTATATCGGCGGTTGGGGGAATCGAGTAGAAATTCAAACGATGTGGATAGCTAATATCTTTATACGCGGGTTTTTCTGCAAATTGAGTTTTCCTATAGTCTGGTTTTTGTCTCTTAGAGAATCTGTTTGGGTCTTGACGTATCATTTTGTGGTACTTTCAGAAGTGTATTTTGAATTCGTTGTTGAGTTAAAATGTTCTTCTCTGCTTTGGATTTACAGATTGGGGTAACGCGTTCCAAAGTGGAAAAGTCGCGACGCGCCAAATTTATTACGGGGAGTTTTAGCGACCACGATGGCCATCAACAGGCCAATAGCCAGTCCAGCCAATCCAGCCAATCCAGCCACTCAAAACTCTTGTAGCTTATATCTCTAAATGATATGATTTGTGACAGGACCTTTAAGTATGATTTGATCATTGACACTGATTTGAAGGAGTTTTTAACAATATATAATCATTGAGCGTGCAAACGCCCTCATATTCGTCCCAAGCGTGTTGCCAAATAGAGCATGGCTCTTTTGATGCTTGATTATGTCTAAATGGTCTCGAAATGCTTGGGTTAAGTGAATCGTATCTACTCATAGCTTTTTACATTTCAAAGTCATGGGGGCAACAGTAAGCGAAACTGTCTAGTTCCCCCTTTCATGGATTTGGGACTGAAAGACCCGATGTGCAACATTGCTTCAACCTTGCAATGTCTTCAATATCCGAGGTGAAAATCTTCGAGACGATATGCGACATGGTGATAACCAATGTTACATCAACTTGTGCAAAAGTTACGATCCTGTTTTTAAACGGGTTGCTTTGACAATGAGCCTCCATCCCGAAGCCTCTGCATATGCTACGTCTGTATTATCGTTTTTCGTTCGCTTCTGCCATAGTTGAGCCTCAAAGGTAGTGTTTAGAGAGCTCTAGAAGTAAGCTAAAGGATCATGTGGCAGCTTCCCCTTCCGTCATGGCCAATTTAACCCTAGCCTGTAGGGTCGCTCTTTCCACCAAAATCGGAATTATCAGTCATGATGAGTACATCTCAACTCATTCCCTTTCTTTTGATTTTAAAGAATCTGCACATTTGGATACTGGTATTTCTCAAGCCTGCGCATCGTTACTGTTACAAATTTATGATCAGACATTGCTCCTTCATCAATTTCGGCTACAACAAGATAACTTGACACACTCGTATATTGATATTGACTGCGACATCCTTTCATGCATAGCTTCGATCAATAACCAAAAGTATCATGGCTATTGGCCGATTAATACAGGACCCTCTGGGCTTAACTGCAGATTTCGTGAACTTTACTAGCACGGCAAGGCTGGGGCTCCTACAGAATCACCCTTCGGCAACATCAATTTCTACAGGCACGACAAGTAATTTACTTACATTGCCAGCTATTATCACAACCAAAATTTCAACCTTTCCACCTATCGAGACATTGGTAACATCTTTTCTGTACAAAGGGTCTCCAGATAGTACAGGCGCGACTGCAATCACGAGACCCGCCAGTTCCATCAGCGAGCCATCTACGAATGTGCATTCACATTTTCCCGAATTCGGAAACCTCGCAGTAACTCCATATCAACTTATGTATATCGTCGCAGCATGCGTATGCTTTGTGATTTTGATGAGTTTCTGTTGTTGCACTGATGATATCGGACGCTACATGAAATCTAATCGCAACAATACTGGTGCAACAGTACAAGCTGCTCCCGTCTGGCCTGGAACTATGCGGTTCATGGATGGAGCAAATGATACAAGCAGAAGCGACAGAGCTTCAAGAAATTATTCTGCTGTTAGCAATTCCCCTCTTCGACTTGCTATGCCTCAACCTGTGGCAGGAAGTGATTCTCCTAGTTCTTCTACCAAACCTCCGAATTTTACCAAAATTACTATCAAAACTTGTGAAGAAGGCCATGATTCCATCATTATCGATGAGATTGAATTGCAGCATCTTTCTTTGAAACCTTCGCATTGCGACTTTTCTAACAGCAACCCTGCATTTACTCACGAATACGTTACAGCAAACCCTCAAGCTAGCGTTCGAAACGGTAGGGTCAGCTTGCGTGGAGGCTCTGGTACAGGGGATGATTTCATTCGTACGGGTGCTATCACTAGTTTCAAGCAAACAGAGGAGAGATGGAAGCCAACTTGGTCTGCCACAAAGTTATTATTTAGCTCACGGCGCAGAGAGTCAGAAGTTGTTGCAGAACAGACCGTTATACATTCCATGTCAAATCATCCTACAACATCAGATATTGTTGACCCACCATTTCATAATAGCGATCGGACTCACCACAAATCATCTACGACAACCTCCAAACGTGCAGCAAGACAGACCAACACATCTGGGACGACATTTTCCTTCCCACTTAGTGATGGGAGTGATTCTGAAATTCCACGCTTTCCCACTATCAACCGCATCAAACAAAAACTCAAACCACTTGTTCACTCAGTCTCGAAACAATCTCTAAGGAGAAGATTTTCATCTGCGCATCATAGCGGAAGCCAGAGCACCGAAGGAGCAGACTCGGATGAATTTGCCTATAGTAACACAGTTAAAAAAGCACTTCGAAGAGCTCGTAGCTCAGCTTCTATCCCTTTTGGTCTTTTTAAATTACCTGACCCGGCAATCGATGAACCAGATCCGTCTGATGCTGGACCTATATCAATGATGTCTAATAATTCCCCATCTGACGATTCTGATACTGCGTCAGAAAATACTATGAGAGCTAGATCTCCAGTGAGCACTTTGCTTGGAGTCAGGACTGAAAGGAGATCCGGCTCATCATCTGGATATAAAAGCAAGAGTATACGTCAGGTGATATTGCCATTAGACAGTATGGAGTGCGTGCTTGACGAAGCGGATTTAGCTGATGCGGAAGCTCTGCAATTTTCCAACAGCATATCCAACGAGAGTGAGAATGACAAGGAAAAGGAGATAAAGTTGATGTGTTTGAAGAGGGCTCTTGCTAGTAATTGTTTTTGTGTGGAAGATAAGGATGAGGATGAGGTTCACATCACGGACCCAAAACACGATGAAACTAAAGACTCAAGATACGTTACATGTAGATCGAAAAATAGAAGCGAGGAAGAAAATGATGGCGGCGTCATCGAGACAGAACAGGAACAATCAGATGCGCCACGTCCTTCGTACATAAATTCTACTCAGGTCATGTAAATAGACCTCGTAGAGAAGGTCAAACAGCTATGATGAATCATTTCCATGCGAGGGGAACAAGGGGCGGCACAGATAGCACAGATGGCTCGGGAAATTTGATAAGTGAGAATAGGGAGAGGTTGAAGGGGAGATTGGCTTTGCTGATGATTAGAGGGGTTACGAGTGGCGGAGGTGGGGTGGGTGCTACTAGGGGTGGGAAGGTTGAATTAGTTCCGATGAATTTGGGAGGTGATGATTAAATTAGATGAGAGTGGGTTGGAGATTACAGAGGCTCGTGTAATAAGGAGGGAAATGGAGGGAACGATAATTATGGAATGGGAGAGTGGGAAGTAGAAATAATTAGTGGTATCGGTAGAGTATATATAATTAGACGGTGTATAGTGGAAGAGAGTAATCGATAATAGAAAAACGCTATATAGATATTGATTATAAATAATGAGAAAGAAGAATTATAATTGCGAATCAATTTCTTTCTCAGTCATCTAGTCTCAATAGTATCGTAGTGAAAGAGATCTGTCAGGAACAGCAAATAGGCGTATGCTAAAACAAAAATATAATTACTCTCAATCAATCATAGCAAGTACTATAAATGTTACTTCCTAAGACTAAATAGAGGAAGATCTAGATCATCGATTAACCGAATTGCGCCTCCGCCTCGATGCGCTAATTCTATTCTAGCGTCTAATTATAGTCTTTTTTTTTTGGTATTGTTCAATATATTAAGCGGATTTCTTAGTTATATTTATCAGTTTATAATTTGAAAGATTATATTGAATATAGAAAATTGAAATTAAAAATAATTATTTTAAACTATTATTGTTAATTATCTGATGACTTTTGAAATAGTAATCTTATATGGTATATATTGAGTATTCTATTAAATAATCACTTTATATTGAAATCTAAGTATCTATTGGAAGTGGAGTTGATTATTTCTGATTATGATCTGAGGTTTCTTTAAAAATGATGAGAATATATATTGAATAATACAGTGTGACATTCTAAATTATCCACCATCCGACGTTTTATAAGATTTAATATATTTCCTTGGATGTCGGAAGTAATCTTATTTCATTCATTCATCTTTATTATATTACTTAACACAAAACAGTCTACTTTGAGTTGTGATGATGTCATTGTCTAATGTAGAAAAGTGGCAGTGGTGCTGAAAGTGCATTTATTGTCGATGCGAAGTCTACTTTAATAAGTACAATTCGATGGATTGATTAATAAAAGCCCTTATGATTTCGTATGTGGTAGAAACAATTGACTGTTGACGGAAGTTATTAATTTAGAAGTTAATTGTAAACAAAATTTTGAATCCACCTCCTTGTTAAGCGAGGGGGTAAATCAAAGAAATCCAAGCCATCCCTTCTCAGTATGGAAGCTGAGCAAGCGTAAAGGAAAACCTATCACCCTCCCGGTTCTCTCATTTAGTTACTTTTAAATTCATCCGTATTTCCCTGCCTTTCCTTTTTTTTTTCAAACTTCTTACACAAACACTTCAACTTGTACTCCTATCCCTTGATCAACGTTCCCAACTATCATCCAAACTTACTGCATATACATGCTTCCTGGAACCTCAAATTTCAATCCAGGCATCGATATTCTAGATTCATGGCATTAACACACTGCTCGCTTTCTTTCCATCACTTTCAAGGTCATGGCAGAAGGAGAGATCCTACATCATACGCAAGTTTATGCTCATTTGAGATGTCACTGTTAGTTACATCACACTTTTTGTCCCCAAAAAATATCTTTCCTAAATGATTTTCTCTTTAAAATAATATCAATCCCTCATTTTTCACCTTCAAGCCGTTTGATTGTGCAGAAATTCTTCCGTACAGCACTGGATCATTTTAGCTATGAACATAACACCTGGACATAATCGCAAAAGCAAGACTAACTACATGAGTAATTACATCTTCACCAAACAAGCAGAATCCAAACCTCACTCCGTAACAACTGAAACTTCATGCTGATAAGATTGTGTTCCACGATTGTCGACCGTCTTGACCTCAAAAATCAATGTGCGAATAACTTACCTTCCACCATCTTATCATGAGTAAACACCACGCAGACTGTGCAGATATCTATCATCGTCCCATCGTCGACAAATTGTCGGACCAACTTCAAACAACGCATCGCGAGGTTGATGTGTGGTGTAGTAGTAATGTCACTACAGCTTAATCACACATTTGCTAGTATTGGTATGGCGGGATCAATCTTCCTCATCGCCCATATCCATACTGATGCGTCGCCCCATTTTACCAATTTAACATACTTTTTCTTTCTTGAAACGGCCTGTTTATACTTCCTACTTTCATTTCTCCGCAATAAGATCCTTGATTTGAATAGCAATTATACTTATAGCAAAACTTCTGTCTTTACAGACTACTTACTAAATAGCTTTCGTCATTAGATGCGCTCAGGATTTGCAGCTTGGGTAGAATATTATCCCGTTCTAGTAGGATTATATTTCGTCAAATTTTCAACCAAGAATTCTTTGAGAAGAAAGTGGCTATGCGGAAATGATGATTCATGAAGTTTAACATGGCGAAATGCCTTCGGAAGGCTCAACTTTCTTTTTGACTGGTAAGGCGTTGGGTTGATTTAGAAGCTATGCCATCATCGGCCTCCAAAAGTCGTACTTAAGAAAATTATTGTACTTAAGAAAATTATTCATCTTTGTTTCTCTTCAGTCTCCTGAACTCCTTCAGCGTACGGCCAAAAATGTACGTTGTGATGGGCCGGATTCCGTCTTTTTCGTCGATCCCACTCGGACACTCGACAAAGGTGGGTTCATGCAAGTCTGGGTTCGAATGACAAAAAGTTGGAATTAGGCTTGCAGTCCAATCTGCGGCCAACACTTTTGGAAAATTGTGGTCCCTCAATTCCAATATTGGCTCTTTTACGTTAAGATATCCCTCATTCATAAAAATAAGTCGTTGGTCAGCAGCCCCTGCATCTACCGTCCAATGCTTCTCACCAGGTCGGCTCGCTGTTAAGGAGAACCCCCTAATAGATGACCCTGGATTTCCTGCCGAGATTGAGATTTGAGTTGCTAGAGTTACCGAGTCTTCATCATTGTGTGCGCCGCTTCTACATCTCTTCCCCTGCAACGGAGATCGCGAAGAGAGGCACGTATCTGTAACAACAGCAACAGTAAAATTTCCTGCTGTATCTCGTAATATGTTACCCCAACTATAAAACTCTCTGGGGAATTCAACAGTTGTTAAGCCGCCCTGACTATGGTACAGAGCGACAAGGTTACCTCCACTGTCGATTCCTGTAAGTTTGAGAAGATCTAGGCAAACTGCGATGGCTTTTTTAATCTCTTCTAGCCAAGCTGGACTTTCCATATAAAATTTCACGAACACTTCTGCGTCCTTGCCGTTCACTATTCTAGTGATTGCTCGTCTGAGAGTAGAGCTCATCCACGGAAAAGATGTAAAAATACCTTTCAATGGGGGAATGAATAGCATATCTATTAAAGAGATACGCCTTGAATTCCCAGTACATGCAGAGATCTCTAAACCGTAAAGTCCAAGGAGGTCCCGGATGTCGCGATGTACCAACTCATGAAGGCGCCTTTGTTTTTTAGATAAATTCTCTGTCTCTGGACAAGGCTGATCAATGCTTGCGTTTTTGTCCCCAAAACAGGCCAGCTTTTCAATCTCCATATTCAAATGTGGCTTTAGTTTCATTGGGAACGTGGCGCCTCGAGATACCAACGACTTTCGTATAAGTTCTTCGTCTTTTCCCATTCGACAGCTTTCGTTTTCTTCGAGTAGCGAGAATCTGGACTTTTGGTTCCAAGTGACGCGATTTTTGCCACGACGCCTCACACTACTGGCGTTGTCTTCATTTGCTATTATTGCAGATGATGAGGCTCTTGTGATCTTATGAGACTCGATTGGACGACTGCAATATCCTGAGTCGCTCCCTGCACAACTAATTTCAATGGCTGGCAGGCAAGGGGTTCGCCTAAGCGGAATGATTCTTCGATTTGGATCGGAAATTGATGATGGACGCCAAGCTTCATTTGAGGAACTCGCGACTATCTTTCCGGAATATCCAGCCGATATACGTCGAGTACGAAGTAGGCTCCATGTCACATAGCATGTTGCGGACAGAACCATCCAGCAAAATGTACAATACAGAAGCGCGTATGCCCAAACGTAATTGTTGTTGTGGGAGATGGACTCAGTAGAACCTAATAGCATTCCACCCAATGTTCGACGAACAACAGTATTGTTTGTAGGATCATACTCGAAAAATGGTGGTGGAGGTAGAGCTTGACCAGCTGCCTTTTTACATTGGGACGTCGCTCGCTGTGCTTCCTGGAGATTTGTTAGTACTAATTTGGATCATTTCCGGATTGGTTAATGAAGACACACCTCATCTGCTTGACAGTGCTCAATATAGTCCTTAGTAGCCGTCCAAATAGCTAGCTTTATACCAAAATAGGATATGACAGTACCAACTGCGAAAGTGAGAATGGCAATGGTAGCTCCAATAGGTCCGCAATCCCAACAGGCGAGAAATTTCACACACCTAACAATAGGATTAGGATTCGGGACGGGTGTGTGCTGTGAACATGGATTTCCGGGTAGACATCCGCATTGAACGACTTGATACACTATGGATTGCGCATTTAATGGCTGGCCTTGAGCTTGCAAGCTTTGTTGCACAGGCTGACTTGGTCTTTGGCCTTGAACAACAGCCTTACTTGGGATAGTACCTGGAATTGCCGATGGTTGTCCTTGAGGGCAGGGCGCAACAGCTTGGGCAGGAAAATTCCCAGATGTCAGCCCTGCAGTTGAGGATTTAAATTTCTGCTGGGTAGGTGTAACAGATGATGCTGAAGCAGGACTTCCAAGATTGTTCATTGCAACGAAGGTGGGAGTTGATTGTGCCATGATGGAGACATATCCGAAGAAAGCTCGGGCGCTGGTGTCAGAAGCTCACGACAATAGTCTTTAGACTGTATGGCTATATTATGAATTAGCAATGGTAATGATATGAGTCTGGAATAGAACAGAAACTTGAAATAAATCTTTGGTTGTCCGAGATAAGCAACTCAGCTCAGCCTCGCTATTCGTATGTATGGCCGACGGGGTTGCATGTCCCGTCCACATGATATGAGTTACACCAGGCTTGTTCAGCTGTGAGCCTAGTTAGTCAAAAAATGAAGGTAGTTGATGTCGGTGGTGCTTGGCTTTGTGGCTGTCTACATCTGGTGTGCTGCTTGTGCAACAGTACACTTTGAATACTACTGGCCATATGTCGTGAGATGAATTCATCCCATGTCTCCATATGTCTAACGAACGAGATAAGAAGCAGAGATAATTCTCCATTTATTATCGTAAAGAATACACGCATTCAGTGAAAGTACTGTGAATCACAAAAGGATAGAACGAAACATATAAATATTCAGATGAGGTCACGTATCAGCCACAGCCAGAGCCACAACGTCACAGCCACATTCTTGAGCTATATCATGAGTGCGATGAGAATACTACATTTCACCACATTATACACAGTATTTCAATTACCAGTTAGCAATTCAATAAAACAACAAAAAGAAAACACTTCTGTCTTTCTGACAACATTACAACTTAACAAACTAAGACTTCAACAACCTTGCCTTTTTATCTGCTTACTAAGCACCATCATCATTCTCACCTCATCCCATCATGCATGCTTCCCTTCCCCTTCTCATGCACATTCAATGAATATCAAGAACCAACCAGCACTACGAAACCGCCTGGTAACAGTTTCAACAGCCTTTAAGTAGATGAAATCTTTGTTGTCTCGTTATCAATGCGTTCAATCATTGACACGACGGATATTTTGGGACTCTAGAGCACGGGTTGTAAGATTACAATCAAAGGGTAAAATAAGTTTGCATCGGACGATGGCGTCTAGGTCTGAAATTATGAGGGAGCAGAGTCTTGTCCCTGCTTCTCCTCGTGATCTGGAGCCAAAGAAAGAAAAGGAGAATGAAAGTGGGGGAACTGAAGTGGGAAAGGAAGGAGAGGGATATCTAAGTCATATTGAACGAACGGCGACGGAACCGAGGGATGAGGTATATATAAACTCATTTATTTATCTATATCCACAATCCTCAGCCTCTTGTATTTCCTCCCGAGCGCTTTCTTTCTTCTAAGAACATCTCATTATCCACATACATCAACAGTCATCCCTCCAACCCACAAAATACCAAAATTAACCAACAACTAACAACTCACCAGTCGCTACATACCCTCTTCATCAACTCAGTAACACCTGTAAACTCTACGACGCGGCTCTTTTATCTCTCTCCCAGGCCTTCATCATCTTCAGCATCCACATCTTCCAAATCCACATCCACATCCTCCACCTCATCCATTCAATCCCCAGCAAAACTCACCTGGAAACCCGGCCAATGGATAGATCTCTATCTTCCCGGCATTGAAAAACCCGGAGGATTTAGTATAACTAATGTCCCTCCTCATTCTTCATCCACTTCCTCACCACCTTCTTCGCATTCACAAACTTCCCCAAGAGATAAAAACGAACTCGAAGAAGCAGGTATAGAATTAGCGATTCAAAAACCCACTCAGCAGGAAAAAATCAGCAAACAAGTATCTTGGTTATTTCAACCACCGTCTTTAATCCTCAATCAAGAAGTAAAAGTTAGAATTGGGGGATCTTTTACTCTGCCTTCTTCATTCCCATTTTTCTCCCCTTCACCATCTTCATCCTTCATGAACCTCAGCTCTAAAACTCCACTCCACCAAGAAACGCTTCTTAAACATCAATTCAATCCCACAAACCCAAACCCCGAGAAAGGAAAAGAACCCGAGAGAAAAAAAATCATCTTCATAGCAGGAGGAATGGGTATAAACCCCCTAATAAGCATGCTCACCTATATCCACTCCGAAATCGCCAGAATGTCCGAATCAGATATGGAAAACACCATTCCTACCCATACACTAAAAGAAGACGAAATATCCAGAAAAGAAAGAACAAGCAGACGAAAAAAATGCTTGGAGAATCTAGAAGTTAAACTTCTTTATAGCACTAAAGCACCTTCCCCTCCTAATAGAGAAGAAGAGCAAGAAGAAGGAGAAAAAGAACACGAGGAAACAGTAGAAAGAGAAGAAGTCCTCTTCCTCCCCCGCCTCCACTCACTATTCACCGCTCAAAAAAACAAAAATTGGGACTTCCAACTCTTCATCACTAGCCCTAACCCTACCATCAATCCCTCATCTGTATCTTTATCCTCATCCTCCCTCTCCTCCTCACTCTTACCCACCCCCAACAACATCACAATCCACCCCCGCAGAATTTCTCCCAGGGATATCGAACTGGCTCTTTCCTTCCCCCCTACAACAACAACAACAACAGAAGAAAAAGAGAAAAGAAAAGAAAATCAAAATCAAAATCAAAATCAAAATCAAACAATAACATATATATGCGGACCACCCGCTCTAACAGATGAATTTACATCGTATATACAAGGACTAGAACTCGAAGGGATGGATGCGGGAAGGATAGTTTGTGAGAGGTGGTGGTGATGCTGGCCGGGGGAAGGTCAGATTAGTTGGATTATTAATTGATTGATTTTTGGGAAAGAGGAGGCTGTTCACAATCTCAAAAATCTCAGACAAATCAAAAATCGAGAAAATAAAGATCTTGCAAGCTTGATTTTTACTACTGCTATGCCAATATCACTTCCATTCCATGACGATCAGCCAGTTTCAATCCAGTCCAGCAGCCATTCTCACTACAATCCATCCATCACATCAACATCAACATGAAATTTTTCCACACATCACTTAAAACTTCCTCATCAACAACCATCAATCAATCAATCTAGTTCATTGATGCTATCTCTGAGCAGTTCAGTTGAATTTCCCTAACTAACACCCTTCACAATCCAGCCAGCACAGCAAATCAAATCATGCCTACAAGTCAATTATCCCAAAAATGTCTCAAACCCCTCAAACTTCCACCTCCTAACCCAGATCCCGCACCAATAGGTAAAGGTAATTGAGCATGTCCTGGAGTGGGACTTTTGGGATCCCCAATACTACCTCTCGAACTTCCACTTCTGGAACCGAATCCATCGCCTGAACCAGAACCCTTGCGTGTTGGAGGCCAGTTTAATGATTCGTTTTGATGGAATTGAGATGATGCTATATTGCGGAAAGAAGCAAAGGGACTTAGTGATTGATGGAGATGATATGGAGAATATTGAGATTGAGATTGAATATGTGGTCCATAGAATGGAGTATGTTCTTCGTCGGAATCGGGTCCTTGGGTAAAACCACTCTCATTACTTAGCATGCTTGAACTTCTACCTCTTGGTCGTGTGGACTGTGGCATTGTCATTGAACCACCCATTTGAGGCATAACCGATGCCATATTTGAAATCGGAGCGTATGCAGGGAATCCAGGCATTGAGTTGTCAGGGGTGGTAGTCCAGGGACTAGGATTGGAATAAACTTGATTTGTTTCTTGTTGATGTTGTTGTAAGGCAAAGCTCCACTGGTCGATGTATTGATACATGAGATTAAGGCTCTCACTATGATGATGGAGTTGAAGTTGTGCCTTTGTGTTGTACTCAGACCAACTCGCCTCGACCATTTTCCTTTCCTCATCTTTGCCCTTCCTTTGCTTTTCCTTCCGTTGAACTTCATTTAATCCTTTGGTGTTAGCTTCGCGAAGATCATCTGCTTGATGAGTAAGTTTGATGGATCGGGCTTCCAATTTCTCAGATTGACGTTCTCTGTTAAGAAGTTCGGCACTCAAAGCTGCGATGGGCTTTTCATTCTCCTTCTTTTTGTTAATGAAATCGGACTTGGCTTTTTCATAAAGATCTTTCTGCATTCGATACGTTTGCTTTGCAGAAATATAATCAGAATCTCTTGATGCGGATGGTAATCGATCGGCAATATCAATCTCAGCTTGGATGGCAGCAATGGCATCATCTGCTTGTTTAATGTGAAGATTGATTTGTTGAATTTTTTGACGTTGACGATCATCATTACCACCTGATGAGGTTATGATATTGGTGAGCTTCTCAATGTCTTTACGAAGCGTACTGAGTTTAGTGCGTTGGTCTTTACGTTCGCGTTTTTGGCGAGTGCGTTCTTCGAGAAGTTTGGTCTCGGATGCGATGATTGATTGTTTGATAGTGGTACTTGGTGATCCTGGTCGTCCTGATATTTGAGGAGGAAGAGGTGAGAGGGAGGCGGCAGCTGTAGTATCCGAAGGAGTAGAAAGAGTTTTGACGCTGGTACAAAAAATGATTCTGCTGCTAACACTGTTGAAAAATTCAATCTCGTAGCTGCTCGAAGGTGCAAGCCCGAAAATCTCCCCATCCCAACACGTGTTTGGCCCAGCAGGTAAGCTAGAATCAATGCTAGGCTCCATCCTCGTAGGTTGCCAATGTGCTTGGTTGACCCTAACAAAGATAGGCATCCTCGAATTTACACCTGACCCATCTCCATGCTCTTGATTCTCTTCCGGAATTATGTACTTGGGAAAATAACTGGTACTGAATAAAACTGTATCGGACCCAACATTGGTGATCCATATTCGTTCTGGTTCGGTACTGAAAGGTGCATTTCCGAGATTACTAGCATCTGTTGCATTGGTACCTGCCGATTCCGCAGCTGCGTGTGATGTCTCGTACTCTTTGACCATGACAATTTTTGTACTTGCTAAGGCTGCCCATAGAGGCTGTTGTATACGAACTTGTGCGCTTTGTTTTCTCTTTTTCCTGGTTGTAATGGCTGTACTACTAGCGTGTAGTGAAGTTATAGCTTCGTTATCTGGTGTTTGTGGGTTTGTACTAGAAGAGTCATTACCTCCATCTGCGGATCCTTTAGCTGCTTCAGGGTCGCCCAAAGTAGATGCTGCATGATCGCGTTTTTGACTCCTAAAATATAAATCTCGAATGTACCGCACGACACCCTGTGCAAGGATGTGAACCGCAAGGATATTTCTAACCCAAATCGGTATCAGGTCCTTCCAATTCGCGCTATGTATTGGTATCGATTCGAGAGGGTCTTCAAGGTTGAATGGCCCAAAAAAACTTCGTGGAAATGAGAATATTGATCGGAGCCCAGTAGATTTAAGGTTGTTAGTAGAAGCATAATGCGAGAGCCCTATGTAACCAAAACAGAGAAACACGTTCTTCATCCCAGCTTCCTTCCCACTAATACCTCCTCCCAAGGTCAAGGCGATCACAGATTGTGCAAATTGTAAAATAAACTCCTGCACAGGTCCATACAAGAAAACCCAGGTCAAGAGAAATAGTGCGTCAACCACCAAAATCGTTGCCAATGATGGCGTACCAGTTGTTCCCTCAAACATATCGATGAAGCTTATTCCAGTAGTAGCAGCGGTGGACGGAGGAACGAATGTCAAGGTGGCGAACAGTAACTGAATAATCGTCAAGAAAGCGGGTGGGACCTGGAGAAGGACAATAAGGATGGCCAAGGTATCAGAGATCGGACAGGATGTCAAGACAGTCTTCGCATAATGTAACGGACCGGAATCGCGATGGACTGAAGGATTTTTGGCAGAATTTACGTTGATATGGCGATGATTTTCTTGTGGGAAAGAAATCGTGGGGACATTATACACATCTTGAGATGAATCTGAATGGCCACCCACTGAAGTCCTCCTCACCATCTCCCCTCCCAACTTATTCTCTGATGTATTCTCTGCTTGTCCAGGCAATTTCGCATGTCCATTTGTAGGCGGTGGGGTCGAAGGTGGTGGTGTTGATGAGATGGATTCAGAGGAGTTCGCATGTCCGTTCATATGTCCATTACTCTTTTGTCGAGGTACCCTCTTCCCTGGACCTACCAGTCCATTATCATGTCTAGTGTCGCGCACATTCGCAGCACCTTGCTGTCGCTTCGAGTTGGGTGGAGGACGAGGCATGCGACCACCTGGTGGATTGCTGACCCAGAGGAATAATCCGAGCCAGCTTGAATGGGAGCTTCGGAAACGTCCTAAATGCAATAAATGTGTGTAATCTTCCTTCCTCCCTCCAAAAGACTAAGACAAATGATAAATTAACCTTGGATCAGGCATAGGTTGATCGAAAAGGTTAATATTTAAGTGTTGAAACCATTCAAGAAGTTGAAAGAGTGATCAACTTGAATGATTTGGATGATGTGTTTGATGGTTGTGGATTGGGTTTAATGTATAGAAGTGAGTTTTAAGTGGTAGTTGTTTTCCTTTTTCCCTTGTGCCTTGTGCTCAGGCCTTTTTTTTCTCTCTCTCTTTTGCTTTAGACGAACGAGATTTCAATCCTTTACTTCACTTCACAGACTGCAGAAAGGTATGTGTTAAAGGAAGGTTCGCCCTAGTAAGAATAATACACCGGTAGTGAAAAAGAGATCTGTCTAGGTGTACCCAGTGAGATAATTTGCGTGTTTCGAGTGACTTTGCCTTTTTCCATTCTTATTACTGTCAGTGGATTCCCGTTCAATCAGCAAAGCACGAATGAGAATGAGACTTTGTTTTATGCGACACTGATGACTAAATATCCCAGGTTCAATATCAAAATTGAAACTCGAATTTTCTTTGATTTTCACCAATGAAAATTCTTGTGTTTTATTTTGGCCACTTGCAGCAAGTATGAAAAAGGGTTTTGATTTTTAATTTACGGAGTGTGCTCGAGTAGATCGATCTATTTATCAATGATTAAGCCTTATGTCCTGTGGGATTGTCCAACTGTTCATGTGGGAGTATTGAATGGCTGGCTGTAATATACGTGAATTCTATATATATATATATATATATATATATGAAGATCATGATCTCTTTGCTTCGACTAGTTGTATGAGATGAGACCAACTGTTGAATCTGACATTGACATTGAAGAAATTAATATATATCCAACTCCTATAGGCAGACTATAGATATTCTTACTCGGCAATGCAACAACAGTCAGTGTAACCAACCATCAATGCGGACCCCAACTCCTCGAGTGTCATAGAGTTACGTTAGTTAGTACAGTAGTTCCCCTTACGGACTAACTGCAATAAACCAATTGCTTTGATTAAATTAGCTTATTCATCAAGTCATCGCGATTCACAAAACACCGTACATAAAATCCATCCATCCATTCATTATCCAATACCACCCCTACCTACTTCTTCAAAGTTCAAACCAACCTAATGCTACCTACCTACACACAGTACGTACTCTACCTCATAAAATCTTCTCCTGAATGGCTTCGCCCTATTTGGGACCGAGTTTGATCGATCGATGGTAAGGTATCCGGTTATCACGAGCTTCCAACCAACCGTTGCTCACTCAGGTACGCCCCCGGTTTCCCTTCCCGCCCCGAGGTCCCTCTTCCCTGGTTTAAACTCCCCCCTAAATTAGTATGATGATCTCTGTATGGATGACATGTATCCACGACACCAAGTACATTATTTACGGGAGTTGAAGTGATGAAGAAGACATCAAAGAGTAAGCTTTCAGTGCAAACTTTTCATTCTCTTATGTTTAATGGTTAATGCGGTACGGTACATAGGTAAGGCTATTTCCAAGTCACAGCGTCTAATTTATGGATGGATTGCATACTGTGTTATGCAAAAGTTGAGGAACATGGAACAATTTTTAGCGGAACCGTTGTTAATAGAGTTTTACTACCTGGTCTAATAGTAATGGTCTAATACATTAGTCTACTACTACCGAAGCCGTTGTTTTAGGCTATTTCCGAGATTCATCCATACCGTACTAGGCAGTGTAGTTGGAAATCCTAACATTGGAGAATGAAGGGGGCAAAAGGGAAACCGAGATGCGAATGACAATTCCGAGGTCAAAGATGGCCCCCACCTCAATAACTCCTAAGGTTCTTCAATAGGAGATCTTGATATTTATATCTTTGGGGCTTCTATGAGTATTTACTCCTTTATTCAATAAAACTGAATATAATATAATATAATATAATATAATATCATTGTCGATCATTACATTGTCAAAAACGGCATCACATATCTTCTTCCTTGAACCTTCCCACCAAAAAACTCCCGAGTCCACGAGTAAAACTCCCGTTTGTGTCTATCACATCTTCTTCATGCGCATTACGCATACACCCTCCCCGGAGCATGTCATGTATGACTTATTTTCTCCATAGAGGGGATTCCCTGTCGTGCACCACATGCAAAATAAAGAGTATGTTAAAGTCCATCGCTTCGGCGCTTACAAGGCTTATTTTTCATCCATGTTGTGTACGGAGTATGTGGGCATCATTCTGTTTGGTTAATGGATGGATTTGAGGGATATGATTATGATGGGTTCAAGGTGGCATGTTTTCAATGCCATGAATGATGTGGGAAAGATATGTAAAAGATAAGTAGGTATATGTCGGAATGCTCGGGGGATATGTCGAGATTGTTTCTTTTCTTTCCTTTACCACGATGAACTTCAGCGATAATAAGATCTTACATCCAACTCGAAAGCGATGATGAATGAAAATAACCTCGCTAACCGTATGAATGATTCCAAGGTTATTCTATCACCGTTTAACCTTAACCATTCATTCGACGTCCAAGGACCATACTGTCAAAATGGTGATCACCGATAACTGATTAGAAGTGGAGATCAAAACAGAGTTTTTGAAGCTAAAGTACGAAGATCTTCCTCTATTGGTAAATTTCTGCATACTCTAACCTTTTTCCTTTCACGACTTTCATTATTCAATCTGATGACTCTTACATCCTTCAAACTCATTTATTCCGCCATAAACGTCTTGAAATCTAATGTATGTATTCGAGCAACACAAACAAACTCAAGTTGGGTTCATCCACTTCATCCAGTTCAGCCATCCCAAGATTCGCCTCATATCACGTGCTTGTATAGCCACTCCCAATGAGAAAAGTCCGGCTTTCCTGCATATTGTTGCTTATCTGTGTGTTTCCATTCTATTCTCCTTCTTTGCTATTTCCGGAGAATATTCTCATGCGCAAATACATCCATAATGGAGGTATACATACATATGGTGCTTAATCACACACGATACTGGTAACCTTACAATATATTTATATATCAGCTATCTAAGGGAGGGACAGCGATATCAAAGTAATTTATCTCCCCCTTATGCATGCAATGCAATGCAACTTTACAAATGCCGATTTGATATTCGGGAATCTTCACATCTGTCAAGTGACCAATGTGAGTTCTTGGCACCATGTCATATCTCTTCATATATTTCATCTTACCGATATCGCATCTGGAGAAGCATGTCTGAAGAAGTCTGGCAATGCTATATATGATCTTCGACGGGTCCTCGTTCGCGTGGCTGCTACTGGGCTTAGAATTTATTTGGTCACTATGCTAGACGCTATTTCTAATGCCGTGTGTGAGGCGGGGTGAGTCTTCATATCCCGTGCTGACGGCATGGCATGCCCTGTTGAGTGTGATTATTAATGTTGCTTGTGCATGCCTCACTATTCATGCAAAGGTTCACCTTATTACTCTATATCTTCCACTCAAGGCGAGTTCTCTTATCTGTTCTTGGATGTATGATACTTGTACTACTGTAGAACTATTCATTGCATATAGAAGTATCATGTCGTCTTTCTCGTTCCAAAAATAAGTTGTCTCTTGGCACTCGGATTATTATAATCCCATTTTCGACTCTCGATTCTTTTTTGGTTTGGTTTTAGTAACTCGTTAGCTTCTTTCGAAGACACAATACATCAATTGCTCATCGCAAGTATCACCATGGTTGATGAAGATGCTATAGTTTACGGTGGTGGCCAGTGGTGGTCAAATACGACAAAAGCACTTCACCAGCTGGATCCGGCTGTTGTTCTCGAAGGCCTTGTTCTATTTGATACATACTGATTATTTGATGCTACAACAGTAAATGGTATTTTGCTTACACTATTCAAAAACATAACTGAAGATGTTCATATCTCCACGAGCGCCTGGAATTACAGTGTCAGTGGTCTCTATAGCTGGGTACATAATTCTTATGGTTGAAACAACTAATATTTAAAAATTGAGACTTTTAAATCTGTATACCTAGCTAAAATAAAAACTATTAACTAGGTGGATAAAGATTACTTATAATAGCATCATCATCATGATAATAAAGTTAATACCATGGATCATGTGATAAGGTCAACGTGACGATAATAATTTCCTAGTAGTAAAATTAATTCAAATTTTTCTCCCACTATGCAGGTAGGTAATAACCGGTAAAGTTAATCTTTTCGTTTCGTCTAATCATCTTAAAAACTCTAACCCAATCCAATGTTTGTATACCCACCTAGATACCCAATCTCATACCAGTCAGTAAATTTAGTAGGGCATTGATGAGGAATGAGCTTTTGGACGCCTTTGAAAGCATAGCTTCAGAATCATTTCGCCTTCATCGACTTTCTCCCGTGTCGGCTTGTTGATATACTATAGTAAGTAGCATTGAGGTTATTAGAAGTGTCTGTCATGAAATCGTGAGAAGCTGGAAAATATGAGCGGTGCATGGTTTGGGGTACTTTCTGGCCTTTTCTTTTTCTTTTTTGGTTTGGCATGACTTTCGCGTGGTGTAGTAACTTAGTATCTACAAGCGATGAGCTTTTGATGGATGCGGTAATGGATGTGCGGGTTGTAGTGTATCTCGAGGAGGGAGGTGAATTCCTCTGCTCCAATCTCACTCATGTCGGCCGTGGTTCCCGCTTCCATCCAAGATTGAGGTTGAGAGAAACTGCATCCTCGCCATAATAAGTGCGGTGTTTTGTAAATGCGTCTGGAAATGTATGTATTTCCTGCTGCGTAATTTGATGGGGATTTGCTGTCGTAAATGCCAGCCGGGGAGCATAATGGGATAATAAAAAATTGAGATCGAGATCGAGATAACGAGATAGAAGGCTGTGGAGGTTCCAAAGGTCAGAATCTTCAAAGGCATACTGGCTTCCCACTGAGTATAAACCATGTCCTCAAATATCGAATCCTAGTATTAGAGTTGAGTGACTTTCTTCAATTGTTTTCTAGGCTTTGTTATTATCTGGCACCTGCAGAGCCACGGCGGAATTCATAAGATCTTACATCGCTTGATTGGAGGAATGGTGCTTGCACACTGCTTGCTTGATGACAGTAGAGAGTAACTCCACGGCTGAAACGTGGCATATCTGGGCTCTTACATTCACCCTGCTACCTCTGGGTTTGGTAATGAAATCGATGCGGCTTTGGGCTTTGGCAACCCAATAGCGATGGGAGGATCAGATACTTGACTCCTTTATTCATCATTCATCGACTGATTGCACGTCCGATGCTACTCAGGCCCCTGCTACCAGGTACGAGAAATGGTCCTGAAACTACTTGGTTGTAAGATGTCCTAGCGGTATTCTTATCAGATGGGTTATTATTTCTTTATCGCCATTCGGGAAGTAATTTTCCCAGCTCTAAAAATACCGGATTG